ATATAATGATTTTAATCAGATTTTTTAAATCTAATTTTATATTTAATTCAATTAAAAATGCAATAAGATTAGTTTATTCCAATTGTATAAATTATATTGAATATCAATTTAAAGGATTAAAAACTATGAAACTTTATTTTAATAATTAATTATGTAGTTATTAATTGAAATCATCAAATTTTTACTTATGGATGTATATTAATGTAAAATATAATCCAAATAAATCCTTAAGTTTTCCATAACAATAATCTCTTTTAAAGTAAACCAGCCATGTATTCTTTCAATTCACTATAATAAATTCATTTCTTTTCTATCTTGATAAGTTTAAGAAACATTTTATATTTAACTTTTAATAATAGGAAATTATATTACAGAATTTTACATGTAAAATAATATATAATAAATTTAGTTAAAACAATTCACAAATGATTAAATTAGAATTTAATAGATATAATATAGTATTATTGAAAAATGTAAATTTAGATAAAATATTTTCATTCTGGTTCAATTAATTTAGATAAAATAAATTACATTTATCTTGCTTGTATAATTAATTATTAAAAACAACAACCATCTCTTTGAATAATTAATTAAATATAAATATGTTAAAATTTATTTGTTTATTATAAATTGAACTAATTTATTACATGATGGAATCCATATATAAATAAATTTGAATATCAAAATCATGGATTCTCATTAATTTAGTAAAAGAGGATATATGCTGCTTGCATAAGAACTTATTTTTTGGTAACTGCTTTAACAGTTTCATCATTAAATAGAAACCATTAATGGTATCTTTTTGCAAATGTGAAATAATGTCCTGATTATAAATTACCGGTGTGAACAATAACCGCTCTAAGCCTATAAGTTTTATTGCCAAAATTTAATATGTCAATTGGATATGTTATTGCTTTATTATTTTTATGACATTAGGGCAAAAATTAGAATCTTTTTAGGTGTAATACCAGTATTTATGGAATGGAAACAATTTAGAGGCTTTTTACACATGATGATTGACATTTGACACATTTATAATCTTTTAGAGTTTCTTCTTTTAGAAATTCATCTAGACACGATTCTAATGTTTTGGATTAAGAGATGGCTAATGACAAAGTTAAGAATGGCTCAATTTATTTAACTTTATTTTTACAAAGTTGACATATAATATTAGTCTAAAGTTTTCCTATTAAATATAAAGTTTGCTACCTTTAAAGATTTATTCTACGAAATTTATATAAGTTGATTTAGTATCCTTATTGAAATTCAAAATTTCATCTTCTATGTGTCCTAGTAAATAAAGTAAGAATTCATGACAATCGTGCTGATTTTTTGGATGAAACTAATTAATTATCAATGTTTTTATGGTGTTAATTTTAATAGGGACAGTACTTGATTTGATTTAATCAATTAAATCAAAATAAGCTTTAGTAAATGAAACAATATTTTATTTTTTTTTGTCTAATAGTTGTTGCTTAGATATTCTTTGAATGTATTTTATAATAAAATAATTAAGATCAGCTATGCTTAATAGGGATTGCAATCCTGAATGCATATAACAATAGTAAGAATCATTTTTCATTCCAATAAGTGGTAATTCATAGTTGGATTAAGAATTAGAAGCAGTTTAACGATTTATTGTAGGTTCTACAGTTTTTGATCTCTTATCATTATTTCTTGAATGCTTTTATTTACAGATTATATCTGGATGAGCTTTATATTCTTGTTTAAAAAATATCCACACTGCTTCATTAACAATTATGTATTATGTACAGTTATTATTATCTAAAATGCTTGGTCTTTCTCCATTTTGATATAAATATAATTTATATTATGAAATCCAATTTTCTTGAACTGCATAAAATTCAGATGATCGCTTATCTTTCATGAGTTCTTTGATTATTGCAGCTTCTAATTCTCTTTTCTCGTTTGAATCTTACATACTTCTATATTAAGTAAGCATTTAAGTTGATTATGATGTGGATTGTGAAGATATTTGACTAGATCCTATAGACGGTTTTTTTCTCATAGGAAATAATGGTACATATAATTATCTAATATATCCCTTTTTACTTCATACTTATCTTCAGATTCATCTTCAATATTTTCATTATGCTTCATTTATGAATCAAATATGATCATAAAAATATTAATAACAATAATATAATATTAAGGATATGAAAAAATAAAATGTCATTCTTAACTCTAAGCTTTGATTGCTTAATATTCATCAAACAAAGATTAGATTTGAAATCCTTAATTGGTTTCAAACTTAAGCTTTCTTCCTTAAAATCCAATTTCAATAGATCCTGGATAAACATTAAAAGATTAGGGTTTATCGATTTTCTCCCAAATTCTATCCTTAGAACTGCTATAGAGTCGAATGCCTAGATAACCAATACCAAGAACTAAATTCTATTCTCCAAATTATGACAAAGCTTCTTTGCAAACAATTTGAAATAACTATTAAATGCAGAATTCATTTTTCAAACATTCTGAAATAAAATGATTCATTGCTTTTGTTGAATCAACATTAATGTTAACAACTTAGGAGAATTTGGTTTGGTTAGATTGAATCATAGATGAAAAGATGCCTTTTTATTTAACTTGAGCCATTTCTTCAGTTTAATTATTTTGAATAAATGCAGATTATGTATTTTCAATACTCGCCTTAAATTCCTTAAATTCTTGGGTCACAACACAATTCCAATACTCTCTTTATCTAAGCTATAAAATAGAAGCTGGGATGATTTATTGTATTACATCAAATGAGAGATTGCAGTTTTATAAATACAAATGAATGGCTGCTAATTTAATATAGTAATTTTAAGTTGGAAAGGTTAATGTAGAAATTTAGATATCCTTAACTAATTAATAATATAAAAGTTTCATTCTAACGCTATCAGCATATAACAAGGATTTCTCATATTCTATATCCTAATATAAGATTTTTTTGAACCATAATTCTTTTTTTTTTTTAGCAAAAATAAAACTATCTACAAACAAATCACATATATTTTCATCATTTTGCAATATTTTCACTCTAGATTTATTGTCAAATATATATAATTTAAAGTCATATATTTATTGTAATTGCATTATCTTTTAAATCTAATCTAATACATGTAACACTTTAGTATTATTTTGAATATTGAACTCCCATGGTTTTTCTTTAGGTATAGAATGATTTACTATGATTTAAATTGCATCCTTCTCTTTTTTCTTTTTTTGTTCTTCCACTAATGTTATATTTCTACTTATCATAGAAGATGCACTTAATAATCTTCGATTACATTAATTATTCTGTAGAGAATGTTAATCATTCCCATAGTCAACTGTTTTAATTAGGGTTCGAGTTGGAGAAACATAACTGAATCTATCAGGTCCTTTTTGAGTGCCATTTCTTTGATTTCTAAACTTATCAGCCTCAAAAGGCAAATCAAAAAAATTCTCAGGTAAACCTAGATCTTTCAAAATTTATGAATCCTATCTTGTTATATCAGACATTAGAACTGATTAAACAAAGAGAGGAATTGCTATCATTCTTGATTCAATTTCTTTTTAATCATTCAATAGACTTAAAGTAGTACTTTATTTTAAGAGATGTATTTAGTTAGTTGGGTATTTTTTTTTAATATAATCCTAGATCTTAATGCATTAACTAAATCTTAAAAATAGTTTTTAAAAAACCTCATCAATTCCAACTTCAATTATATATACTTTATAACTGCTTAAATTCTCATGTCTTTCATCAATACCTAAAGCTGTTACTTTAATTTTATTAAATTAAATTTTTTATTCAGACCCTTGACGAGATGCTAATCTTTAAAATGTATATTTAGATTTCTCTTTGCATTCTTGGATTATTTTTTGTATTAATGAATCAGTTTTTTATTCACAATATCCAAAAATCAATAAAAATCTTTATTGTTATTTTTGAATAAAAAATAATTATAAATAAAAATCAAAGTAATTATAATTTAGCCATTTTTTCAATTTTATTATTTGGGGTCTGTTCAATAAATGTAATTGATTATCCTTTCATTCCTTATAAAATGTATATATTTTAAAGATGTTATTAATTCTCAACATCTAAGCATCCACTTCGTTCATCTAAAAATACACTCTAGATATACTGATATTGATTATCCTATCTTTCACCAATAATGATTAAATCACTAAGAACAAAAGCTGTGACATTTATAACTTTATTATTTTAATCTAAAATAGATGTTAAAAGTTCAGTAATGTATTTTCTTTTAGAATCTACTAACTTCTAATTCAGTTTATTTCCAAACCATTTTTCCATGTCAAATAACTTACTTGATAAAAATTAATCCATATTTTTATTATTGTCATCATTAATTTTTTTAAATAACTCTAAGCATTCACATAAATTTTTATAATCTGGATGAGTTTTTTCAGTATGTTTTATGATATCTTCTAATAGTAAATTATACTTGGGTATTCTTTAAACAGGTTTAATTAAATAACTCTCAATGTCCTAATTATTATAGTCTTTGATTGATGGCATATTTTTAAGGAATTTTCTGAAATCCTCTTTATCATTTGTGCATTATTTAAGGGTTGCCATAGATTTATTGAATCCTTCATAATATGTAAAATAAACTTTAAAAAAAGGAGCTAATCCTTTGATTTTCGGTCCTAATAATTTGAATCTTTTATATGGAAGAAATCCTTCTAAATCTTGTAGAAAAGGGCTATTTAATTCGTACAATTATTGGACATTATTAAAGATTATTTCAATTTATTGTTTATTTAACCATTGCTTAACTTAACTTTAGATAACAATTAGTATTTTCAAATCATTTACATAATTTCTTTCTGTATTTATGAACTCTTCAATCACAAATTTTCGATATCTATGTTATTTCTCTTTTCTAAAAATAAATGATTATTGAAATAATACTATTTATAAATTTTATACAAAAATCTAAATATTTTCTTAGCTGCAATATCTTTCTTCTTCTATAAATTTGGCTATGTCATCAAATTTTTTTTTTGCTATAACTGATCTATTTGCTGAAATTAGAATTCTTTTTTTTTTGTTTTTGTGGCTGATGTATTTAGAGCACCATTTCCAACCACCCTCATAATTTACTTGTTGATAAGTTGAGCCTATCCATATTTATTTTTCATCCAAATAAAAATAATAATAAAACTTTGTTTTGCTTATATTTTATATATTATTGTAAGTATTTTATTTTGCATATATAGAATGTAATTTTAAGTGTTTTTTATCACTCATCAATTACATAGCCAAATACAAATAAATTATATAAATAAATATATTTTCTTATATTAAAAATTAATGATCATAAGTGATGAAGTTAAAAGGATACTTTAAAATAATGACTTTTCAAGAACTAATAATTCATCATTATCTACAAATAAATAATTAAATTCTAAAGAATTATCAAGAAATCAATCTCCAATCAAAAGGAAAGTATTAAAAATAAAAAATAATCTTATCAGTAGAGATGATCATAATGATGTAAAATGGTCGTATTTCCCATAAGAAAATTTATTATAGCTTTCACTCAATAACTCTATTATAGAAGATAAGAAAATGAATACTATCTAATTTCCACTAATTAATGCATCAGACTAATAATTTATTGATAATAATAGCAAAACATTATATTAAACTCTGATTGAAATATTTCCTTAAGAGCATGAGATTTGGAAGGAACTAGTAGAATAAAATTAAACCATTGAAGAAGTCGTCAATAATAACGCAGAATATTTTTAAGGCTTGCTAAAAGTTTGTTAATGTAAATTAGAATTAGCTCAATAAGATTTACAAAATAAGAACATTAATTTTAATGAAATTAAATATTATCAACCTAAAAAATAAACAACTTAATATTCTAGAGATTATTCTGGGTCTAAACATATCCCTGATTAACCATTATTGAATTAATCAAAAGCATATGAATAATATTATGCTCCTAACTTAGCCTATTTATAAAAAAAGAGTGTTTATAATGTATATTCATTTTTAATATTTTAGTAACAATTTGTACCTCAGAACTGTGAAAAAGTTGACAATTTTAAACCAGAATATAATCCTAATTTAAATTAATCAACATTCTTGTCAACATACAACTCAAATTTTATGAATTGGAAAGGTTAATATCCTGGTAAAATTACTTAATAATTATCCCCTAAATAATAGTCAACATTACCTTTTATTGCTGAAACTAATTATTCTAAAAATTTTAAATAAATTAAAACTGACAAAGTTGAATTACAAAAACACATAAAATTGTATTTTATTTAATCATCTAGAGGTCCATTTTGCGAGAACGCTTAATCATTAATTAAAGAAACAACTTCATAACACTTTTTTTAATCACATTATTCAGTGCCTTCAAAATTGATTAGACCTGTTAGCCCAAGATTATTTAGTACTAAACAAAGTTTTGAAGGATAATATAGGTCATCTTTTAATAAGTATAGTTTTTTCCTATTAGATCTTATGTCTCTAAAAATTTGAACACTGAATCATAATAATCCTCATTTGCAGAAAAGTTTTATGATAGCAATGCTGTCAAAGGATTGATTGATAAAAAAATAAAAACTAGAATTTTTTGATTTTTATTCTTATTTAAATTTTCAAAATAAACTTTTGGGCAATTTAAAGATGAACAATATATCTAAATTCTATTTCTCCCACAAGCATAGAATTGAAAGTAACTGTTAAATTGACATCATTCAAATCTAGAATTATTCTTTTATAATTATATCCATCTATTCAAAAATAAATTAATTAATAAGTTGAATTTAAGAAATATAAAAAGTTAGATTTATCTTATAGATAAAATGTTTTTATTGACATAAATTAGATTAGATTAGATTAGATTAAGTAGTTTGGATAGTTATTTTATTTTATTTTGAAATGGTAGTTCTTGAAATGTGATTAAAAAGGTATTCTAAGAAAAATTAAACTTAATTACTTATCTAGTGATCATAGGCATAAATAATAAAAAAATAAATAATATTACAGATTTGATATATTTGATATAAAATGAAGAAAATGTTTTATAATGGATATTTAAACTTTATGATTATATTTTTATTTGATATTTATAATACTATTAATATAAAAAATTAATGGAAAGTTTCTTAGAAAAAAAAAGTCCTGTTCTGATTAAAGGATGGCAAAAGAGATATTTTGTTTATTGTGAGAATCTACTCTTATATTTTAAAAACAAAGTAGATTTACCTCCTTATCAACCAAAAGGTATTTAGAAATATCTAAATATACAGGAGTAATAATGAAATAGAATATTGTTTAAGTTGATTATTTAGATCCTAATAAGAACGAGTTTGTTATTCACGTTGGATTGAGGAAATTTTAATTAAGAGCAGAGAGTAAGGAAATAAAGGAAAAATGGGTATGTGTATAAGTTTGATTTTCAGCTAGACATTTTAAAAGTACCATTTAATTAAACATCCAAAACAAAGTCTGAATTATCAAATATGAATAAGGTTAAGTGGTAATCAATTATTATTTTCAAGGCTTGAAATACCTGTATAAACAATTATTTAATTATATTTGAGAAGAGAAGAAATTTTGTAGAATGTTATTCAATAAAAAACTTAAGATACATAAAATTCATTAATAAAATCATCATATATCTAATAGACAATAGTAGCTATGGGTGAAAAAGTAATAATTAGTAAAATATAAGAACAAAGAGTTTATTTTGAGATTGTTGGTTGAAAAAAAATCTGTAAAGAATCCTTTAGTAAAAAAGAAAAGATGGCTGTTACTTTTCACATCTATAAGTACTGAGTCTTTAGATTAGATACATTAATTTATTAAGTTCATTCCTTAATAATATACTTTGGATACAATAAATTTGTTAAAATATGATAATAATTTAGCAACATTGACAAGTAATAAGTATATGAATTAGTGTTATAGAAACTACAATAGAAATATATTAAATTTAAAATTTACAATTTGTTGTTACTAATGAATATCAAATAATGTTTATGTATAATGGTAGAGTATTTGAATTAATATTCCCTTATTTAAGTGATGCTAAAAAACTAAACGATTATATTGTTAAATGTTAACAAATTAATAATAGTATGCCTGTTTAAGTAAGTAGAACTAATTAAATACCTGTCTATAAGATGTAAGATAGTAGAAGAAGAATATTAAATTTAAAAGGAAAAACATTTTTGGAAAATTAAGTAGAAAAGAAGATTAATGCATCATAATGGAAAAATGTAATACTTACTTTGAAAGAACATGCTTTATTTTGGGAATTTGTTGATACAGAAGAATATTCAAATATTGAATTGAAATCTATTTCAGCTATTGAATAATGTAATAGAATGTTTACTATTATTGTAATCTATTGAAATATAATATTAGGTGAATGATTAAAATACTGTTTAATAACAATTTAGAGTATCTACAATACAAGAAGCAGATGAATGGACTGGTTAATTATCATATATGACAGATATAGAAATTACTATTAAAGTATTGGAAAAATCTCAAACTCTATAAAATTATTAATAAAATGCTCTAACAAACTAATCATAAACTTAATAATTAAACAAATAAAAGACTTAATAATAATAAGAAGAATAAAAAAAACCATCTTTTTTTCAATAGCTTTTTTGTTGGGGAGGTGAAAGAAAAGAATAATGATCAATTATAATTATAGAGTAGATATTTCATCATAATTCATCTTTTCTTTATTATTCTTTAAATTGCCTATATTGTTGATCATGATCAAATTTTAGATTTCCTTCTTGTTTCTATTTCATTTTTTATCTTAATTCTTCAACATCTTGAGTATTCAATCTTCTATTTGAAGAATCAAAATTAGGTTTAAATCTACTACACTTTGTNACTTTTCACATCTATAAGTACTGAGTCTTTAGATTAGATACATTAATTTATTAAGTTCATTCCTTAATAATATACTTTGGATACAATAAATTTGTTAAAATATGATAATAATTTAGCAACATTGACAAGTAATAAGTATATGAATTAGTGTTATAGAAACTACAATAGAAATATATTAAATTTAAAATTTACAATTTGTTGTTACTAATGAATATCAAATAATGTTTATGTATAATGGTAGAGTATTTGAATTAATATTCCCTTATTTAAGTGATGCTAAAAAACTAAACGATTATATTGTTAAATGTTAACAAATTAATAATAGTATGCCTGTTTAAGTAAGTAGAACTAATTAAATACCTGTCTATAAGATGTAAGATAGTAGAAGAAGAATATTAAATTTAAAAGGAAAAACATTTTTGGAAAATTAAGTAGAAAAGAAGATTAATGCATCATAATGGAAAAATGTAATACTTACTTTGAAAGAACATGCTTTATTTTGGGAATTTGTTGATACAGAAGAATATTCAAATATTGAATTGAAATCTATTTCAGCTATTGAATAATGTAATAGAATGTTTACTATTATTGTAATCTATTGAAATATAATATTAGGTGAATGATTAAAATACTGTTTAATAACAATTTAGAGTATCTACAATACAAGAAGCAGATGAATGGACTGGTTAATTATCATATATGACAGATATAGAAATTACTATTAAAGTATTGGAAAAATCTCAAACTCTATAAAATTATTAATAAAATGCTCTAACAAACTAATCATAAACTTAATAATTAAACAAATAAAAGACTTAATAATAATAAGAAGAATAAAAAAAACCATCTTTTTTTCAATAGCTTTTTTGTTGGGGAGGTGAAAGAAAAGAATAATGATCAATTATAATTATAGAGTAGATATTTCATCATAATTCATCTTTTCTTTATTATTCTTTAAATTGCCTATATTGTTGATCATGATCAAATTTTAGATTTCCTTCTTGTTTCTATTTCATTTTTTATCTTAATTCTTCAACATCTTGAGTATTCAATCTTCTATTTGAAGAATCAAAATTAGGTTTAAATCTACTACACTTTGTCTTAGGTATATTTTATGTTTCTAGAATTGGAGCTAAAGGATTCGGACACATTAATTTAGCATCCCATTCATCATATGTAAATTTCTATATGTTTTAACAAGAGTCCTTTTTATTATAGCCCATAACTAAAGCAACAAAAACAACTAGAATCAACCTAAAACGCATTTATAATAATTATTATTAAATTAGGTTAATTATTAATATATATATATATATTTATGGTATTGACTATTAACATAAAATTTAATATATGTATAATATATTTGAAACCATATTTACATTTATTATAGTATTATAGAGCAATTAGATATTTATTAATTGATTTCTTAAATAAAAAATATTATAATTAATATATCACTCCACAAAGAAATTTACAGCAATTTATCTGAGTTCTCTATAGGAAGACACAATAAAGATTGGTAAATTAGATTCAATAAAATAATCAATTTAAATCCAAGCTACTTTAGATCTATTATTTTTATGGTATTTCAATTTTAGAAAAACAAGATATAAAATTACTATTATCCAATTACCTATGTCAAAGAAGAGTCTTGCAAATAAAAGGACAGGAAATAACATAATTTCCATTTTCTATTTTTGTATCATAATAAGTTCCTTATTTTACTTAGTTTTATCAATATACCTTTACATTCCTATACTAATTATCACACAAATTTGCTACTTTCATATATTGATTTATGATGAAGAAATAGGAATTCTGATATTCCAACCCAGGAGTGCATGAGAATTGGACTATATATTAAAATATTGTGCATTCTCTCAAAAAAATGGAATAGAAATAAAAACACTAAATTATGAAAGAATTCATTATTTATCAAAAGTTTTACATATTATTTTTTCTATTATACTTATGTATTTCTTATTTGTCTTTATAAGGCTAAAAAGTTAAATAAATATCCAAATATCTAAGCTACACCCTACATAAATAGTAAAAGCATAAATGACATTTTAAATATATTCTCAGTGCTATAAGTGTAATATGGCAATTTAGATTCCTCTTTAACATTTGATATTTTATTATTATCAATTTAATGTTTTTTATTCACATTTTCCTTATACCAAATCTATTTTAAATATTCCATTCTTTCCTTGGATCTAAATATTCTTAATTATGCTACATAGAATTATCAGCTGATTTAATATAGAAATTCCACTTTTCATCTTTAGAAAAATCATAATCTTCATACATAATAATATATAATTATTAATGAATAAAAATTAGATACTAAATAAAAAATACATTATCTGTTATGGTGGTCAATTGAAATACTATAGAAAGAAAACTAAAAGATAAGTTCATAAAACAGAAGATTACAGTGATTAAATATCTTAACCTTTACCTCCAATTTTATAAGCTGCACGAATCAATACACAATTAGAAAATATTAATCTTAAATACAGAAATAAACCGCATTCTAATTACACCACTAGTACTCCTAATAATAAAAATACATCTCTGCCACTTTTAAAAATATTACCAAATGATAATTAAGAGTAAATTAAGTAAAAAATCAATTCATGTTTTCTTTCATCAAATTAATCTAAAGTTATCATTAAGAATGATTTTTTAAAACAAAATATGATTGGATATAGTAAAGTGAGCACAATTATGATAATTTGATAGTATATTGCTAAAATTATTATGTTATAAACCATTAAATATAATGAATCTATTACAATTTTATATAATTTAATACTTTCTATATTTGTGATTTCTTTTTTAGATATAATATGTTATAATGATTCTTATAACAAATAAAATGGTGAACTTATAACATTATTTAAATAAAATATTTTATTAAAATTGAATAGTTAATAAATAATAAATAATACACTAACATCATCTTCAGTAAGTTAAACAAATATTAAAAAATAAATATGAATTGTAGATTATTTATATAAATTATTATTTCTTATAAATAATAATTAATTGAGTTTCTCTTACATATTTAGTTTGCTTAAATAATGAATCAAGCACTAAAATTAGTAAAAAGATTAAAATTTATATATAAGTTAAGTAATAATTTATTCGTTAAAATGAGACAAACTAATTATAAAGAAAATAGACAATAAAGTAGTTAAAGAAAGATTTCTGATTATATAAAAAGCACCTTAGGAAGTACTTAATAAATAAGTGAACCATTATCAAACAATAAAAATGCATTGAATGAATTAGAAAATTAATTACAATAGATGGTTAAAATAAAGACATAATTTTCATAAGTTTGTGGAGCAATGGAAAACCAAGATATAAGATCAAGCAAAGAAAATAAAGATTTACTTTATTAATTCTAATAATCATAAAATATTGATAAACAAGCATATTTAGTTTAGGTATAATATATGAATTTATTTTAAAGACTGGAAATTTTGGGCATCCAGAATCTTAATTATCATATAGAATAAGTACCTAAAGAACTTTGCCAGCTTTTGAAATTCATGAGGATATTCCTACAATTGATGATTTAAGAAAATTATAAAATTAGATATTAGATTTGAATACTTTTAGTGTTGAGTAGATGGATGAATTGAAGAAATTATCCTCAATAATTTTATTCAGAATAAGGAATCTAAGTAACTAATGATATATAATTTATTTAAATATATATATATATAAATGGACAAGAAATACTAGGACCTTGTAGATAAGAAGCTTATATTAGAGAATGAACTTAAAAATTTGGAAAAGAATATATTTGATGAAGAAACAAGATATTTAGAGGAAACAGGTCATATTGGTAATGTGATAAAAGGATGGGAAGGATTTTTGAGTATGAAGAATTCTAAATTGGGTGGGAATTAGTAAAAGAAAGGCAAAATAAACCCAAATGATAGAATATTTTCTTAAAGTAGCAAAACATCACCTTTTGTTTAAGAAATATCACAACTAGTTTAGATCACAGGAACTTAAAAATAAGTTTTGAATGAAGGAGTTGGAGAAGAGAAAAAAGAATATCATTTTAGAAGAACAAAGAAAAATAATAAATATGTGAGATTTTAAAAAGGGTACATGATATTTAACTTACTTTAGGGAAGGAGGATATCATTCTCCAATGACCTCTAGTGATGAATATAATGAAAAGAAGGGCAAGGTAATTAAAAAATTTTGAATTTTTAAAAATATATGATATATATTTTACTATATAATAGATATAAAAGGAAAATGAATAGGAATAGTATGGTATTATTAATTTTTTTTTTTTTAAATTACAGATGGTACATATATATTCATATCTTTTTACAGCCACAACCATTAGTTTGGGTATAAGTGAAACAATCTGGACAGATTCCAACACCTAGATCAGGTCATACTTTTGTAACTGTTGGAAGAACTCACATCCTTTTTGGAGGATTGGATAGCGAGAAGAAGCCAGATGCAGATAAGAAAAATACAAAGATAGCACCAAATAATTAAGGTAAATATTGTAATTAGCATATAAGTATATTCATTGAGGGTAGCACCAAATGTTTGTGAATGGAAGTTAGTATAATGTTCAGGGGATCCCCCATTACCCAGAACCAATCATGCTGCATGTGCAATTTCTCCTGATAAAATGCTTATTTTTGGTGGGTTCTACACATCAAATCTCCGTTTTAATGACACTTTCATCTTAAGAACAAGTAATTTTTAATGGGCTCAGCCACCAAATTAAAAAGTAACTGGTGAACCTAAAAATGCTGAATCTAAAATTGGAGCACCAGAACCAAGGGGAAATCATTCTGCAACATTTCATAAGAACAAAGTTTATGTTTTTGGAGGACACGGAGGAGTTGGATATGCAACGAAATCATTCAATGATTTATATGTTTTAGATTGTGAAAGTTTTGAATGGTCATAACTAGAGCCAACTGGAACACCACCTGATCCTAGAGGAGGACATAATTCTTAAATTATGGGATAGAATGATTTGCTCATGATTTTTGGAGGATGGAATCAAATATCATAATTTTAAAATGTCATCATATATGATATTAATAACAATAGTTGGGTAGATCCAGAAATCTCGCATGAAATACCTAAATGGAATATGGCTGGAATCATGGTACCATCTATTCCATCATGGAAATATTTCATTTTTGGCGGACAAGTAGGAAATTTTGAAGAAGGTGGTAACAGAACAGCCAGTAGATTAGTAGATGATACTTTTGTATTAGATGTAGATGCTAAGAAATGGTCACCTGTTTAATTGGAAGAAGATAAACCAGTCAAACCTAAAACTAGAGAATCTACAACTTTAATTTATGATTTATCAGACTCTAGGATTTTGATGTTTGGTGGTTGGTCAAATGCATGGATGAATGATATGTATGCATTAAATGTATCGTCAATTGTTGGACCTCCTTATGCTATTTATTCAATTAAACCATGTTTAGGTCCATTAACAGGAAAAACAAAAGTGTCTATAACAGGAGATGGCTTTAAGGATTCACAGAATATTGTTATAAGATTCTTTTCAGGAAAAGCTTAAGAAGATGTTCAAGGAATTTATGTTAGTACTACTGAAATAACATGTGAAACACCTTCATATGAAAAACATGGAGCTAGAAAAGCTGAAGTAAAAGTCTGTATGGATAGATTAGATTTTACTATTATGAGTCAATTTTATTCATATTTCTTAAATTCAAAAGCTGAAAAGACATTAATGTTTGGACCAGGAGTATTGAGAGAAAATGCAACAAAAATTGATACTATGTTTTATATTCAAACAAGAAATTTGAATAATTAGAATAGAGAAAGTGGTGCTGATGAATTTTAAATAGAAATTACTAGACCTGATATATTAGCAGAATTAGATGAGGAAAGATAAAGAGAAGCTATCAGATTATAATAATTAGAATAAATGGATCCTGAAGAGAGAGAAAGAATTGAATAGGAATCACATAAAAAAAGAATTGTTAAGAGAAAGAAAGTTAAAATACCATAAGAAGGAGAAGAATAAGGTGAAAATTAAGAATCTGAATATGAAGAAGTTGAAGAAGATGTACCTTAAGAAAAAACAAGATTATAATTGTTAGAAGAAAAAGCTATCATCAAATATACTATTCAAGATAATGATGATGGATCTTATGCTGTTAAATATTAAATTGAAGAACCATGTGAAGTTATTGTTAATGTTAAATTAAAGAATGAAAGAGGTGAATTTAATGAAATTAGAGGTTCTCCTAAAAAAGCATAATTTGTAGATGGTGTTGGACCTAAAAATAATTAATACACAGGTTAATAATTAGTTAATTATGTTACTAATAAGAATGAAGAAATTAATAAATTAATTGATACATCAAGAGATAATATTAATATAAAAGATAAAAATATATAAGAAGATGTTACTAGTTTATTAGAAGTTATGGAGAATCTTAAAAAGATTTCAGATGAAAAAGAAAACATTCTTTTATTATTAGATGAAAATGAATAAATATTAAGAACCTTAGAAAAACATGATATGAAAAAAGAAACAGAAATTAAAAAAGTGAATAAAATGTAAGAAGAATGGAAGAATTTGTTGAAGATTTCATAAACTGTTGAAAAAGACATAAGTGGTCCAGTTAAATAAGAAGCTGATAAGACAAAAGAAAAGATTAAGAAATTTGAAGAATAATTAAAGGAATATTTACAAGGTCTTAAAAAAGAGACATTTTATTAATACAAAACTGGTATTAAAGATTCATAAGAAAGATTTGCTGAAGTATAAGCATAAATAGATAAATTTACAAAAACACTTTAAAACTATGAATATTATTCAAAAATGTTCAATTTTCCAGATGAAGTTGTTGGATGTTAAAAAAACTTAGATGCTATCAAATAAGAAGTAGCTGCTGTTTAATTATTATGGGAACATATTAAAAAATGTGAATAAAAATTCTCAGATTATAAGAGATATAAATGGGCAACAATTGATCCAAATGAAATGGAAGATGAAGTGAAAAAGCTTCGTAAATTCTTAATTGATATGAAGGGTATTGATAAAAGATCAAATGTATTCACTGGTATTAATGAAGATTTACGTAAATGGGGTACCTTCATACCATTATTAACTGAATTGAAAGATCCAGCTATGAACACAAGTGATAGTAGACATTGGAAAGAAGTTAAAGTTGTTGTAAACCAAGATTTTGCTATTGGAGATGATATGGAATTAGATGTTATTTGGAATCTTAAACTTTTTGATTATAGAGAAAAAATTGAAGATATCTCTGAATAAGCTAAATAAGAATTAAAAATGGAGAAGGGTATTATCAAAGTAGATACATTCTGGAAAGATGTATAATTTGAATTATTGAAACATAAGGATACTGATGTCAGAACATTAAAAATGTTAGATGAACATTTTGAAACATTAGAAGAACATTAATTGTAGGTTAATAATATGTTATTGAGTAAATATGTGAAATTCTTTGAGAAGGATGTTGAAAAATGGAAATAAGATTTAGGAGCTATTTATGATGTTATATAATTATTATCAGAAGTACAAAAGACATGGTCATTTTTAGAAAATTTATTTATTTAATCAGAAGAAGTCAAGAAAGAATTACCAAAAGAATCAGAATAATTTGTTGGAATAGATAAAAGTATGAAAGAAATTATGGAATCTGGTTGTTAAATTAAGATAATCTTAAAGTTTTGTACTTAACCAAATATGTTAAAATCATTAGAAAAGATCTAAGCTGATTTGAAAGTTTGTGAAAAAGCATTGAATGAATTTTTGGATTCTAAAAGAAGAGCATTCCCAAGATTCTATTTCGTTAGTGTTAATGATTTATTAGATATCCTTTCTAATGGTAATTCACCTGCAAAAATTAATAGACATATGTCAAAGATATTTTAAGCTATTGATAAATTAGAATTATAAGAAAATGATAATGAAAGACCATTTGCTAAAAAGATGATTACATGTGTTGGTCAAGAAGAAGTTGTTCTAGTTAAACCTTTATAATTGTTAAATAAAGTTGAAACTTATTTATAAGCTATGATTGATTCTATGATTGATACTCTTAGAGAATTAGCTAAGAAATCATTTGGTTGTTATGATTCTAAGACATGTCAATTATAAATGGATAGAAAAACATGGATAGATTAGGATCCAGCTTAAATTGCATTATTAGTCAATAATATTATGTGGTCAGTTCAAGTAGAAGAAGCATTTGCAAAAATAGCAAATGGAGATATGAATGCACTTAAAGATTATTATAAGAAAAGTGTTGATGCTCTTACTGAATTAATTAGATTTGTTAGAGGTGATTTAAGTAAATCTTTAAGATAAAAATTAATGTGTTTGATTACAATGGATGCTCATTCTAGAGATACTATTGGAAAATTGATTGATGAACATGTTCGTAAACCAGATGAATTTTAATGGTAATCTTAATTAAAATTCTATTGGGTTAATAATGATGCCCTTATTAGAATTGCTGATGCATCTTTTAATTATTCATATGAATATTTGGGTAATGGTCCAAGATTGGTTATTACTCCATTAACAGATCGTATTTACGTCACAGCCACATAAGCATTACATTTAAAGATGGGTTGTGCACCTGCTGGTCCTGCAGGAACAGGTAAAACTGAATCCACTAAAGATTTGGCTAATGCATTAGCTAAAGCATGTTATGTGTTTAATTGTAGTTCAGAAATGAATTATGAATCTATGGGTAATATCTATAAAGGACTTGCTAGTTCTGGATGTTGGGGTTGTTTTGATGAATTTAATCGTTTATTACCAGAAGTCTTATCAGTTTGTTCAGTCTAATTTAAGGCAGTCACAGATGCTATCAAATAATAAAAAAAGACATTTTTATTCCCAGGAGGAGGTGAAATTTCATTAGATCCAACTTGTGGTGTGTTTATTACAATGAATCCAGGATATTTAGGAAGAGCAGAACTACCAGAGGGATTGAAAGCCTTATTTAGACCAATTACAGTGGTTGTCCCTGATTTAGAATTGATTTGTGAAAACATGTTGATGGCTGAAGGATTTGAAGAGGCTAAGACATTAGCACATAAATTCGTTACTTTATATATGTTATGTAGAGATTTATTATCAAAATAATTACATTATGATTGGGGACTTAGAGCTATTAAATCAGTGTTAGTGGTAGCTGGTGGTTTCAAGAGAGCTGAACCAAATATTGCAGAATAGGCTTTATTGATGAGAGCATTAAGAGATTTCAATATACCAAAGATTGCATTTTAAGATTTAGATGTTTTCTCAGGATTATTATCAGATTTATTCCCAAATATTAATATTCCAAGAAAGAGAGATATGGCATTTGAAGGAATTATTGAATAAGTTACAGCTGAAAATAGATTAGATCCAGATCCTGATTATATTTTGAAGATTGTTTAAGCATCAGAATTATTGGAAATTAGACATTGTATTTTCGTTATGGGTCCACCAGGAGCTGGTAAATCAACTACATGGAAAATGTTGGCTAAAGCTTAAGATAAAGCTGGTAAGAAGACAACTGTGGTTGATTTAGATCCAAAAGTTGTTAGTACAAGAGATTTATATGGTTACAATTTACCAACAAAAGAATGGAAAGATGGTTTAGTTTCAAAAGTTATGAGATCTTTAAGTGAAATATAAGATATAAATCCAAAATGGATATTACTTGATGGAGATTTAGATGCAAATTGGATTGAGTCAATGAATTCTGTTATGGATGATAATAAGATATTGACATTAGCAAATAATGAAAGAATTCCATTGAAACCACACATGAGAATGCTTTTTGAAATTAGAGATCTTCGTTTTGCAACTCCTGCCACAGTATCTAGAGCAGGTATCTTGTATATTTCTGATGATAAGGGATATTAATGGAGAGCATATGTGAAATCATGGGTTAAAAATAACTTTAATGATGATAAATTCAAATAAGATTTACAAAAGTTATTTGATAGATATATTGAAGGTACTTTATTATTTTTGAAAAAACATTGTAAAACTTTAATTCCAGTTAATCCAATATCAATGATTATCTCTTTATGCAAAGCTTTATTGCCATTATTATAAGGAGAAGTAAAGAATATGGAATATCATTTTGTATATTGTTGTGTTTGGGCTATTGGAGGTGTTTTATCTGAAAAAGACTCTATTGATTATCGTAAAGATTTTTCAAATTGGTGGAAAGGAGAATGGAAAACATCAGTCAAATTCCCAAGTAAAGGTACAGTTTTTGATTACTTTGTTGAATAAAATACAGAAAATGTTAAATTTGATGAATGGGCTAAGAGATTAACAAACATAGATTTTGATCCCACTTAAGGAATGGTTATGGGTAATATAACAGTTCCAACAAAAGAAACTTTGGCTACAAGTGAATTAGTTAAATAATTTATTAATGTTTAACAACCAGTATTGATGATTGGTTAATCTGGTTGTGGTAAAACTCAATTGGCTAAGGGTATATTGAGAGATATTGTGAAAGCTCAACCAGATAATTTTACTTATTAATTGATCAATTTCAATTATTATACAGATTCAACTTATTTGTAGGCTTAATTAGAATAATAATTGGAAAAGAAAGCAGGTAGATAATTTGGACCTTAAGGAAAAGGAAAATTAATATATTTCATTGATGATTTGAATATGCCTTAATTAGATCCATATGATACTTAAACAGCTATTGCATTATTAAGATAACATGCAGATTATGGTCATTGGTATGATTTAGGTAAATTGAGTTTGAAAGATATTATCAATACTTAAACTATAGCAGCAATGAATCCATCAGCTGGTTCATTCTTTGTTAATCCAAGATATTAAAGACATTTTTGGACTGTTTCCATTCCTATTCCTGATAATGAAAGTTTGTTCTTAATTTATAATACTTTCTTATCAGGACATCTTAAGAGATTTAAACCAGCTGTTTCTGAAAATGGACCTGCAATTATTAAAGCTGCTTTATAATTACATACTAGTGTCATTTAGAATTTCAGAAAAACTGCCATAAATTTCCATTATGAATTCAATCTTAGACATATTTCAAATGTTATTTAAGGATTGTTATTAGCAGATCCTGCTAAATTTATTGATTCAGATAAATTAATTAGATTATGGGTTCATGAATCTGAAAGAACATATGGTGATAGATTAGTATCAATGGATAATCTTAATACATATAAAGCATTAATGTTTGATTTGTTAAAGAAATAATTCACCAAATTTAATTTCAGTAGATTCTTTGCCAAAGATAATCCTGAAAATTTAATCTTCTGTAACTTTTTAGCTGGTATAGGAGGAGATAGATTTTATGATTAAATGCCAAATGATAAATTAGAACCAGTAATCACTGAAGCATTAAAAGAATATAATGATAACTTTGCTTATATGGGATTAGTATTGTTTGAAGATGCACTTAAACATGTATGTAGAATCACAAGAATAGTGTTACCACCAGGTGGACATTCATTATTAGTAGGAGTAGGAGGTAGTGGTAAATAATCATTAACTAAATTGGCTGCATTTATCATGACATATACTCTATTCATGATTACTATATCAAGCAATTATGGTATGAATGATTTAAGAGGTGATTTGTAATTACTTTACTAANACAAACATAGATTTTGATCCCACTTAAGGAATGGTTATGGGTAATATAACAGTTCCAACAAAAGAAACTTTGGCTACAAGTGAATTAGTTAAATAATTTATTAATGTTTAACAACCAGTATTGATGATTGGTTAATCTGGTTGTGGTAAAACTCAATTGGCTAAGGGTATATTGAGAGATATTGTGAAAGCTCAACCAGATAATTTTACTTATTAATTGATCAATTTCAATTATTATACAGATTCAACTTATTTGTAGGCTTAATTAGAATAATAATTGGAAAAGAAAGCAGGTAGATAATTTGGACCTTAAGGAAAAGGAAAATTAATATATTTCATTGATGATTTGAATATGCCTTAATTAGATCCATATGATACTTAAACAGCTATTGCATTATTAAGATAACATGCAGATTATGGTCATTGGTATGATTTAGGTAAATTGAGTTTGAAAGATATTATCAATACTTAAACTATAGCAGCAATGAATCCATCAGCTGGTTCATTCTTTGTTAATCCAAGATATTAAAGACATTTTTGGACTGTTTCCATTCCTATTCCTGATAATGAAAGTTTGTTCTTAATTTATAATACTTTCTTATCAGGACATCTTAAGAGATTTAAACCAGCTGTTTCTGAAAATGGACCTGCAATTATTAAAGCTGCTTTATAATTACATACTAGTGTCATTTAGAATTTCAGAAAAACTGCCATAAATTTCCATTATGAATTCAATCTTAGACATATTTCAAATGTTATTTAAGGATTGTTATTAGCAGATCCTGCTAAATTTATTGATTCAGATAAATTAATTAGATTATGGGTTCATGAATCTGAAAGAACATATGGTGATAGATTAGTATCAATGGATAATCTTAATACATACAAAGCATTAATGTTTGATTTGTTAAAGAAATAATTCACCAAATTTAATTTCAGTAGATTCTTTGCCAAAGATAATCCTGAAAATTTAATCTTCTGTAACTTTTTAGCTGGTATAGGAGGAGATAGATTTTATGATTAAATGCCAAATGATAAATTAGAACCAGTAATCACTGAAGCATTAAAAGAATATAATGATAACTTTGCTTATATGGGATTAGTATTGTTTGAAGATGCACTTAAACATGTATGTAGAATCACAAGAATAGTGTTACCACCAGGTGGACATTCATTATTAGTAGGAGTAGGAGGTAGTGGTAAATAATCATTAACTAAATTGGCTGCATTTATCATGACATATACTCTATTCATGATTACTATATCAAGCAATTATGGTATGAATGATTTAAGAGGTGATTTGTAATTACTTTACTAGAAATCAGGTGTCAGGGATGAAGCTATTATGTTCTTATTCAATGAAGGTCAGATCACAAATGAAAGATTCTTAACTTATATCAATGATTTACTATCTTCAGGTGAAGTAGCAGAACTCTATAATTCAGATGAAAAAGAAGTTTTGATTAATCAAATCAGACCTAAAGTTAAAGCTGATGGTAGACCAGATACAAGAGATTCATGTTGGGGATGGTTTATTGATAAAGTAAGATAAAATTTACATATGACTTTGTGTTTCTCACCAGTAGGTGAATCATTACGTAAAAGAGCTCGTCAATTCCCTGCTCTTGTCAATTCTACTGTTATTGATTGGTTCTAACCATGGCCTTAAGATGCTCTATATAATGTGGCTTAATAATTCTTAAAAGACATAGATGTACCTACAGATTAAGTTAGAGAAGCTATTGTTAAATTTATGCCATTCTCATTCAAATTAGTTAATGATTTATCAGTTAAATTGCTAGAATAAGAAAGAAGATATGTTTATACTACACCTAAATCATTTTTAGAATTAATTAAATTATATACATTCATGTTGAAGACAAAGAAGGGAATGCTTGAAAAGAATAAGGAAAGATATGAAAATGGTCTTATTAAATTAAGATCCACTTAGGATTTAGTGGCTGAAATTGAAATTCAAGTTAAGGAAAAATAATAAGAAGCTGAACAAATTAAAAATGAAGCCAATCAAGTAGCTGAAGTAGTTGGTAAAGAAAAGGCTAAGGCTGAAATTGAAAATGCAAAGGCTGCAGAAGAAGAATCCAAATGTTCAACTATCAAATAAGATGTTGAATAGAAAAAGACATCTACTCAAGCAGATTTAGATGCTGCTATTCCATTAGTAGAATAAGCCAAAGCTGCCTTGAATGGTTTGAGTGAAAAAGATTTCTAAGTTGCCAAGAACTTTGCTACTCCTCCTTCTGGTGTTCCTGATGTCTTCTCGGCCACCATTTTCTTATTGGCTGGTTTCTATAATGAATAAATAGAAATTGATCCAAAATCTAAGAAACCAAAAAATTATGATTGGAAGAGTGCTTAAAAGATGATGCAAAAGCCTAAAGAATTGTTAAATAAACTCATGGGTTTCAAAGATATTGTTGATGCTAATCAAGTACCACCAACTAACGTTGATTTTGTTAAGAAAAACTATTTGAATTTAGAGCATTTCAATGCATAAACTATGGCTAATAAATCATCAGCTGCTAGAGGTCTTTGTGATTGGGTTATTAATATTGTCAAATATTATGATGTCATCTAAATTGTAGAACCTAAGAGACAAGCTCTTAAAGAAGCCATTTAATAATTAGATGATGCCAATGCAAAATTAGCTAAAGTTTAAGAATAAGTCAAAGAATTAAATGATAGATTGGCTGTTTTGACTGCTGATTATAATAAAGCTATGGCACAATTATAAGCTGCCTTAGATTAAGCTGCTAAATGTGAGAAGAGACTTAACTCAGCTAATCGTTTAGTAAAAGCCTTGGGTAGTGAAAATGAACGTTGGGATTAAGCAATTAAAATTTTAGAAGGTTAGATACAATTATTAAGTGGAGATGTATTGATTTCTGCTGCCTTTGTCTCTTATGCTGGTCCATTCAACAAGAGATTTAGAGATGTTATGATGAAAGATTATTTCCTTAAATTCATTATTGATAATAAGGTTCCATTAAGTAATAATGCTGATCCAGTAAAATTATTGACAGATGAAAGTACTATTGCTAAATGGAATCAATAATTATTACCTAGTGATGCTGTTAGTACTGAAAATGGTACTATCTTAACTAACTCTGAAAGATATCCATTAATTATAGATCCTTAATTATAAGGAATCAAATGGATTAAAGAGAAGGAATCAGCAAATAATATGAAGATATTACGTATTGGTTAAAAAAATACAAATAGATAAATTGAGTTCTCTATTTAATCAGGTAATCCATGTTTAATTGAAAATATGGATGAAAGAATTGATGCTGTATTGATGCCTGTTATTGCTAGACAATTTATAATTAAGAGTTCAGGATAAAAGAAGATTAAATTTGCTGGTTAAGAATTAGATGTACATCCAAAATTCTAATTGTTTTTACATACATAATTGAGTAATCCACATTATCCTCCTGAAATATAAGCAGAGGCTACTCTCATCAATTTCACTGTTACTGAAGATGGTTTAAGTGATCAATTATTAACATTAGTTGTTGGAAGAGAAAGACCAGATTTGGCATAAAAGAAAGTGGAATTAATCTAACAATAAAATTCATTCAAAATTAAATTAAAAGAATTAGAAGATGAATTATTATATAAATTAGCTAATGCTGAAGGTGATATTTTGGAAGATATAGCTTTGATTGAAAATTTAGAATATTCTAAAAAGATATCAACAGAAATTGCTGAAAAAGTAGAAATTGCTAAAGCCACTGAAGCTAAAATCAATGAAACATCAGAATAATATAGAAATGCAGCTGCTAGAGGTGCTTTAATTTATTTCTTGTTAACAGATTTATCTAAAATTCACTCTTTCTATAAATATTCATTGGAATCCTATTTGGTTGTTGTTCATAGAGCTATTGATTTGATTTCTGAACATAAACATGTTCAAACAGGTGTTATGTTAGATGAAAAAGCAGCAGCTTAAATTGATCTTGGAAATAAGAAGGATGAAGAAGGAGAAGCAGGTGAAGGAGAGGAAGAATAATAAGAAGAACAACAAGAGGAATAATAATAAGAATAATAATAAGAAGAATAATAATAGGGTGAATAATAAGAGGGAGAACAAGGAGAAGGTTAATAAGGTGAAGGAGAAGGAGAAGAAGGTGGAGAAGCAAAAGAAGGGGAAGAAGGAGAATAGAAAAAAGAAGAATAAGTTGAAGAATAAAAGAAAAATGCTGATGATGATCAATTAACTCCATAATCTTTAAGAAAGAGAGTTAATTAATTAATTGAAAGTATAACTTACACTTCCTTCTAATATGCCAGAAGAGGATTATTTGAGAGACACAAATTGATTGTTTCTACTATGCTTACATTAAGAATCAATTTGAAAGCAGGAAAATTACCTAAAGAATAAGTTGATCATTTAATTATTGGTAAAATTGAATTAAATCCTCCTCCTATGCCTGAATCATTGAAATCATTCTTGAATGATACTATATGGGCATGCTGTAAGGCTTTGGAATCAATTCCTGAATTTAATGGTTTAGGATAAAGTCTAGAAGTTGACAATCTGTAATGGAAGAAATGGTATAATGAAGAAAAGGCTGAAATTAGTGATTTACCTAAGGCATTCAGTCATCTTAAGAAATTCCATAGATTATTATTATTAAGAACAATGAGACCTGATAGATTAACATCAGCTATGGCTAATTATGTTGCTGAAGAGATGGGAGATAAGTATGTTGAATAACCTCCATTCTCAATCTTTGAAACATTTAATGAAATGGCTCCAACTACACCTATTTTCTTTGTATTGTTCCCAGGAGTAGATCCTACACCTGAAGTTGAAAGAGTGGCTGCCTAATATGATATTACATCATTTAATGGGAAATTCATTAATATCTCAATGGGACAAGGTCAAGAAGAAATTGCTAGAAGAGCATTATTAGATTGTGCTGTACAAGGACATTGGATTATGTTACAAAATGTACATTTAATGTAAAATTGGTTGACAGGTCTTAATGGTTTGGAAGGATATCTCGAAACTGTTTATGCTAAACATCATCCAAACTTTAGAGTTTTCATTTCATCAGAACCTCCTCCTCTACCTGAAATGAAGATTATTCCAGAATCTATTTTATAAGCATCTGTTAAGGTTGCTAATGAAGCACCATAAGATTTAAAGGCAAATCTTAGAAGAGCATATGCTCACTTTGATTAAGAATTCTTAAATAAATGTTAAAAGAAACCATAAGAATTTAAAGCATGTTTGTTTGCTTTATGTCATTTCCATTCTTTAGTCTTAGGTAGAAAGAAGTTTGGTGCTTAAGGTTGGTCAAGAATATATAATTTTAATGATGGTGATCTAACAATTTGTGCTAATGTCTTGTATAATTATTTATCTAAATATGATGTTGTTCCTTGGGATGATTTGAAATATATTTTTGGTGAAATTATGTATGGTGGTCATATTACAGATGATTGGGACAGAAGAACCAATGCTACATATTTGAAAGTCTTAATTAAGCCAGAATTATTATAACCTGGTTTTAATTTAGGTCCAGGATTCAAATCACCAGATCCTTCAAAATTTGAATATGAATAATATAAAGAATACATTGAAAAGAAATTACCAATTGAATCTCCATAAATGTTTGGTATGCATCCAAATGCTGAAATTGGTTATTTAACTTAATAATGTGAAACACTTTTCAGTACCATATTAGATGTTTAAGGTGGTTCAAGTAGTGGTGGTGGAGGTAAAAAAGATGATGGAGTTATGACTTAATTAACATTATTAAAATCTACAACTCCTGCTGATACTAATTTAATGGATGTTACAGCTAAAGCATCAGAAAAAACACCTGATCAAATTGTATGTTTATAAGAATGTGAAAGAATGAATATTTTATTAGGTGAAATAAGAAGATCACTTGAAGATCTTAGACTTGGTTTAACTGGTGCATTGAATATCACAGATTAAATGGAAGCATTATCTCTATCATTATAATTCAATAAAGTACCTGCAAATTGGGAGAAATTTGCTTATTTCTCAAGAAAAGGTTTGGCTGCTTGGTTTAATGATCTTATTGAAAGAACTAACTAATTAGCAAATTGGACACAAGAAATGGCCACTCCAATTTCATTGTGTATCAGTTATTTGTTTAACCCTATGTCATTCTTGACTGCTATCATGTAAAAGACTGCCAGAGAATAAGGTTTACCATTAGATGATGTAAGATATTGTTATTTATATTATTTAGATGGTCTTGTAAACCAATGTGACAGCTTTCAAAGGACATGAGGAAGTTACTGTTTCAGCTGAGACTGGTGCTTTTATCCATGGTTTATATTTAGAAGGAGCTGCTTGGGAATTAGGTGGTTAAGGATAAGAAGGATATTTAATAGAATAGAAATAGAAGGAATTACATCCAAAATTACCAGTTGTTAATGTAATTGCTGTGACAGCAGATAAAAAGAAGAAGATTGGATAATATTCATGTCCAGTTTATGTAACATCAATGAGAGGACCTACATTTGTATTTACAGCTAATCTTAATATGGAAAATGAAGATTCAGACGTATCTAAATGGATTCTCAGTGGTACTTGTTTATTGATGAGTGACGATTGAGAATTATTTGAAATTTATTATATATTATATATATATATTATATATATTAATATTTAAAACATAAATATATTAATATTTATTAAATAAGGTATTTACTATATAAATTTAATAAATATTCTTTAATTTCTAATTTTATTATATTATTTATAAATAATGCAAGATATAAAATATTATCTATTCTCCAACACAACATTAGATGTAAAATATATAATAAAAATAAATATTAAGGTATTTGTGCTTTAAAGTAAGATTAATTCTTATCATATTTTTATAAAACTTAGAAAATATATTTTACTATTTAATATAAACTAATACTTAGATAGTAATTGAAAAAATTGGTAGTGTTGATCTATTTTCAATAATGTGAAATAGATTCGGATATCTACAATATATTAGGTTATTAAAAATTTAATTAAAAATGGATACTTAATGTTTTAACTTTATGAAGATAATATCATTAACTATACTTCTTCATATTTTGACTGGTATGTTATTCACATTTACACATTGTAATTAAAATTTAAAAAAATATCAATCAAAATTTTGAAGTTTGCATTTTTAGTAATTTTAATTTCTGAATTGAATGAATTCCAATTTTATAAATAAGGCTTTATCTTTTGAGGACATAAATGTTATTTAAATTAATTGAAAAACTGATTTTTAATTTATGTTTTTATATTATAACAAAATAATTTTAAATTATTTCGATTTCAATCTAAAAAAAGGAAGAAGAAAATTAAAATTCTAAATATATATATATATAAATTAATATTGTATTTTTCATTTAATTTTAGATTATTATAATTGTCTTCGATTTAAGATGAATTAAATGTTAATAAAATATTTTTCATAATTATAATTATGAATAATTAACCAATATTAATAGAAACTCAACAATATAAATATTATGTTGGAAATGAAGAAAAGTCCTTTCAAATTAAAAAGAAAGCTGAATTTTTTTAATATTAAAGATATAAAACCGTAAGCAACTCATTTCATGAAACAAACAATTGTTTAGAGAAGAAACAAAAATAAAGAAGAATGACGTTGGATAAATGCTAATAAGAATGTTCCAATATAGCTGCGAAAAAATATATTGATTTTAATGTAATTATATGAAGAAAGTAGATTAAAGAAATAAATTCAGGTAATGAATTAAATGAAAAGGTTAAGTAATTTATTATACAAGACAAAAAGTTGATGAGAAAATAAATAAAAGTTACTAACTTTGAAGATTTATTGTTGTAATATTAGAAATCCTTTCGTTAGAAATAGATGAAAAAACAAGTATTAGAATAATTAGAGTAAGAGCCTCTTTATTTTAAGGGTACCAATTCAAATAATTATGAAATGAAAAATTCATAATAGGATCACATTCAATATAACTTACAATAAAAGAATAAAAAATAATAGAATATCAATAAAGATTAATAGTTATAGGATAAAATTTAAAATTATTTATCTAGAAAAAGTGTTAATTTACAAAGAATATCATAAAAAATGGATGACTTTAATATTTAAAGAAAATTAACTAAATAATCAGATTCTATAGAAAGATAGATAAAAACTCAAACAAATTTTTTTGAAGATTTTGGTGATTCTGATTTGTCTTTAAAGAATTAAGACAAGGATGATTATTCTTAATTACTAAAATAATCTTATAAATATTGGGATTTTGCAATAAAAACAAAAAAGGATCCAACAAAAACAAGAAAAGCTGAAGGTATATTTAATATTTCAACATAAACAAACTTAGAAAAAATGAAAAGTTAATTATTATATTGTGTAAAGAAATTAAGATTTATGAAATTGAATCCATAGTTATTAATAAAAAATAATGAAATAATAAAATTGAAACCTTATCAAAGAGAAGGATCATATGTATTTTTTAAAGGAATTGGTAAAAATGATTAAGATTTAGTAAAATTAATGTTAGAAAAATGTAGATTTTATGCTTTTGATGTAAATGAGTATTTTTAAACTGCTCTTCATATTTGTTCAAGAAAAGGATATATAAGTTTAGCAGAAATGTTATTATCTTATGGAACATATCCAGATGCAAAAGATGTTAATTATAAGACACCTCTTTATTATGCTTTAGTTAATAAATAAAAGGATATAGTTAGACTTTTATTATCTGAAAAATGTAATCCATGGTCATCTAAAGGTTGTAATTATGAAACTAATGATCCAAGTTTATAGAAGATACTTAAAATTGCTAGAAGAGTATTAATTTAATGATTAATTAGATTGACTTATTATTGATGATGATTCCATATAACAAAAGATAGCAAACATGGTTAAATTATGGTAGAGTTATTTTGGATTTATGATTTTAATAATTAAATATTATAATAACAATTTATTTAGATGAACAAGTTTAAATATGATATTAAGCCATTATATATAGAAACATTTGAGTACAATTATATGGATGGTAAAACAGAGAAGTCATTTACAATTAAAAAAAAACTAGAAGCTCAAAGAGGAAAAGGAAAGATGCAATAAAGTGAACCACTTGCCTAATTTAATGTATTTATGTCTTTGAATAACAAATAAAGAATGATAAAATGAAATAAAGCAATAATAGAGCGTAAACTAGTAGATGGCTTAGATAATCGTCTTTTGCTAAAAATTGTACTATTAATCCTAGCACTCCTCTAAATAATGGTATTAGAAAAATAGAAAGTAGAATGGAAGATGAAATACTTATATAAAACAGTAGAAATACTTCTGAAAAAAGAAATATAAAAATACCTAAATTAAGTTATATTGATTTTAATGTACATATTTTATAAAACAATAGGAAAATAGATTTCTGTATTGAATGGAGAAGGGAGTGATTCATTTTCTAAGGCTCTAAAATTAATAAATAAAGATAATATATTAATGAGAAAGAAAAAGAAATCTGTATAAAATTCAAAAACTATTTCAACATAAGAAAATGAAATTACTTAGTTTGAATAATTAGAGAATTAACATCCAAAAGATATGATGGAAAAAATAGGATAAATGCTTGCTATTAATTAAAGGAATAATCCTATGAGAAAATAAAGTAAAGTTAGAGAAGCTTTTACTAGAAATTTAAAATTTTTAGATCAATCATTTTAAGAATCTACTTCACCAGATAAAAAATTAAAATCAGTTATTCAAATCTATTTTGATAAAAAATAAGCATATTAAGAAGAATAAAATAAATAATAAGAAATCACTATTACATAACTTTCAGAATAAACAAAATCAACTAAAAATAATAATCGAATGAGAATATCTACTACATTCTTAAAATAATTTGCTTATTAAGTAGAAGAAGAATCAAAATAAAAATAATAATCAAAATCATAAAATTTTATTTAATAATCAATTAAATCATCTTAAATTAAAGATAAATTTAAAAAAAAATAAAATACAATTTTTAGTATATAAGTCAGATTAATATTTAAAAAGATGTTTAATTAAATTGTTAATTGTGTTAGAAAAATGAAATTAATGAAATTAACTATTAAAGAAATATTTTAAAATGGAGTTATTTAAAAGAAACCATATGAAAGAGAAGGATCTTTCTAATTTTTTGAAGGTGTAGAGGATAATAATTTATAATTAATCAATTTTATGCTACTTAAATGTAGATATTATGCATTTGATATTAATGAAGAAGGAAAAACTCCTTTACATGTAAGTTCTAAGAAAGGTTATTAATCAATTACTGAAAGATTACTTCAATATGGAGCCTATGTTGATTCTATAGATTAAGATGGAAAAACTCCTTTGTATTATGCTATTTAGTCTTAGTATAAACATATAGTTTATCTATTATTATATAATAAGGCCAATCCATGGTCTATTAAAAATTGTTAATATAAATGTAATAATCCAGATATTATGCATCTCATTAAAGTATCAAGAAAGGTATATATTTAATTTATGTACTTAGATTCATCTAATATTACAATTAACAAGACATTGTGATAGAGATATGAAATGGCAAGAATCAAGAAATAATTTACTATAATGATTTTATTTATTTTATGTGTATTATTGAAATTATTTATTAAATTATGATTATTAAATAATTCTGTATTTATTTGTCATATTTATATTGCTAATTCTTTTAGATTTTATATTACAACAAGATCTTTTATTTTTAATTATTTTATTATTGGAAATAATGTTAGATTTGGTATTAATAACTTATATTAATGAGAAATTATGTTTTATAATAGATGTTGTAATGTTATTTTTAGTAAATATTTTAATATTTATTTTTAATTATAAAAATTTAGAATTTGTCATTGACATGCTTAAAATATTCTATAATAAAATAAATGATGTTTTATTATTTTAAAAGTTGTTGATTAGATATATATATAGAGACTATGTTTAAAATAATTAAACTAAATCAAAAATGATCTATAAATCAAGTTTCATCAAGGCATTTCAATTTCTCCATACTCTAGTAATTTCTTTTCATAGATTAAATAATGATGTTCATCAATAAACAATTCATAATCCATTAATTCTAAAAATGTTTATTCAAGAACAAAAATTTCTTTTACACTTACACCTCCTACTTTTGCATAATATTCATTTTTATAATAATCATCATCTTAAAATTTAATGGCTATTACCATAGAAGTCAATAGAAATCTAATAAATAAAAATGGATACCTATGAATGCATTTCGAATTTAATACTAGATATGGATGCTTTTCTTACAACTTATCTAAGTAAATTAAAGCAATAACAAAGCATTCTTCACTACAATGTGTGTATTTTGCAATTCTTTATAAGTAATTAAATAAGGTTATTGATGGTGCTTTAGATGCATGAAAATAAGATATTGAATCTTACTCTATTTCTAAAGTATCAGTCTCTTTAATTATTTCATCTAATATGTTAGCTATCGTAATTAATAACTGATTATGTCGTTGCATTAATAGATATTATTTCAATATTAATATTTCATAACTCATTAATCGAATCTCTTCCTTACTATCTTACTTTTTTAGTATTGTTCAATGTACTTTTAGAGACTTTCGATGTTCTCATTCAACTTTTCTTTATTACTTAAAGAATATAACATTAGAAATTAATACATATCATTACTATTTTATCAAATTAACTATTGTACATATCTAAGAACTAATCAATATGTAACAACTGTTTTTATCCACGAATTAATTTTTTTATAATTTTTGCAATTTTATTTATGTACATCTAATAATTAGCACTTTTCTTATATTTTTTGTTATTCCTAATCTTTATTTAATTTATCATAACTATGGAAATGAGACAAATTAATCTCTGTCCATATATTTCGTTATTAATGAAATTTCCTATTGATTATAAATTCCATAAAATATAATTTATTAAAATCTTGTATTATCAAAAATTCCAATTATATATAAATAATTTATTTACATTCAATTTCATATTATTATATCTTTATAAGATAAATTCATAATTTTTAAGAAAATACAATCCACCATTATTATTTTTATATTAATGAATAGAATTTCTTATTATACTTAATACAATTTATTAATTCTTATTTAATATACTCTAAAATAATAAAGATATAAACATATAAATTAATTAAATATTACTATTATTCATTTAGTATAGTATTTTTGAGATTAAAGAATCAAAAAAATGTGTTTAATATGAATTAAGATATATAAATATATTTTATGATTATATTGTATAAATAATTATTTGTAATTAATTAATATAATTATGGATTAATTTTAATTATTGAAATTGTTATAAGGATCGATTGATTAATAAGATTTTGTTCGTAATGAATCACTTTAAATGTTGGATTAAGCCTTTTAGAATATAAATGATATGAATCCATTGTTTAATTTAATTATTGAAAAGAATTAATTGGCAGAAATATATTTCAATTATTGGCTAATAAATCATAGGGAATGTTTAGATTTAAATTAATATTCATAATTAAGAGCAATTATCACTTAAATATATAGTGAAAAAAACAATAAAAGTATTTAAATTAGAAAAGCACTACGATTCATTTTATTAAAATTCCAATAAGATCTAGAGTTAATTTAATGGATCTTAAATTAAAAGGATATTGAATTATTATATTACTTACTTAAAGAGTTATTTAAAGAAGAGGGAGATTCTTAAAGAGTTCAATATTTATGTTAATAAAGTTAATCTATGATTAGTGATAATGCCTTAGAAATTTCTTTAAAATTGATAATTTTAACATAAAAAATAATTAAAAGTACAACAATTATTGAATTTGAAAAATATTTAGGGGAATTAGAGAAATAAATTTATAATAACAACTTCAGATTTGTGTATTTAATATAAAAAATAATATTAAGTAAATTAACTTATAACAAAGATTTTTCATTAGAATCTTTAAGTTAATTATTATTTGTATTAAATAAATTATATTTTACTAATGAAAATTTAAAGTAAATATAAATAGAGTTTGTTTCAGAATAATAATTTAAAAATGATCTTTAAAATTTGAAAGATCTTCCTAATTAACAAAATAAATTAGTATTACAAGTTTTAAAGATTCTTAAACTATTATTATAAAATCATACTTATGATCCTCTGTTAGCCTTAGAATAGATTAATTAAAATGGATTAGAATTTGAATTAGTTTTATTTGAAGGATATTTCAGTAATATTCTAAAGTTCTTGATTTAATATGCTTTGATTCTAAGTCCAGCTTAAGTATATGATATCTATTATGATTAAGAAGAAGCATATGCTGAAAATAATAATTCATCTTATGAAATAAGAGATACAGCAATTGATTTTTTGATAGCTTCTCTTCAAAGTCATAAGGCTGATGATGTTATTTTAATTATGAATGATTAATTTTAATAAACTCCAGAACTTAAGAACTTTTTAAATGTTATATAAAAGGAAGCTATATATTATTTAATTAGAAATGTAATGCTTGATATGTAATTTGATATGGATTAATATATAGTATAATTCTAATAGGAATTATAATCAACTGATCCTCTATTTGATCCTCTTAAAATTTAAATTTTATAAATATTCATTAAATATTTAAAATATAATGAATAAATTCCAGAAGATATATCATAAATAATAATAAACTTAATATTAACATTATAAACAACAAATAAATGTATAATTCTTTTATAAATTGAATGTTTAAATTAACTTATAGAAATTATAGATTAACCTAGTAAATTTTGGCCTAATATATAATAATTATATAACACTTTTAAAAATTAAGAGAGTAAATTATGTATATTCAATTTTTATTCATAATTAACAAAAAAAGATTCATTTTAAGATCATTCTTGGATAATAAAGTAATTTTATTAAGAATGGCAAGAAAATAATTTGAATATTTAAGAGAAAATTATTGAAACTTTGATTGAAATATTATTTAGAAGTGATTAATTAGCTTAACATATTGAAGTATGTATATTTATTATCTAACAAATATTTAATTCAAAATAATAAATTTTAATTGAAATGGGTACAGAATTATTATTAATGTTTTTAAGTAAATGTTAGGTATTAAATATTCAAATTTCTAATGAGTTTGCTATTTTAGTCTAAAATATATTGAAATCCTAATTAATATAATAAAGTGAATTTTGGATTTAGAATGTACTTATTCAAACATTTCTATTATATTTAAAAAATTATGATGATTAATTAATGAGTGAAACATTATTTATGTAAATTCAATAATATTCAGAAATAAAAGATGAACCTTATGAACATATATTCATTCCATTAAATATTTATATTTAAGTAAATCAAAAATCTCATAAAGAATTTGGATTAATTATAATGAATTATTTGTTACATCAATCTTTAACTCCTATCTTATTAATCAAATTAGGCAATTTTGTATCTTTAATTAATGATATAGTATTAGAAGATCAAGTTAATTCTTAAATATTATAAGCACATCTTCAATAAAAAGAATTTTAATTAGAATATTTCAAAAATTTTTATATCTTATTGTAAAGATCCAATTCTCACTTTACATAAAATTGTTAATAACTTTTAGAAGAATAATCAGCTAAACATTTGGAATCAAATAAACATTATATAATAAGTGAACTTAGACCTTTACTTGGAAATCGTAGATTGAGATTAAATTGATTGATATTGTGTTTGAGTAATGTATTTTAAATTAAAATCTTTATTATTTAAAATGATAATTAAAGTTGGTCACCTCAATGGTGAGGTAAGACTATATGATTTAATCGATGAATCTACAGCTAATGATTTGATGATGATGATTCAATCTGAAATGTAATGCGAAATCTCTTTAGTAAGTAATGGTTAGGCTGTTGCAGCATCTGCTTTATTAGGTAATTATAATCATTTACTTTATATAAGGTAGTGACAGCATATATTATGTGAATGTAGATGCAGAAGGAGGTAAAAAGAAAAAGAAGAAGAAGAAGAATTTTGCTAAACCCAAGAAGAAGAAGCATAGACACCGAAAAGTGAAATTGGCAACACTTAAGCTTTATACTGTAGATGGTAAAGGTTTAGTTTAAAGATCACATAAATAATGTCCATAATGTCCTTAAGGAGTTTATATGGCTAAACATTTTGATAGACATTATTGTGGAACATGTCATTAAACATTTAGAATGGATGAAGCAACAGTAAGATTAATGATTATTATATATAGATTAAAGCAAATTTAGAAGCAATAAAAAAATAATAAGCAGCAAAAGCAGCAGCGGCAGCAGCAGCAGCTCCAGCAGGTGGTGCAGCAGCTGGAGGAGCAGCAGGTGGAAAGAAAGGAAAGAAGAAATGATAATCAGTATAATAATATTAAATATATTATCTAATAATCATTATTTAGCACTCCATAAAGATATTGAATTCCTTGTTAAAATTTATGGTTATATTTTTTTATCACTTTTAAGATGCTCTTTTTATTAGGAATATAATTAATTAACTTTTTCATTTAAACATTCAATTACAGAAATAAGGAGCATATTCTATTATTTTTCTGCATGTATTCTACTTACTTAATAATTAGTATCAATTAATTTATCTAATTCTAATTTTAATTTTTTATTATCTTCTTATAATTAAGATGTCTAATTATATAATAATATATATACAATTTATATATGTTATATATTTGTATCTTTTTCTTTATTTATTTTTGCTTCTAATGTTTTAATTTTTTAATCAAATAATATTTCCTTTTATTATAATTATTATTCTTTTTATTATATTTATTATTGTAACTCTTAAATTGTCTATTCTGAATAATATCCACCAATATTATCATTTAATAATGATTTAAATTCAGAATCTAAACATCTTGGACTCTATTGATAATGAACAGATGATCTTTAAGTTTCCTGTTTCTCCATTTACATAGTATCTACTTATATTTTTAATTCATTTATTTTTTGATTCAATTAATGAATTTCCTTATTTTTACTTCTTTAAATATCTTCAATTTCTTATTTTAATTATTCATTATACATTTCCAATTCTACTAATTTACTACATTCTTTTTATTAATTTTATGATGTCTGTTTTATTTAATCTTACAATTTACTGATCTTTGTGTCTTTTAAATCCATTTATTATTTTAGAATCTCAATATTTGTTTTTAATTCATCTATAATTTTATCTTATTTGCATCTTTATGCTAATTCTTATTATAATTATTAATTGATATTTTCTAAATTCTAATAATTTTGCAATTTATTTTATAACCTAAATTAATAACATATATATAATTACATTTCATTTTATTCTGATAATTCTTTTTTATCTTTATTTATTGTTGTTAATTACATTTTTAATTTTTCTATAAGAGTTCCTGATATATTCTCTTCTATATGAATATTTTTTTATAGTTCTAATTATATTGAATAATAATACATAATTTTATATCATTGATTTCATTTTCTTTTTAGATTAATAATTATTCTTATTATTTAATCTTATTGAAATGTTAAGTTTATTATTTATCTTATTGTTCTATCAATTACTTTAATTGTTAATTTTCATCTTCTAATTCATCAATTTTATCAAGTAATTTTCTATCAGATTATTAATGATTTCCAATATCTTCTTCTTAATATTAATTAATAAATTATAAAATATTTTGCACTTATTCTTCATTTAATTTAAGTATTGCTTCTTAAGCTAATTAAGATTCAAGCATAATCTATTATTATAATATTTTAACATATAAATACTTTTATAATGATTGAAATCAATTTAATTATTTCTGTAATATCTTAATGTTTTGCAATTAATAAACTATTAATTTCAGGTAAATTAGAAATTGATTATTTTAAATTCTAAACTAAGTTTGTTACACATAACATATCCATTTAGAAATTTTTTTATGGAGAAGATTAAACTTTTTAAGGATATATTTCAGGATTCAATTTATTAAGTAAATTAGTTAAAATTCTACCATCACTTAAATCTTTTAAAGTGGTACCTTCTGGTACATTAACTAAATACCCTATCCATTTCAATATAGCATTATGTGACATATTTGAAAATTTAATAAATATTAATAATTAACGAATATAGTTTTAAGAATGATTATTTTTAGAAAACAAAAATGACATTTTTTTGTTTAGAATCTATAAGTAATATAATTGATATTATATTCTAATTATTAATATATATATATATATTATTTAAAATAAAATATATATACAATATTATTTTTTAGTAATAATATCTATAAAGATATAATGTTATGAAGTTTTACATGTAAAAATAATGATTTTTGCAATATATTATACTTATATTATAGTTTAACATCATGCTTAAAATAATTTATTAAAACAGTAATTAAGAAATTTGATAAGATAAATATTTAAATATGATTATCTAAGATGAGTAGATAATATTGATTATTAAAAATAAAGTAAAATAGATATGTTATTTAGAGAATTAATTAATTTAGCTATGTTTAAATAGAAGAATTACTTTATAAAAATAGGTTTGCTGTCAAGAATTACTAGTTTTAAGAATTATTAAAGCATTTAATAATAAAAGTTGTGAATAACAAAAATTGTAAAATATATTAATATTTATTTATTATTATGAAATAGATACTTTCATAAAGCTTTACACAAGAAGTGCTGCCTACATTATTTAGAGAATAATCGGAACGTCCAATTCTTGGGCAAAAATAATAAGTCTAGAAAGAGAAATAAGGAAAAGATCTCTATGCCTTAATAGTTGATTAATAAATGATTAAATAGATAGAAATAGTAGAAATATTTAAGGAAGAAGATCATGAATCGATATATAAAAAACATATAGTAAATTATGTTATTTAAATAAAAACTGATTATTTTGATTACACCATTCCTAAAAGATATTCAGAGTTTGAGAAATTACATGAATAAGTAATTCATAAAATTAATATTAGCTTCATTCATATTTAAAAACAATGCCAAAGTTCCCATAGAAAACTTTAATTTAAACAAATTCAAGAAAAATTATAGCTTAAAGATAAGACATGCTTTAATGTAAAGAATATAATTATTTTAAAGAGTTTTTACAACACCTTTTAAAACATTTAGATCATTCTTTGTATATCTTTTTAGATTTCTTAAATATTAAAGGTAGTTATTTATTGTATAAATAAAAAGAATAATTTTAAAAAGGCGGTTTTGATTAAAATGTTAAACTACATTAATTCAGTAGAGATGAAAATGCATTAAAAGATCTTTTAGATACTAGTCCTAAGAAAATATAACCAAAGAATGAACCAGAATAAATGATAATCCATTATTTAAAAAAGTTGAATGAAAAAATAGATGAGAGAGGCAAACTCTTTTAGTATTAATTAATAAAAAAAATATAGAAAAATGGAAAAATATTGTTTTGGTAAAATTTAATTAGTATCTCCTACTATGTTAAAGGTATTATTTATAGGAGATGATGAGAGAGAACTTGATGGAATAATGTAAGCATTATCAATCCAAAATAATGATATTTAGAGTCATATTAGTTGCATTAACGGTTTTTAGTTTTTTCGCAAAGTTTTAGAATATGATTATAATCCAAGTATATCAAACATACTTAAGTAGATGCCGAATAAGCACTAAAGTAATTTGGAGAAATAACCATTAAACAATTTAAAAAGATAAAGATTTAATCACATATATGTGGATAATAAAAAAATTGTAAACAAGATTCATTAATACTTTTACATAAATATATAAATCAAAATCAATTAAAAGATTAAATGATTAAATATTTAATTGATGATGATGAATGTTTATAAGAATATGAATATTTTGTTCAGACTCATATAAATAAAATGATAGATGAAATTAAAGTAAATAAAGATAGTAATGAAAATCTTTAAGAATTTTTGCCTACTAAATCTAATTCTACAGAACATGCAATCTTAGAATAAGAATCTACTATTGAATAATTATATGAAATAAGTTAAATGAATTTAAATTGGAAATTTGTTTAAGGTATTATTAAATAATATAAATTATATTTTAGAATTTGAAAATCATTTCATGTATCATCTATCTGGTTAATTTGTAAAAACTATTCATCCTCTTAATTGTTCAATTGATAAAGCTATTATTATCTTTACAGATCTCAAAATCTAATGGTTTCATGGCATGGTATAAAAAGATATATTAGAATAATATGATCAATTTAAAAGTTTAATTGTTGAATATTATGTTTGGGAAGATAAATCAACATTTAAAAAAATGGCATTTATAAGTGAATAAGAAATTATTAAAAATAATGATTTACTTTATTAAATTACTATTGTTCCAAGTCCAAAACCATTACCAAATCACTACAAAATTAAATGTGATTAAAAAGGTATTAATAATTATGATATCTAGGATAGAAGATGAGTTTAATATTTTTGAAAAAGAAAACAGATGACTCTACTGAAATTATTGTCTATTAAAATATTATGGATAATACATTTAGAACAGCATTAACTCCTGTTATTTTAAAAGAAATTCCATGGTTTAATCACACAATAACTAAATTAAAAGCTCTATTATGATATATTACTTAAATTAATATATTATTTTATTTTATTAATTTTCATAAACTCTTCATTATATTATGGGTACTTGTGAATCAGATATTTATAATCCTAATGAAAGTAAACAAGATTCTGATGAAGAATATATTGAAACCGATTTTATGCAATATGTTGTATTAGCAAATTGGAAACCTGATGAAAATGATGGATCTAATTCTATTAATTAATTAAATTTTGGCAAAAAAAATCCAGATTATTTAAAAGGACATAACTAATTTAATTAACATTAAGGCATTATCTAATAATCAAGAATAACTTAAATAAGTAATTTATAAAATAATAATAATTCACCAAATTTATATTATGAAAATCCTAAACCTTTTTATTAATCTGAATAAAAATTTGGAGCTTCAACATTAGCTTTTAGTAGATATACTGAAATAAATAAATCAGATATTTTATTTTAAGAATAAAATCCAATCTAATAACCATTTAATTATTAATTTGGAAATTTATAATAATCATAAATGAAATAAGTTCAATTTTGATTAAGAATAATAATTTCTATTTTATTATTTATGAGATATAAATAAGTAATCGAAAATAATTTATTTATTCAAAAATTAAATTAGTAATTTTCATCTTCTTATTATGTAAAACTATTATTTGTTTCCAAAGGATTTCCATAATCAAAACTAAAATTAACTTTTCTCTCAGAATTCTAGTTTGCTTTCTATTTTTGAAAACTTTATTAAACTAAAATATTTTGATTTATAGGCTTAAGTACTGTAATAGATTATTCAGGTTTAACCAAACTTTATCTACATTGATTTTCATAAAAATTATTTAGACTTTAATCTATAATAGAATAGAATTCTTCTGATTATGATTAATTAGTCTAACTATCTTATACATTATTATTATTTTGATCTTATTATGATTAAGTATTCTAATCTTATTATGAAATCTTTTAAGATACTACATATTAAATGTTTTAATTCTATTAACTATTTTCAATCTGTTAAATATAATAACTAAATTTTAATAGTTAAGTGTTTTTTTCTTTTAATTACAATTCTAATTCATTTATTTTTTCATTCAATAATGAATTTTATTGAATAAGATATATAAGATCTAATTAAGATTGTTTAATTGATATTTAATAATTAATTTTTTAATTAGAATTATCTTATCCAATTTTAATTAGAATCTCTTTAAGGATTTCCTTATGACTCTAATTAATTTTTAATGCTCCTTCCAATCTTTCTTTAATTATCTTATTGTTATTATATTCAGATATTAATTATAAGTTCTTAGATTAAGGAAATTAATTAATTTATAATTATTGTTCCTGCATTATGGCAATCAATTCATTTAATGAATTTTATATTTCTAATTGTTCCTAGATATTAATAAATATATCCTCAAATAAAGAAAATATGCTTACATCACAAACTCTTTATAAACATTATTCATGATTTTCAAAATTAAATAATTATTGATCATCCATTTTTAATGGTTATAGATAATTCAACGATTTCTAGATTTATTATTAAACAGAAACAAAACTTTCATCTTTCTTTTTCTGAATTTATTTTGAAACTAATACTATCCTACTTGATAATTCATCAATATCAATTTCATCAATTTCATTAAATATTTTTTAGAGTTATCTCATAACTTCTATATTTCCACAATTTTAACAAATAAATGGAAATTTGATAATTTCTAAATATTATTAAACATATATTTACTGAATAGAAGGGAAACACTTGATAAAAATGCTTATTGGCTTTGTTAATTATCCATGTAATATTAAAAATTATAATCGTTAAAAATATATATTTATCATTACTTAAAAGAAATAACACCAGTTCTAGCATTTTAAATAATATTGGCTGGAGCCTATGGTATAATTTATTATTATTATTATTTTTAGACTATTGAAATGTTCTCATGCATTTTACTTTCCCTTTACTTTGCTACAGCACTCATTACTAATATTAAATATTAATTATTCATACCATTCTTTGCATTCATTTTTGCAGATGTACTCATCCTCATTCCACTACTAGGTGTTGTTGCTTTAAAATAATTTACTTTAGAATCTAATTAGTTTTTATTCCCTTAAGTTTCAGGAGTAGATTAAACTAAAGTTTTAGATCTATTTTTTGTATCTTATTATTAAACTTTTGGTTTACTTTCTAATGCCTCATCTACTTCCATTTTACTTTTGAATAGTAATAATAATACATGTATGCAGCTCTAAATTTATTTGCAAATGTAAATAATTATCCTAAAAAATCTTTAATATTGTAATTATCATTCTCTCCATACATTTAACCTACTTACTTTATTTCTAATTTTATTTATTCAAATTTCTTTTAATATGCTTACATTTTCCAATCTCCTTCTTTTAAAAATTCTTAAAATATCTCCATAAATTTTTATGATGCAACTTTCTATTCCTCTGTCAATATATTAGTATCTATTGCTTTTTATAGAGCAACTATTTCATCATTAATTTTCTTTAATCTTAATATTATTAATAATTATACCCTTTTAAATATTCATTCATTTTATTTTCTATATCAGCTAATTCTACTTTTTATGCATCCTCCAATAATAGTACATCATCAAAAAATACTTTCAATTTTATTTCTTATTATTTCACTATCTTTGTCAAATATGTTAATAAATTTGTTTTTTTATCAACAGCCTTAATAGAATCAACTACATTCAAACTATCTAATCCAATTCCACAAGCATTTGCCTTTGGAGTACCATGATTTAAAAAATTAGCTATATTTAGTGTTAACTGTAAAAAGATTTTTAAACGAGGGTCTGTTTTCACTAGAAGTATTGGTTCTTATAAATAACCAATCTTTTTAAATGTATCATTAAATTCTTAATCAAATGTTCTTTTAAATAATAAACTATCCAATCTCTATCTATATCTATATACCTTTATGAATTCTGCTAAAAACTTTTCAGCATCATTCACCTTTGTCCAATCTCCTTCAAATTCTCTTAATAATTTTGCATCCTCATCTAAAGGTGCTATTGAAATCAACTTCTCAATCAATTCCATATCTAATTTATCTGAAAGTACATTCAACCATTCTATTATTACATTTGGCTTCACTGGAAATTTCATCATTACTATTGCTGTGTTATTTACTTTTTTTTATTCTTCTATATAAATTAATGTTGGTTTTGGTAGAGCTTTTGTTTCTTTCTTATTAGCATTTGGATCTATCTTCTCACAAAATTTTGATTCTAATAAATCAAAATCCAATAATGGAATCTATGTCATTATTATTTTTACTTTTGTTCCTTGTGGATCTATCTATTATGACCAAAATGTTGTTTTCAACTTGAATTTAGATAACACATTCACATGAACTCTTTTTGGAGCCATATCCTTTTTTGGTGTTCTGACTGTTATTCCAGGTCCCCTTATATTATAAATATTTTACTTGTCCTACACTAGCTTATCCTGGAGGAGGAGGTGGACCAGGTGGTCTAGGTCCTCCTGGAGGAGGTGGTGGACCTGGAATTTTAGAACCTGGAATTGGAGGTGGAGGAGGAGGACCATTTCCTAAAGGAGGAGGAGGTGGTGGGGGTGGTCTGGCACCTCCTGGTAATGGAGGAGGTGGAGGAGGAGCTTATTAGCCTGGTAATGGAGGAGGTGGAGGAGGAGCTTATTATCCTGGTAAAGGAGGAGGAGGTGGAGGAGGAGGATTCTATTAACCTGGCATTGGTGGTGGCGGAGGAGGAGGAGGAGGAGGAGGAGGAGGAGGAGGAGGAGCTTATGAATTAGGTAATGGAGGTGGAGGTGGTGGTGGTGGTGCTGCTGTCACATTTTAAGTACTATTAGGTAATGGAGGAGGTGGTGGTGGTGGTGGTGGGGGTTATTATTATGACTAAATTTAATATGATTAATTTACTGATGTTGGTTATGTTTATGTGGTTAATTTAGTACTGTTAATAGCTCCAGGTTATTATATAGTTTAAAGTTAGGCTTTATTTGAAAGTGTTGTATCATTAGTGATACTTGTATTTCCTTATGCCTGTCTTATATCTTTAGTCTTATCAATATTTCTCTTTTTTGCTTCATCATAAAGTTTCTTTTTGGCATTTTACAATTTCCATTTTTTCAAATAATTGGCTTTGATTTTTTTTTCTCGATGAATGAATATCCACTTGGTTAAATGAGAGGCAATTTATTTTTTTTGTAATATTTTGTGTTATTTTTCTTAAATTAATTTGGTTTAAAGTATTTAAAAGGCTAACCTTTTTGTGTGAATGAATTATATATTAATAAAGATGTATATCTAATAATAAAATAATATTTGCATACCATTTTGATTGAACAATTTTTAATGACTAAATCATGAGCTTTTGCAAACTCATTTACAATTATTTCTTCATCTGAATTATTAATATTAATTTCATAGCTTTCATCAACTTCTTCTTTGATTTTATGTAAGGGGTTATTGAAGGTTTATGTGACTCTGGTGGGTTCTTATTCATCATCAGATGAATTATTTGTATGAGTAATTCCTTTGAGATCTTCACTATTTTAACTATGTGCACTAGCATCTCCACAATAGTTTTATGATCTAGTTAAAATAACTTATTGTTCATCATCATCATTAATTTCACCTTTGAAATGCTAATTAATTTTAAATTATAATGGATTAGTAAAAGAAGTTCTTACTAAAGGAGATTATTATTAAATTAGATCATTGTCATCATCTTCATGGTCATCATCATCACTTTCTATAAGAAAATTATCATCATTTGACATTATTAAATAAAATATGATAATTGTTTTATAAATGAAATGAGATGTAATTTTGAGAACATTAATATTGATTTATATGTGTTTATATTTTATTGCTTCATTTTGGCAATTCAGGGAATTCTAGATTATATTTTTACTAGTTTCTTATGAGTTTTTAATTTTAAATTATCTTGGCTTTTGCTTCTTCATATTATAATTGTTTTTGTTTAAGACGATCATCTAAAATTTCTTAATGCTTAGCTAATTCTTCTGATGTTTTTTCTTATTTATCAATATTTGTTGATGGCTTCTTCACCAACACTTTCTTTGGTTAAGCAGATGGTATTTAACTTTATTGATATGATCAGGTACCTTCTCTCTATTTTGATATCTGTCTTTTCATTATTAATCATACGGAAATATATATTATTATATTTTAATATTTTAAAATGTTTCAATATTTAGATCAACTATCTAATAAGAAATAATTCGTTTCTCTAAATTAATTGATTTGTTTAAAATTCAATATATAAATATACTTTTACATATTAATATATTGTGTAATATTTTTAAAATTTTACAATAAATATTAAGATCATATGAAACCATTTATACCTTCTCTAGCAACCTAAAGTATTCCAACAGATAAAATTGATTCCTATATCTCATATATGGTACTTACTACTTGATTATTTAGTCCTAAGTGTACAATGTTCAATAATACATGCTAATCCATGCTTAAAATTAGATTATGCAAGCTTAATTCTTAAAATTATAGAGTGTGAATTAGAACTAGAATCCAATTGTTTAATAAAAAATAATAAAGTTATTAGAGTAAATTTAACAGAAAGGTTCTCAGATTTCAATCAAAGACTTTCTTTAATAAATGAAAATGCCCATATTAGTTAAATATATAGCTAATCTAATAATCTATTTAATGAAATAATGTGTTTCTGATTCTGAAGAATTCATAATAAATTATATAAGGGATCCAAATTCCATAGTAATCGACAAACAATAATGGACATTAATTTGTGATATTGTCAGTAAGAAATTAGTTTACCTGGGAACTAAAGACATTTAATGTACAAATGGTAATTGTTTAAACAAACTTAGATTCATAGATTGCTATAATTAGTTAATCACTTCTATTTAGTAATATCATCAGTGAAGTTATTTTTAAAAAATTGCATATAACTTAAGATAGTACTCAATAGATAGTTTTGAGAACTCTGAATGATTTATTATCAGATGATAATAGATCTGCTGAATTTTTATATCAATTTCTTTGCTAACCGGAATAATAAATACTGACTTTAGAATAATGTTAATAGTCATTTTCTAAGATGTTTTAGAAAATGGGTCAATATTTCCATTAATCTAATTTAATAGAATAAATAATTGAGAATTAAAAGTAATTTAATACAAACGGTAATTTTGAATGTCATGCAGAAAAAGTACTATTTAAATATTATATTCAAGTATTTAAAATTAATTCGAATGTATTAAAATAATGATTAAAAATAAATAAATGAATAATTAATAAAAGGATTGTTTGGTGAATTAATATAAATTGATTGCAAAGGATTCATTTTTAATTCAACTAGATTAGAAGATAAATTAAAATCATTTTTATTTATGTTTGTTGAATTAGTTAGAATAGAGAATTAAATAATATAAATAGTAATAGAAAATACAATGTAATAATATAATATTATTTTAGTTCTGAAGAACCATAAAGGAATCCATTAGAATATTATGCTAAATTAATAGAGAAGATTAAAAATAAATGTAAAAGTAAGGAAGATGAATTTTGTAATTGTAAAAGATGTTAATGTGTTAAAAGAAATAGAGATAGTGCAAGAGAAGCATAAAAGAGAAAAAGGGAAGCCTTAGAGAAGATAGGACCATTATAAAAAGAATATGAGAAGATTGAAAAGAAAGTATTAAATAAAATGTTATATTAGGTATTAAATTTAGAATTATCAAATTCAAAATTAAAATCAGTTTTATTTTAAGCATTGAAAATTCCAGTGATTGAAAATATTATAAAATAAGACTATTAGGATACTTTATTAAATTTAAATTTGACAAATACCAATTTTCAAGAGAGTCAAAAATAATTCAATTAGATTGAATAAGAATAATCCAGATGAAAATTATTTGTTTTTAATATATTTAATAGAATTTTATTATATTTATTTAATCTCAATTAACAAAAAATAGCATTACTGTTATCAATTATATTAATTAAAATGCTGATAAAAATATATCTACACAATTTAGACCTTTTTAATCCCAAATACATGTTTTAGTTTTATTACATTAATATTCATTATAATAATTTTAACATAATGGTTAACATATCTAATTATTATAATATAATTACATTTTAAGATATGTTAAATCTACAAAAGGTTTATGGACAATCTTATTCCTAATATTGATTACAACTTTTAGATATACATTAATTTTATTAATATGAGAATGTACAATAAGTATATTAATTTAAACATAAGCATATATCTGTAATTTCTTCACAAGAGACACAAGAATAGTCTTTCATTTAAACACAAACATTTTTGCCAATATAAGAACCATTACAATGTTTTTGATCCAAATATCTACATGTTAATGGAGTGCATTATTCAATTTAATTTGATAGATTTATCCAAGTACATTGAATACCTTAAAATATGTTAATTTAACATTCATTCTTTGATTAAATTTATGAACAATATCTTTATTAATTACATTTTGATGTTTAATAATCCCATTCACATTCATTTAAAAGACATTATGTTTTATTCATATGTTAACAAGTCTTTGTTTTACAAATATCTATATAAATACATTCATCTGGATAAGATAAACATGTTATTTGATCTAAAAGATTACAATTTAAACTTTCACATCCAATTTATTATTTATTTGGTATACATTTTATATTATTAAATTTATAATTAGTACATTTATATTATTATTTAATTAAATTATTACAATTTGTTGCTTCATGACATTAATATGAATTATTCAAATAACAAATTTTATTACTAATTTGAGTACCTTCACAATTATTAATATTTAAATCAGAACATCTTTTTTCTCTGCATTTACCCATTATAATAACATCATGCATATTTATGACTTCAAAAAAACAATATTCAACATTTTAACACAATATTTAATCCTAAAGAGTTGAACATTTTGGATATCTTTGGATATAAGCTAAACATTCACATTTTGAATTAGTCCATTGACATTCATTTAATAGATTACATCCTTTAGGACTTAATCCAATAGTTGAACAATAATCAAAATTTGATGATGATATACAACCATGATGTAATTCACTATATTTACAATTATCAATAGCCAAAGAACATACTTAATAATTGGCCTATTTTATTTCATGACAAAATTACTATTTATCAGGATTATATATTTAACATTTATAATCCTTAAAAATACATCCCTAAATAGCAGAACAAGCAAGAGCATTTATTCCTTCAATATCACAAGATGATAATATTGAGTTAGGTTATTCACATGAATTAGATTTTGAATTATATAAACAAGGATCATCTATAACTAATGAGCAAACAATAGAATTAACATTTAATTTAATATCTTTACATAAACTATATGGATGATATTCTTAACAAGTATATTGATTATCAGATTCTAGAATCCAAACACATGGATCTATTTTAGATTAAAGACAATCTTATTTATTTAATCTAAAAGAATTACAAGTATTAGAATATTATATTTATGATTAAGATTCTTACATTAGTAGTCTATTACTTTTAAATATACATTATTTCTTCTTATCATCCCAAATACACATTTAATTTTATATTCTAACACATGCTTACTTATTTAATCCAGGAATCATAGGAGAACATGTGAGATTGTTGATATCTGTAACTATCATACAAGAATTTGTATATGAATTATATTATACCAAATCACCATTATTAACTAATCCACAAGCATTGCTATTTATTAATATAAATGATTTTGGTGTAATAACTTATCCTAATTAACTATTAATCTTTTAACATGTTTAATCTATCCATTGACATTATATTCCAGTAGTTATAATTTTTAAACAAGACAAATAACTTAATTGATCATTACAATCTGTAGTATTAAAATCATGAAATTCTTAACATTCACCTATAGACAATTCAAAATTTGAATTTGATTATATATTTTTTATTTAAATACTTTTATACATCCATATACATTCAGTTTATACTTAGATTATACAAGATATTTTATTTATATTATTTAAACATCTTGTAATTGTTTCACTTTCTTCAAATATTTCACATTAATTTTATTTAAATTAACAAAATTGTCCTTTCTTTTCAATATCCATACAAGCTCTAATGTTTCCACTTTATTCTTTTATATCATTACATTAATCACTCTCTAATTTTTATTTGAATATACATTTATCTATCATTTAATCCCAATAACAAGGAATAATTTAAATTAATCTACATTATAGTTTACTTTATGCTTGTTCACATTAAATTATATCTATTATATTACATTCATATAATTTATAATCTAAAATACAATTAACATTTAAAATAGAATTACATACACTCTTTGAAGCTAATTGAATTTGATCACAATTAGATTAATTTTAATCATATCTAGAACATTGTTCATTTAACCATTTACATTTAAATTTAGATTAAAATAAACATTAATCTTTAGTATAAGCTTATGTACAACAATCAAGAATATTTTAATCATTTTTACAATTTAAAATCTAATCATTTGGACCATAACAATAATGTTCAAATTTACATTATAATGATTCTATTGTTCTATTTAAACAACTGTATAAATTCAAACCTCTCTCACATTTAAATTGTTTCAAATTGTTAGTATTATTTATTAAATCACAAGATCTTTTTTTTTAATCATATCTGCATTCTTCATCATTTACTTATTCACAAAACACTAAATTATTTATTATACCAACATCTTTACACTTTATATCTTATATTAATAAAGGATTCTAAACTTAACATTACTAATCAAAATATTTACAATAAACTCCTTCTTTACTCACTCTTTAACAACCATAAGCATTAATAGTCTCCATACATTCAATAATTGAATAATCTATTATCTTTTTACAACCATTATTAAAATAACAACCTTAATCTCTTACTTTTTAACATTATTCAAATGTGATAGCATCCTTACATAATATTATTTCATTCTCTTTTTTCTAATAACAATGATAATCTGAATCAAATTCACAATCTTAATTTTAATCACATGCTATTTAATTATAACCATTAGTTATATCAGCACAATTGATAATTTCATCATTTGTTACAATTTCACATTAAAATTGTTCCTTATTAAATTTACATGGTTTATCTTTAGCTTTTTCACATAAGTATCCTGTATTAATATTCTTAATTGTGTTACAAATTATGTCATTATTATTAGGTATTATTTAATGTTAACATTTATTATTTATATATTAGCAATTTTAATTAATATTATTTACTTTTTAACAACTCAATTGATTTAAATTATCATCACAAGTAATTATTGATAAATTAGATTACACTATTTCTTAACATTCATTATTATCCCATCTTAACATTTTATTACTTTTATTATATTACTCACAAGTTAATTAATTATAAGAAATATGATTATCCTCCCAAACATTATTTTCTATATTTTATTTATCATACTCTTTGCATTTTTTTGTCTCTATATCATAATAACAAGCTTTATCTATGGCAAGAGAACAAACTACTGGATTAGTTTATTCATTAAATACACCACATTATTTCAAGTTTTCATGATTAATTACTCTACAACCTGTAATTTAATTAAACTAACAATATTATCCCTGTCTCATTATTGATAAACATTTATCTTCATTGATTAATTCATCACAATTAGCCTCTTCAAGAATATCTTAACATTAACCATTATCAAATTTACAAAACAATCCTTTAGTATTAAATAAACAACCCTTTTAATTTAATCCCTCTGTAGAACATGTTAAATTAATTGCCTATGTAGTTTAACATTAATTTCTATTTTAATCATAAAAGCATACTTAATCAGTCTATTTAGAACAAATACTTGCCTTGATTTTAGTATTATTTGTTGATAAAAATTGACAATTTTCAGTAGAATCTAAATTCTAACATTTCCCATCTTGATATTTACACAAAATTGATAAAGATATGCAAGAGAACTAATTGAGTGTTTAATCACATGAATTTATTGTACTTAATTCTTAAAATGAAATACTTTGACATTATTATTAAGTGTATCTACAAAATACTTTAGTCTTTTAGAGACATGCATTTTTGTTCATACCTAAAAGATTACAATCATGTATATAAGGTGATCTATTCTGAATATTTATACATCTTTTAGTCTTTGAATTGTATATAAAACTTGGTGTTGTTGGTAAAGAATCCAATTAAGAACAAACAGAAATTGAATACAATATATTATCAACCTCAATATCTTCCAATCTATTGACTTCATAAGTTTAACATTTACCTGCTTCAAATTTGCAGGTCTTTTTTTAATTTAAACAACTATTTAAATTAAGTAATATATCATCTTATTCACAATCAAGAATCTAACTGTTTTCATATGAACATATTGAATTTGAGAATTTACATTTTCCTATTGTTGAATTGATACAACTATATTCATTTAAACCTGATGTATCACATTATAATTTATCAGTTATAATAGAAGATCTACATTAATAATTTGAATCTCTGAAACAACTTTTATCTTTAACATCTATAGGTACTACTAATAGAGTACATATTGAACCATTATAAAAATCATATTTTTATGTTAAAAAATCAGTACAACTTTAAACTGATAAATCTATTTATTTAATTGATTAACATTTTTATGTATTTGACCAAACACACAATTAATTTTCAAGATTTAAACATCCAAACTTATTTGCATCTTCACAAACATAATTACTTTATTTTTCTTAAGCTTTTCTACATACTTTATCATCTTGATTCCAATAACACATCTCCTTATTAGATAGTAGACAATATTCTTATGTATATTGTTATTCACAATTTCCAATATTCTCATTAAATATAGTACATAAATTAGTTTCTGGATGAATCCAACATTATTATATATCCTTACAAGCCTTAGGATTGTATAATGAACAATCAGATAAAGTAATAATATCACTTACTTCTTTACATTTTGATTGATCCCATTATAAAGGTTTATCAAAATGAGATGATACACATGATGCTTGATTTAAGGAATCTAAATTTGGAGTATTCTAAGGATTGAGAATTTTACAAAAATGATCTGAATCATAATACATTTTATCTCCTTTACATTAAGTACATGCTTTAGATGATACTATATTATTCATTAATTCATTGCACTAATATCCAGTAACATCAATACAAGTATCATTGTACATACAGGATTATTCAACATTACTACATAGTATTTCAGGTTGAGATGTTTTTAATAAATTCACTTAATTACATAAATAGTATTTATTAGTTTTTATTTCAATTTAAGATATACTTTCAATTGTAATTTCTATTGTAGTTATTTTAGGTGCATTTATCATAATATCTTTACTTTGACAATATCCAAGTTATTCAAAATTGCAATTGCAACTCTCACACATAGATTAACTAAAAGATCCATCACAATCACATGATTAATTACTTGTACATTTTTAGTTTTCTTTATCAAATCTACAAAATGTGGTAGCAATTGAACATAATCCAGGAGATGGAGAACTTGTAGAAGTATCACAAATATTATCATTTGAAATCTCTAATTAAACACATTTAAATATTGTTCTTTTGAAACTTTAACAACCTTATGGGTTATCTTATCCTAATTCAGAAACACAAATAGCATTTTAATTCATTGATTTATTACAATTATTAAATGTAGTATCATTTTCAGTATATTGATAGAGATTATCACAATCTCCTATATAGATTTCATTTTTTTGAATCTCATTACATCCACCTTAATTAATATCAAAAAAGCACTATTTTTAATTCATTTCTAAACACAATGCTTTTGAATATCTATATGAGCATTCATTAACATATTCTTTAATATTTCCAGAACATTTGTCTTTGCAATCTGGATCATCAGAAGAGCAACCTTCTTATTTTGGTACCCATTTCAATGAGTGTAGTTATTTAATTTAACAATTATAAGTACTAGAATTCCAAAAACAATATTTTTCATAGTTGCATGTTTACACTTAATTTTTATTTTCATAACATTAATTAGGTCCATAAGTTTAAGTTAAATTCTCAGATATTGATGCACATGATAAATAATTATAATTACGTGTCTAATCATTCATTAAATCTGAACATAGTACTTATTCATCAATATCAACAGGTGTGCATATTTATTTAACACTATCAAAATAACATGATTTTGGTATTTCCATGCAGATTTATATATTTATAAGAATAGTTGTTGTACATTATGTTTATTCACCTATGAATTATTTGCATCTTAGATTCAAGATGATTTCATTTGGATCATAATAACAATGATATCCTTAAGTATTATAGAGACAAGCATATTTATTAATATATTATTTACTACAATTGTTGTTTTTTTCTGTAATTAATACACATTTTGGTACTTAATATTCATATGAATTTTAAATAAGATGGCAAGTTAATTCATTATATTAGTTATTTTAATTTAATGAAGAAAAGAATATTTAAGAGGTCTAAATTAATTTTAGACATTTAAATCTTTGATTATCCCAAATACAAGGTTCTTTGGTTACTTTAATGCATAATATTTTATTTAAATTATCTTCACATCTTAAATCATCAATCTTAGAATAATTTTGATAACATGTTTAAGTGGTTACATCCCATCTACATTCTAAAGTAGTTAAATTATAACATGCTAAAGAATTGATTCCATCGTGTTCACATCCATTTGTAATAGAATCATTAAATTAAATACATTTATTATCTTAAAATTTACACATTTGACCATCTTTAATTATTTAAGTACATACTTTTTTACTCACTTTACCTAAAGTTCCATCATATAATAGACAATCTTCATTTGGATATGTATCTATACAGCTATCAGATTTTTCAAAGAATTGACAAGCTAGATTATTATTTTCTATACAAGCTTTGACATTTTAATTAGAATTACAACTAATAATTTAATCAAATTCATCATCAGTCATATCTTCACATTTCAAAGTGAGAACATTCCATTTACAATACTTTTCTTTAGTAAATGTCAAACATATATTTCTATTTCCAGGTATTTAACAACTATTACTATAATTAGGAGTGACTGAATTACATTTTCTTATAGATTTATCATATTAAAAATATTTCTTATTATTATTTTCATTTATTATTGCTTCTATTGCTAAACAGGCATATTCATTTACAGCATTGGCAATAAGAAACTAATCAAATTATAAATAATTATTAAAATTAACATTCAAACAAAGTCTTCCATTATTATAACATCTTTATTTAGTTGACCAATTTATTCGACTGCAAGATTTAACTGTCATTTATGAACATTTAAATTTATTATAATTATAATAGGCTGCAGCTGTTTCATCATTTATAATACTTATTTACTTGTTTGTTAATTGAGTACATCTTAAATTATGACTAAAATAACAAAAGAAAGATGGATTTGAATATCTACTACAAGAATGTGCATTGATTCCAATTTTATCATTTTCAGTGCAACATGGAGTTGTACAAAATTAATTCAATTTTTCACATACTCCTTTTTTTATATTAAATTTACACAATCCTCTATTCAAATCTTATTTATTAATTTCACCCTTTGTATAATCATACTCAGGAAATTCATGCTCTATTGATGCACATACATTTATATTTACAATTACATTTTTACCAGAAAAATCTAAACATTTTGAATTATATGGTATATCTATACTTTAGCATTTGTTAGCTCTATAAGACCAAGTACATAATTGATTATAAGTAGTAATAGCTGAACATAATCCAATTGTAGGAGAATTTTAATCACATTTAATGATTGATAACAATGATTTTTATGTATCAATTAATCTTTTACATTAATTAGCTTCAGTATCAAAATAACAATTTTTAGAGGCAATAGCACATGCATAAGTATTTAATCCTATTTCTTCACATTACATTCCATTAACAATAGAATTAACACATCCTAATTCTTGTTGAGAATATCTACATGGTTCTTTCATAAATTCAACTAAGGCACAAACTTATTAATTTACATACTAAAGTGAAATACATTAAACTTAAGATATTTATTCTTTAGACTTAATTTAACTACATTGATTTTAAGTCCATCTACATATCTATCCAGGTTTCATAATTGAAGCACATGCAACTTTATTTAAACCAAATAATGGATTAGAACAATCAGTATTATATAAAAATTCTTTTTCTTCATTGTTTGAATTCTGTATATTAATGCTCTTACATTACATTAATATAGAATCAAAATAACAACCCAAACTATTAGATTCAAATACTTGAGAACATGCTATTGGATTTACAAACTTAAGACTATTACAAGTTGTTTTATTATTTATAATCTTTATATTAATACATTTCTCATTAGACCATTAGCAAGTAATTCCAATTTATATCAAATTCAAACATCCTTATAAATTTAAATAAGGTGTATTACAAGAATCTAATTAATTACTTATTTCACACAAATGTCTTTCAGCATTATATTTACATTATACATTCGGTTTTGTAATAGATTAACAAACATTTCCATTAAATTTAGTTAAATGATTATTAATTAAAAGTGGACAATCAGTCTATTAATTTATTGAAATTCTTTTGCATTATAATCCATCCCATTAACAATATTAAAATTGTGTTGTAATATTAATACAAGCATCTTCATTCAATTCCATCTTACATTAAAATTACTATAAATCAATTTAACTAAGTTCTTCACATATTCCTCTAAAGAATGTACAATATTGATTCTTAATTTGAAGACATGCTTATTTAGTTAATCCATCAGTATTGCATTTGAGATGTTATAATTCAGTATTTGTTGGTAGTCTACATTTCTTTTTGATTTTGTCATATTAACAAATTCCTTTAAAACTTTAACAGACACTAGGGTTGACATCATAAATTTAATCACATTATAAAGTGATTTCAGTCATATCTAAACATTTATTGTTTTTCCATTAACATTTGATATTAGGATTCATAATTGTTAAACATCCTAATCTATTTAATTTTAAATTACAATTTTAAGCATTTTCAATCTATTTACATTAATTGTTCTCAAATATACCTATATAATTTATATAAATATACATGCTTAATCTATAGTTATAATTTCAATACATCCTTATTCATTTAATCCTAATTATGAACATTCCATACTCATAAGCATTTATTCTGTTATTTAAACACATTTATATTAACCATAAAAACCATTACTCATACATCTTATATTCTGGATCTTCTAACACAAAGATGGTGTTACAGATCTATTTTTGAATACTTTTGAACATTCATCTTCTTAAGATATCTAATCTAAAAATTATTCACATTTATCATTCCAAATACAATCACTCTTTTATGCATTCATACAAGCATATTATGAATAATTTAATGCACAACCAAGATTTTTGAAATGTTACTTCTTTGCTTTTTAACATCTATTTGTGAATATGCCTATCAAATATATATTTATATAAATACATGTAGCTTCAGTGCCATCATTTTATGTAAGTTGATTCAAACATGATAATTTATTCAATGTATTTATACATCCATGGCTAGTCTCTCTTGTTGGTAGACAGGCATTCTCAAATTCATTAAAATAACCTTATCATTGCAAATTATATATACACTAGATCCCATCAGTCTTTGAAATACAAGCCTTAGCATCCATAGGGTAATAATTACAGAACATTGTTGAACTTAACATAATAGTCAGACATAAGAGTAATTCTGTTGATTAAATCATTTTAAAATTTCAAATATTATTCAATACATATATACATTTCCACTACCATTTTTTTAATTTAATTAAAATTTGTTGTTTTAATATTCTATACTATCATCGAAAAATATTTAATTTTATATTTATTCAGTATCAGAATTTAGTCATTTCTCATTAAATGAATCTAATTTCAGAAAGTATACTTTAGTAAAATTCATTTTAAATTAACTCTTATTTTCAATAAAGTCATTCATTTATAAATTTATATTAGTAATTAAAAATTTAATATATTGAATCAGTTTAGAGTTAACTTCTCACATCAATAGATTAATAAATTCATTATTACATAAATTATTCACATTCTTTTAGTTGTGATATAAAATAGAATAAAATTATATTTATTATCATTATGGTGGTATGATTTAAAAGTATTTATTGGTATTTTCTTCTTATCTCTTATATATTTGATTCAAATATCAAAATTTGCATCATATTATGACATAAAGATTCACTTCTTAATTTTATATAGATAAACTCCCTATCTATTTATATTCCAAGAATATATATATAAAATTTAATTAATTCTTTATAATATTAATATAATATTTATTAATTATTAATTAACTTAATCAAAATAAACATACAATGACTAATATTTTACTATTTATTAAGAATAATCAAATCAATTTCCACTTTTGAACTTTTTAGCTTGATCCATTCTTCTCTTTTCTCTTTATTCTTTTATAAACAGGGCAAAAATTAAAAAAAATAAAAACGCAATAAAAGTTAACGACAAAAATCTATAGATTGGATTATAATTTGCTGATGTTTCATCTTCTATTATTAATGTACCTCTCACAATTCTTCGTTTTCGTATTTCCTATAAAGGATTTGCATTATTTATATATTTCACAGATACTATTTAATCATACTTAAAATAATATAAATATTTATACTTGATCTTAAGTAATTGGAAATACTTAAGGTATTAAAAATCTATCTACAATTTCATCACAATTACCCCAAGTCAAACTACCTCTGTAAGTGATATATTTGTCATTATGTTTTAAATGAGAAGCTAAATTAATCATATTAATTGATAATTAATCATCATCTTCAGTTAACTTGTAATAATATTAAAAAAATTACATTAAAAATTTAAGGATATGTAATTACTGTATTATTTTCTTATGATATTTCATCCTAATTGATAATTTTGAAAAAAAATGAAAGTCCTCCTTTGATATTGGGATTCTTGTAAATATTAAGCAAGTCTCCCCAAATAACAAGTTCTAAATCAAAGGATTATTCAAAAATCTAATGTTCAGCTGGAGCAATTAATTGAAATTCTGTTGGTCTATAACCAACCATTAATCCATGAGGATCATGTCCTAACATTCTAAATTCTGGAATTTATCTATCTGGATCATCTGTAAAAATGTATCTCTTATTTTCAGTATCCTCCTCTCTCTATCCTACTAGAATATCATCCTTAAACCTTAATTCAAGTTTATAGTATTTAGCATCCTGATTGATGACAAATATATTATTAATAATTTACAAATGTGTCTGTAATACTGATTGGTGATTATCGTTCACCTTTTCCACATATATATTCGTCTTAGGAATACACTTAAGAAATAACTAATAATATATAAAACATTAATTAATCTTCTTAATATTGAAGAGAGAATTTGTGATTAAGTAAAAATTATATGAATTTTATTGAATCATTCTTATTGCGCACTTTCAAATATTTAATGAATAAATGATTATAAGAAATAGAAATGATTTAAATATCCATAAGTCATTAGATTCTTTAATATTAAAAATTATTTAAATCGTAAAATGGCAGAAAATTAAATGTAAAATTGGGGTGACATGACATCAGATGAAGATAATGATAAACCAAAAAACGCTTCTGATGAAGAAGATAATCGAAATAAGAAAAGATAAAATTACAGAGGCAACAATAATTAAAGAAATAATAATAAAAGAGGATACAGGGATAATAAAGACAACAACAGATAGGATAATGATCAAAGAGATAATAAGGATAATTAAAGGAATTATAAAAATAGAGATAACTACAGAGGTGGTGATAGAAATGAAAGAGGTGATAGGAATGACAACAATTAAAGAAGAAATTATAAAGATAACAATCGTAATCCATTTTATTCTATTATTATTAGACCTTGTTGAATAAAAGAAGGAGGAACTTACTAACTTTGCTGGAGAAAGTGTTAACATCCTTATTCATCTCTAAAATCATAATTTGAATGAGGATTAAATAAAAGAAGCATTGAAAGATATAGTCATGAAGAATTTCTCAATCAATTAGAGTCAAGCTAGATTTGATGTAGATAAAGAAAATGCACTTAAATTACTTGATGTCCATAAATTATAAATTGTAATTAGATAACACATAATTTTATATAGGTAGTTGATGGTTAGATAGAAAGAATTTTTATGAGAATTGATTTTGATAAGGATAGGAATTATGGAAATAAAGGAAAATATCAAAAGCAATAAAGATAATTCAATGAAGAAAATTAAAATGACTTTGTACACAAAAGAAGAGATTAATAGTACAGAGGAGGAGACTATCAAAATAGAAGAGGAAATGATTATCAATAATAACATTAAAAAGTTAATGAGCCTCCTAAAATCATCAGAAACACCTCATCACGTGTAGATGAAACTAATGTAATTTATTATTATTATTTTCAGGTATAATAACCTTAAGTTACTAAAAATGTTGAAGAAACTCCTACAAATGCAGGTGAAAAGAAAGTTGAATAAGTAGAATTGTAAGAAAAATAATAAGAACCTCAAATTCCAACTGATGAATAATAATAATAATAAATGCAATAATAATAATAATATCAAGAATCTAATTAAAGAAGGTATAACAATTATAGAGGAAATGACTATCAAAATAAAAACTATCATAATAATAATTATCATAATAATTATAAAAATAATTTTAGACATAATAATAAATATGATAGAGAACAAAACAATCAAGATGATAATGCAGAATAATAGCAAGATAATTAGGATAATTAATTTAGAAGTCACAAATAATATAGAGGAAATAAATATTAAAATAGAGATTAAAGAAATTTTTAAAATGATAATGATTAACCTGCAGAATAAAATGATGAAAATAATTAAGCATAAACAAGAGGTGGATAAAAAAATTATGATAATAGAAAAGATAATTACAACAGAGATTAAAATAGAAATAATAGGGACTACAATAGAGATTATAATAGGGATAATCGAGATTATAATAGGGATAAAAGAGAGTAAAGAGAAAATAAAGAGCAAATTGATAATAGAGATCAACAAACTAATAAAGATAATTAAGATTTGGGAGATAAAAAAGATTAAGGAGATAATAGAGAGTAGAAAGATTAAAGAGAATAAAGAGATCAAAGAGATTATAAAGATTAAAGAAATAAATGGGATAATAGAGACTAAAGAGATAATAGAGATTAACGATATTAGAGAGATAATAGGGATTATGGAGATAATAGAGACTAAAGAGACTAAAGATATTAAAGAGATAATAGAGATAATAGGGACAATAGGGATAATAGGGACAATAGGGATAATAGAGATAATAGAGATAATAGGGATAATAGAGATAATAGAGATAATAGAGATAATAGAGATAATAGAGATAATAGAGATAATAGAGATAATAGAGATAATAGAGATAATAGAGATAATAGAGATAATAGAGATAATAGAGATAATAGAGATAATAGAGATAATAGAGATAATAGAGATAATAGAGATAATAGAGATAATAGAGATAATAGAGATAATAGAGATAATAGAGATAATAGAGATAATAGAGATAATAGAGATAATAGAGATAATAGAGATAATAGAGATAATAGAGATAATAGAGATAATAGAGATAATAGAGATAATAGAGATAATAGAGATAATAGAGATAATAGAGATAATAGAGATAATAGAGATAATAGAGATAATAGAGATAATAGAGATAATAGAGATAATAGAGATAATAGAGATAATAGAGATAATAGAGATAATAGAGATAATAGAGATAATAGAGATAATAGAGATAATAGAGATAATAGAGATAATAGAGATAATAGAGATAATAGAGATAATAGAGATAATAGAGATAATAGAGATAATAGAGATAATAGAGATAATAGAGATAATAGAGATAATAGAGATAATAGAGATAATAGAGATAATAGAGATAATAGAGATAATAGAGATAATAGAGATAATAGAGATAATAGAGATAATAGAGATAATAGAGATAATAGAGATAATAGAGATAATAGAGATAATAGAGATAATAGAGATAATAGAGATAATAGAGATAATAGAGATAATAGAGATAATAGAGATAATAGAGATAATAGAGATAATAGAGATAATAGAGATAATAGAGATAATAGAGATAATAGAGATAATAGAGATAATAGAGATAATAGAGATAATAGAGATAATAGAGATAATAGAGATAATAGAGATAATAGAGATAATAGGGATAATAGAGATAATAGAGATAATAGGGATAATAGAAATAAATGGGAGAATAGAGATAAGAGAGATTAATAAGATAATAATGATAATAGAGAGAGAAGAGATAATAATGAATATAAAGATAAAAGGGAAAATAAAGATTATTAAGACAATAGGGATAATAATAGAGGAAATAGGGACAATGCTAGAGATAATAAAGGTTACAGAGACAATTAACCTTAAAGAGAGTATAATAGAGAATAGAAAGAAGGATAAAACAATGATCAAGAAGATCAAAAAAGAGTAATCAACAGAGACAGAAAGCCTCATGTAAATACTTATAAATATCTTAGAATGAACTTTAAGATTTTGCAATACCTCATCATCATAATAAACAAAAGAAGGAATCTAAAAAGTAATAAATCAAATCTTAAAATCCATTCGAGGCATTAAAAAATTGATATTTCTTATAAATAATTAAAGATTAATTGTGTTATTCAAACTTTATATTTAATTTAAATTGAATTTTTAGCATTCTTCTATCAGTTCATTTATATATTATATAATTTATCTGATTAAATTATATTTACTCTTTTTAGATAGTTATGGATCTCTTTAAACTAATGTTTTTCCTTCAATTTTTGCATAGTTTTCCTTACTAATAATTAAAATATATTTATTTCTTAATTATTATTTTAAAAAGGTCTTAGATAGATTTATAATTTCTTGGAACTTATACTTAATTTGAATATAAAAATCAAGTTTATTTTTATTCTTAAAAAGTGAAAATATGAAGTGTTCCTTTACAAGTTCCTGCAACAATAATTGAAGAATCCGGAGTTATAGGATCTAGTACTCCTTAATAGGAACTTAAACCTCTAAATCTTAGACCAGAATCTAGAGCATCCTGCATTGAATGTAATAACTATCCATTAGCTCTAAATTGATATTTAATTAAAATTACCCATCTAATATATTAATACTTCCTTCTTTTTCTGATTAACTTAACAAAATAGTCTTAGTAGAAGAACTATCTTTTACTATGATAGAAGTCAACCCTCTTACAAAACTAGTATGGGAATTTCTATTAACCCAAACAGATTTTCCTGTTTAAATATCATAAGCACTAACTTTTATAATAATGAAGCATACTCTATCCAGAATCAGATCCAATAACTAAAAGCTCAGTAGGACCTTTAGTATTCTAAGTTTTCTTTTACACAATCCTTAAAAACTCGACACAAAAGGCTAATTCAGTGTCTTATCTTTATATTTTATATAGCAATTTTCCATCATTCTTAAATACCTTAATAACACCATTGATAAACCCAACAGCAAGATAATCAAATTTTTCCTTTACTTGTGAAATCTTCCTGAAAGTACTTATATCTTTGTTTTACTCATCTGGATTAATTTCTTAAATCATAAGCATTCCAAATGGACTTGTAAAATCAACAATTTAAATAGAATTTTTGGAACCATGAGCAAAACAAATACCTAAATCTTTCATCTTAACAATTTCAAAATCATAAGTAAAAAATGATTGAGTCTTAATTTCATTAACACATTTTTTGCTAATCCAATCCCAAACTTTAATTAAACCATGTTATGCACTGAAAATTAAATTATTACATGATATTTCATTGCTTAATCTAGTAATTAAATTAATATCACAATAATGTATTCTTAATCCAAAGAACTCCCTTTAATGTGCACCAGTTATAGTAGATAATAAATGAAATTTATGATCATCAGGAGAATCCAACCAAACCTTTATGTCCATATCATCACTTGTAGTTACTATAGCCATTTAACCATAACGAAGAGATTGATCAAATTCTGATAATTATCCTTAAGCTGTCTCTTTTACTTTTTATATTTCCCTTTCACTTAATCTAAACATAGATACACTTCTTATCCAATTTTAATGGGCTCTATGAATAACTTATTAACATCTCAATTATTTAGGTTCAAATTATTTTGAAACAACCATTTCCATTTAAGGTATTTCAAAATTACAAAATTTATCTAATGTTTTTGTCAATAATTTAGTTATTCTTTCCTTGACTTTTTCAAAATATTATTAATTTTCTTCTATTAGGTCTGTCATTTTCTAAATTTATAAATCTTCATAATCTTTTGTTCTATAAACTTCATGAGTTTTAGGATCAATACCAAAGTATTAGGTTAATTTAACAACTAATATGTTAAGGATAATATACTTTTTTTTCCAAAATTATCAATTTAACTAGTCTTTCCTAAATTTTTTAATGTAGTTTTTATTTCATCTATATCAAAGTCAATTTTTTGCTTAGACTTTTATAAAATCATATTCACTTGTTTATCAATGATTTCTAATTACAAAATTAAAGATTTTATGGACTAATTCTTAATACAAAGTTTACTTCACTTATTTTTAATTTAAAGCTGATAAGTAATTCATTAATGGCTTTATAATCTGGCTATAGACTTTCAATTTATTTATGAATTTATTATACAAAATAATTCAGATTCCAAGTATCTTCCAAATGCATATGATGATAATTCACTTAACATAATGGGCATATTGCACCTTTTTCTCTACATTACCCTTGAGTACACACAGACACCAACTATTCCTTTGCATGTCTTTAGCAAGGAACATCAGGAATAGTAATGACTTGCTATAAAATTTTTATTTTTGTTTAACTCTGGTCTAAAGAAATAGGTTTCATTTATATATTTAATAAATATAATAATAAAAATAATAAATTACAAAAAATATTAAAAGATCATTAAATAAGTGAAATGGTTTTTAATATTTAGATAAATGATGAGACAATAGTAAAAATGTATGAAATAACTTAGAATATTTAGACTTTATGTTTTTTAATTTCAAATATAAATTTTAATTGTAAAAAATTAATTAAATTAGAATTATCAATTCTATTATAATCAATAATTTTTTGTTTAAAAGAGTTCTAATAACTTAGAATAGTATAATTTTATTAATTAGATTACTTTTTTGAATGATTTTAATTAATAATAATAATATTATAAATATTATAAATATTAATAAAGAAGATGTAACTTAATTCAATTTGAGTAGAAAGTTATTATTAACTATTTAATTTTTAATTTAAAACTTAAATAGCAGAAATGATCAAATTAAAAATAAAATTTTATCTTCAAAATCAATTACAATTGTATTTTGAAATGAAAATCCTTTTGTACTATCAACAGAAATGATATTAGTTTTAAAATCTTGAATTAAATCTAAATAAAAATGTACATATTAAGAAACAATATTAAAAATTTTAAATATTTCATTGTCTTTGGTTTGAATAAGAAGATATAAAATTGACGTTAGCATGTGAATGATAATATTCTAATTCAACATTAATTAGAATTATATATATATATAATATTATGATCAATAAATTTATGGGGTATTTCAAAAATAGGCCACCATTCTAAAAAAGAATAGCAAATTCATCTCTATTAAGTTAATCTGATGAAATTTTATTAGATGATCTCTTGTTCCTAATTTCTTGCTTTGAGAATAATCATTCAGAATTTATAACAAAAGCCCCATCTTATTATATTGATCAGTATTTCCAATTGACATGTGAATAGTATGATATATATAAAATTTAATAGGGAATTTGCAAACTCATATATTATAAGGAATAAAGTGCTTTTAACATGCCATTTAATGTTACACGAATTTTAATTAGGTATTGATTTTGCAGATCACTTTCTGAATTAGAAGTTTGCTATACTTATGAATCGAAAATCACCAACTGTTGTTAAAACAAATTAATAAAAAGAAGAATGGCTATCTGCAAATATTTAGTTAAGTTATTTTTAATATTTACAAAAACTTGCAGTTAATGTTTAGGTGTTTCATGCTTGTAAAGTGTAGCAATATCCATTGTTTTAAGAAGGATAAAAATTTATTGATATTTAAACAAAGCTACTATGGTTATTTAAGATAAGCAATTTGGTATATTAATGATTTAAAGAGTAAGGTAAATAGTGGATTGGGATAGATGGAGACATTGAAATCAGCATTATTAATGGTACCCGAAGATATGTTGCTAAAAGAAATAGTATTAGTGTATTGGTCTGACATAATTGTATTTTACAATTTTTTAAGCAAAGAGGTATAATATTTATGGATAATTTAGATTTTACAATTATTAGACTATTATAGACATTTAGCTACACATATTTGCTTATAGTTCTACGAATTATATTTATAATTATTTCAAATAAGAAATTCTATATCAGATTTATATAAATATAGGAAACATTTTGATAGAGATAATGTTATTAAATAGCCAAAATGGTTTGATGTTAATAAACCTGTTCATAAGTAAATAGAAGAATTTATGCTAAAATAAAAGTTAAATATGGGCAATCATACAGATAGAGGTTTATAAAAACCACAGATGTCAAGTAGAGGTTCTAAATCTTAGATTGCTTTGGATACAAGAATTGATTTAAGTAAAATACCAAGAAAAGGGGGTGCCATGAAAACTCATAGAGCAGGTAGATAAGGAGACAGTGACGGAGATGATGAAGATTTTGAACAATTAAAATTGATACTATAAAATTCGAATATGTAATCAAAATTAGCTAAGAAGAAATAATAATAATAATAATAATAATAATAATAATAACAATAATAACAATAATAATAGTAAGATTCTTAAGTGTCATTCTAAAAATAATCTCAAGAAGAAGGTACTGATTTACCTAAAGGTGATTGAATATATTGGTTGTAATAATTAATGTTTTTTATAAAATTAATTTAATAATGTAATAAGGATATATTAATGCAGAGATGAGTGATTTCATAATATAACATACAACCTTCATTAATATTTAACCAAATTTTGATTTAGAAAAGCTACAATTCATTTCTGTAATATAGAAAATGATTAATTAAGGGATATTTTGGACCATTTAAAATTAATTAAATTGTAGAGGTTCCATTATGGGTAGCAATTGAATTAAAGAAAAAGAATAAATGTAGAGTAATACCTCCTGAATGGTTAAGTATTGAAAGGTTGCAATAAAAACTTGATGAAGAAACCATTAATGAATTAGAATTAGCAAAAATGGAACAATATTATTTTGAAATTTCATCAATTTTATTCTCTTATTGTAGAGATGATATCAAAGATGATGATAGAATAAAATTATTGTTGGAAGATATTAAGACAAGAAGAGAAAGCAAAATTTAAAAAAAAATAGAGGAATTTATCTTAAGAGGATCTGATGCTTTAAAAATAAATAATTTAAACTAACATGAAAGAAATAAAATTTACTCTAATTTTTATGGAGATTTAAAAAAATTAAGGTAATTGAAATTACTATCAGAGAGTTGAGAATATTTATATATTAAATTTATTGAAAATTAAATGATTCATTCCTTAAAACCAAAAAAGAGATGCTAATAGATTTGTAATGAACATTAGTTCATTCTGATACCAAAATCTAAATCTAATGAATGTTGGATTAAGTCATAGATAACTCTTGATTATTGTCCTGTTTATAATGAGTATAATGTATTACATTACAAAAGATTCACTGGATAGTTTGAAAACATAGTTCCTATTCAGAATTTTGATAGATAACCTGGACTCCCTACATTCATCCTAGAATAAGATAGAACTTAATATTAATTCAATCTAGAGAGATATTAATAAGAACATCAATTGAAAATTGAAGAATAGAGAATCAAGAAGACTAAAATGGTATTTAATTATTGTATTATATTTAAGTTTGTTCCAAAGCCTGGTAAAAAACATAGGTATTGTGGTGTGTGCAAAAAAAATTATGAAGAATATTTGGATGTATGTTAAATTTTTATTGTAGTTTAGCATATCCAATCTTAGGAGCATATAAATACTTTTAATACTTATAGAAGTGTAAATCTGATAAGAACTTTAATTCAAGGATTTTAGAATGTTATTAATCATGAATTCTCAGATTAAAAATAATCCAGCATATTATTTTGTGATTCAAATACTAAAATTCCTATGAATAAAGAAAATTTTGTAGCTTATTTTGATCAAGAAAGAATTGGAGTTCGATTTCAAAAATAATAGATTAAGGACATTCCTATGCTTGAATATAAAATTCCAAGTTCTAAGAGAGGAAGACCTACAAAACCTAAATAGAAGAAGGAAACCATTAAGAAAGCCAAAGTATAAGAAGATATTCCAATTATCCCACATTATTAACCGAATACGTATTTAGACTTTTATTATCTACAATAATAATATTTGTAAGCATAATAATAGATTTAAAATCAATAATAACAATATTTATGCTATCAATAGCCACAACAATAGTATTTTAGAGACTGTATAAATTATTTTTAAATTTTTAGAGATGCAATATTTTAATTAAAATGCTTAATTAGATTTATAGTTTTATTAAAGTTTGATGTAATAATAATAGCATTTTTTATAATTAAAAGAAATAGAAGAGCGAAGAGAATACTCGGATAGATCTTCATTATGGTAAAAATTGATATAATTAACAAATTACCAATAACCAACTCAAAATGAAATAGTTTAACTTTTGCATAGCATTATTGAGTAATACGAATGCAATCCTCGTAACAATCAAAATCTAAATCATAATAATAATAATGATTAGCAATTTTAATGATTTTAATTGTTTTGTATTTCATTTCATTTAATTTAATTTCAAAATATAATTAGAAAGAAAGTCTCATATATATTTTTATTAATAATAATTATTTAATATAATATAATATAATATATATATATTCATTTAATTAATTTTAATAATAAAATATTTAATTTTCTGTTTAATTTATATTTGAATATATCTGACTTTATTTTATGAATCACAATGCAAATTTTTATTTAATATTTCAATTTTAATATTTACAACTATTAAATATATAATTACATAAATAATTACTTATTAAAATAAATGAATTATTTATATGAAAAAGACAATATATTTATATTAATACTTAATTTAAAGAATTTTATTAAGAAAATAATAATATTCAAAAAATAGATTATTTCAATTTGAAATAAAAGAATAAATAAATCGAGTATGAGTCAATATTTAGCTAGGTTTTATTTTAATTTTGGAGCATTTAAAGTATAGTTTATTAACTTGTTTTCTATACTTGCATCTTCTAATTATGTCATTCCTTACAAATCAGTTTAATTATCAGATTATTTATAATGATTTTGGATTTCTTTTACTTTTAATGGTTTACTACTTTTATGAACTTAATTTCGTTAACTCTTGATTAATAAATATTTTACTTAGATTTTTTATCTTTTTATAATCTTTCTTCTAACTCCTCTAAATCTTAAAAATCTTCTTATTATAGTTGCATTACCTAACTATTATTATGAAAAGATTGCTGTTATTGAGTAATAAATTACTATTATAAATGAGAAGACATATGTCTTTCATGAAATGATTTAGAAGATTGTTATTAAATTAAAGATCCTTTAGAATCCTAATGTAAATTAATAATTCCTCTTTCTTATAATTTACTTAATAATTTTGAAGATCCAATTCTAATATTATTTTGAGAAAACTATGAATTTTAATAATTTAAAAGAATTGAAGATTATTAACTATTAATCTATGAAGAAGATAGACTATTTCCACTGTTATTACTCTTATTGACACATTATTCTGATTAATGTCTACTTCTATTTCTATTATTATTAATAGCTTTTTATAAATTATTAATATCAGATCTATTTTAAATTTATAAAGATGTACCTTTATGATTCAACATTTTTAATTTTATCATCTTATCTATATGATCTAGCTGGTTATCTTGTGTCTTATTATGTCTATTCTCCTGAGACTTTAGTTGTACCTTAAGAATATTCAGTCCAGTCAAGTCTTTTATCATGTTTGAATCCATTAGTTATAGATAATTACTCAAATAAGGAATGTAAATATCTATAATCAGGAGTAGATTTATATTGTAATTATTTAACATATTGGAAATATCTAAATAAGAAAGATATATACTAATAAAATTCTTAAGGACAATCTTTACACAATTCTTCTATTTATGTTTATTATTTTATTTAACCAACCATTTTAGTTTTATCTTTTTCTGCTACATTATGATATGTTTACCAAGGTAGAGTTCCTTTATACATATATATAATCATATATCCAATAGATTCTAAATCATCTTTTCTACTTAATTCAAAACCTCTATGTGCTCCAATACTTGCATATCTAGTTGTACCAACAAATGATTTATTATCTTTAAATGGTCTAATATTTATAACTATTATGTAATATAATTTACACATGTGTTCCATCAGGTTCTCTATAAAATTTAGCAATTCCAAAATCAGCTAAAAAAATTTAATTTGATTCTTAATCTTTACCAGTCATAACATTTTCTGGTTTCATATCTCTATGAATTATTCCTCTATCAATTTATATGAATTTATAAGTACTTCCTATGTACACCTTCAATTATTTATATAATTTGTAGTGATATATTAACAACGCATTTTAATGAAAACCTTTTTAATGCCTTTAAATGGTATGATAAATCTCTGCCTAACAATTACATCACCAAACAATTATGATTATGTTCATTTCCTGCCCATATAATTTTAGGAATCCCTAATTTAACAAATTTCTAACCTGGAAGCTTTTTTAATTCATCTAACATTTATATTTCTCTTTCTAAACTCATTGAATTAATGTCTTCCTTCTCTACTTTCATTGCCACATATTCTTTTGTCTATAGATCTTAACATAAGAATACAACACCAAATGAACCTTTCAATATTAAAGCAATATCATATAGTACCTGCACTAATCTTATGCTTTATATAGAATCTATTTTTATAAAGTCTTTCATTTTATTTTTCTTCAAAATTCATTAAATTATTAGATAAATTAATTAATACATAATAGTTTAATTTCCTTATTATTTAGACAATTAATTTAATCAGTAATTTTGTAAGAACTTCAATTCTTTATTCCTAATGATATATTAAATATAAATCAAAATTTTTACAAAAATATATATAATTCAAAATTTATAAAAATGTTGATATAAGTATGATATAATTAATAAATGATATAGTGTATTATTTTCATAATATAAGATTTAATACTTAAAGTAATATTTTATACTCTTATCTTAAATTGAATTTCTAAATTATTCTTTAATTTGTATTAAATAGTAATTTATAATAATTTATAAGGATAATATAATTATATTTTTAAATTGAGGATCATATATTAAATATTTATCTGTTAATCATTAAGTTTATATGGAGGCCAATTATTGTTTATAGTATCCAACAAGTTCTTGCCATTTAGCCTTATTCTTATCTAAATTTTCGAAATATGGCTCAAAAGCTGGAAGAAAACCTTAAATACAAGAAAATGTTGGTTTGACCACATAATCAATAAAGCTATTATGATTACTTTAAATACCCTAATTAAGCTTCTGCCATATTAGTTGTATATCTATTACATAGATAAGAAATAGGTAGACCAAGTTCTCTTTCTTTATCTCCTTATTACCAAAATTCTGTTAGAACTCTTTCTGTCCATTATTTATAGATTTCAAAATTTTTTGTTGGATTTGATACATCTGAAGAATGAACAACCAAATCCATCAATCTTTATTTATCTTTCCCATATGGTTCAAAATCGGCTAAAATTAAAAAACATAAATTACGTGCTGCTACTCTACTATTTGTAATGGCTAATTCAGAAGCATGATGAGCCATATCAGTGGATAAAACCATCGAGATAATAGATTCTCTTATTCTTCTATATTTTTGAAATGGTAGATTTTCAAAAATATTAGCTTTTTAATTTGTCCAAGCAATTTTGAAACATTAAGATGGATGAAACATTTCTAGAACACTTTAATCATTATAAGTTAATGCTAATTCATTTTTACTATTAATAAGAAAAGCATTTGTTAAACCAGGGTGTCCATAATCATGTATAGCACCTGCAATTAAAACACAAGCAATATCTTATTCATCTAATTAACCAATTTCAATAAATTTGCATCTATTTAATAAAAAATTGCATGTTTATGCCACATCTTAAGCATGTACTCTATTATGATATGGATTATCTTAATATCCTTTAGTCACTTCTTCAAAATAACTTCTAACAACTTTAGGTTTAACCAAAAAAACATCATAAAGATTATAATTTTCAAATAGAAATAGCATTAAATAAATTAATCCTTCACCTCCACTTAATTTATCACATTCAAATGGATCAATATATAAATCATCATGTTATTTATCTAAAAGTTCTAAAACCTAATGAAATATTATTATTATTTAAATACTCTTTTTGGTATATTCAATTTTTAGAAGTTAGCCAATACTTTTTTCTATTATTACTATTAATCTCCTGTTACTATTTTTCTTACACTAGATTTACCTTATTAACTTTAATTTAACCAACCCATAGCCTATAATTACTATAACATTTACTTCAGCATTATCTTCATCCAATTTTCCCATTTAATACAATTAGTTATTACCTATTTTGTCAATGCAATAATCAATATCCAATTTCATACTTTCTAGTTCTATGACTTCTTTTAATTCTGATAAAAATCGAACAATCTTTTCAGCTGGTGTAGATATAGTAGATATTGTTGATAGTCTTCTAAATGTTTATGCTTTTCTTATGAGTAAAAATATTCTTAAGAATCTAAAAACTGCTTAGATTACTTTGACAACATTTGATGTTTTCTAATCTGCCAATTCAAATATTACAAAAAAGAGAGATAATAATATAATTAGAGTATCTAATATCAACCATTTATCTTTGTAATATTTCTATATTATTTTTAATTCTTACCATTACACCCCATGCATATAAACCAACTGCTATTTCTAAAATGAAAACTATAAGGATTCCTAATTCAATCCAACTCAATATTATTGACACATTGTTGAATTATGTCTCATCCATCAATTCTTCTAAAGCTACAATAACAAATATTAAAATCGCATATATTCCAACTAATGCAATAATGCTAATTGTAATTGATTTAGAATTAATTAAATCCTAAATCTTTTGTTCCTACTCAGTATACAATCTAACTGTAATAAATTATAATAACCTCATATTGAGCTTTTTTCTTGGAATTTCAAGTAATTTATCGCTTCTTTTGGAAGATTCTCCTCTCATTGTTTATTTATCTGGATTTTCAAGACTTCTTAATTGAGAATCAGATCTTGATGCCAACATATTAAAATGTAATTATTAATAAGAAATCAAAAATTATGAACTATAATTATGTGTAGTCATAGTAATTAATCTACTAAATGTAATATGAGTCTAACTTTTATACAATTCAATTCTATTTTATATAAAGTTTGAATATCTTTTTAGTTTATTATTCTTCTCAAATACAACAAATATCTAAATTGTTGATTATAATATAAACTAATATTATATAAAAATAATATTATTTGGATAACATAATAAATATATCAAATAAGAGTTTATGAATTATTCTAGATTCATAAATTTATAATACGTGTATATAGTTTTAGATTTAAACTAAAATTAATTTAATATTATATTATATAATTACTTTATAATGTAAACAGGAAAAGATGAGATAGTAGACGAACTTACCTAATTCAAAATAGAAAGAGCTAAAAGAAGAGAAAGAAAAGAATGGGAATTAAAAATTATGGGAAAATGCATTACTTGGTTAATATATTTATATGTAGCAGGAATAATAATAACAGGATTGAATTACATATTAGTAATTAAAGTTATCGATCTATTAGTTAGAAAAAAGTTATAAATATGAAGGAATAGTTGAAGACAGTTGTTAAGACTTTAAAACACTTAAATCAGTTAATGAATAAATATTCCCTCTATTAGATGAATTGACTGTAAAAATAAGAATAGAAATTATAGTACAAAAAATATTTTAAGATCTTCAGAGTTAACCTAGAAAATGATTGTCCATTCTCTATTGGAGAATATATATGTACAAGTAAAAAATGTGTAATTTGTACTTGTAATACATCTGAAGTATTAAGGTTAATATATTCTAGATTCCATCTAATTGGTTATCTCCAGCATCATCTCCTATTAATTAACCAAAAGATGATTTTGCATTCTGGGATTCAGAAAGATATCTATGTATTTTAATATAATGACTCATAGCTCCATCTGAATGGATATGGCATGTAGAAGATATTGAAAATGACAAAGGAGTTTATGTAGATTTGAAATTAAATCCAGAAGCTTTTACAGGATATTAAGGACAACATATTTGGGATGTTATATACAGAGAAAATTGTTATTAAGGTTCATTGAATGATATGTGTAAGGAGAAAAGAGCATTAAATAAATTAGTTTAGGGATTGCATACTTCAATTTCAACTTAATTAAGTGAGTTTTATGTTGATTTATCAACAAATAAAACTTATCCAAATTATCCATTATATTTTGAAAGAGTAGGTAATCATCCTGAAAGAATTCGAAATTTATTTTTTTTATATTCAGTTCTTTTAAGAGCAGTTATTTTAGCATCTCCAGGAATTTAAAAACATGATATTAATTCAATGTCTTTTGAAGAAGATACTAGATCTAAATATTTATTAAATAATATCTTATCATTAGGAAATAATTAATGTTCTAAACCTTTTGATGAATAATAATTTTTCAATTAAATAACATTTGTAATTAAATTAAATATAATTAGGATTAAAAGAAAGATTATTAAAGATATATTCACAATATAAGTAGAATTATGGATTGTGTGGAATGTTAAAAATGTAGAGTATTTGGAAAGATGTAAACATATGGATTAGGAACAGCATTAAAAATTCTATTTTCTGAATCTCCTAGTGAATTCTCAGGAAAGTTAAAAAGAAATGAATTAGTTGCATTAATCAATACATTTGGAAAAGTTTCAAGTTCTGTTCACTCGATAGATCTAATGTTTGAGAGAAGAACTATATATCATTACAATCTTATTTTAAGTATTGTAATTGTTGGTGGAGTTTTCATAATTTTTATGGTAGCAATTAGAAAAATATACTAACAAATGGACAAAAAAATACAAAATATGTTTAGAGGAATGCCCTCTGATAACCCTTAATAAACTAATAGAAATACCAAGAGTAAAAGAGATTGAATTAAAACATAGATAAACATATATATATATTGTACCATTTTTATATATCAATATCATTGTTATTGTTATGCTGTTTCAGTTCCTTCTTCTGCTCTTCTTGGTCCTCTATTACCACCTCTTCCAAAGGGCTTATTTCCTCTTGGACCTCTTCTTTATTCAGGAACATCATCTTCAAATTTTTTATCAGCTTTCTTGAAAGTGGCTGGAATAACATCTTCGACAATGCCTTTACTATAGATGATTTTCATATACCCAATTTGTCTCTTACATATTTTACACCTTCTGCTTTAAGGTAATAATAGTAGTATTGCCATGAGAATACTAAATCAACAAGCTTTTTGTCTCTCAAACTTCTCAATAACATCCAAACTTCTAAGTTTTTTACTCCTGTTTCACTATGAACTGGAAGTGCCATGTCCTTGAATTCTTATTAAAATATACCTTCTTTATAACAATAACACCTTCCATTAACAAATATTCATAAACTTTTCTTCTGTCTTATCTCTTTACTTGAACCATGTAAAATAATGGATTTGATTTATTTTAAATTTTAAAATAAAATAAACAAATACACAATAATGCTTTCAAGAAAATCTTTTTTATTCAACTCTTGTCTCTATAGATTTTGTTCATTCCGAGAAGAGTATGACACATTTGGACCAATCAAAGTTAAAAGTGATCGACTTTGGGGAGCTTAAACTTAAAGATCAATCTAAAACTTTGATATTTGTAGAGACACTGATAAGATGCCTCTCCCAGTTATCAAAGCTTTTGGAATACTCAAAAAATCAGCAGCTATAGTAAATAAAAGATATGAACTCAAACCTGAAATTTCTGATGCCATAGCTAAAGCTGCTGGTAAATTTCATTTTCTAATATTTTTTAGATGAGGTTATTGCTGGAAAATTGAATGATCACTTCCCCTTAGTTGTTTGGTAAACAGGTTCTGGAACATAATCAAATATGAATGCTAATGAAGTTATTGCAAACAGAGCCATCTAAATCTTAGGTGGATAAATTGGTGGTAAATTAGTACATCCTAATGACCATGTCAATATGAGTTAATCCTCAAATGACACATTCCCAACTGCTATGCATATTGCAACTGTCATTCAAGTATAAATTATTTTAATAAAACTCTAGACCAATTAAGTATTGATTCCAGGATTATAAACACTTTTGGCAAGTCTTGAAAGAAAGTCTTAAGAATTTGATAAGATCATAAAGATTGGTAGAACACATACTTAAGATGCTACTCCTTTGACTTTAGGATAAGAATTCAGTGGATATGCCCAATAAGTAAGAAATAGCATTGAAAGAGTCAAAACAGCTCTTCATTAAGTTTAATATTTAGCTTAAGGAGGAACAGCTGTTGGAACTGGAATCAACACATATGTTGGATTTGCTGAAGCTATTGCTGATTAAGTGAGTAAAGAGACAGGATATGAATTCAAGACTGCCCCTAACAAATTTGAAGCTTTGGCTTCTCATGATGCCTTGGTAGATTTTCATGGATCATTAAATGCTGTTGCTGTTTCTTTAATGAAAGTATTAAATAAATAATATGATAGATTGCTAATGATATTCGTTTCTTAGGATCAGGACCTAGAAGTGGTTTAGGAGAATTGATATTACCAGAGAATGAACCAGGATCATCAATCATGCCTGGAAAGGTTAATCCTACTTAATGTGAAGCAATAACAATGGTTTGTGCTTAAGTCATGGGAAATTAAGTTGCTGTTACTGTAGGTGGTTCAAATGGGTAATAATATTGAATATAATATTTAGACATTTTGAATTGAATGTTTTTAAACCAGTAATTATTCATAATGTTCTCCATTCAATTAGATTATTAGGTGATGCTAGTGTATCATTTACTAAGAATTGTGTAGATGGAATTCAAGCAAATACAAAAAAGATTGAAGAATTAATGAATTAATCTTTGATGCTTGTGACTGCTTTAAATCCATATATTGGATATGAGAAGGCTGCTAAAATTGCTAAACATGCTCATAAACATCATTAAACATTATTAGAGGCTGCTTTAGAACTTAAATTATTAAATGAAGAATAATTTAAATAATGGGTTAAACCTGAATCCATGATTGGCCCATAAGAATATAAACCTAAAAAATGATATAAATTAGAAATTAAATATATATAATAATAATAATATTTGAGACTATTGAGTAATTATATAATTAATAAAATAATTTACATGGATAGAAATAGTAGTAGTAGTAGTGAGAATAGGAAGATCAAAAAAAGAAAGAGAAGTCGATCATAAAAGAAAGAAAAAAAAAAATATAAAAGTAAGAAATCTAAAGAAAGAAAGTCAAAAGAAAAGAAAAAGTAATAGAAAAAATAGGGTGAGAAAATTCCATAGAAGTAATTGATAAAAGAAAAAGATGTAAAAATTGAAGTACAACAAAAAGTTTTAGAGAATGAAACAAAGGAAGTAAAAATTTAACATAGATTTTAGTAACGGAATACAAGACTAAAATAAGAGAGAAGAAAAAGATCTAGATCTAATTCAGCTGTTAAACATTATTAAAAATAAATCTTAGCTAACAATCCTGTTACTAAATCTAGTAATATGAATTTAAAAATTAATATAGATATGCTAGGTTATGACAAATAAGATCGTTTTTGGGATGGATTCACTTGGGTACCTAAAACAAATTTACATGATAAAGTTAGGGATGATAAGGATAAGGTAATGTCATTGACTAGTAGAATGAGAAGAATTTAACTTTGTAATATTCCTACAGGTTTAACTAATCGAGATCTTTATGCTGAATTAAGTAGATTTATTAATAGAAATTACTTAAATGATGTTGGAAATGCTAAACCAATTTTATATTGTCATTTGAATGAGAAAGATAGAACATGTACAATTGAATTATCATCTGTTGAAGAGGCTAACAGAATGTTAAAATTAGAAGAAATTAAATTATTAGATGAATCTTGTAAGATATTTCGTCTTGGTGATAATTTATATGGTACATATATCTAATATATATTCAGGTCAATCTGTTAATTAATCATAGTTAGTATAGTAAGCACATAATATGGCTTAAGCATAAGCAGCTGCTTATCTTGCATTAAAATCACTTGGTTTTGCCAGAGGATAGAGAGAAGAAGATGAAATTCTGGCTTAGGCAGGTATCCCATCCAGGATTATAAAGGTTGGAAATTTCTTAAATGTTGCTATGGCAATTAATTTAAATAAAAATGAATGGAATGAAATGAGAGAAGATTTGCTAGAAGGATTTTCATAATATGGTTAAATTGAAGATGACTTTTTTGTTAAACCATTTTAAGCTAGTTTAGGAGGTATTTTAAATTAAATATAAATTAAAGCTGAAGCAGGTTCTCTATTTCTTGTGTATTCAACTTTTGAGGATGCACAACGTACTGTAATATCAATGTATGGTAGAACTTATAATTAGAGGTCTCTAAAGATTATATTCATAAATGAATAGACCTATATAAGAAGTTATATTCCATTAAAATTGAGATAATAGCCTGAAACAGAAGAATTGCTAAAAAGAGAATAAGATAAATATGATGATGAAGAATTTGAAGAAGAAGAAGAATATTTAGAAAAAATGGATAATGGATGTGTTATTGAAAAAAATAATAATAATTAATAATAATAATAATGATTTTGTATAAATTTATTTTTATATATTATGAATAAATTGAATAAATTGTAATTATCAATTAAGTTTACGTTTACTTTTTAATTTTGGTTCATTTTCATCAATATTATTACTATTACCATCATCATTTTCTATTTATCTTAATTTTTTAGTTTTCTTTTATATTTTAGGTAAATCAAGATCATCTTAATACACTTAATTTTACTCAATATCTATTTAATCATCCATTTTAAAATCTAATTCATTCATATCATCTTATTATTCTTCTAAAATTGGAGATGCTTCAGGTAGATAATAAACTACTTACTTTCTTTCTCTTTAACCTCTACCATATTCTTTAACTTCCTAAACTTCATTTTATTTAGATGTAATCCATTCAGGAACTTCATCTTCTTAAATTAATCTATAATTATAATATTGATCATCTTTATTCTCATTAAAATTTTTATATATTAATTTTTCTTATTCATATCTTTATCTATCTAATTCATTAAACATCTCAAATTCTTCTTCACTTCTTGCTATCCATTCATTAATTTAAGTATCATCAGGTATCTCTTCTGCTTCAAACAAATCTACTTTATTTTTTTACCTAAAAAAATCTTATAAACGTTCTCTTCTTTCTTAATCAGTTGATCTTTAATTATATAATCCTGCTTAAATAATAACTGCATCTAATCCCATCTTATGTTCAGCTTTACTGAGAATATTTCCTTCTATTTATGTAGCAGTAATCAATCTTAATACTCTAACCTCATTTTTTTATCCAATTCTATAAGCTCTATCTTAAGCTTATAAATCCATCATTGGATTCCAATCACTATCAAATAAGACAACAGTATCTGCAGATTATAAATTTAATCCCAATCCACCAGCTCTAGTACTTAATAAGAAAATATTATAAATTGAATTTTCTTAATTAAATAATTAAATTCTAGATTCTCTATCTTCTGATTTAGTTGATCCATCCAATCTTAAATATCTCCATCCTCTATACTCAAAAAATGCTTCCATAATATCCATTAATTATGTCATTTAACTAAATATTAATAATCTATGTTTAAAGTATAATAATTTAGGAATAATTCTATCTAATAATTCAAATTTTCCACTTGATCTCCAAATTTCATCTGTTACTTTATTCATATCCAAATTTAACATAAATAAATAAGGATGATTACAAATCTTTCTTAATTACATCATTAAATTTTATAATGCTTAAGATCCACTCTTACCTGATTATTAATCAAATGTCATTACTCCTCTTTAATTAATTTAATCATATATTTTCTTTTACCAAGCTGATAATTTTATTTTAATAACATATTCTGTTTTTCTAGGTAATTCTTTCTCAACATCCTTTTTTACTCTTCTTAATAAAAATGGTCTAAGAACTTAATGTAATCTATTAATAATCAATAATTATTCTTCTTCATCTAATTAAATATCTTTCTCACTAGCTCCCATAATATTTAAAGGTGTTTAGAACCATTTTTCGAAATCTTCACATGATGAAAATACTTTTGGTAACAAAAAATTTAATAAAGCCCATAATTCAGCAATATTATTTTATAATGGAGTACCTGTAAGTAATAATCTTCTTTCACTTTAATATTATTAACCTAAAATCATTGCAAATTTGCTTCTTGAATTCTTCATTCTATGTCCTTCATCAACAATTATATATTTCCATTCATATTTTGATAAAGTTAACTTGTCTTTTAGAACATATTCATAAGTAGTAAGACATATGTTCCATTTAGTTGTTCTCATTTATTTTGATATTTCCTTTCTTATTTAAGGAGATCCTTTATAAGTAATTTTTTTAATAGATGGAGCCCATTTCTCAAATTCATTAGACCAATTACTTAAAGTTGATAAAGGTACAATAATAAAATATGGTCCAAAATTCTTCTTTGTTTCAATTAAATAACATAATAAAGAAATAGTTTAAATAGTTTTACCCAAACCCATTTCATCAGCCAAAATACCATTTAAATTATTATTATACAAACTTACTAACCAATCTAATCCTTATAATTAATATTATTTTAATTATCCACCTTCCAATAATAATGGTTATTGTGTTATTACTTCTTTTATTTTATGAGTTATATTATAATATACTTTATTTGCTTAACTTAATTCATATCCCAAACCATTACTAGAATTCATGTTTTCTATAACTTCATCTTCTTCTGTAATTTCTTCACCTTTTTATATTTTCACTCTTGCACCAATATCTTTTAAAAATTAATCTGTTTATCTCAATATAGAAACTACTCTCTCTTTTTTAGCCTCATCCAACTTCTCCAAAACTTAAATATAAGTTTCTAAATTTCCTCTTCTGATATGTTCCATTCTCATCTATTTATCTCTTTATTATTCTCTTTATTCTAATACAACCTTAAACTAAACACTTCGTTTTCTAGCATGTTTGTATTTTTTTCTATGAAATTCCATAAATTCAATCTAATGTGCAAATATTGCTGACATAAATTCTTTTTATTTTATCTTCTTTCTTCTTGCTTATTCATGTCGTATCATACTTAATTCAAATTTATCTGATAACTTACTCTCAGCTCTTCTTTGAGGCTTATCTCTTCTAAAATAATTTCTATCTAGTAATAATCTTTCTAACATCCTTGATTACAATACTGCTTAATTTTCTTCTTACAACAATGGATTCAAGATAGACTCTTTAACTTTCAAATAAAAATCCTTTGAATTTATAAACAGTAATTCAATTTTCAAACTCACATATTTTGGATCATTTTGGTGGGTTTTCTTTAGCTCCTATTCTATATCCTATCTCCTCTTTTCTATATACCCTTGCATTCGTTCACTAAATAAAGACATATCCTAAAGAATCATATCAAAGACTATACATCGCAAGTTTGATCCAATTTAAGCTTTGGATATCTGTCTCTAAAAATGGATTTGAGTTCCTCATTTTTATCAATTTTGTCATGAAAATATTGAATCGAATTCTAGAATATCTTTTCCCTTTCTGTCTCCCACTAGTCCTTACTGTATGGAAACATTAGTTTTTCATTTTCTATGTGGTGATTTCTATATGGTTACTTTCAATCTTACCTTTAAACTTGCTTGTAACAAATAATTTACTACCTCAGTTAGTATACTTATTTTTCATCTTAATTCTTAATAAATATAAATGAATATTTACATAATCTGCTTCTTATTACATTTTTATAGATTTTTTAAAATCTAATGCAAAAATTTTTATATTTTATGTATAAATACTGATCATTAAATATAATCAAAATTTTAATCATCTGAGCAAAAATTGCACTGAAAATTTTATGCTTTGATTCTCTAATCTATTAAATATCAAATATAAACTTCTATATATCATAAAATAATGTAATAATTTAAAAAAATAACTATTCTTTACTATTATTTAATATTCATATAAATAAATATTCTTCAAAACACACTTGATTATACTTTGGATCATAAGATAAGATTATAAATTTTCTTAACTTAATGATTATATGTATTTACATTTCCAACTTCATAAAATTTATTTTTGAAAATATAATTTATATTTTTTTAAATAAATCACTTGTAACGAATGAGGATGAACAATTTTACTTTGTATTAGAATCCTAAATTCAAGCAAGAAAAAAGAAAACAACTTCTTTACAATTTTATTTAAGAAATTAATAAAATATATTATTACATAGATTTCTCTCATAATTCTTTCAAATGAATTTTTGATAATTTATTTCTCAAAAAGATCTTAACTATTATGTTTTAATTAAGAATATTAATATAACAATTCTATTTATTGATCATAGTTGTTTTTTATGAAAAGGATTACCAGATTTTGATACTTCATTGAATAATTTTCCTTTGCTTGCCTTTTTAGAATGATACTTTAACTTATTAAGATTGTTCTCCATTTAAACTTCATTATAATCATGAAATTTAGAATTTTTATATTTTTCTTCATTAATAAAATAATCCTATCTTTCCTATTCTTTTTATTTTTCTTTTAACATTTCTTCAAGTATTTTTTAGTTTTCTTCAACTCTTTTTTTATTACTAAAATCTTTAGTTGCAATTTCACCTAATCTTTATCTGTCTATTTGATTTTATGCTTTTTATGCATTTTTTTTAATTTAAGCCTATATTTTTTCTAATTCTAGTTATTATTATAATTATCCAAAAGATTTTAGTTATTCATGATTTTAAGTTTATTTATTATTAATTTATTTGACTTTGTTAAGTTAAGTTTTCTCTTATCCAATATCCTTAATTGGAATTGATTTTTGTTGATCTAATCTTTTAATTTAATCAAGCCATCTAAGAAATTCTTTATCACTTAATTCTGCCCTTTTTTTATTTATCATAGTATTAAAGGTTGCATCTTCAATTAATATAGATGCTATTTTATTTTTTTAATTTAATGCTTCTAATTCCTTTTAATTTAGTTATTATTCACGATTTGGTATCATAAAATTTTACAAAAAAAATTATTATTTATATAATATTCTATGCTTATTTTTATTCATCAAATCTCTATTTTTTTTACTTTTTCTCCTAAATCAGGAACTTCTTATGCAATAACTTTAAGTTTATCCTTATTTTATAATAATTCAGCTGTATTCATTTTAGTAGTCTTTTACTTGATTTTACTTTGTTTTTCTTAGATTTAACTTTTTAATATATCTGCATGTCTTAAATTTACTTCTTTGATATACTAATGTAAAAATGGGATTTGAATACATCAAATTTTTTTTTTTCATGATCATTATAATTGTCTAAATCTTATTTCCATATTTCAGCTTATCTTTTATTAAGTTCTTCTTCTTCTTCTTATCTTCTTTTTTTATCTTCAATTTAAGAATTTAAAAATGATCTTAATTGTTATCTTTAATCTAATTATTTTAACTTTTTCTTTTCTTCTTCAATCTTTTCTCTTTCATTCTATTATATAATATTTCTTAGCATTTTATCATCTTCCTATTTAATCAATTCTTTCTAATCTTTAACAACTCCTTCAGCAAACATTCCCATAACTTTTTTCATTTTATCTTCTCTCTATTTTCTCTCTAATTCTCTTTATTCCTCTAATTAATTCTATAAACTGATATATTATTATTGCATTTAAATTTCTGCTTCTTTTTCTTACTTAGCATCCTCAAAAGCTTTTTTTCTATATTCCTCATTTTCTTTCATCATTCTTAGAAAACGCTCTCTTTCTTTGTTTCTTCTATTTAATTACTCTCTTTATTCTAACTCTAATTCTTCTCTAATTTTTCTCACTAATAAACTATCTAATTCTTTCTCTCTTTTTTATTCAACTTTTCTATTAATAATATAATAATAATTATACTTTCTTTACTATTCATCTCTTACTTATTTGTCTCTTTACAATTTTTCATTATATATTTTATTCTTCAAATTATCCTATTTATCTTTCTCTCTTTAATCATATACATTCAATTAATAATGATGCAACTTTACATAAGCATCTTCATCTTAAACTTCTTCATATTTTTTATTTTATTTCTCATTTAATTATCTATCCAATTCTGATTTGATCTTCTTCTTAAATTCTTATTTTCTTATGAGCTCAAGTTCTTTTTCTTTTTTGAATAATTCAGTATCAAATTTAACTAATGTTGCCCATTCATCATCTTCATCTCCTTCCATCATATAGACTGATTTAGGTGCCTTGTTAATAAATACTTTATACCTTTGAAGATGTTTCTGAATAGTAATCTTGATGTTATTATGGAGCTTATTACATTTATTAATTTGATTTCCTTGATTAACTACTTGGAGGTTTTTATTATGGAATCTATTACAATTATTGTTATTGTGTGACTAAAAAATACAACATTATTATACCTTATGATTCCTTAATTGATTAATCTACTTGAGATTAGGTTGTAGATCCTGCATTTTGAATTGCTTATTAAACTTATTGTTTTAAATTTTTCAAAGTAACATCAGTAACTCTAGTTTTTGAGAAATATTCATTCACAATATTGGTGATAATCTACTCTCTAAATTGTAAGTTACTTATATTTTATTTTTGTTATTCTTTCCAAAATCTTTTATAAATCTTTCCAAAACAGTCTATTTGAGTTGCTCTCTTTATTATTAAATTAGAGCTTTATCAATGCTTTCCTTTTTCTTAGACTCATTTGTCACAGTACTCATGATATTTATATAATAAAAATTAATTAAAAACCATTCCTTAATATATTTGTATTTAATCAATTAAAGCGCCAATAATGGAGAAATAAAAAAGAAAGAAACATGGAGCACACAATGAATCCAAGAGTTTATGGAATTATACATTATCTCCAGGTTGGTCTTAGGAAGAAGTCAAAATACTTAAACTTGCATTACAGAAATTTGGTATTGGTAAATGGAGAAGCATCATATAATCAGAATGTTTACCAGATAAATCAATTGGATAGATTTATATATAAACTTAGAGAATGCTTGGATAATAATCATTGGGAGATTTTATGGGTATTCAATTATATATAATCATAATATAGGATTGTAGATTGATTTAGAAAAGGTTTGGATAGATAATAATTAAAAAAAAGGAGTAATGAGAAAGAATGGATGTGTAATTAATACAGGCGATAATCCAAATAAAGAAGAAAGGAAGCAAAGAATTGAAGAAAATAGATAAAAGTACTCCATAACTTAAGAGGAAGTAAGATTATATAAATATTATTTGAGATTAATAAAATTAAATTACCACGTTTCAAGAATGATTGTGTTGCTAAATATTTTACAATTTAAGAAATTGAAAATGATTAATTTACAACTATAGAAAAATTATAACATTTTGTGAATTTGGAAGTAGAAATTGATAAAAAAGTCAAGAAAATTTAATTTATGAAATCCCATACTAATGGAAATAGCAATTTAAATGGTAATGGCAATCATATTCAAAATAATCACTTAGATGAATAAAAATGATTAGTTTTAATTTTGTTTATTAAGAGTAAATTAATAATAATATTAAAGATTTAATTATAATTTAGATAAGGTATATTCATTTTTATAATGATATAAGACCATTTTTATAAAAAAATTGTATAATTAATTAAATATAGATAGTTATCTTTAAGAAAACTTATTTTTAAAGTTTATGAATTATTAAAAATTTCGTTAAAATGTAGATTTCTACTTAAAGCCTCATAAAGAAAAACTGGAAAGTCCAAAAGAAAAATCATTTGTATCTCCAATTAGGATAAAAACCTAATTTAGTAATTAAGAATCAGGAAACAAATAGAAACCAATTCCAATTTCAAATATGATGGAGAGGATTAATAGAGTTATTTTAGATTAGAGAGTCAAATCTCCTATAACTACTTAGAGGAAAGTAGAATAATAAAATAAGGAAAATCATATGGAATGTTTTTTAAAGAGACAGGGTTGTTTAACCAATTATTATAAATAAAAATGAGTGCATTATTTATATATATATATTAATCAACTATTAATTTTACTTTTATAGAATTGAAGTTCTTATTTTGTTAATTAAATTCGTTTTCCTGTATCATCAATTAAAGGATGTCCATCTTAACTAAGAATAAATCCATTTTCATCTACTTAATACATTAATTCTTCATCTTCATCATCATTTTCATGTATAGTTGACATTCTTTAGGCTAAAATTTAAGTTTAAATTTTACATTTTAATTGATCAAATTCTTCTTTAGTAATTTATAAATTATTTGGATCATGTACATTAATATTATCCAAACTATCAATCATCATTTGTTCATTCAATGCTTTTATAGGTGAATCTTCATTAATTTAATTATTTGATTAAATTTTAGTTTTTTAAGTCATAAATTATTAAGTGATAGATGTCTAAACAATTTATTATTAGGGTTATGATTAATGTGATTTATTTTATTTAATATTATGAATATTTGTGATATCAGTAAGAGGATGATCTGATGATATGTATTCAATTTCATGAATTTCACTATTTGAATCTTTACTAGAATTTAATATTGAACTCAAATGATCAGGTATTTTTCGATTTATCAAATAATCATTTACTTATTTATTGAATTACTCATATTTCTTAATATATTAATCATAATTATCTAAGGAATTACGTTAAGGTATGTGTTTTTTATATTAATATTCTTCTGTTTCATTTTCTTTTCCTCTATAAGATTATTATAATTTATCAGACTATTTGCTAGTTGATAAATTAATTTAATAGAGTTAAGATTTCAATTTCTCTATTTAAACTTGCAAAGCTTTGAAATCAGTTTATTCTTGTTTTTGTATTTTATGAATCATTTCTCTACAAGTTTAAGTAATTTAAAAATTGAGTTGTTCTTTTATTTAATTGAATTATGATTCAATATTAACAGATTCTTTTTTTTTTTCTTATTGTAACTATTATTATTAGATTATAAGTTATTATTATTAATGCATATAATCGATTTATTTATTTTATTATTCGAATAATTTTAGCATTTCTTCTCTTTAATTTCTAAGAGCATTATCTATATATAATTGTAAAGAATTAGAGTTTTAATTAGGTCTTATATTTGGTTAGGACTACATAACTGGAACCACAGGTGATTTACTTGAATTAGCATCAGGCTGACTCATTAATCTTAAACTCTAAAATCCCTTTGGACAAATTTATTAATAAGAAATTTGATTGTTATTATCTCTTTCTCTTGATATTTATCTTGGTTCATTATCTAATTTTAAATGGTGGATTCTTACAATTTTGTAATTAGACATATTAAATAGGATGTGTGGATGGAGTAACTTAAAGGAATTAAAATCTATTAGAATGTTCTAATTTAATAATTAATTATACATGAGATTATATTATTGCGTTGAATAGGACTTTATGGAGCTGGAGAAAGTCTACGCTGTTAATTCATTAATAGTAAATTAAAATTTGAAATTATTAATTATAGTATATTCATAAAAACCTATTAATGATGTTTGCATTTAATTAATTTAATGAGGATTTTAATAAACAATGATCAAGATAAGAATTGTAAATAATATCCAAGATTAATTGCTAAAGACAGTTCAGAAAACCAATAAGTCAAATTCTAAAAAATTGAATTTTACAATAAATTACATAAGTAAGTAAAACCAAGTGTAGTCTTGAAATCTTTACATAAAACCAATAATGAAATTCATAGTTATTAATTAATTAAGATTTCACATGATTTGCAAAGACAAAGAAGAAAAAGCTACAATGAAGGCTCGATTTCATAAAAAATTGTAAGTGATTTATTTTATTCTAAAGTTGAATATAGATATTAAATACCCTAGAACTATTATATAATAGCATCAATTTCTAGATAGAGTCAAAGATCTTAGAAGAAGAGCAATATAAGGTAGAATGAAAACGAAATTTCAGAAATCGTTTAAGAAGATAGATACACCAAATACAAGCCAATTCCATCCTTTGAATCATTCTAATTCTAATAGGGATTCACATTATGATAGCATGTAGGATATCAAAGTTCTAAGGACTTTTACCAAGGATCGCACTTACTACTAACGACCATTGGAAAAAAAATGTTCTGATTTGATATCAGACTCCCCTAGTGAACCTAGTATTTAATTACAGTAAACAAGAAAACATATAGTTTTTGCACCTAAATAAAAACAGTATGTTTTACTTTAATTAAATAAATACAAACATAAACCTTATGAATAAATTAAACGAGATTCCATCATAAAATTTCTATCAGAAACAAAGGAAACTCGAATTTATACAGCTCCTTAGACAGCACCCCTATTTTAACATAGACTTCAACCTTATTTCGCTATTTAAAAGAAAGTTAATCTAAAAAAATCTAGCTTCACATCTTCTTCATAAAGAGTAAAAACAATAATGTGATGAAATTTGTTTGATGATAAATATATATATATATATAAATTAGTATCAATTATAATGACTTCTACTTGTTTTGCTACCAACAATATGTTTAGTTCTTTATTTAACATTCACATATCCACAAGTTCTAGAATTTTATATATTATTATTAATACTTAATGCTATCTAAAGAATTTCTATTGGATGCAATAGAATTTCGATCACAAGTAGTAATTACTTTATCAAATTTTTCAATAAAACTTTATTTTACACTACTACATGTTATCTTATCAAGATTTCTTAAACTAGTCTTTTTAGCAGAATCATGCTATTTTATCTCTCTATAATAATTAATAATTTCATCTTAAGTGCATTAAATAAGATTTAACTAATTATTTGATAGTTCAAACTCTTCATCAGAGATAGAACATTGCTTTTTGAAGATTTCTTAATATTTAATTCTTGAATCTATTTAATTAATACCTTTTTGTTTCTTCCAATTATTCTTTAGCTTGCATATCAAATTTAATTAAATAATCTTAGATGTTATTTTTTATGATCTGTCTATATTTATCTAAATTTCTATCAATATGAGAATCTCTTAAAGCAGTGCTTTGATATTTATCTGACCAAAACTCAGTACAATGAATGCGACCATTATTAATCAAAGTCACTTTATGTTGTTAAGGTTTTAAAGGCTCAAATTTATGTTTTCTATATATTGCAATAGTATCCTTTCTATCTTCTAAGGCTTTGTCTTTCAGTAGAAACTGCAAATAGAAATATAATATTAAACCGGTAATGAAAGCATCATATTGAAATTTATTTTTCGTTTATTAGCTAACTACTGTAAAGTATATTATTCAATAGGAGGCAGCATGCTTAGCTGTGATTTCATGATCTCAGGATGAGAATTAAAATCGTCTTACATGTATAAATTTAATATTATAAAAAAATGAAAGTCTAAAATAATAAAATTGCAAGATATATCTATTATTTGATGAGTTTAATGGTTGACAAATATATATATATTAAAATGATTTAATTGGAAATGAATATGAATTTTAATATTATTTAAAATAAAATTATCAGAATAGAATGGAAATTGGAGTTTAAAAATAAACATAAGAGGAAAAGTAAGTATAACCAGAGCAATTTAATAAACTTGATGATAGTGGTGATAAAAAGTCAACAGGATATTGTGGATTTCTAACAGTAGAGTAATACAATAATTCTAAAATAGATATTATACTCCTTATTTCAATGTTACAGAAACAGATGTAATTCAAAGAATTTAAGCTACATTCCTTCCTTTCAGACCAGATTTTCTTAATATAACTAAAGATAATCCAGATTTGTAATATATATTGATTTAATTTACTAGATGGGGACCAATATGGATCAATGCTACTTTAATTTTCCTGATTACAGCTATAGCTAATTTGAGATAAATAGATTAAGAAAAAGAGAACCAATAATTTGACGTTGGTTATGTTCCTTAAGCAACAGCTTTGTTATACATAATTGCATTTGGAACTCCAGCTATCTTAGCAATTGTAATGAAGATCTTAGGAGTTGACTTAAGTTTCTTCTAAACTATTTGTTTATATGGTTACTCCATGTCAACATTGTTGCCCATCACAATTCTATGTTATTTTTAGAATGAATTGTTTTTGTGGTTAATTATTGTATATGGAGTTGGAAATTCAATATTATTCTTAATTTTCAATTTGAAAGAGTAACAATAAATACAATAATATTATTAGAGAATTAGATAAATTATAGATTCAGAAGAAGTATATCATAATAGGCATTGTAGTTATAATGCAATTGTCTCTCTACTTATTTTATAAATTGGTCTTCTTTTCTTATGTATCAGAAGGAAAAGTAGAAGCCAAAGTTGCTTCATCAGATTCAAAAATACCAGGAAATTGATTGTTCTAAATTAATATTGTATGATATTATAATAATTCAATTCTTTATTCCTTTAAATTTGTATATCTAAACATTTTATTATTAGAGCAATTATATCTTATTGTATCCTATAAGTATTAATCTTGATTAAAGAAAAAATCAATCTTATTGGTTTTTTTTAGTTCATTGCTAATAAAGCAAATAAGAATCTTCAGCATCATAAATAGAGAAAGCATTATTAAGTAATATATCAAAAAGTAATAAATATATGATTAAACTAAGTAAAACGTAATTAAATAAAAAAATTAAAACATAACCTACAAATGTCTGGTCATTAAATCATTACTTAACCTTAGAGTCGTAGTCAATATCAGAGTAACAACAATATCTTGACAGCTCAACCAATTCAATAATAATCTTAAAATCCTTTGAACTATCCAAGTAATGCTATTCCTGCTCCTTTTATGCCTCCTCAAATGACTCAATAATCATAAATGCAATCTCAAGTATACTAACCAAAATTGATGGAAAATACAGTGAGAATGTAGTAATAACCTGAAGTACATTGTCCATTTTGTTTAACTTGTTAATAACATAAGAATGATTTATTAGCAAGATAAGAAATATAAAAAGCTAAGCCATAAGGAAATAGTAATTTTCCAGATTATGAATATGGCGTTTGTCCTGATTGTGAAGGTGTAACTGGGGATGGAGATCCAGAAGATGATATTGGAACAGAAAATTAGAAACTTCGAGATGATATAGCTGCTAAAGCTAAAGCAAATAGAAAATTAAGGAATGATGTGGCTCGATTATAAACTGAATTAGATAGAATTAAACATTTACCAGAAGAAAATGAGAAATTAAAAGCAATGATAGGTCCTTTAGAAGCTTAGTTAAGAGATGCAAGACATAAAAATTAAGATTTACTTGATGACAATAATAAATTAGGAAATGTATACTATTTATTTTATTATTATAATAGTAAGTCAAAGATCTAAGAAATAATATAGATAAAGCTAATAATGCAGCAAAAGATAATGATAATCTAAAAAAAGAGATTGATGATCTAAAAAAGAAGAATAAAGATAATGATAAGGTGTTGGAAGAGAATAATGATCTTAAGAATAAATTAAATAGATTAAAAGGTGATAGAGATAAAATGTTAGCAGATTTGGCAGCTTTGGAAAAATAAAATGGAGCCATCAAGTAACAAATTATTAAGTTTTAAGGGATAAATTAGGTAAATTGGCCAAAGAAAATAATGATCTCTAAAAAGATTTAGGAGATTTAAAAAAGGTTAATAAGGATTTGGAAAAGAAATGCAATGATCTTTAATTAGATAATGATAATTTGCATTTGAATTTAGGTGATGTTAAAGGTGATAGAGACAAAGCAAAAGATTAATTAAATGATTTACATAAAAATAGAAATTAATTACTTGATGAATTAGGCAAAGTAAGAGATAAATTAAAAGATGCAGAGTATATATATAATTATATTATTTTAGAAAAGATAAAGATGATCTTGGTAAAAAATTGAACAATGTTCAAAATGATGCAAAAAAGGCAGGAGATGTACCTAAATTAAAAAGATAATTAGATAATGCATTGTTAGAATTAGATGATTTGAAGGCTGAAAGATAAGAATTAGAGTAATCTAATTACTTATATTTAGTTAACATTTAAAATAAGTTCATGATGACTATAATAAGGCTTTGAAAATATTGAAAGACAATGGTTTATTAGGATTATTGGATCCATCTGAATAGTAACCTGTTTAAAAACCTAATCCTAATGGATAGTTTGGACCAGCTGGTTAAAATTAACCATACAATCCAAATTAACAACCTCTTTATGCTCCAAATGGATAACCTCTCTACGGTTCTAATGGATAACCACTATATGGTCCTTAAAATGGCCAGCCTGTTTATGGACCAAATGGATAACCTATTTATGGACCTAATGGTCAACCAATTTATGGTCCTATTGGATAATATGGACAACCAGGTCAATAGGTTAATAGTGCATATTTAGGAACTCCTAATTAGATTTCTTAGAACAAAATGGGAGTTAATCCTATGAATTAATCAAATTAATGGGGAGGTGTTAGTGGAAATGCTGGGAGACCCTCTTATGAAGAGCTTATGTTAGATAACATTAGAATGAAGAAATGTATTGATTAGTTAAACTATGATTTAAAGAATAGTAAAAAGTGATTTTATTGGATCAATCAGTATATTTACATTTTAAATAAATTTTAATTCCAAAATTTATATTCATTATTTTATATGATATTACTATTTTCTTTAACCTAATAATTAAATAATTAATTACTTCATTTTATATTCTTTCAATAGCTATTACAACTAAATTTCTGCTATTTCTGATCTACTTCTAATTTAAACTGATTGTCCTACATATTACTTGTGTATTTTATTAAACATTTTTCCTTCCTTACTTCCTTACTCTATATATTCAAAATATCTTCTAATATATATATATTTAGTTGTTATACACATATCAATAGCAGTTATTTCTATAAATAGCATATTCTATTCTACTATAGAGCCGAATTTTTGCTCTTCATAGTTGAGACTCTCATGTTTTAAAATTCTAACTTATTTCCAATAAAAATTGAACAAATATATTAACACTTCCTCTCTTAATAAAATTGATAAAACAATTTATCGAACTTTCTTCTATATACTAAAAGAATTACTCTCAATAAGATAATATATATAAACATTATACTATAACATACTTAATAATATATTTTAATTAAATTTCTAAAAACTCTAATTCGTGTGTATGTCCCATATTTATAATATTTTTTTTTTATTTTTATTAAGACCTTTTATTTGATTTTTCAAGTACATTAAGATTCTTAATTCGAGGTCAAATCTAATCATTTTATTATAAATTTGAGAAGACATCTGAATCACAATTTTAAGTTAAAAATATTAGTTCTTTCGATACATAATTATACAAAAACAATCAGTTTTACAAGTAAATTATAATATATCATCAAGGACATATTTTAGAAATAGATATTATTAAATAAATTTATCACACTTGTGAAAATATGTATTTGACGTAGCAAATTTCAAGATAATTCTTCAATAATTAAAAATTATAAAATAATATATATAAACAAGAATTTAATTCTTATTTAGATTATAAATCTTTATTATAATAAGAATATTTTTCATGGGGTGTACATAACAAAAACAATCGTCTCCATCAAGAAAGAGAAATGATGATAGCACAACTAATGGATAATTCGACACAAAATTAACTTAAAATGTTATTACAATATAATATTTCAACCAAAAATAAATTCGATCAAAGATTAATTCGGGAAGGCACTATAATTTTGTTCTTTAACAGGTTACCCTACAAAACAATATATGTAAAACATCTAATTTGATAATTATAGTAAATAGTACAATCATGGTTAGGAGAAAAAATCAAGAAAACTTACCTTCCAAAAAAGAGTATATGACAAGCTCTAATGGCTGTAATTGATTATATAAACTATTTTATCTAAATTTAACTAAAGCTAACTCAAATAAAGAGCACCATTTTGAATTTCTTGTCTTTATATGAGATATTTAAATAAAATTTAATCTGTATGTCAACTATATATGATTATAGAATTTTTGTATGATAAAATACACTTTGTCTATTCTTCAATATCATCTCAATAATTAATAATAATAGTAATGTTGGATTAAAAGGTTTAACATTAACTTTTATAATATTAATTTACATAAATGGAATTTATATTATTCTAAAATAAATTAAGCTTCTTTTTTAAAGGAATATGTAAAAAGTGATTGTTTTATGTAAAGGATGATTCTAAAAAAGAATAAAGAAGCTTGATATATGATGTTATTCAATTTTGTTTGATTTATTTTTGTTGAAAATAATAAATATCATTTGAAAATTATAGAAAAATTAAAGTGTTATGATAAGAGTATTTTTAATAGAAAACTAATCGATTATTTATCTCAAAGTGTCTTAACATTAGTTTATATGTAATTAAATAACTGGGTTTATATATGTTATATAATAATTAAATAGGGAATGACCATTTTAATTTAAACTATCATTAAAATAAAATGAACTCTGGGTTGAACAACTAAAATTCTTTATTGCAATAACTTATTCCAACTTAACTTGAGGAATATTAATAACAGTTTAGGTATGATTCCAAATACACTTTCCCCTTATCATATTACCTGACTAGCTCTAATCATTAATTCGGCAATTAATTACTTATTTTAGATAATCACATCTTTTGAGTACTTTCCTGAATATGAAATCATTGTTATTTCCAAGCTTATTCCAATAAGTTCAAGACAATTCCAATAGAACCCTTTAACCATAAGATCTATTTAATAACAATTTTGGTAAGATATCATCAAGTTCACTTATCTACTATCATCTAATGACCTTATAGTTTTTAATTTGCCATATTTTAATATAGGTTTTGGGAGTACAATAAATCCATTAGATTATACAAAGCTTTTATAATAAAGTCTTTAGATGACTAATTCTTCTTCTTTGAATCCGTTCATGTCTAATCAATTGATATGCTAAATGGGTCTAGGGAATTAAAAGAAATCAAATACTTATAATAATCCCATTACTGTCGAGGATGATGAACCATAGTAAGTTTAGAAATGTCATAATTAAAAATGCAATAATAAAGGTGATCGAAAAGCCAAATCAAGAAAAGGAGAAGCCCTTTAATTTTGTGAGAAATGTTTGAGATTATATAATCGTGGAAATTATTGTGATTTTTGTGAATAGGTATTAAGAATTATTATAAAATATCCATAGGTATATTCAAATGGTGCTAATGATTAAGATGAATAGGAGTGGATTTAATGCGATTCTTGTGAAAAATGGGTAAACTGTTGAGTTATATAAAAGAATCATTTAAATTGTGAAGCTAAATTTAGGAATCAAAATATCAAAGAAGAAACTGAAAATAAAGTATATCATTGTTTGAATTGCACTAAAACAAATAAGAAACAATAACAAACTTCTCAACCATAAAAGAAATAGGAAAAGTCTGTAGAGGAATATCTACCAAAATAGAGATAAATTATAGAATGTGATGATAATAGAATGAGAGAAAAAAACATTAACTTCGTTGCTACTAGAGATAATAAAGTTTTATTTAGTAAATTCTTAATTTTATTAAAATTATCAGCTTTTAGATTTAATCTTTATGAGGATGAAATTAAGCAAGATTTAGATTACCTGCGTAATGCAGGCAAGAAAATGATTAAGAAATAAAACATAGTGGATTCTCCCGTCATGAAAGTAAATTCTACACCATAATAGTAATAATAATAATAATAATAATAATAATAATAATAATAATAATAATAATAATAACAATAATAATAATAAGAAGATAAAGTAATTCTTATTTCTTAAAAAATAGAATTCTGAATTTTAGGTGAATAGCAGACTTAGAACAAGACCTAATAATAAGAATAAAGTTAATTATAGATATTTAGGGGGTGAATGAATAATAATTAGTATATCAAATTTTAATTTAAATATCACTCATGTAAAATCTAAATTTAAATTATTTCTATTAATTAATTAATTGCAATCGTATATTTTTATTTTAGGATCAAGTTTTAATAAAGGAAAGGTTCTAGTAAATAAATACTGGAAATTTAATTATACTCTTGTAGCAATTAAAAATGGAATTCAAGTTGTTATTAAGAATGATTAAATAAGAAGTTAATATCAATATCTAACTAGATTGACAGATTCATTCAATATTTTAAAAAAAGCTTACAAGAATTGCAATATTTTATAATTTCTATAAATTATGAAATTTATTAATGAGAATATAATCTAATTATTAAATTTATTATATGTCAGTGACAAAAATATATTATGTTCCTGAGCCTCTGAAACCGTCGCCAAATTATCGAGAAATTGTTAAGTATTGAAAAGAATGATTATAGAAAATTAGTAGATTCTAGATAAGAGGATAAATAAAAATTAGATGAATATGTAGATCATTTTCAACCGACAATTGATGAAACAAGAGAGAAACAAGATTCTTATCTTGGCAAAAGGTGGTTTTTATAATTTATTATTTTAGATATCGATCTATTTTGCAAGCACTTGAAAGGGCCAAGAATAACTTAATTAAGTATAATTTATCATTGTTGGAATTACAAGATAAAATAGAAAAAAGTGTAGAAATTAGAAAAGTACTTGAAGATGTTAACAACTATAAAACATATAGTGAAGCATTAACAGAGAATATCAATAAGTTATAAAATTAAATTTATGAACATACTACAAGATGTAAGAATCTTAAAAGAGTGATTGAATATAAACATGCAGCACTTAATAAATAAAATTCAAAAAATCTTGTTCTTTTAAGAGAAATTAATGCAGCTAGACATCATTAGAAAAAATAAAAGAAAACATCAGAAACTTTAAGAACTTAATAATAAACTACTTTTTATCAATAAAAACCACTTAGTCAGTCTAGCTAAAAATAGGAATAATTAGTTGATCCTTAAATTGATTAAATTAAATATGAAAATAAATAAATGAGATATTAATTAACTTCATATAGGAATAATAAATATTTGAAAATGGATTTATTTAATGAATGTATGGAGGCTTATAAAAAGTATGATTTAAGAATTTAATAATTAGATATTTTTCTAAATCTTAAAAAGTAGTAAAGAATTCTGGTCTATAACACTCTCTACTTTTCAATATTTAAAAAGCATAATTCTCATTATAAGATAATGTTGCTAACAATAGATATAATCATAAGAATTTAAAAAGTGTCATGGCAGGAAGATAAATCCGAAATCTTGTTCATGATACTCTTAAATAGATGGCAGAAGATAAATAAAATAAAAAAAATCCATCCTTTGATAATTTGCAATTAGAATGGGAAATTTATAAAGACTATAGTGCAATGCAAATTGTAGCTTTAATGTGTTTGAAACCAAAAATATTTACTGATTTGGCTTAAATGTTTTAACAGGAAGTTTTACATTGAATGATTATATTATAGTCTACCTAAAATTGTTAAATAATGAATCAATATGAATTTAATGTTATAATGAATAAGTTTTATCAAAAATCAAAAAGAGCATTATAAAATAAAGATCAATTTTTAGAGATTTTTTAGCATTATAAATTTTCAATTAATTTTTATGGCATTTATCTATTTGTATCTTCCCATTCATCTTTGAGTATTTTTTAAAAAGAATAATCTTCTATATTGGTTATTTTTCTGTATAGTTCTCTTTCTTGCATATTTTACAAAAAGTTTCTCCATAACTATCCTTTAGATAACTTAAATAGAATAAAAAAATACAGTTAATCCATTTCCAATAACAAATAATGCATATTTAGCTCTTGTTAATGCAACATTTATTCTTCTACCATCATTTAAGAATCCAATTCCTTTACATTCAGACGATCTAACACAACTAAAAATTATAATATCTTTTTCTTATCCCTTATTTTAGTTTAAATAATACCTAAAATGAATCAACCGTATTTACACTTAATATTTTATTGTCAATATCTTTTAAATTTGTGTTACTCTATTTAATTAAAGATTAAATAAGTTTAACTTATGATTTATATGAGGATATAATCCCTATAGTTTAATTTTTAAATTATTCTTTAATATTTTTTATCAATTAAAAAACTATTTTAGCTTCTTTTTCGTTAATATAGGATGTATTATCTCTTTTTTCTTATCCATCAATAATATCTAAAAATAACATTTACTTTTTAAAATAATTTTCAGGTAATTCTCTTTAAATTACTGATTCATGATCTATAAGTTTATTTTAATAAAATTCAAAGGATGGAAATTTTCTTATTTCACTATCCATTCTATATTGAATATTTAAGAAATAAGGTTAGAAATTATTATCCAAAATTCTTTCAAATAAACTTCTATTATATAAATTTGTATTTGATATTGTTGAAAAAGTTGTAGCAGCTAATTATTTTGGATCCCCAATTAAAATCATTTTTTCAACACCTAATCTTAATGGTATAATATTAGAAGGTTCAGTACATTAGGCAGCCTCATCTACTATTAATAATTCAATTTAATCCATATATTTAGATAATTTTTCAGATCCACTTGAATTTAAAGTACTACATATAATTTCAGATTCATTCAATATCTTTTCACAAAATAAATTATATGATTCTTTATATTATATTTTATTTGTTTTCATTCTTTCTAGATATTATTATTTAACTGACAAATCTGATTTCAATTTTGATATTTATTCACTATTAATAGATTAATCTGTTGGATCTTATTTTTTTATTTTCTATAATTTCTTAATTTAGTTTTAGATCTTGCAAATATCTATTCTTAAATCAGCTGTTGTCTTTTAATCTGCTTCTTATTTTGCTATTTAAGATTTTAATAGCATATTTTAGGCTAAATATTCTAAAGAGACTTTTTTAATAGTATCTGAATAATCGCTTTCCTCATCAATTAATCCAATTCTTATTACTTTAGCTTCTCGTGATTTACCATCTGAATCAAATAAACTATCTGGTCTCATAATTCTTAATATGATTTCATCTATTGCTGCATTTGAAGGTGCACAGATCTTATTTAAAATTTAATGAAATACCAATATTTTTTTTCTTGGGAATTTATCATTAATTTTCATATATTCATAAGCCCCAGATAATATTCCAATCAAAGTGTGAGTTTTACCAGTTCCAGGCTAAATATATACAAAATTTTACTGGTCCCTAAAGTAAACTAATGCCCTTCTCTTGTTACAATATTTCCTTTATAGAATTAGCTTAACTTTAATTATATTTTTTATCTACCAATTTAAAAAACTTAGTTAAACATTCACTATTAGAAATCTAATTTCTAAATTATGCTGTCCATGAACCTCCAATTTCAGTTCCCATTAAATGTTATTATTAATTTGGATCATAAATTATATTAAATAAAGGTGTCATCATATATCTTAACTATGAAAGAGTTTAAAATTCTCTAATCAAAGTAGTTATTTTCATAAATGGGATTAGAAACACATTATACCAACGTGAAGAATTGAGTCTTGATCTTTGAACAAAAGTTTACATTCTTATTTGTTAAATTACTGTTGCTTTTTATGGTTCAATTAAGATTCCAAAAAAAAGCATTGTTTAATCATTTACTTAATTAAGTTGACTTAATTTAATTTAAAATTTATTGCTGATAATTACTAAATAGTTTTTTAAAGATGTTAATTCGCAATATCCATCTTTAATCTCTTCAAAATTTGAACCTTTCACACCTTATGTTTATTTATTATCTTCATCTATATCTTAAATTTAATTTTATTCATTGTTTTATTCTTCATAAATTTTTCTAATTTAAAATATAGTTCCATCTTTATTAGCTTCTTATTCATCTAATTTGATTTAAATTTTTCTGTATTTATTATTTTTTTTCATTTTAAACATAAATTCAATAAAACTTTATTTAATCTAAGCACAAGCCTCATTTAAGAAAAATTATTAAAATATTTTACTATATTACTCCCAATCTTAAAATTTAGTAGGTATTTTATTAAATTCAAAATCTTATTTACTTGTATCAAAATAATCTTTCTTAAATAAATATTTTAGAAGCTTATTGTATTCAAAAACTTAATTCTCAGGTTATTAAAAATTATCAATATGATCTTCAAAACTACTTTTTATTTAATTAGATCTATCTTATTCATTATTCTTTTTTTTCTATATTTTAATTGAACAATATTAGTGATCTTCATTTAGTAATTCATCTATCTATTTTTATCCTTGTGCCTATAAATATTTATTATCTAAAGAATCTAATTTTTTTCTTTCTAACTCTTATTCCACTAAGAAAAATGATTTTTTACCCTCTCTATTAATTAATTTATTTCTTATTATCTAATCTTAATTATCATTATTTTTTTTCTTTTTTGAAGAATCCCAAAATATACAATCTGAAGCAAATCCAACTTTCTTAGGTTCATTATTATTTTAAATATTAAAAGATTTATTGATAGGTTTTATTAATTATTATTATTATTATTATTATTATTATTATTATTATTATTATTATTATTATTATTATTATTATTATTATTATTATTATTATTATTATTATTATTATTATTATTATTATTATTATTATTATTATTATTATTATTATTATTATTATTATTATTATTATTATTATTATTATTATTATTATTATTATTATTATTATTATTATTATTATTATTATTATTATTATTATTATTATTATTATTATTATTATTATTATTATTATTATTATTATTATTATTATTATTATTATTATTATTATTATTATTATTATTATTATTATTATTATTATTATTATTATTATTATTATTATTATTATTATTATTATTATTATTATTATTATTATTATTATTATTATTATTATTATTATTATTATTATTATTATTATTATTATTATTATTATTATTATTATTATTATTATTATTATTATTATTATTATTATTATTATTATTATTATTATTATTATTATTATTATTATTATTATTATTATTATTATTATTATTATTATTATTATTATTATTATTATTATTATTATTATTATTATTATGCAAATTAATCACTTATATGATTATTCAACTAATATTTTGCTGTTTATATTTCGTTATTTTTATTATTTACTAATTAGCCTAAGTATTTTTCTTTAGAAACTTACAAATTTTTAAAATAATCATTTGATAATCTATCAAAAACATCATTTGACTTCTAATCTTCTGAGATGATTTTCTAAAAATTCTTTTTTAAAAGTTAAGTGTTGCAATCTTATTTTTAACGTATATCCCCATTCTAACTATGCTTTAAATTACTAATACTTGCAAAATCAATTTTTTTGATTCTTTTTAAATTTAAAATGTTGCATAGTCTTTTCTTTTATCATTTTAGTTATTATTCTAAAAGTCATTTTACTTATTAAAAGTGAAATTATCTCTCATTTTTTATTATTATTAATTCTAATACAACAAAAGAATTTATGTCATCATAGAGTTTATATTTATGAACTCATTATTTTAGTTAAATTTTATAAATATTATTTGATAAATTTTAAAGTTTTATATTTTATAATATATAATTATTGAGATTAGAGTATTATAGTTAAAAAATTGATTTTATATGTTTCAATAGTAGATTTGTAATTAATAAAGTGTTTTTATCTATTTTTTATTTATTATAAAATGGCAAAGAAAAAATAATAAATTGAAGTAGTAGAATTTACAGAAGCTGAAAAGAAAGCACTTGAGAAATTGTAAGAGTTGTGAATAATAACTAGAGATCATTCTCATCTTTTAATAGAAATTCAAGTCTTATAAGATAGAATAGTAGAGTTATAGAAAAAGATTTATGAATTAAATGAAAATAGTAGAAAAACTAATGATCAAAATGTAAAGTATGTATAGAATTATGTTTAGTTGACTTTGACTTTAAAAATGGAATCTGATATTATTAAAAAAGAAAGCGAATATAATATGCTACTTTAATAATATGATGATTTAAGAAAATAAACAACAGAAGAAATAGAAAGTGTAATATAAAGAAAAGATGATAAGATAAAATGTAAATTTGTTATTGGATTGAGTAGATTTGGAAAAAGAAAAAACAGAATAAGAAATTAAATATAAAGATGAATTATAAAAGATAAATGAAGAGTTGAAAAAGTGGAGTCATTTTAAAGTAAGTTTAATACAATATTAAGGATGAAAAAGAAAATTTGATAAAGGAAATTCATGATTTAAAAGAGGAAATGACAAAAAAGGATTATGCTCATTTAGATGAATAAAGTAAAGCAAATAAAAACTTTCTTAAATAAACACAAAATTTAACAAATGTAAATAATGCTAAGATTGAAGATGTATAAAGGAATGCAAATAAATTAGCAGAAGAAAAAGTAGCTGCTAAATATGATGGAATTCTTAAGGAAAATGAAAAAATAAAGAATGAATTATTGGAATATGATAGAACCTTATAAATATATTAAAAAGATAAAGAAACATTCTAATAAGAAAATATTAATTATAAATTAAATCTAAGTATTAAAGAGGAATAAGCTTAAGAGTATATTATTATATTTTTTATATCTTTAGATATCAATTGATGAATCATTAATAAATAATAAAGATTAAATAATTAAAAGATAGAATTGAATATTTGAAATCCTACATTGCAAATGTAATCATTTTTATATCAATTCTACTTAGGAAGTTACAAAATAGACAAAGGAAATTGAAATAATGAAACATCAAAGTAATACAAAAGTGTAGGAATTAGAAATTTAATTAAGAAATTTGAGAAATCTTTTAGATTAAAGAACTAAAGAATTAAAGACTGTTAAAGCTTTAGCCTAAATGATTTTAGATTAGAGATCAGACATTGAATAGTTTTTCCTTTAGGCAATTGATCAAGTCAAAAATGAAATGAAAATTAAGAATAAAAATCAAAAGAATAGTCGCTTACCTGATATATCATAAAAATCATAAAGTTTAGAATAAAACAAAGTTGATATAAATGATTTGGATTTAGAGGAAAAGGAAAAGTTGTTGAGGATTCTTTTCTCAAAAATGAATTAGGGAATCCCACCAATAAATTGGAAATCTTAACTTGGTCATGTATATAAAATTAATTTAATATTATAGAGTAAATCTTAAGTAGATGCTAGTTCATTTAGAGATAACTAATATCAATGAATAATAGGGATATGATTCATATATTATTATTATTTAAAATTGTATTTAAAGAGAAGATAATGGGGATACATTTTATAGATTTTTATCGTTTTTAATGAGAGTACGTTTTTGATTAATAATTATATGAAATTCATTATTGTTGTTTTATTCGCTCTTGCAGCAACAACCTATGCATCAAAAACATAGGATCAAATCCTTGCTTTATTATAAGTAAATATATTGCTATATCTTATAGACTGGAACAAAAGCAAGTGATGCTATTGATACAGTTTTTGGTATACTCAATGATTTAAAGTAATCAAATATTGATACTCAATTTGCTGCAGATTAAAAGAATGAAACAGATGAATGGATTGGCGCATAGTAAATAATAATAATAATCCACTTAGAACTATTGAACAATTCACAAAAATTAAAAGTCTGAACTAAAAACTTTTTAATTAAGCCATAGAGAATAGAGCCAATTATGAAGAAGTTCTTAAATAAACAAAGAATTATTTGGCTTGGAATGAAGCTAGAAGAGATGAAATTGCAAGAAAAATTGAAGCTCTCTCAGATAATTAATGCTTTAGCAATTAACTTTTTGTCAAATCCATTAAACATAATCAAGAAGCTCTTGAAGTCATCAGACTCTTAAAATAAGATGTTGCTGGTTACATCATTAATGGAGATTCATTTGAATTTACTTAAGTCAAAGCTTAATCAGTTGCTGAGAAATTAAAATAATACAGCAATTTATTCTAAGATCATTAAATTAAAGCTTTCTTGGCTTTAGCTAATGGACAAGAAGTATATCAAATAATCATCTTTTTAGGAAGGAACATAATCTGGTCATGGAGCAACTTTAGCTGAAAAAGTTTTGAGTGTTCTTGAAGGATTAGAATCAGAATTAGATGCTTCATTAGAAAATTTGAAAGTAAATGAAATCAATGCATCATGGGAATTAGCTGGATGGGTTTCATTATCTGAAGCTGAAATTTCCTCTTTAGAAGTTGAATATGAAAGAAAATAAGTCTTTGCTGATAGAACTGCTACTGTAAATAAATATTCTTAATTTAGTAAATCTAAGCTGCACTTGCCTAATAAGCTAAATCAAAGATTATTTTATAAGAATCTTAAGACGCTTTAGATTAAGCTTAAGCTGACTTAGAAGCCAAAAGAGCTGATTATGCTTAAGCCAAGGCAAAGAGAGAAGAAGAGAATGCTATTCTTGATGAAGTCATCATTATGTTCAAAAAATAAGTTGCCTCTTGGTCTGGAAGATGAAATTGATATATTTTATCATATATTACAATCATTTATCAAAAATTATACCTTAAAAGTAATCATGATTAATAAAATTAAATGATTACTAGTATCAGAGAACATAAAATTATTAATGGTTTTACTAGACCTAAACACCCTTTCCAAGTCTTTACTATGATATTCTTTATTCAATTATTGTGTTGTGTATCAATAGCAATAGTCCCAATAACTGATCTATTAGTTTAGGTAAGAAAGAAAGTTAAGTAGATTATTTTAGCATCTTTTTTTTACTTTTTGGCATTAATGATCTTTTTTTATGCTTTTAAGACTTCTTACATAGATCCAACGGATGATTTAATTATATAATAAAGAAATGGATTGAATGTGTATTTATGGTTCATTGATATTTAGTGTATAAGATCAAGAGCTTTATGATTATTTTTGTTAATATTGTGATAGTTATGTAAGTGGTACAACTAAACATTGTAAAGTTTGTGAAAGGTAGAATATATATTAAATTTTGAGATGTGTTTCAGATTTTGATCATCATTGTAAATGGTTAAACAATTGTATTGGGAAAAAGAATTATTAAGAATTCTTCAAATTATTAGTATTTGTATCATTATTTGGAATCAATTTTATTGTTTTTGCTATATTTTCCTACTTTTTTTAATCTCCTCGAATGATGATATGGATTTGGATAAATGTTGGTTTAGTTGGTCTCCTTTTTATTCTTAATTTTAATTTGATGATTTTTCATTTTTGGTTAAAATTTTAAGGAATTACAACATATTCTTGGATTATTTAAAATAGATAGAAAAAATTTTCATAATAAGTTTAAATTGAAACTCCTCAAAAATTTTGGTAACTTTTATTTTTATCTAATATATTTAGTTGTAGTTCAAAAAAAACCAAAAAAACTTAAGTAAATCCAAATATAGAATAAGAGGAAGATGAAAATGAAAATTAAAAGTAAAAAAATGAAATAAAATAAAATGATGAATAGAGTCAAATAAAAAAATAAAATGTAGAAATTGAAGGGGATTCTGATTCTATTCAAGATAAGAATTCTAAAAGGAAATGTAGTTCTCATACAATAAATCCATAAATTAACAGTTAATTATAGGATTGATGAAAGCATATTAACTTAAATTATAGTTTATATCTAAAATAAATGAATGGATATTTTTATTTAATATGTTAAATCAAACTTATTTCAATTTTTATCATGATTATTATTAATATCTTCTTCATCTTCTAAAATGTTTTATACACATTTTGGATATTCATTATGATTCTATTATCTATAAATTGGAGAATAATCTTTCTAAAAATTAAATAAAAATTTATACTAGATATGCCAAGATATTTTTTGCCATTGAATCTTTTTTTATCATAAAAGTTGGTATTATCAATTCAGGAATAGTTGGTACATTCTCTCTATTATATATTCTTAATTTATGTTCTTCCATATCTATCCTTCCACTTCCTGATTAAATTTTATTCTTTGATGTAATATTTAAAGCAGGTGGTTTCTTTTGTAATTTCTAATATTGAATTAATTTTATAAAATTATTACTGCAAATAAAGCAGGATTTTATTTTTTTGCATAAAGTCGTTCAATCATATTATCATAAATCTAATCTCTATTTTTAACAGATTCAGAATAAAATTATTATCTTGGCATTTTTTGATTTTCCAATTACAAAGTATTTCCTTAATTATTATCAATCTCCTCTTGATTTTTTGAATTTTGAGTTTATTTTTCTTCATTTTCATCATCTTATTAATTTTATAATTGTATATTAGGATTAGTCAAAAAATCAACAGATTATTTTTAAATAAATCCATTTTCAACATTTCTTTATTGTTCTTATAATTCTTTTTGTTTTTTTGTTATTTCCATTACTTTTCGATATGCTTATATTTTTTTGTCAATTTGTTTAATAGCTTCAGGTATTGGAATGGGTTCAGGTATGTACTAATTATAATAAGAATAATAGATACAGGAGTAATATATTAAACTTATGGTTAAGGTAACTTGATTAGTTCTTATATAATTTTAGGTTTACGACTGACTTTCTATAAATACATAATTACAAAAACCGTTATGCATTTCTCAATTAGGGATGAGAATTAGTATCTTCTGAATCTGATAAAAAATTGGTTGGTTTTCGAGTTGATTTTAGTTTCTCTTCTTGTTTATAAAAATAATAATCTGACATGTTTTAATTTATAGTATAAATAAATATAAATAAATTCTAAGTCATAAATTTTTTTTAGAATTATATAACTTATTTATAGCCTATTTTCCATTCAATTCCTTATAAAAATATTATAATTTAAAGATATTTGCTAATTGAACTCTTACATCATCTACTAATAGAACTATTTCTAAAAATGATAGTAATAGCTCAAGTTAATTATCATTTTATTAACCAATAAAAGGTATAATTGGTATACCATTATTGATTTAAGCACTTATTTAGAGAATAAAAATACATAAAATTTTTTGGTGAATTTTCAACAATAACAATATCTTTAAGATCAGTTTAAAAAATTCTTAAATCTTTAACACTACCAATCATATGTTCTGATGTGCAAATTGCTTTAAAATATTTTTTATTTGGATCTATAATTTTTAACATCTTAAAATTTATCAATTAAATTACGTTTATTGCGTGTTCTTTTTTAGCAGCAGTAAAAAGTACTAATGTACAGATTCTTGATAATCTTTCCAGAAATTCTTAGCAAAATGGACGAATTATAGTCTAGTTATGCTTATGATAAATTAATGTCTCATCCAAATCTAATACAACAACTTTTTCAACTAAAATAACAATATATGACTAAAATATACGTTTTTATTTCTTGAGCTTCACACTACGTTTATCTACATACTCTTTGGGTGTTTCAACATACCAATGTGACTAGATAGACGCTTCATGAAGCTCTCTTGCAATCTATGAATCAGGCATTATTTAATTTCTAAAAACCAACAATTGCGGTTTTTCTGAATTTCCTGAAGAATCTGGTGTCGATTCTGCTGTGTTAATTAAATCTTAGTCATTAAAAGTAAAGATTTTTTTTTATTAAAGAACTTAACAGGACTTGCTATGTTATGTGAGTCTCATTTGATTCAACTTAAATGGATAGATGATTAATTATATTTATTTATTGTTAATAAGTCATCAAATCAACCTTAATTAAAGATAAATGTTATAATATCTGATGATTACTTTTAAATGTATTTATGTTGATATATCAATATCAAATCATAAATTTTCAAATTAATTCCTTTCAAATTGCTAAACCTTAACTATATAAATGTGAAAAGTTAACTAATCAGAAATTTATAAAGAAATTGAATAGTACGTTGAACAAAAAATAATCAAAAATTTTATAATTAAATATAATTATAATCATTAAATTCTCTTATTAAAAAATGTAAAAACTATAGAATATAAATAGTACTCTAAAAAGCTATATTTAAAAAATACATTAAAAATAATATAATAATTAAATTAAGGAAATAAATTAAATAATTAGAAATTTAAAAAGTACAAGTATAAAATTTATTTTGATTATGAATTATACTATTATATCAACTATAATTAAATGATAATACCATTCTAAATCATAAAAATATATTGAATAATAATAAACTCAAGTAATTTGGTAATAAAAATATTTATTTTATAAAAATAAAATAAAAATATTTGATTATATAAAATAATAAAAATAAAAGCTTCATCATTGTGATTGAATACATACTATATATAGTTTCTATCTAAATTTATTGAAATTTCTATTGATTTATTTTATGATACATTTTTATGGTTTTGTGATAATATTAATGATTAATTCTTTTTTTTTTAATTTATTATATAAATTTAATTAAATAACTCAATGCAATCCTATAAAGAGGCTTTATAACAGTTTTAAAAAAATTCGATGAATCTGCCAATGACTGAACACGAAGAAAAATTAAATGTATTAGTAATTAAAACTAGATTATGTTAGAATATCTATTACATGAATTAGAAAAAGACAAGAAGGAATTATAGATGCTGAGATAAGAAATAATTCATGAGTCATATCTATAATCATCAATAAATGATGATACATCAACAAGCTTTATTGAAGAGATAGCTGATTTTACTCGGAATTTTAGAAAATTGGCTGAAGAATCAAATGCTGAAATACATGAATTAAGTAATTAAGTTGACACCTTAAAAAATGAAAAAGCCAGAATCAAGAAATCATCTAATTTATTAGATCATAGAGTATTCGAAATGGAAAAAGTATTAGGAGTAGGATTAAATTAAGCACAATCATAAGAAGCAAACAACTGAAATTTTATTCACATATCACAATTTATATTTAAAATCTCTATCTAAATCACTTTAAATTTTAGGTAGTTTTGTTCATATTTTAATGATCTATCTATTAGAAAGTGTATTCTTAGTAATATGATAATATAATTATAATACTATATGTATATATTATTTTATATGAGAATAAATTCATTTATTTACTTAATAAGTGCGATTATTCTATTCTTCACTATCAATTTGATCATCAATATCATATTTCATAGAAGGTTTCTAAATAGGTACTTATTAAGATTAAAAATTAGCTAAATCAATTTATTATTAAGGAGGTATTATATTACTTTATTATTAAAATTTCTAATTTTGTTTTTATTTTAATTAAGACATATAGGGAGTTTGGTTTTAGTTTTATTGATCTAATGATTATTATTTAATTGGACTTTGAATAGACTATTAAAGGGATGGATCAATTGAATTAGATTGTTTCATAGAGATTGATGGTTCATTATTATTATTAAGTTATTATTGATTTTCTAAAATTTAATTTGGAAATTCTGATTAATCAATCTATTTAGCATCTAATTGATTTAGTTCTTATTATAAATTGAATTAGGGTTTAAAATACATATATAAATTAGAATTATCTGATTTAGTTCCTAATTGAGATTAATTGACAGTTGAAAATGTGATTAATCTATATTTTGGTTCAATTTTTTTTTTAAGTTTTTTATCCAAACATATAGAGAAAGCAGTACATTCAAGTAAAGCAAAAACAACAAATAATAAAAACATAATGAAACTTAATCTCCATTATTTATCAATGTTATCTAATTCATTATTAATAAATGTATCTGTTTAAGTATCACTACAATTCATATCATATGATATTTATAGAAATAATTTAATATCCATCCACAAACCAAATGTCAAAATAATCATTGTTGAATGAAAATATTAAATAAATATTTTAACTATTAATAATCCTTAATGAACATTTTTATTTGTTGGTGCTTAATATTGAACTTACATAAAATAATACAAAGATTAAACAAAACCAACAAGTCCAAAATGAACTATGCTAATTATCATTAATATTGATAAAACAGGATAAATGGCATTACTATCTTTTAAAGTTCTTATACCCCAAGTTATTAGATTCTATTATCTACATTCAATATTAAATTAAGTGTAACTACGAGAATATATACCAACCCTAAAAGATAAATTAAAAATATATACTTATCAGCAGTATTTGAAGTAAATCCATTTGAAGTTGCAAATGTCATTTCATCAATTTGATTCAAAAGGGTGTAGGCTGTATCATTCTCACAAAAAGCATTAGAAAAGATTGTGTCATAATTTGTATATTAACTAATAATACAAGGAGTTGTTCCAAATATTTCAAGTTAATTTATTGGTAATGCCTCTGCCAATGTTGAAGTTACTAAATAAAAATTATCATTTATTTATAACTAATTTGTGTATTTAGTTTTATCAACTTTTTTCAATTCTTATCATAATAATCTATTTTACCTTCTCCATTTACAAAAAACATACTATTTATTGGACACTATCCTTAGGGAGCACAATATTTATTTTAAACATATACACCACCACATAATTCTTCAGTATCTAAACATTTAGGATATATTTAATATTCTATATTAATTAATTAAGGTTTACTCTTTACGAAGTTATAATCTTTTAATCGTCTTATGCAAAGGGAAAATACTTAATTTGAATTTGTCCATTTAGTATAATATGTTTAACCCTATTATAATTTAAAGAAGTCTTCTGAATCAGATTCACAAGTGTCTTATTTATAAACTTCATAAATTGGATTCAATTCCCAATTCTATATTCTGTCAACATAAGGTTTTGTGAGTTCACTAAATTACTAATAGATAATAATGAAATTATAACATTCCAAGCAAATATGGACAATACTAATATTGCTAAAGTATATGCGAATATAAATGATTAATAGAAAATAGACAATCTTTTGTATATTCTCTTAATGTTTATTAATTAAAAGTTACATGTTTTGAATCAAAATTTACTTAAAAGCACATTCTCACTCTTTTTATAAATATATTATTTATTAAATTTAATATATAATTTATAGGTAGATAATGAATAGAATTATATTAGCATTTTATATTTCTCATTTCTCTTTAAATAAGGTACATCAATTTAATATTTGATAATTTATTAGTAATTTTAGTATTATATCATATAAACAAATGATATAAATAAACTTAATATATATATATATTATGAAATTTATTTTTGAATGCTTTGTTATAATTTTATAATTAAGATAATTAATGGTTTGATTTTAAAATTTCCTATTTATGTTTATAATGTCTTGAAATTATTAAAAATTTATAAATTAACGAAAATGTTTTAAGTTTTAAGAAGTGTGTTTGAAGGAAGAAATCAATTTGAAAATTATTGGTGTCATCTTTGTAAAATGGAGATAATTTAGAGAACTTATCAATAAGAAGAATATTAATAAGAGTATTGCATATTATGCGATAGTCCATTAGAATAAATGGCATAAGGTATTAATGATACAGAATTACGATCTTTTGAGATATATGTATCTCCAGAAGTTTAATAATCAAGGTCTATATCTAGTTGGACATAGAATCTTAATGAAATTTCAGATTTTCTAAATATTCTAGCACATTTTACTGAGAATTTAATTTTCTTAGAAGAACAATAATAAGGAGCTACAGAATCATAAATAAATAGTTTAAGGGAACATGTAGCAAACATAGAAGATTAATAATAAACTTGTTATATATGTTAAGAAGACTTTAAGTAAGATGAGACTGAATTAGAAATGAGTTGTTCTCATAATTTTCATAAAGATTGTTTAACATAATGGTTAAAGATAAACAATTCTTGTCCAGTATGTAGAACAAAAATAAATTGATATATATATATATATTTAGTTACTATAATAATATATTCACTTATTTAATCTTTCTGTTTTATTAATATCTTCTGTTGATTAAAAACTGTAAATTGGTCGATAAACATTAATTTATTCCTAATCATCAATGTCTCTTTTTGGTGATTCTTCTAAATATTATTATTTAATTTAAGATAGAAATTTTTAAATTTCATTCTGTTAATCAAACTAATTTTACTATTTTTAAAAAGAATTGTAATTAAATGTATTTTTTTGAATATCATTTTATTCATTTTCTTTTATTTCAGGATGATAATTTGATGTTTGATTGAATTACATTTAAAGTTATTGACATTCTAAATATTTCTCCTAATACTTTTAAGATAATTCTTTATTTTGTTTCATAAGATCACTTACATATTGTTAAAGTGATTCATTTTATCTTATTGATTATGCAAGTTAATCTTATATAGTATTAAATTTATTTTTGAGATTTGTAGTATCTTCTAATTTAATATTTTATCTATTTAAAGCATTTTCTTAAATAAATTATTTTAAAGTATCGATTTAAGTTTAAAGTTCTTTGATTATTTAATTTTCATTTCTCTTAAATTCTAATTAATGAATAGTAGCCAATAATTTTGCTATTTCCCTCTCTTTATTGACACATAAAATAGATTTTTATTCTAAAATAGAGCGTAATCGTGTTCTATCTTCATTTGCTAAATCTAATGCCTTTTCTAAAGAAGTAATTTTTTATTCTCTGAATGTAATTTCATTTCTTAAAACTTATAATTCAAAATCATGATTGACAATTTTAATTTTTTCTGGTGATTATTAAGTTTAAGTTGGTATTGTTGCCCCTTATTAAATGATTTCAAATTTTTATTCTTACATTTTCATAGGTGTAGTTTTAGATGATGTATAATAAGATTATGCTTAATGTTATTAAACTGATGTAGAATTGTTTGGATTTGAATGTTTATGACCAATTATAGGGGATTATGTTCTGATTGGAGACACTTAATTAGTTTTTTAAAACATTAACAACAGACAAATTAATATTAATAAAATTCTTCATAAATATTACTTCAATATTTTTTTTGTGTTATCCAAAGATGTAGGTAAACTTGATTTAGGAGATATGTATTTTGTTTCTATGGTATCCATTCGAATGGAACCATAACTTGTTGTTTGAATTGAATCTAAAAAGATATCTTTGAGACATTTCTTTTATGCAGGTTTCAAAATTGATAATTCTACCTTTTTCTTTTATGATTCTTTAGGTGAATTAAGACCTGAATGAGTTACTTAGGTAACTAATTATGAATTTTGAAATTCAGTCTTTTAAGTCACATTCTATAAAGGATATCTTTAATATTTTTTTATGATTGGTTAAGGATTATAAACTAATTCCAAAGTTTAATTAATTGAATTAGTTATCAACTATAAATTAAGATTATTTGATTCTATATTCCTTTATTTTTATTTGTTTTAAATTTTATTATTTTCATCAACATAAGGTTCTGTACTTAATGGAGCTAATTTATGTAAATGCATATTTCTAATATTCAATAATTGATCTTATCTATTGAATTTGAATAATTTTTCATTTCCTTATCTTTTGTGAGCTTCTGCAAATTAATTTTCTTCTTTTAATGATTTTACCCTATGAGAAGCACCTTTTAGATAAGTTCTTTTAAAATTAGATTTAGTTATTGGAAGTCTTTATAAATCTCTAAAACTACTAAAATCAGTGGCAATTGGTGTTTTTATGACTCTTAATTCTTTAACTGATATAGATACTTAATTTGACATTTTAAAGTAACTTGTAAATATAATATTTATATTATAATAATAATAATAATATATCCATCATTTCTAATTTCTTATTAATTGCTATAAAATATTTGCATTTTCACATAATACTTCCAAGGGTATCAATAAAAATAATTATTTTGTTCTAATCAATTCTTTATGTAAGTACAACCCTATATTTTTATTACTTATAATAATTAAAATAATATAAAGTATTAATCCAAATATGAATCTGATAGTATGCACTAAATAATTCAAAGATAATTCTTATTAAGCTTCATGAGCCACGAAATCATGCAGCAAACTTAAAACATGAGATGTGTAAAGCACACTTATGATATCATTTTCTAAAGTTTAATTAGTATCCATATTAGACAAATAAGATTTAAATTGTTTATTATTAAGTTTATTCATTGAATAGAATTATTAAAAACTTTATTATATAGCAACTAATTAAATTGTTAATCCTGATGCTAGACTATCAAGATTTTTACAGATATTCTCATTAAAAAATTAGCTATCTTCTGTAGTATTCACAATAGTAAATTAAAAAGCTTAACAAGCATTCTTCTTTATTGTATTTGTAAAGATTACATTTGAAAATGATTTTTAATCATTCAATCTTTAAATAAAACCCTAAAGAACATTTAATTATTCTTCCATAAATTTTAATGCTTCTTCCCCTATTCATTATATATAATTAATTTTACATTCATTTAAAAATAACATCTCTTCCCTTCCTATCTAAACATATTTAATTAATAATTTCTAAAAACTTTTTTGTTATAATAAATATGATTGGGATGATTTATAGAGTAGTAATTATTTGAAAGAATATATTGTCTCTGCTTCAAATGAATTTTAGTAAATTTGAGAACCTATGTATTAAGATGAAATAATAAAGTAACTGAATAATAAAAACAAAGAGTAAATAAAATAAATAAAAGCAGCTAGAATCTAAAATAAAAAAATACTTTTACTGTTTTCTTTAGATTTATTTTATTTGATTTTTAAAGATTATCTTTTTTAAGGAGTTTTAATTTTTATTCTTGGAGTAGATGCAATTTTTGACTTTATTTATTCAAATTGATGTTCAGTAGTTTCTTCATTTATAAAATCAATCTTATCTAAATAATGTACAACTATTGAAATTTATTCAATTAAACAATTTAATTGAGATTTTGAAATAGTATTAAATAATTTAATTATCTTTTATTTTGCTTTGCTAATAATTATTAAAAGAATGAAGTAAAACAAAAATGCAAAACAAAGTGATATCAAAGTAAAATAAAATGATAATTTTGTTGATTGTTATGCATTCATAAATTAATCTACACTATCTTTAATTACTGTTGAATTAAATGCAGAATTTGAAGAAATTATTGTAATGAAATTTCTAGCTATAAATTCTAAAAAATATTCTTAATTTGAACAATTTGATTAAGATAATAAATATTAAGAAAAATATCCCAATGAATAAAACAAACTTAAATTTGTTATATTTTCAAATTCACTTATTTAAAGATATTAAACTAAATTATAATTAATTTATTACTTGTATTCTATTCAATATTTGGTGAATAATATTAGAGTTTAGATATATCATTCTAAAAACGACTAGCACAAAATTTCATATATTGATAATGATTAAATCTATTTGTATTAGAATAATTGAATGTCAAAATAAAATTATTAAGCTATACTTAAAAATTGTTAGATAATCTATATGTTTCTAGTGCTGAATCAATAATCTATAATATATAAAAATTATTATATATTACCTTATTTTCTTAATTCAAAATATAATAGTAGTAAATGTTTAATATTATAAGCAAAGTAAATGTAATTAAATTTATTATGCGTATAATTAAATGTTATTTAGTTTATTCATCAAATAAATTATGTTTCAATTATGTTTTCTTGACTTTTATATCACTAATTTATGATGAAGATATAGAATTCATTTAATCTCCATCAAATAAAAAATTATCAATTGATCCTATGATTTCATCAGAATTCTTTGATTTAACAGATTCTTTATTTTCATTTAATGCTTCCAATATTGCACTTGAATGCACTATTAATTTATTTTAATCAGAACCAAAGACTTAACTAATCCCATTTGAGAAATTACTACCAAAATGATTTAAAGCACCAAAACTAGGTCCAATTGAAGATTTCATTCTAAATGTTTATTGATCTTATATTCTCTTATCTTAACTATTTGGTTAACTAATTAAATTTTAACATTCTTCTATCTTATATTAATTTAATATTTACTTCTAAGATATAAAGAGGATTAGTTAAATGAATTTACATTTCCTTTTATCTAATCATATAATCATCTTCAATTAATTTTTATGTATCTAAATTATAAATTGTCTATTATTCAGGTTAATAAGATATGAAACCAAGTGATTCCTTTTAATTAGTTATTTCTAACTTTTTACTTTTTAATTTCTTAAAATCCATTTTATCTTAACTTATTTTAATTATTTTTCTACTCAAATTTACATAATCTGATTTTTCAATTAATTTTTCAAATATTTCAATTCTTTATGATTCACGAACAGGTTTAATAGTTTAAATTTCAATACAATAAATCCTAAAAATAAAAAATGTTATTTTACGTCTCCTAAAATGTATAAAACTCAATAATTTTGAATGTAATTCGAAACATATACATTTATTTGAAGTTATCAAAGTATTTTTCATTAACTAAATCTTAAGCTTTTAAGAATTCATAAATAGTTTTATTTTTATCTGATAATGAAGATTATAAAAGTATTTATTATTTTTTTCTCTTCTTTGGAATCACAATATATGATTGAGTTGGTTCTTTAAGATCTTATTCCAAGATATTCATCTAATTAAGTGATTTCCAACTTTTAATTAATTTTGGTATTAATTTAAGACAATCCAAAGATTTGATATCTTTTAAATCAATACAAAGTATGGGTAATATAACTTCATTATATAACTTATCACTTATCTCTTCCACTAAACCATATTTATTCAACATAATATAATGATAATTTTAATAAGTAGGAAGTATAAGAGCAGATGAACCAAAATCTGATCCCAAATCTGTTTCCAATCTAACTTTTGCTATAATAGGAAATATAAATCCTAATTTATTTTTGACTAATAGAAATCTTCTGTCTGATTTCATTATATTGATTCTTCCTCTCTCAACAAAGTTATCTAAATATTAATCATGTACTTCTGCTATAATATCAGGAATGAAATTATTGATAGAATTATTCATTATTTCACTATCTATTGTACATAGAGCATCTCTAAATGTTTTAGTGTAGTTTTTAATGATACCTTTAGTATTTAATAATGTTAAATAGACAAGAGCAGCTTCTTTATGAAATAGAATTCCATTTATTGAATTTTAAAATTTATAAGCAAATAAAGAATCTATTGCAGGAATTTCAATTTTTCTTTTATTGAAATTAATGTACTTATAAAATAAATTTATTAAAATATGACATTATTAAGATAGTGGATTTTAATTAAAAAGTAATTTTAATTATTGTTCTTGATCTGATATTAAATTTTATAAGTTAATACCATCAATTATAAGTTATGTAAGATTTTTATTTAATAGAGTTATATACCATTATTTTTACATTTATAAGATTTGACCAAACTTTTCTTTCCATATATTTATAGATTTAATGTAATTAAAGACTTTAAAGCAATCATATTTTTGATTAGTAATGTTTTTATTTTCTATCATCATTAAAAAATCATTTTTAACAAGATTTTCAATTGAATTTGTAAACATTTAATCTAATAGATTCATACCAGAATACATATTATTCTTCAATTTGATTATTTCATGAAATGCTTTAGTAGGTTATTTTATTACTTTTGATATATATAAGATATAATAAAAGTAACTTTTGAGATATAATTAAGAATTGTTTTTATTCAAACTTAATAATTTTAATTCATAATGATATCTTATTAATTCTTTTACATATTATTTAAATTATAATCGAGAGATAAAACGATCATCTTATTATTTGTAACAACGACAAAAACAACTTATTGTATTTTCACAATTAATTAGATGATTAGTTGAAAATGAATAAAGATTTAAGTTACTTGGCAATTAATATTTAATTTCATTTAATAAAATTCCATTTCTACCTAATGCTTCTTAACATTAATTATATATATTCATCATTAAACTATCAAAATTCTTATTTTCATAACTTAAAGTTTAAGTTTTATTTTCTTATCTTCTAAGTATTAAATTAGAAATCTAAAATACTAATGGTAATATAATCAATATCAATTCTGAAAAATCTTGGTGTAATCCACCTGCAAAAATGAGTATACATAAAATAATTGATAAATAAAGTGAATAAGATTATATTTAAATTTTATTAACTAATTCTTCTTAATATTATGGATTACTATAAGATAATATTAAAATTAAAATAAGTAGGATTATTTATGTTATCACAATTATCATTTCATCAATTTCTAAATTATCTAAAATAGAAACTACAAAAATCATAATTTCTATTGTTTATGATTATAGTATAGTGTGATATGAATAAAAACGAGATAGAAAATCTATCTTTTTGAATGAGAATTAGACATTATGAGTCTCATTCAGTATATAGAATAAGATATTAAGTGAGATTACAAAGTAGGTGATGATTAATACTAAAATTTAATAAGAATTTAAATCAGTATCTAAATTCATATTCTAATATTTACTTTAGTTTGATAATGTGAATATCTTTCTTAAGCCTAATTGAATAATTGGATAATGAAACAATTATTTGTAAATCTTTGTTCCAAATGATATATAATATTAAGATGCTTATTTCAAGTTGAGTATGTTATTTGATTCGTTCTAAAATAAAAAGATTATTACTTCTTACTCATTTTATTAAAATGACTAAAACTATTTCCTTAACAGCTATTTCTTAACTTTGACTCTTTAACAATAATAAAGATGGATAAAACATAAAAAATATAATAATTGTATAGCCAACATTAAAATCAAGAAAATTTCTGACCATATTTCACTATTATTATAATGAAAGTCAAGGCTATTAATAATTAAATCTAATACTTGATATTCTAAAAGAATTTGTTAAATAAAAAAAGTGGTCTTGCATATATTTGAAATAGCATAGAAAAGGGATGGCAAATTATATAGTATATCTATGATTAAGAAATTAGTATCAAAGACAAGCTTAAAGATTTATTCCTACTAATTTTATTGTAAATCTGGTAAAATTCACATGAGTAAAATAGTTTAATTGGTCTGAGATATTTGAACATGGTCGGATAAATATATTTGTAAGTATCAATTATGATTTTTAATTAATTTTAAATTACTTTTTTTCTTTGATGACCTTATGGCTTGATAAATAAAATACAGAACCCCATACATTAAACAATTAAAAAAATAAATATATGAAAACATGTCTTTTGTAATTAATCAAACTAATCTTTTTACATATATATTATCAAATTAACTAGCATAGTAGAAACTTAATTTAAACATAAATAAGAATTCTCATACTCTTTAAACTTTGAAAAATAATTAATGAATAATATTAGTTAAAATAATATTTGATGTTTTATATACAATTAATCAATACATTAAATAATTCTTGTAGGATAACTACTTTAAGTAAAAGAGATATATCATTATAGTAATAAGTTGTTAGAAATAATTATTAATTTTTTTAATGTATTTTTTAATATGTTGGATATTTAAGCAAAAGCCAACAAAGAAATTAATGTATGAAAGTAATGGAAATACCAAGAATGCATTTTACTTTCTTTATCAAATTTATTGATTCGAATTTATAACTTACAAAAATCAAATAAGGAATATGGAGAACTTAGTGTTAATTATATTTACATTTAAGTTAATATCTGCTTAATTTGATTATGTTTCAATCAAAATTTCATAAATTAATAATTACAATTTATGTAATTTATATTTTTATATAGAAGAAAAATTAAAGTATATAAAATAATTAAACATTAAGGATAAATGGAATGATCTTTTTCATTTTATAATTTTACTGTAATTCTTGAATTAATATATTCAATTGTTTTGATTATGAATAATATATTTATAAATAATAGAGATATAATCTAATAACAGAACTTAATGATTAATAGTGATAATAGTATTTATTTAATTTGTATAAAAACTTGTAAATAATTGTGAAAATATCAATATAAAATTATTTATTTAATGTAAATACCTTTACTATACACTTTTATGTTTATTTCAAGTGTCTATGCCTGGAAATAAATAAAAAGATATTTTAAAATGAGAAGTAATGCTAAACTTAAGACCTTAATTGTTGCTATTTCAGTCTTATTGATGATTTTAAATCAAAGATTTTTAATTGGCAATTGTTCATCCATTATGGAATGCATTTATATAAATGTAAATTTGAATTCAATCTTATACCCTTTGATTTGTAATACATTTTTATTCTTGGGTCCAATATACAATTCAATTTTGGAGAAATATCTCAAAAATGAAGGATTTGTAAATAAATTTAATGAAAATCCGTTTAAAGATGATAGAATGTTAATAAGAATAGTATTGGTATAATAATTTTGTTAATAATAAAGGCTCCACTTTTAGAAGAGATTACATTTAGAGCATTATTTTATTAAAATGCAGAAAATTAGTATTAATATCGTTTATTATCTTCAATTTTATTTTCGCTTGCTCATTCACATAAATTCTTCTCATTTTTTAAAAAAGAAAGAAAATTTAGGAGTTTATATAATTATAAAGAAACAAATAAAATTTAAAATTTTAAGACATGTTTCACTAAAGCACTTTTAACAACCTGTATTAAAATCATAGTTTAATTTAATAGTATTTATTTTAATGTTCACATTTATATTTGGATTTTATGCTGCAACAGTTTTTCTGAAGACTCGTTCATTAATTAGTGTAATCTTGCTTCATTCTTATTGTAATTATTTAGGATTTCCAAAACTTAAATAGATTTTTAGTAATACAAAAGTAAATATTATCAAAAGTATTAATTAATTATGTTATTTTTAGTTTTGGTTGTTTATTTTATTGGATTAGTGTTCTTCTATTATTTTATAACTATGTGATTGATTTTTTATATGAAAAATATGATTCATGTTTATTTTTAATTGGAGAAAATAATAATAAATTTTATCCTTTAATATTAATTTAACATGGAAATTGAGGATTGGGAAAAAAGATCTGAAAACACACCACTTAAAGTACACATGATTGGTATTAATTTAAGAAAATTTTAAGCTGGTTGCTTAGCAGGATTGATTGAACATATATCAATGTTACCATTGGATAATGTGAAAGTATAGTATTAACTATAAAATCTAGACTCATCTTTAAGTACTCCCGGATTCAAAGTTCTCGAAAACATTTATATCATTGAGGTATAAACTAAACCAAATTTTAGGAAATAAGGATTAAAGACATTTTTTAATGGATATGGAGCAGTAACAGCAGGTTGTATGCCTGCTCATGCATTTTATTTCAGTAGTTATGAGGTATAAGTAAATAAGATATTTAAGATTTTGAAAACTCTTCTTGATGTTAATGATGAAAATATCCATGCTTATGCTTTTGCATTTATTGGAGCAGTATCAACTTTATGGCATGATCTAATCATGGTACCCTTTGATGGTATGGCTATTATTAAATTTCAGTTATAAAATAAAGATAGCAAATCTAAGAGAAGTGTTTCAAAAAAACAGTGAAAACAGTCTTAAAGTAAGAAGGACTGATCGCATTTTATCGAAGTTTTCCAATTACTTATGTATTTTAATTAACTAAATTTAGTTAATGTCTGCCCCTTATTAAGCCATATTTTTTGCTGCCAATGAAACTATTAAGACTTTAATGTTTAAGAAATCAGAACATAATTTTATTAGTCATTTTTGTTGTGCAGCTATGGCAGGATGTGCAGCTGTTTGTGTTATGAATCCATTAGATGTTGTCAAAACCAAATTTCAGACTTAGAGTTGGCATCTAAACTCTTCCTTGGTGAAATATAGTACTTTCTTAGGAACCATTAAAATAATTTTGAAAGAAGAGGGTTATCTCGGTTTTTATAAAGGATTATTACCAAGATTATGTATGTAAACTATGTCTGGAGCTACAGCATGGGCAAGTTATGAATTCATTAAAAGAAAATTACTTCCTCTTTCAGTTGTTAATTGATTTATTCTTAATTGTACAATATAATTTAGTATTTATAAATAAATATATACATCAAAATCGATCATTTTATTCATTGTCATTTTTGATGATAAAATTATTACTATTATATTATAGAACTTAATCTTCAACTTTTTAATATTTATTAAGATAACATTGTGCAATTCTCATACCCATAGAAACTGATCCCAAATACATTAATCCAATTTACCATGTAAATTAAGGAAACAAAGCTAATCCAACTAAAGGACAAATACCAGTCATTCCCCATCCAAATCCAAATAAAGAAGCTCCTACCAAAAGAACATTAGTAACTTTATTTGTTGGAGGATATTAAAATTCTACATCAAAAATAGGTTTCTTCATTAGTCTAAATCCAAAAAAACATGCAATATTTGCACCTAAAATAACAAATAAAAATTATGGATTCCACTATTATAAAGAAAGAAAACTCAATATAGTTGTTCTTTTAATCATCCCTGAAAATACTACTCCAACTCCTAATAATAATCCAACAGGTATCCCTACTATAGTATCAATTAATTATTCTTTGTTTAAATATGCACCCAATAGAGATGCTGACAATAATACTAAACTTAATCCAATCATTATAATTGAAACATAATTATAATTGTATTTCTCTTCCCCATCTTCTTTGTGCTCACTCATAGTAATAAAACAACTTAACACTCCAAATAGTATAAATAAACCAAAAGCCACAAATGAACGTATAGATATCCTTGCAAGACCACAAAATCCATGACCTGTTGTGCAGCCATTACACAATTTAGCTCCACAACCTATTAATAAACCACTAATTCCTGCAATAGTGTAAGATAGACTAGTAATTTAATATATTTCATTAAAAGCCAAAGATGAACTTGTCATAATGCTCTCATCTCTATAAATAATGTTATATAATACCCAAAAATCTAATACATCAGTCCAGTTGAAAACACTAATGAAGTAAGAATAGATAATTTCCAATAAAATTCATCCCAATTAAATGTAATTACACCATAATAAATACCACTAATTCCAGTTATCCTTCCTTTTGTGATGTAATGTATACTACATGCGACTCCAATCATGATTCCTCCAATCAAACTCAAGAATAAATCACTAATATTTATTATCATTAAAATATTATATTAATATTCAAACATATTTAGAGGCAATAAAACCATCCTCATAGAACCCTAATTTTTCATATAAACCTTTTGTTTCCTTCTTACAATATAATTCCAATAATATTTCTTTATTTTAATCTCCATTTCCATCATCTGTCTTTTTTACAAGATCTTTCACATCTTATTTTATTATTTCCAACAATTCTCTTATAAAACCTTTTCCTCTATAATTTGGATGAGTTACAACATTTTCAATATAATATTTATTCTCAAAGATATTCTATTCAATAACTAAACTTATTGTAGAAGCAATCATCTTTGCTTAAAAATCTTCAACTACATATACAAATCCAGGATAATTGTTATAAATTTCCTTAAATTTCTCAAATGGAAGGTCTGGTGTCTTTGTTAAATAAGATAAACAATGGAGAAATCCTTTTTCATAATCTTGTAGCTCAAGTTTTCTGTAGATAAATTATTATTGAATTTATGTTTAATTATCCATAAAATATTACAATATTAATAAATCCTTAGGAAATATTAACCAATTTAATTTGAATAAATTTAAATTAATTTTATAACGAATATGCTTTAAACAATATAACTATGGAAGAAAGTGAAAACTAATTTGCAATCAAGATTTTCTAATGTAAAAAATACATTTGATTCAATTGATACAAAAAATAATGGAACAATTGATATAGAAGAATTGACTTTTGAACTCCAAACTAATCATGGTATTACCTCTAATAAGTATTATTTTTTAATTATCTAGTTAAATCATGTAAATCTTTAATTTACTAAATATATCCAAAAGTTAAGAGATTACAAGAGAAGAATTTGAAAAATTATGGATGTCTGATGTGACATAATTATCAAAGGAAGAAAAAGAACTTGAAAAACAACCAATTAAATCATATTTAAAACCTCAATAATCATCTATACTCTAAAAATCTGGATCTTCTTAATAATTCTCTAATCTCTTTGATAGTTACAAATCAAATAATTCTCCTACTAAATATATTAATATTTAAGGTGATTTTACAATCAATTAATTTAATACTCCTCCTCTATTAGATAAGACAGCTTCTCCATTAAAAGTTATTTCACCTCCTAAATAAGATTAATATCCAAAAAGTAAATTAGAAGTAAAAGATGATAAATTTAGAGATATGTAAAGATAAATTTCTAATTTATTTAATTGTAAAACTGAGTAACCAAATACAACACCACTATTAAAATAAAATTTTGATGGTTTTTTACATACAATTAAATTAGGGGGTAGTAAGAAATCTAATATAAATATATCATCTAAAACTAAATCACCATTGTTATCAAATCAAATTTCATTATAAAATTATGCATTTTAATTTAATGACATGAAGATGCAATTCAATTCAAAGTACAATGGTGAAAAGATAAACAATAATGTGAAAAACTTTATTTATAATAAAAAATGATAATTTATTATTAATTAAATTTAATCTAAAAATTACACTTTAATTTCTTTTGCTTTCTTACATCAAAAAATTAGATAAAATATATTATAAATTATTAAGATTAAATAATTAAATTTATTATTAATAAATTGATAAAATCTGAAATACTTTTTTTTAATAGATTAAAGAAAATTAATTATTTTATTTAACAAAAGATCTTGCTTTCATTTATATAAATATTAAAATTCACAAATTATATTAGCATAATAACTTATCTTTATGAGATCATACTCATTAAATAATTATTCAATTTTTATTTTTATTAAATAGTAGAATTGATTCTTATCTTAATTAATTAATAAAAATCTTTATAATATTTACTCTAGCAATTAATAGATTTAATAATAATTAGAATTAATATATTTTATATATTTAATTCTGAGAATCAAAAATTTTATAGAATCTAAAAAATTATAATTTTAAGGTGTCATATAATTTATACATAGAAAATTAATCATTTCAATCTATTTATTCTTAGAATATAATTGATAATTGTATTAAATCTAAATAATCACCATAATGAATTTGAAGAATAATTGTATTTAATAATTGTTTTAACTTATTATAAATATATATGAATCACCAAAACAACAGGAGTTACTATTAATTAAACACATCTAACATATTATCAACAAAAAGAGTTCCAAGCTTGACACCTCCTAAAAATTATCATAATAGTAACTCTAAAGATAAAATGTATTGAAATAATTGTTGAATTAGAACTAAATAAATTAAAGATAAGGCTGCAAATAGTATATTAAAAGCAGAAGGATTAAATTTTCCAATTCAAAATGCATTGTTTTTATAGCAATAAAATACAATTTTATCAGCTCGAAAAGCTACAATAAATTTGAGTGAGAGTTCTGATAAACTTAGAAAAACATCACCCAATTAAAAGTATTATATTAAACTATTTAAGATCTCCAAATAACCCTAGATTGTCGACTATGTAAAAGAATAAATAAATCAGCATCTCGTAATCTTAATAAGCAATTGCTTAGGTCTTAGCTAAAATGTAAGAAAATGATAATATATCTTACATCAACAAATAATGTATTATAAATAGATTGAATTAGTGTACTAAATTCCAGAAATAGAATCAACTTAGAAGAGCACTATCAATAGTAGAGAATACACTAACTCATCTAAACATAAGACTGAGGATTATTAAAAATTATTGAAGGAGAACTTGATACTTCAAAAGAAAGTATGCAAATTAGAATAAAAGGTATTTATTTAGATATATTAGATTTTGGAATTGTAATAACTTAATTAATAATTATTAAATTTATCAAAGTCATGTGATTGTCACTTATCACAAATAAGTGAATTAGAATAAGGAATTTATAATATTAATTAAATTTAAGATATAGTGAATCCTTTATAAATGTAAAATGTAGATCATTTAAATATATAATCAAGAGGAGAACAATAAAAAAAGAGATCATCTTATTGTTAAGAATATTCAGATATAAAACCTTAAAATTTATTTGATTATCAAAATTCGAACCTAATAATTGAATAACTAATTGAACAATATCAAATAAATGCATAAGAATTGGCAGTATTCAAAGGTTTAACAAAAGTGATGGAACAAAAGAGTTTGCCTATTCCTTCAGTACTTAAAACATTATCTTTAGTTATTAATAAATGAACTTTATATAAATATTTTAATTAATTGAAATCATTTCTAAATTATTTAGTATTTATTAATATTTTCAATAGATAATAATAATAAAAAAATAAAAAATATTGATAAATTTTTTAATAAGTAAAAATTATAGATAAGAATATATCATATATAATTTGATTTAAGTAATGAAAATAAATTATATGAATTTAATTATTAATATATATATAATAAAATTAATTTCACTATTATAGTTTATTTCTCCACCATCTCCCAGAAAAAACTTATCCATTCGCTTTTATATACTTTCCTGGACCACTTACTAAATCTTAAAGGAAATTGCCTTCAAATTTATCACCATTAGATAAAAATAAAGTTCCTTATCCTTCTTTATTATCCTCATGGAATTATCCAAAATATTTAGTCCAATATCTAAAATTTATTTATAAAGTACATACTCTCCAACTTAATCAAAATCTCCATAATCAAAATCACTAAATAACATTTATGGTTCCTCATTGTACAATGTACCTTTACCTTAAAATTTATCATTTACCCACTATCCTTCATATGCAGGTTTACCTGATGCATAAAATAATGTTCCTAAAATAGAATAAATGTATAATATTACCTATTCCATGCATTTTATTTTCAAACCATTGACCTTCATATACTCCTCCATTATCTTAATAAAAAAATGTACCATATCCATGTCTCATTCCATTTAATTTTTCACCATCATATTTGGATCCATTTGCATATACTTCTATAACTTTTTCAGGTTATACTGATAGATGTTCTAAAGTTTTCTTGAAATCATTCTAATAATTAATGAGTTTCTCTTGATTGCTTAAATTTCTATCATATAAATAATCATATTTATAATTATTCTATGAATTATTCATTTACATATTATAATCCATTTTATATGATTCATAAGTAACAGGTAAATTTGATTTGGATTATTAGATATGTTAGAATTGTTAATATTATTAAGAAGTTTCAAAAGATGTAATTGGCATTACATTTTCTTATTAATCAGGTTCATGAGTAATATCTAGAAATTAATCCATTCCAATTTGATTTCCTATATTATGATCAATTTCAGATGGTTCAGCAATTTAATCAGATAAGGGCAACTAATAATAATATATCAAATTTTTATTACTATTTTAATATGATCACATATATCTGGTCTCAATTCTTATACTCCATTACGTTCAACATAAATGGATTAATTTACTTATTGAGATTATTTTAATTGTTAAGATTTCTAAATCTAACTATTCCTTATAGATTAAGTAGATTATTATATATTAAATTTAGCACTCTATTCTGAATGCATAATTATTTAAGGTGTTTATAATGGTTATTGAATTGAGAAACTCTCCACTGCCTATTCATAAGCTTATACTTGAATAATGGGAACTTTCTTTGATTATATTATTTATTCTTCTTCATAATATTGTTACTGGGGAGATTGAGGAGTAGAAATTCCTTATAATACCTATTTTAATTGTATGAAATCTGGTCTTTAGTCTTCATTTAAGAGTAACATTTCTCTTAGTACTTAAATGTATGAGGATGAGAAAGAGGGTTCTATTTATTATAATCTACGCTAGACTTATTAATGTAAAACTTTTGATCTTGGAATATCATAACAATCATCACAATTATTAAGAGTTGAGAGATGGAGCATTGTCATTCCTAATGAATATACATCACTTTTATAAGGATTGTGCTATGGTTGCATTTCATCGTTCAAAGATTGCATCAACTGTGGACTCAAATAGTTCTAATTGATTTATTTCAATTCGTCTTACACCACTAATTGAAATGAACTCAATACTCCACTCACAGTAGGATCAGTCAATTTAACAAATGGATATTATTCTAAATAAGATATAGTCTCTGGTCGTATAGCTTAATGAGTAATATTTTAAAATTGCAAAATGAACAATCCTTCAATACATCCTTTTAGAATTTACATTAATTCTTATTCTTTGAACTATTGTTTCTTAGCTAATTTTTGTTCTATGATATCATATAAACATAATGGTATATATTCTAACAAAATGTAAATTTTAAAAAATTGACCACAGAATTAACTATCTTCATGATAATATAGCTCTAGATAATGTTATGCAAACTTTAATACTAGTAACATTAATGATGTGTTCGTATGTGTTACTTTCTTTCTTTTCCAACATTACTTTAAGTTTCTTGAATTTATCTTCATCTGTTAAATTGATCTCCTTCTAAAATGCATCTTGTTTTGTCTGTTTCTATTTCACTAATCGACCTTCCCCATATCTTGGATCATCTTTGATATTACGAACCACCATATAATTAGCATGTAAGGCTTTAATGCTTGCGTTACTATCTGAATTCCCCATTTCAAAATTTATTTATATTATTTGATATAATTTAATAAATCAATGTGTAAATGATGAATAATCCCATTTGTTCTTATCTATCTTAATTGTTATACATCCTTTTGATTCTAATGTACTATTCATACAGCAAGACCAACCTTCACTACCATCTGGCATCTTTTACCAAACCCCATTATGACAATACTTATAATCCAAATCCTATTTCAATGTTCTTGCCATATCTGGCTTAAATGTATAGTTTTTATCCTCTATTAAGATTTAAATCCTTACCTAAATTTGTTCTTGATTTTTGCTTAATTTAGTCTCATATGCCAATCTAAAGACAGCTCCATCAATCGCTTATTATGAAGCAGCAGGATTTGCCAATTAATAATCTTATCTTATTTTATTTCTAATCTCTTTCTCATTTACTTTCTAAGATCTTAAATCTAATTAAATTTTAGTCTAATGTTCTATAGGCTTTAAATAATTCTTAATAATCTCTTCCTCTTTGGTCTTAGTATTTTTTAATGCTTCTTTAGTCTAATTTATGAGTTATTTTTAGAATTCCAAATTATTGGTTTCATTACTCACATTCCATTTACTTGAACCTTTCTTTGCTAATAAATAATTGTCTCTAGTTTCTATGCCTTCATATATTCTATTAGCCTTTTCTTTTGGAATTGGATGATCAAATAATCCTAATCGAATTTTAACCAATTTTCTTTCATGGGTTTCTTCAGATAATGGATTCTTAGGAACTGAAACACTACTATTCCATTCTTTCTTTCTTAATCCTAAAATATCCTATCATATTAAATGCAAATTAAATTTACTGGATCAACAAAAGTTTAAACAGTTTCTTTTATTTACAATGCTCTTTATGGAATATCCTCTTTACTAAAAAATTACTCATCTTTATCATAGTTCATTTTATTGTTCTTGATACTACCAATCTTATGAATTCTTTATTCAGTCTATAATATTTCTTATTCTCCATCACTCTATTTTTATCTTCTTTCATAAGCTTCTTTTATAAACATTTTAAATTTAATGTTATATATATATATATAAATAAATATATCATTTACTTATTAGATAACCGAACGATTATAAAAACAATTCCAAAACTTCCTATTCTATCGAAGATAATGATGATTATTAAACCAGTCCTCTAACTTAAGTGAATTATGCACAAGCTACTATTTATTTATTACAAATGACAGGAAGTGTAAATATTGGTAATGATGTATTAAGATCAATATTTGGATTGAAAGACTAACTATTATATGAATTGTGATGATAGGTTATTGATTTATTTAAGATTGCTTCTCCCATAATTCCTTATCCTTCTATATTTTCTATTAATTTAATTGTTGCTATTTCACTATTCATCATTTCTTTTAATCTTTTTTATGCATGTTAAATTAATTATGTTTAACTTTTCAATTATATAAATTGTATACTACTCTTAAGTGCATGTCTGAATTTATTCACAGCAGTCATTAATTAATTGTGATTCATTACATTACATAAAATCATCTTACCTTATTCTGATAACAATTATAATAATGATTCATCTTCTTCAGAATAAATACCACCATTCTTCTTTTCTTAACATACTATAACTCCATAACATTTTTAATTATCCATTATTGGAGCTGCCAATATCACATTTGAATCTATAGGTGCAAATCTAGTATCATATTTAGCTTTCTTTAAATTCAAAATTTGTTTTGTTTCAGCTACAAATCCTATTAAACCTTCTCCAATTTAATATTTCTAATTATCTTATCGAGAATAAAGTTCTTTTTTTTCTTCATCAATCAAATATATCTTTACTTCTTAACTATTCATTATTGTTAAAATTGATTCTCTTAATATTTGGAATGATTCATCCAGTAATTTACTGTTTTGTATCATAAATCCTTTTTAGATTAGAAGTTTAAGTTTAAGAATAATATGAAACATTAGATTATGTTCATGATATAATTTTTTCAATTTGTCATAAATTATTGAAACTTTTTAAGGAGGATAATTATGAATAACATCTAAAAAGCAATCCTCATCATTTAGAGTCTCTTCAATTAATGATAAAGAACCATCACTTTAATAATTGTTGATTAATTCCTCGTCAGTTATATTTAAATCTAATAAAGAATTCAATTTGAATGTATCATCCTATTAAAACAGCACAGTCAATTTACGATTTATTGTATTTTTTCTTTAAATTCTTATAGGTTTATCCAATTAATTCTCAATCTTTTACTTATTGATAATTTATTAAGAGCCCATAGTATCTTTATCTTAAATTTTAGGAATGAAGTGAGTCCTGTTTTATCTTTCTTAATAAATTATTTTACTTTAATGTTCAGTCAGAATTTAGAGATTACGATTTTGATGTTCTAATCTTTCGATTTCTTTTTATTACATTCTTAACATATTCTATAAATATTCTTATTGAGTATTATCTTTATTATAATCTTTAATTGGTGATGATTGACAATGAAGAGTCTTTAAATAAAAAGATGTTTGAGAATGCTTTCTTCTTGGTTGATGATTATAAAATGAACTCATTAAAATTTATTTATTTTATGTCACAAGCAAATACCAATCATACTATTAGTGGTAGAATGATATTGCATTAATCATAAAAATAATAAAAGTCACATCCCTACTTTAAAGATACAAGAGTAAATTCATGTTCCTACATTCACATGAAAAAAGGAAACCCTTATGTATCAGATAAATAAATACATAGGCTATTCCCTTTTATGAAATTGCAAATAAGGGATAAATTGATTATTAGAATAAATCTGTTTGTGTTACATCAACTTATTGTGATGATTATAAACCAAAACCTAATTTACATGTTGGATCTGAGAAGAAAACTTTATTTCCTTATACTATGGGTTCCTTTAGATCTCGATTACCTGAACCTGATGCACCAATTTTGACTAAAAATGCATCACAAATAGAAATTGGAGATAGACAGTAAATACTTATATATATAATATATTGAAGTTTTAATGTAAAAAGACATTTCATTAGTACTGCTCATAATGTTTATGGTAATTTTGGAAAGTTTGGCAATGTTTCTAATCCTGGGATACTTGCTGAAAAAACAAAATGGCATCATCATTTACAATAATTATGAAACATTTTTAATATTATATTATTATTCATTATTAATTAATGATTTCTAAAAATGAAGATAGTTTTACAGATAATTTATAATCTGAAAAAAAATACTATGAAAGTGATGAGGATATTCAACCATTAAAAGTATATCATTTATATTAAAAGTAGGTAGGAGATATCATTTAAAATCGGTTTCTAATTAGTCAATAAATAGGAGAAGGTTCATTTGGAAGTGTTTTTAAAGTACTTGATAGAAATAATAATAATGCTCTTTGGGCTATGAAGGTTGAAGAAGATGATGATGAAAATAGTTTATTAGAAAGAGAAATCAAAGTTCTCATTGAATTAAGGTATAATTACATCATTTAAAATTAGAAAATAATAAGGATTTCCATAAATTAAATTTTATGGATAAGAAAGAGGATATACCTATTGTATTATGACATTATTAGGAAAAAATTTAGAATAAATTTTTAGAAAGTTAGGTGGAATGATGAATTAAATCACTATATTAAGATTAGCAATTTAAGTACTCAAAATAAGATGATATTAGCCTAACAGATGATTGATAGAATTTCAGTTATGCATGATAATAGATTTCTTCATAGAGACATTAAACCTGATAATTTTGTAATCGAATCTGGAGCTAATGCAAAAATGTTATATTTAATTGATTTTGGACTCTCTAAACATTATATTGTAAAAATACATATTATATTAATTTATAGAATAGTAAAGGTTAGCATATTCCTTATGTTAAAAAGGCAGGGCTTATAGGAACTGCTAGATATGCATCATTAAGCGCACATGAAGAAATGGAATAAGGAAGAAAAGATGATCTAGAGAGTATTGGCTATGTTTTGATATATCTTGCTACAGGAAATCTACCTTGGATGAATTTGTAAAAAGATTCTAAGGATATCAAATATTCAAAAATTCATTAAATTAAAAAATAAACTAAAACTGAAGATCTTTGTTCTAATTTACCAAAAGTAATATCATTTTATTTTATTTATAGTGTTTTTATTTCTATATGAATGATGTGAAAACTTTAGAATTTCAAGAGACTCCAAATTATGATAAATTAAAATCATATTTTGAAAAAGAAATTGAAAATCTTAATAAATAACCAATAAATACTTCTTAATATACATATGATTGGGAAAGATTACCTGAATATAGCAAATAAAAGAAACATTAGACAATCCATGTTATGCAAGTAAATTCTTATTAATCTAGAATTAAGACAAACGATAATCAGTAGAAATTGCATTTAATCCACATAAATTAAACCAAATATCTAAATAAAATTAATTTATTAATTAATAAACAAAAGATTCTTAATAAAAATCAACACAAAATTAATAACTTACATTTGAATAAATAATGAATGAAAAAAGAAAAGGTACAAAAAAAACTGTCTATAGTCCTACAGGTAAAAGTAAAAAAACTCCACTTTTAATTAATATTGTAGAAAATAATGATTTCAATAAACAAAATTTATTGTCTCCAATTACACCTGATGATAGTAGAATTTTCAGAATGTAAAATCATTCTTCCACTTTACTCTAAATTCCTTAACTTAACTCATCATATCAATTAGATTCTTTTATTTTACCTTCTGTAGCAACATCTAGAATAAATAATTATTTTGAAAGTGAAGGTGTAGTTAGTGAAGGTGGAGGATTGCCAATATGGGATTTATGTGATGGATCAAAACCTGAATTCTAAAAAGTAACAGGAATTTTAGAAGGAATAAAGAAACCTAGTTTAATTATATTAAGAAAAGAAAGAAAAGCACATACTTGTATATTATATATAATTAATTAATATAGAAATAGATACTGTTAAATTAATGTAAGAATTATTTGTTCCTCCGATTAAATTAATTGGAGATTAGGAATCAAATGTTGAAGGGTTAGAATGAATAAAGAATTTTATAAAAATTGTTAACTACTTTACCAATTGGTATTTTATTTACTTAAAAAATTAAAGTCAAGTTTTATTATATACAGTAGTGCTAAAGAGAGGTCGAAGTCTATTCAATTCCTTTTAAAATAAATTTCGCTCCTCTTTCTTTCCTTTCTTTTTTTTATTGTATTTTAATTTCTCATAAAAAAATGTTATTTCATTTTCAGTTGCTTAATATAATGCCTTTAAATCTTATAATATTGTTAAAACAAATGATGTAGCTGAACTAATTATTTCATTTGTGATTGGAGACACAATTGTTATCTCAGATTAATCATCAAATTCATTTAAATCATAAAATGGACTATAATTAAATAATTTAATTACTTTTCATTAAATCCTTTGTAACTTATTCCTGTTGTCTTTGGATCAAATTCTGTCCCATAAAATTTCAAAAAATTATATGTGGTGTAACCAATAGATGAAGCTTGATTTTAATGATAAAAGCATTCTAGAAATGCTAAAACCATTTAAATTATGCAAAAAGATGAGATTCCTCCTTTATATTAATCATTTAATCCTCTTCTCTTTAGTAAGCTTTTGAATAATAATACAATTGGTCTCAATTCACTATAAAAAGACAACCATTATAAAGTTAAATCTGTTGAAATCAAACCTAAATGTTGGTTTTACTTAACACCTGAATATTGAAAGAAACTAACATCAACACTAAAGATCTATTTAGGAATATCTTCATCAGGACTAATTTAATAAAAGAATCATTACTTTAAAACAAGATCTATGTATGGTAAGCCTATTGGTAAGGAAGATTATACAAATGAAATAGTTGGATCTACCTATAATTTTATTAATGGCATTGCTGATGAAGTGATTGCACTATAAAAAAGTATATTAATTTAAAATACACTATATTTTTAACCCATCTCATTTTTTAGAGAAATTCTGTTAATTTTTGAATTGGTATATTTAAAGAAGATGTTGAACATATTTCAAATCCAGTTATTCCTATATCAATATCACTTTCTGGAAGGGCTAAACCAGTGGCACATGAACCGAAAAGGCGAACTTAAGAATTAAAATCTAGCTATTATATATGATAAATGAAACCTCTAAATAGATAATTGATGACAAATTATAATCTGTCATAAATTATCCTTCTGAATTTTAGAATTTATTGATTCTATCCTAAAATAACATCATTAAATTCTCTCATATCCATATCAAGCTTTTTAATCATTAAGGCCCTTGCCTAATTCAATATTACACAATCTATTTAATCTTCTTTAATTGGTTATTTCTAACAAGTATTTTAAACATCCATTTGAGTATTAATATAACAATTTTTTTATACTAATTTTTCAGATTCTTATTGAATTTTAAGACTCAAATCCACAATTTATATCATTTTTGGAGATTGGTTAGTATTTTAAGTATCTTCCAACTTTTAAATTGAAATTTGATTATCTTTTACAAATTCTTGAGATGGCGGATTCGTAATTTCTTAACATTATTGTTTTATAGGTTTCTCTTAATTCACCATCAATATATCTTATTTAATCATTTCAATAGCTTATGCATTTCTTTTTTAGCTCTTTTAGCTCGAAAAAAGATCCTAATCATGAGCATTTGATTTAATAGATTATTCCTTGATTTTTGATGGAATTGATTTCTAAAGTGATTTTTATTTTTTGAATTAATCCTCTTAAGAAGTAGCAAATTTGCATTTCGATTTATTTTTTTATTTTTTAGGTGCTGTAATTACAACCCAATTTTCATCATCATCATTCTAATTATTATTGTTTAATTCTATAATTGTTTCAGTATCAAGTATTTTATTGGTTTCTTCAATCAGATTCATTTCTAAAATGGTATTTTAAGTTAAATCTGAATTTCCAGACACTTGAATATTTTTAGTAATCTCTAAACATGGACTATAAATAATATTGTTAAATATTACTTAGCCGATTTATCTATTTCATATTCATTACAATGGACATCATCTTGAGTTGTGTCTTGCTTATCTGCTAACTCAAAACTATTACTTTTATCTTAATTCATATTAATTTTTTTTTATTCATTCTTATTTTTTTGCTTTTTGTGTTTTTTAGATTTTTTTTTTTATTCTACATGTTTCTTCTTTTCCTTACCTTCTATGTTCTAAATGTCTTTCATTAATTTTTCCTTATAGTGATCTCTTATCAATCTCAATATCCTTCTTTAACATAATATCTATATGGTTAAAATCTTCTCAAGTGGCATATAATTTATTCTCTCTAATTCATTATTCATAATTATAGTAGAAACATCCTATTCATTAATTGATTATAACATCATTTAAAAATTTTGATCTTGATTTATTTATTTATCATTTTATTATGAAGCTTATTTTAAAATGAGTTGAGTCCATAAAATATCTTCTTATTTTGTATTCTTTTTTTTTGGAGCATTCTTAAATTCTTTACAAATCTAAGGTATTTGATTAAGGATTTTAGTTCTTAAATCAAAATCCTGAATCCAAAATCTTTTTAGATCATCATCTTTATTTAGATTGTTTTCTTCAATACAATCTTATTGATGTTAATAGTATCTAAATTATAGAATTAATTTTATACAATAATGCTATTGCTTTTTCAAATTCATTTGTAATCCATCCAGTGCAAGACTAATATGTTTTAGGATTAAACCAAATAGCATCATTTACAATATACTGTTTTGTAATACAATTATATGAAACTTTTGGTTATGAAGAAAATGCAAGACCATTTGAACATTCTATTAATAAGTTTATAATATCTTCTAAAGATCCTTATAAACAAAATTTCTCAAAAATTTCATCTTAATCAACAATATAAATTTTTGATAATAATTTCTAATATTATTATTATAATTAAAAGATACCTATTCTAAATGTAATTTTTCTTCTTCATGACTACGTCTCTTGCGAAGTAAACATACTTTTTTAATATCTTCTGTTATTGAGGGAAATCTTTTGATAATTATGATACTTCTACCTTGGATTTTATTCATCTAAAGCATAATTGCATCTTTCGACTTACAAATCATAGATATACATTCTAATAATAAAAGTTGTAATTTTTTTGGAAACAACTGCAATTTCATTGACATTTTATTTCTTAGCCCTAAAATTACCACAATTAATAAAATATATATATATCGTAAGAACAAAAAGTGAACATGTAGGTTGTTCACTTTAAGTAGTGCAAAGATTTGATTCAATACCATTAAATAAGGTTGTTTTTGTATGCATTTTCAAATGATTCTATCGTCTCACAAGGATGATTATTGCATTTTGGCAAATATTTAGGTCGAGAATAAAGCATTTTTATTGATTAAATTTTATAATTTATTAATAATTGTATTCATTAAATTACAGAAATAAAACCTCTACTCTTTAAAGATACACACTGAAAAAAAGAATCTATTTATTTCAAAATTCATTTAATTAATAGTATATTTATAGTATCACTCCCATTTTCTCTATTAATTTATAATGTTATATTCTGAATTTAATTCATCAAGTAACAATTTTATTTATATTTCACATCTAATTAGTATAGTTAGGTATAGAAAATATACTACTTAAAATATCAAAATGGATGTTTATATATATTATAAGTTTCTATTGCAATTGAATACAAAATGAAATCTTGAATAATCAGAAAAAATATTATTTGAATTTTTCATTATTTAATACACAATAGATAAAATGTCATTATTTTCAAAAAAAGAATAGAAGAAATTACCTACATAATATTTGGAATTTGATTCACTTGCTGTTAAAAAGTATAATTATGACTCAAAGAAAGCCAATGATTAGTCTATAAAACAAGAATAGTATATAAATGATTTAAGAAAAGCGTATGAATTCCAAAAAAAATTAGTTATGACTAGTAAAGAGTTGAAATTGAACCCATCTTTTCAAAAATTGAGATACTATAAGTAGAAAGAAAATAATTAATGGATGAAGTTGAACAATATAAAATGAGTCAAATGGAAATTCTAAAGAAGTATGAAGGTGAATATTAGGAAAAAGAGAAACTTAACAAGGAATGCTAAAAATACAAATAATAAATTTTAGCTCTTTAAAAAATGTAAATGCCTTAAGAGTTTTAAGAAAAAAAATGTCAGGAATTAAAAGAATCTTTATTTAATACTATAAAAGACATTATGAATGACTTTTTGGAAAATTATAATGATTTAGTAGGGTATGATAATGATGATTAAGGTATTAATACAAAATAAATCAAGAATCTAAAACATTGTTTCATGATTTACTTTAATAGATTGATGACTCTATATTAATGTTTGTTGAAAATCTACCAGCCTAATCCAGTAGACAATACTAATCTGAGGAAGTTCAACATTTAAAGGATTAAATAGAAAAAACATTATAAATTGTATCTAATTTGCAATCTGAAAATTAAGACTTAGTTATGTCATTAGAATCTGAAAAATAACTTAAAGATAAAATTAATAATCAAAAGAATACTTAATAATAATTAGTTAGTTAATTGTAAAATTAAATTGAACAATTAAATAATGAGAAAAAGATTGTTGATCAATTACTTTAAGAAATTTAATATAAATATTAGGAATTGTAAAAAGAATTTTAAAATGTGAATTAAATTAAGGAAAATGAAAAAGAAATGCTAAAAGGAGAATATATAGTTTTGGTTAATGAATTATAAAAAGAAATTCAAAAAGTTTAATAAGAAAATTCTAAACTATAATAATAAATTGAAGAGAAGAGTGTAGAACTAATTCAATAAACTGAATTATTTAATAATAAACTTAGAGATTTGGAAACAAAATTAAATCATGAAGAACTGAAATAAGAATAAAAATGTAAAGAAGTATGATTATTTATATTATATAGCTACTCAGAAACGAAAGAGAATTAAATTAATATAAGTCAGAAGCAACATAATTATTTTAAAAAAATAATCTATTACAACAATAATTAGATTCCTTGAAAGAAAAAAGAAAATAAGAAAAAGAAATATTTGATGATTAAAAGGAAAAATTTAAATCAATGAAATCATAATTATAATAGCAAGAATCAGAATATTAAACTAAAATTACTTAACTTGAAGAATAAATTTTATTACTTCAGTAAAAAACTGAAAGCACAGTTTCATCAGAAATTTCTATTAATCCAGAAATAGTTATGGAAAAAGAATTATAAATGTCAAAATTAGAATAAGCTATTTAAGAGTAATATATTAATTAATAATAGACTAACTTAAAAAAACAGTGAATTAAAATAAAAGATGGTTGAAAATAAAATTTAAATTAATGATTTAAATCACGAATTAGAATAATAGAAAATCACCAATCACTAGCATCTAGACAAAAGAGCAGTTGCCTTAAGTGAATTAAATCGTTTAGAACAATAAAATTAACTATTAAAATAAGTACTAACCTTTATTAATTTAGAAACTCAATGATCTAAATTCAATTAATAAATAATTATAAATAGAAAATCAATAAATTTCTTAAATGATTAAACACTCAAAGTAATAACCTGTTACAAATATGCAAAAATAAATTATGAATTAAAGCATTTCAAAAACTCCTATGGCGGAAGCAAATAATTTAGATTCATCAATGATATCTGATGTTGAGAGTTAAATTTCTAAAAATTCTAAGACTCCTTCCATATTAACAAAAGGCTTAAATTATTTTAAACCAAAAGCTTAACCCATTTAATTTGTAGTATTTATATGTAATTAGAAAAGTAGTAAGAAAATTCAGATATGAAAATTGCTGTGACTATGATACATAAGTAGACTGAAGATTTGAAATAAAATTTAGAATAATTGTATAAATGTTTTTTGTCTACAGTTATTCTAACTTAAAGCAATGAGGATGCTAAATTTATTAAGTTTGAAAGGGAAATAAATGAATGTTTGAAGAAAACTTAAGATTTGACTGATAATATTGAAGATTTTTTGATATAATGACTAGTTTGAAATTTTTTATTTTTATGAGAACTTAAATTTTATATTATATGAAAACCATATTTTTAAATCTGAAATACATCTACATTTTATATGGATTAATACTATATTCAGATATTATTAGATAACATCTTGAATAATTAAGATAAACTTTAGAAGTGTAAATAGATATTTTAATGAAATTAATATACTGTATTAATTAAGCTTATTTACGGAAAAGCCTCATTTTTATTTCTTGCTGCCATTTCTGACACAATTCTTGCAATAATCTTTTCTTATTGATAAACATTCTTAATGAAAAGGTTTATTGCATCTGGAACATTAAACACTTTAGGTAATCTAGGGAAATTATTTCTTGCAAGATGTACAAAATATTTTCTTTTGATTTTTAACTTACTAATCAAAGTTGATGTTTGGACTATGATTTATTAAAAACATTAATATACTTTTTTCCTGCATTTTCCCTTTTTTCTCTTTTGTTAGCGAGACTATTAGCATGTTATAGACTTTATTCTTACTCTATAGATTCATCCTCAATGTGTTTTAATTTAGATTTTTTTTTTATCTTTTTAATTTCTTTTTAATTAACTTTTTGAGTGATTTTACGTTAAGCTTGATTTTTTTTATTTTTCAATTCTTTTTAAGATTGATATTATTGATATTCTTCTAATAATAAATTTAAAGTGATTAAAGAAATATATACGCTATATTAGGATTATGCATTGTCAACATAGATAGCTAATTAATTGACAAGCTCAAAATTTTATTTAAAAATCTTGAATGGTTTAACAAAATATCCATCATTAGATTTTAACAATAATAGACCATTGAAAAATTATTTTAGTGCTTATATTAAAGATTCAATTTATTTCTCATTTTTTAATAATTAATAAAAACTTTATTTTTTATTATTTTCTATCCAAAACAAATTCTTAGATTATAAATATTTGGTATATGTTTCTTCAGTAATTAATAACTTTTCAATAACTTCTATGATTTCAAGATGATATTACTATTCTAATTATTGGTTTACAAATACTTTAAATTAATCGATTCTATGATTTTATGGGAGTTGTATTATCAAAGAGTTTAACTTAACTTATTAATTCCAGGTTTTCAAATAAGTTTGATTCATTAACTCCTTACAAATTAAGAGCACTCATTAATTCAGATAAATCTGAAAGTGTATATTAACCCCAACCTGTCATTGTTTCTACAAATATTGAACTAGGAACGTGAGTAAAATAAAAATATTATTATTCATCTGCATCTTATCCAAGATAAGTTCCACAATTAATATAGGCAGATTAGTTTTACTAAAATAATATTTTTAAATGAGCTAATATAAATTGAGATTTTACATTGTCTATAATTATTTGAAGAGTCTTTTTACTTTATTTATTCCTTCATTTTATCCAAATCATATAAACCCTCAGTTAAAATATTTAATATGTATATTTAATCTGAAAATTCTAAACTGTTAAAATCTATTTTATTAATATTTGATTCACAATCATAATTTATTATTTGATCAATTTATATTACAAATTCTACCCATGTCTTTTTAATTAAATCTTCTTTTATTAAATTTTCTTAATGATCATATAAATAATTCATTATTTCTAAAAAAGCATTGGCTTAAACATTTGCCTAACTGCAATACTTATCAAATTTAACTACATCTGATTACATAAATTCATTAAAGTATTCATTAAGTAAATTCATAAGAATTTCATAGAAATTTTTTTCAATATAATCCTAATTAACATTCTGAGGTGTTTAACATTAAGGAAACAATATCTAATAACTTGTTTATATTTTAAGGATTTCCTCAACTAAATTTGAATTTATCATATATGGTTATGGTTTCTATTTAATTTCTAAGACTTCTGGATAATCAAGAGCTAATTTTTCTAAAACTGGATATTTTATTTTTCCATTTTAACCTCTATAAAGTGGATATTTTCTTAAGAAATCTGATATTTAATCAATAGGTTTGAATGGAGTTATTTCCATTTCTTCAATAATAAAAATTTTCTATTTTTTCTATATTCTTTCTATTAATGATAAATTAATCTTCTTTTATTCAGATGTTGGACATATTTGCTATTTCAACTATTTATTATTTATATAATCCCATTAATTTGAATTTTTAAGTTCCTATATTCTGTCTAAACAATAATCACAAATCCAATCATTTATGTTATCCAGTACTTAGACACATTCAGCATGAAATTTAAATCTACATCTCTTACAAATAATAATGCGATCAGAATAATCAAAAGCAATATATGGAACTTTAGATTCTGATTATTCTTCTTTTTTCTATGATTTTTATACGATTTATAGTCTAATAGATTTCATGGTGACATGAGGATTTGTGTCCTAGTTTTCTGTTTGTTGTAATAAGTTTAATATCATAGGTATAGTTGATTGTTTGCATTTTCTACACTTGTTTTTATCAACCCTTTATTTTTTTGGATGGTTGCTTTCTTCATAATCAGGTTGTTTAGATTCTTATTTTATACAACATTTTGATTTTTTTCTCTCATCTAAACTTAAAAAAGGTAAGAAAACAGTTTTTAATTGTTCTTCCAAATAATTCATAACATCTTTTAATTCTTTTTATCCATATGCTAAGGGATCCATATCTATATTTGAAACTGATCTTTGAATTTATGATAAAATTGATTTTTGAATTGCTTCTCTACTCTTAATCAACTTAGGAAATTGTCTATAGAAATTAATCGATTAAATACTCTGTTTCACATACTGTCTTGAATATTGTCTTTTTTGATTTAATTCTCTGTATAATTAATTCTTATTGATCTAAGTTTAACATAAATTATTATTAAATTCAATTTAAAATCGAATTCAGATTTTACTTTTGAATTTCTTCATTCATATATTTTAACTACAAATTTTAACAAAATATTTACAAATATCCTAGATATAAGAGTAAACATATATTATAATAAAGAAGATTTTTATATATATTATGTTTAGCAATATATGTAGTTGGGAATGAATTTAAAGAAATCTAAAATAATAGAATATACATTAATATAAATCATACTTAGGTTACTTGTAATTATAATAATAAATAGCATTTTATATTAAAGATATTAAGAAATAGTTAACAATTTATAAACATCAGATATTAAGTTTAAAATCAATTAAACTGAGTAATTTAAGATTCTATTTATTAAAGAGTCTTACATCCTCTTCTTTACTTAATTTGATAAGATACTTTTACAAATACTTTAATTCTTCATCTTTTGGGTTATACAAATATTCCAAAATGGGAATTCCATTTTCTAATTATAATCCAAATGAATGTGGTAAATTATCAACAATTACTATATCTTTTAAATGTCTATTTGTTATAATTCTCAAATCTTTAATAAAAAACCCATTTTTAGTTTCAAAACAGTTATTTCTGCACAAAATATCATTAATATATTATCTGTTTGGATCCAAATGATTAACAATTGCATTAGCATACAATTCTGATGAAGCAGTAAATATGTAAATATTATAGTAGTTTGACATTTCTTATAAAAATTCTTTGCAAAAAGGTCTAACATTGAAACATAACTAAAATATAGTAAATAATACATCAACTTTCTCATCTTCATCTTCTAGAGTGATTGTGAATTAAGGAGAATCTCTAAATGTACAACTATGAATCAAAGTTTCATCCAAATCAAGAATTAAAAATTTAGGCTTTCTTTGAATTGATTCTCTAAGTCTAATAAATCTACTTCTCAAAAATTTTTCTGATGGACCTTTTAAAGAATGATGTGCATATAATAATCCACTCTACACTATTTACAAAAACCTTAAATAATCACTTTAATTAATGTTTTTGCCATAAACTAAATGTCCAAATGGATGCTCTTTAATATTGAGATGCTTTGTCATAACTTACTTAGAAGAATTTGACTTTTAGATTGGTGGATGTTAAAATGCAGGTTTTGGATTTTGATATTTTTATTCCATTTAACGTGACATCTATTAAATGTCATATTCAGGATCAGTTTTTTAATGAATTTAAATGTTTTAAGGTTATTCTTTCTTATCTTCTTCATTGGAGTCAAATTAAATATCAGAATCTTTTTCTATATGGCTTTCCTTCTATTTAAATTTTGATAATTTATTTTATCCTTTAGGGGAACTAGGAGAGATTTATTTCTAAGGTGTATTATCAGAATCATCAGTCTAAAATTGTTATCCTTCGCCTCTTGAAAATTTGGAAGGTTTTGTAATCAGAGGTCTTTTTGGAGTTACGTCAGCATCATCATCTGAATAAAACTATTTCTTAAAGTCATTTTGTATTTGTATAAATATCTTAGGTCTTAAATTAGTTTGACTATCCATTTGTAGAAATAAATACAATTATCTTAATTATTGAAAGATAATAATCAAAATAGATATCGTTTTTATTTACTAAAAAAATGAATAGATAAATTATTTGTATTATAACTCAATATTATGAATAAAATATTATCATATTAAATTGAACAAAACAACAATTTATAAGATGAGTTTTGTTTATTCTATCTTGTTAAATTATGTTAAATAATTAAAGTTTTTTTTGATTATTTTTATTGTTTGATTTGGATTTAATTGTTGATCAATCTTGGACAAATGAAAATTTTTGTTGTAAATATTTACATAACTTAAATAAGTTCTTCTTAATTTAATTAATAAATTTATATTAATATAAAAAATTTAATTGCTAATATATTTATTTGAATATTTATGTAGAAATTGCATAATTAGAATTAAGGCAAAGCTTATTTATATTTAGATTATCATAGAATTGAGTTATTTTACTAAAAATAGAAAAGTTGACTTTATTTCATTTTTTGTTTCGAAAAATGAATAAAATATATAGTTTAAGAATCATTTGATATCTGTCAACGAGATTTAGAATATAATCTTAATTTATTTTAAATCTCCATTTTCTATTTTGTTAAAGTATTCTAGATTCTCTTTTTAGATGCTTCTCTTTATTTTTCAAATAATTCTAATATTTCTTAGGAAACACCATTATTAATTGATTTTTATCTATTTAATTCAGCAAGTTCTTCTCTTTCAATTAACTAAATTTAAATAAAGATAATACCATTCTTAATTCTAAATTATGTTTTTATTCTAAATCAATTAATTCTTATTAATTTTTTTAACTTAAAGTTTTAGAAGACTTTTTCTTTTGAGATAATTAAACTTTTTAAGCTTAAGTTTTTTAAACTTATATATTGACTGGAACATCAGAAATAGCTTATTCTAATACATTTGCAGAAATCATTCCATCTTAATAATCTTCAAGTAGTTGATTTAAATTCATATCATAATCATCTAATTATCTATTTATTTAAAATTTTTATTTATGATAGTTAGATTTATTTTTTTGAAATTTATTTACTTTTTTATTTTTTTCTGCAATTTTTTTTTGTAATAATTCATTATTCAATTCATCAACTAATTATATTCTATTTTAGTTTTCTTTTTTATCTTATTATCTCATAAAATTAGATATTATTTTCTATTTTTATTCTCTCTATTTTTATAGCTATCTCTAATTAATTCTCTCTTCCTCTTTTTCTTATTTCTCTAATAATTAATTTCTTTTTTCTTCCATTTATTCTTAATTTCTTTTTTATACTTCTTATATTTAATCTCCTTTTTTCTTCTTTACTTCTGGTCTTCTGACCATTTCAGTAACATTTTTATCTGTTCTTTTACCTTGTCTAAGTTCTTCTTCTATTTAATCTAAAAGCTATTGTTCTAATTCATAATTAACATCATCTTCAGGATCATAATTTTCAACATCAAATTCATATGAACTTAATTTTATTTATCTTGGAGCAAGTTTATCCAATCCTACAAAAACTAAATTACTATCAATTTTCTTTTTGGTCTCTAAAGGAGGACTAAATTTTAAAACCTTAGTTTCTAATAGTTTATCTCTCTCTTAATCCATTTCAATCATTCTTCTTTCTTTGAATATATCAATTTCTTTATATCTAGGTATAAAGCTTTTCTTATTAGTTAATTATGAAATTTATTATTCTACATAAAATCTTAGATCCTTTAAATTGCCTGCTCTTAATTTTTCTAATTATTTTTATTAAATTTTAGTTGATTGACTCTAACTTAACTAAATCAATAAATGAGCAAAAGATTTCTTTTTTTCTTCTTCTGCTTTTAATTCTTCTAACTCAACTATTTTAAGTACTTATTATAACTTATTTTATTTCTTTTCCTCTTGACCTTCCCATAAAACAACCCAAGCTATTATGTTATTTGAATTATACCCTCTTCATCCATATTGTATTTCTTTTAATTTGCTTAGTAGAACTCTTCAAAATCTTATGGTTCTAATTAATCTGGTTAAAAATTTAGTTTTTAACAAACCTATTAGAAAATAGGGTTTGATTGTAATTCTTAACGATTTTACATTATATTTTATTTTCATTTAATTATTATCAACTAATTTAAATATTGTTAAACAAAAATACAAAAAGAGATACATAAGAACATTCAGATATAGCTATAAAAGAGATAAAATTATATCTAAGTTATAAATATTTCTATTTTATAATTGACATTTTTGTTGATTATTTGCATAATCATTGCCATAAATTTTCATGTTTTGGACTTCCAATATGATGTTTATATTGATTGAGGAATTCATTCAATGTTCTTGATTGAGCAGTTGATGAATAGAGTGCATATAATTTATAATGGAAGAAATCTGTTAACAACAAGAATGGAATAACACCTCTATAAATACTAAAAGGTGTTTTCTAAGCGAAAAGATTTGCTGCTATTCTACCCTTTTGATTTGTTTGTTAGAAACTCAAATCAGTACTTGCTAATTGTAATCTTGTCTTTATAGTTAGAAATCCATAACCAATAGCCAATAAAGGTGTTGATATCAACTAAGACTATTAAAAAACAGTATTACTTATGAAATGTAATCTTCTTCATAAACATTTCTTAGATGATAGATTAATGTTCCATTAAAAGCCAATTTAAAGACTATTCCTCTATAAAAATGACTGAATCCATTTCTTGCATAAATCTATAATTTAGATGATTGATTACTTATTCAATTACATCAAATGCACCTTTATATCTTCCCTGAACATCAGAATATATAATGGTCTTAATTGTATCAATTGGATAAGTAATCAATTCAAATAATGAAGAATATAGATAATGTGAAGCATATCCATTGCCTCTACTATATACTAATGGATGAGCCCAAACTGTTAAAAATTAGAAAGCATTCAATAATGCTCCTCTAAAATATCCCTTGAATAATCCTTAATTAAATATTTATTAAAGACAAGCTCTATAAATTAAGCAATATAATACGTGTTAGAATCTCCAAAGGTAAATCTAGTCTTCAAACCTCCATATGCTTATCTAAGAGTGAGTAATCTTTCCACTCCAGCAAGGACAGTAAGACGATAGAAATTGTCAGAGAAAACTTCCCAAGTTTTAGGGTCTTCATTAAATTATCTCTCAAATTTAGCTCTTGGACCTAAAAATCTAAATAGTTATAAATTTAGATGAAGATTACTTTTATTGTTCTACTCTGACAACTTTTGCAAGCCAATCATGTCCTGGACCACCTCCAACAAAATATTCAAGATCTACTAATTTAGGATCTCTTAAAATTTTGTCAACGAATGTCCAATTAGGACTGTATAATAATCCACTAAGCATTTCAATATCTAAAATAAATATTATTTATTCATAAAATATTATTTATACATAAACCAATATAAATTAAACAATCAACATTGTATTTTGATCTAGGATTATATAGGATTTTAGGAAGTGAATAAAAATAGGAGAAGAATATAGAAAATATATTTAATTTAATGAGTATTTCTTATATTAATTTTATAATTAATTTTGATTATGTCCAACAGAAATAAAAAATCTAAGAGTCCATAATTGCAACAACCCAAAAATATTGATAAGGATCTCATGAAATATCATATATATCAAAAGATTGTTAAACCACAAGCTCCATTAGAATTAATAACTAAAACTCAACCTGATGAGGATTCTGAAGTTGAGGATTTCAAACTAGAAATTGAAATGAAGTAATCTAAAATTTAAACTAATATTAGATATAAGAGTTGTAAAATAAATCACACATTTAAATTTCCTAAAGAAAACTATGAATCTTCATCTGATACATCATTACAATCTTTAAAAGATGTTACTATCTATAATCTAAATTGTGATAATTTAGATCGATTGACAGATGCAACTTAACCTAATTTTATGAAAGCATTAAATGAGAGACTTATGAAATTAACTGATCTCATTGTTGATGAATCATAAGTCAAAAATAAGTAATACAATTATGCTCCTAATTTGAAATCTTCTAGGTTTATAATTATAATAATTTAGAATGCAGAAACTAAGAGGAACAAACATATCTAACACTTCTATTACTAAACCTACAGAACTCTCCTTAAATGCAGCTAGTTAAAGCCAAGGTAGAGAAAGTGTTATTACAAAACCTCCTTCTAATCTCGGCTATAGAGCTACACCTACAATTTCATCTGAAAAGAAAAATAGATCTAAATAAATTCAATAAATCTTAAAAATTACCTAATAAAAATATATGAACAATCAAAAGTAATCATATTAAGATTTTATAGCATAGGTGGAACATTTTATAAAAAGACACCTTAAGTAAACAACAATTATATCAATATCAATTCAAATATCAATAATAGTATAGTAGTCACAGGTAAAAGAAATATTTAAGATATTCGTATTAAAACTGAATAAGATGATTCAGAACCTAGTTTGCATCAATATTAAGTAGTTCCAAATTCTAGGTAATTATTTTTAATTCAATCTTAGACCAAAAATGAGAGAATCTACCTTAAAAAGTAAAAAATTAGATATTTCAATTGGTTATAAGAATATCACATTAGATAGTCAATATTTAGAAACATATAGTCGAAATGCTAAGAGTTAGAATAAAAATTATAAGGTTTGATTGTTTTAATATTATAATTATTATAATATATTTTTGTTGTTTGATGATTTTTAATCAATTCTCAAAAGATTACGAAAAATAATCATTTCTCAGTATCAAATAACAGAAATTTAAATGTAGAAACATTAACAAATTTATTCATTGCTCTCGTTGCTGTAATATAAAATTAATTTCAATATTCAAAAGCATAAATATTACATTTACAAATAGAATTATCATTTTAAGAGAATTAATTATTAATTGTATACTCTTTTATATTTCTATTTTTATATTGAAACTACATTAATAATTTTGATGGGTTATAGCTCATTAAGCATCATTAGCTTTTTGATTACTACTAATTGAATAGAAATCCAAATCATAGATAATTACTAATTAATTACAAGAGAATTCTTTAAGTCAGTAAATTAAAGCTGCTCTATTTACTGTGATTTGCTTTTTATTCACTGTTTTTAAGTCTACAATAGTATATATATATAATGAATTCATTATTTAATGCAATATTTAATATTGGTTTTAAAATGTAAATTATGATATGATAAAATAATGTAAATCAATTTGATAATTTTAATGATTAAGAAATCATATTAGGTAGAATTTAGAAATCACTATGATAATTGAATGATTGTTTTATCAAGTTTAATATATTATCCATAAAAACGGATTTATAATTAATAAATGAAAATATTTATCACATTGACTCTTTTGTATTTGACAATAGCCAAGTATTAATTATTATCATATATAGCTAAGGGATATTGTCCACTGTTGGTGATCAAATACATCCATTTTAATAAGTTATTGTAGCATTATCAGAAGTGGCATCTAAAGACTTTAATTTCTAATAATTATTTGTTGCTTTAGATGAATTGGCTGAATCATTTAAAGCTAGAAAGAATGAAGAAAATGCATTTTATGAACAAGAATATTAACAATATTAAGCAGATGTATAATATTACTAAAATTAAATTACAGACTTTAAGAATAAGGTATTATTTTTATAGTTCATCAGATTGCCTAATTAGAAGTTGATGTTAAAGATTTGATTGATGAAAGAGCAAGATTATAATAATTTTTGACTGATGCCAAATAAGATCTTTATGATGCTACAAAATTATTTAATGCAAAAGAAGCATAAATAAATTCAGATAAATCTACTTTTACTAGATAATACAATGAATATGCAGATACAATTGCTGTATTAGATTAAGCTATTGCATTATTAAATGAAGTTAAAGATGAAACATCTTTATTATAAAAATCAGACAACATCAAAGAGATTTCATCTAAGATGCACACTCAGTATTATTCATATTTAATAATAGTCTCAAATAACTTTCTTCAAAAAGAGTCTTCTATTAACCATTAGTAAAAGCACTCAGTTAAATTGCATAAAATAATTATGTTGATTAAGAGAATCTTAATAAAGTTATCAATTATATGAATTAATTAAGACAATCTTTAATTGATGGATAAACTTCATTATAAAATTAATTTGATGCTTAATCAAAATTATAATAAGATATTTTATCAGAAATCCAAGCAAAAATAACTGGAATTAGAGATATCTTAATTCCTTTATTATAAAGTGAAATTGAGACTAAAGATGGTGAAATAAAAGCACTAAATGCAATACTTAATGATGCAAGACTTAATTTGGCTGAAGCTGAAGATAATCTTACTGTAACATAAAATAGATGGATTGAAAGGTATAGAGTGAATAAATATCTATCCTTAGAACTGCTTCACATAATTCCTTAATTTAATAATATGATAATGAATTATTAGCCATTAAAGATGCTGAAAATGCCTTAAAAAAAGGAGGTATATTTAGATAATGATAAACAAAATTATTCCCCTAAAATATTCATATATTTATTAATAAATTTCGTTAAAATTTCAATGTTGTATTCTATTCGTGAAAGCGAAGCTGAAGGCAATATATCAACAGATTCATATACTGCCAACAAATCTCTTAATCAGGATACTATTTTTACAAAAAAGAGTTCCAGTAAATCATTACCAAAAAGACAAAAAGATTTAGATTAAGAAATATAAAATTTGAATAATGTTATAACTTAATTGAGAAAGGTAGAAAATTTACTTCTCAGTTAAATCAAAGATCTAAAAAATTAATTAGAAGTTCAATACAAAAACTCTAATAAAGATCAAGAATGTATAGATGAATTAAATAAAGAACTTAATCAATTATCAAATAAATTACATCATGAGATTATGCACAATAGTTAATAATAAAAATCTAATATTGAGTTACAAAAGTCGATTCTTAAACTTGAACAAGATCTAATTACAAGTAATTAAAAAAATTAAGATATTTCAGAAGAATTGCAAATCATAAAGTATTATTATATTAAGGAAGATCTAAATATTCCCATGAACATAAATTTGTTGAATCATTATTGCATATGGTGATTAGTTGCCATCCTGAAAATTCTTTTAGAGAGTAGCCATCATTAAAGTAAGCCTGGAAATGGTTGAAATCCATTCTATCTGATTATTTATAACTCAAACAAAAAACTAGAAACTATTAAGAAGGCTCTAGTCAAAGTTCTAGTTCCACAAATAAATGAACATTAAAAATAATTTTTCCATTAGTTCATTATTATAATATATATTTATTATTGATATTCTATCATTCTAATATTAATATTGTATTCTAAATCTCTCTTAAAATATTATAAAAATAATTGATTTTGAATTTAAACTAATAAAATTGAATTAAATTAAATAAATATTAATTTAGGATTTATAAATATTTATACAAAAAAAGAAATCATTTATTTTAGAGATACTTATATATTATTATTATTCTTATTTGATTAAAAATTTAAACATTATGTAACAAATAATCATTTCATTTTTCTATTTGGTTTATTAACGAGTAACTTTGATTTCTTTAACCCAAGAATTTTCTTTTTTTATTTTTATTTTTAAATTTTCTTATTCTCAATATTTCTAAATTTAGGTTATTAATCTTCTTCATTATATTCTTATTTAATATCAATTGATTATTCTTATTCTTATTTCAATTTTGATTATTCTTTTTTTAATTTATTTATTTTATGATTTTCAAACATCTTATCTAAATATGGTAATTTAATTGTGTGTCTTCTCATTCCAGCAAATCTAGCCTTTGCTTCTCTTCCATTTTTAATTGTCCAAATTTTTTCTTCTTTTTTTTCTATCTCTATATCTTTATATTCAGCACAATAAAAATTGATAGCTTGCAATCTTTATGATAAATTAATTGATAATGGTATTCTTACATTTTCAATGTGATATACTCTAAAATAAATATATAAATAAACCTTAAAAAACGATCTATGCTAACTGTGTATATATATTCTTTATTAAATGCTATATCTCTCACAGCTCCAAATGTACCTTTAATCATTCTTTCAAATTTAAAATCTTTTTTATAAATTAAAATTTCTCCTCTTTCATTAATCATATAATATTTTTCATTATAAGCTCTTATTAATTTTATTTTAGTTTTTGAATGTTTTAATGAATGCTCAGAAACTGGTTAAGATTTCTATTCAAGTATACTATATATTCTTAAAGTTAAATGAGTTGTAATAACACCAACAGAATAATCATCTAAAAATAATCCATCATAATCATGCATTTTAACTTAAAGATCTAATTCATCATTTTTTACATTTCTTGATTACCATTATAATTTTTTCTATTTTAAATTAAATATTGATGGTGAACCACCAAAATAAGTTATCAATAATAATGTTTAATCATTAGAAATAGCAGCAGAAGTTACATATTTATCTTTACAATTAGTTAAAGGTTAAAAATCATTTGAATTAATAGTTTCTTATTAAAGAAATATGTTTTGATCTTAATCATATTTTACATGATTAATTTTTCTGTTGGTATAAATTATATAGATATCATGATTTGAATCACAAAACCCTTTTAAAGGTGATGCATCAATATTGATTTGTGTTATTTCATTTAATTCATTATCTAATAATACTAAGCTTTCCTCCCTCAAAACTAAGAAAAAGCTAACATCAGATATTTTTAAAGTAAGTATTTAGATTATTTTAAACTCCTTTCCTTATTCTCCATATTTCTTAATCACCTCTTTTTTCTCTAAATCAATTAATTTCAATAATCCTGTTTCATCACCAGTAATTATTTACATTAAAATATATATATATATAACAAATAAATAATATTAATTATTTTTTAGACAACCAAAAATTCACAAATTTATGCTATTTAAACTTGCTTTTAATATTGCAACAATATAAATAAAGATTTATTCAATCCAAAACCAATTTAAAATATCAAATTAAAAAAAGTATTTAAAATCCTACATTATTTTTTTTTGTATTCATATTAAATCAATATAGGTTTGATTGTTAATATGGAATCTTACTCTAATTTTTGATATCGTATTTATTTAATAAAATTTGAAATATCCCATAATACAATGAATTCTATAACTTTGATAAATAATAAAATTAATATCATAAGAGGATGATGAAATCATTAAAGAAAGACATCTAAAATCTATATCCATAATTTAATATAGTAGAAGTGCTTCGATGTAATAAATTCAAAAAAACTATTATCCTTAAAAGAGTTAATAAACATTACATTTTAAGGTTATACAGTTTAGAGGAAGTTAATAAGAATAAAGTAACTTCTTTAATATAATTCATTGATAAACTATCTAAGACATTTAATCCTCATATAGTTAAATTTTATGAAGCTTCACACGATGCAAATAATACTTATTTAGGGTATTTTAATGTATAATTTAAAAGAGTAATAAGTTAATATCATGACACTCAATATTAATGTCCATTAAATGAATAGGAAATCCTTAATGTTCTAATTTAGGTATTATAAAATGAAATTTTTAGATTTGTTCAGCACTTGAATTATTTCATCCTAAGAATCCACATGGTAAAATTAGTTTATCAAATATATTTTGCTCTTAACAAACTACAATATTGGGAGAAATGAATATTTTATATAATCTTCATTAAGAAAACTATTAAGATATATATTTATTAGCTCCAGAATTTATAAAATTAAGAATATATGATAGTAGATCTGATATATGGATGCTTGGAATTTTGGTTTATTAATTAATGTTTAAAGAATAGCCTTTTAAAGCAAATAATATAAATGTTTTACATAAATAAATATTAAAAGGGATTAAATTTACATATCATCCATAATATAGTCTAAATTTAAATAATTTATTAAGATTATTATTGTGTTATGATCCTGAACTAAGACCATCTATTAGTTCAATTAAACTTTTCGCTGAATAAGCCTTGTTGAGCCCAGAAAAATTTGATATTTTCTAAATATTACCAAAATATAAGGTTGAATAAATTATAGTACAACAAAAGAAAAAAGAAGAAGAAAGACAAAATGTAAGGGGAAATTCAATTTATCTGAATGAACAAGCTTTGAAATATCCTTCATTTAAACCTTCAAAGATTTTAAAATCAGATAAGAAAATTAAATTTACAAATCCATCTCCTCAACATTAAGGAGAGAACTTTAGTAATAATGATAATTGTTTAGATATAAAATAATAATTTCCAACTTTACAGATGGAATAGATAGAGAGCAAAAAGAATTTATCTTTTACTGAGAAATACTCTTAATCATCAAAAAAGAAACTCAATTTTACATAGAGTTCTTAAAAATAATAAAAAAGAAATTAGGATTTTCTTTATCCTGTTTAATTACCTAAAGTTTTATAATATTCATTTAGTAAGATTACATTTGGAAATGAATTAAGTCCTATGAAATAAAAAGATTAGTATTATTTATTGATATTTTTTAGATAAATTGGATTTACAAATAAATTGAATCAATATTCAGATAAAAATTTTGAATCTAAAATTACTAGATCTCCTCCAAAAATATTAATACGTTCACATATTGAATCAGCTTCAAGATCTTTCAGTTAACGATAATGATAATTTATGTTTATATTTAAAGTACTTCAAACTTGCAATGATTAATTTGAGTTTGTTATGAAATTAAATAAAATTATTATAAAAATAAATAAATTAAAATTTGCTCTAATTTTAATTATATTTGAGACAATTATATTATTTTAATAAAGCATTTATTGAATACTAGTAAAATATAATATTTAATATTATAATTAAATAATTAACATATGATTTAAGCTGATTCTGATTCAAGTAGAAGAGTGGCATACTTTTATAATAGATTGATAGGAAAATTTCATTATGGTAAGGAACATCCTATGAAACCTAAACGTATCGCAATGGCTCATAGCTTAATAGTAAATTTTGGGTAGTTGAAAAATATATAAAGATAGACTCTATAGATCATTGGATGTATATTTGATAAGAGAAGCATAATTAGAAGAGTTAAAAAAGTTTCATGATCCTGAATATATAACTTATTTAAGTTAGTATATGAGTGACAATAAGGTAAATTTTGTAAAAGAATATTGTTCAACAAATAATGATGGTGTAATACCTGAAAATTTATTGGAAGAATATAGATTAATAACTAAATGGAGTCAAAATAAAAATACAAAAAATCTGAATGCTGAATATAAAGTAGGAGACTCAGCAGATAATCCTACTTTTTCAGGACTTTTCTCTTATTGTTAATTCAGTGCAGGTGCAAGTATAGATTGTGCCCATACTATTTTAACTGGATAGGCAGATATAGCAATTAATTGGTCAGGAGGATTACATCATGCTAAGAAGAAAGAGGCTGCTGGATTCTGTTATATAAACGATATAGTTTTGTGTATTTTAGAGTTATTAAGAATTTATGTTCGAGTATTGTATGTAGATATTGATTGTCATCATGGTGATGGAGTTGAAGAAGCATTTTATTTAACAAATAGAGTTATGACTTTATCATTTCATTAATATGGAGATGATTTCTTTCCTGGAACTGGATAATTGAATTCAGTAGGATTAGGAGTAGGTAGATATTATGCAGTTAATGTTCCATTAAAACCAGGAATTTCTGATGGACCTTATTTAGATTTATTTAAGAAAGTTACCAGCAGAGTCATGGAAACTTTTCGTCCTGATTGTGTTGTTGTATAATGTGGTGCAGATTCTTTGTCTTTGGATTAATTAGGAGCTTTGAATTTATCTATCAAGTAAAAATTAAATTATACTATTTAAAAAGAGGACATGGATAATGCATTACCTATATGAAATAATTTGGAGTTCCATTAATCCTTTTAGGAGGAGGAGGTTATACAATTTAAAATGTGTCTCGATGTTGGGCTTATGAGACAGGAATATGTTTAGGATAATCTATAGATGAGGTAATAAAATTATTAATTAAATTTAGCCTATTCCAACTAACGATATTTATTACAAAAATTATCGTGGAGATTTTCATTTACACTTTCCAATTCAAGAAAATGTTGAAAACAAAAATAAAGCTGAAGATTTAAATAAAATTGTATCTTAGGTGTATGATCATTTGAAAAACTTAGAAAATGCACCAGGAATTCATTTTCATGATGTTCCATATTCATTTTATCCAAATATGGATTTGGAAAATGATGAAGACAATAAACTAAGTATTATTTTTAATAATTATTAATAGATATGGATATGAAATAGGAAATATCTTTAGGTGAATTAGAATAAGAATTAGGGATATCTGATGAAGCTAATGCAATCTCAGTTAATTCTGGTTCTAGAAAATTACATTCAAAAGAAATATGAATTTGTTATATATATATATATTTATTTATATTCATAATTTTATCATTTTTTATTATCATCCTTCTAAGTCATTATGATTTCTAATATCTTTTTAATTAAAAATAGATTAATCTTAATTGATAAAAATATTTTTATCTTAATTAATTTTCAAAATCAGAGATATCAAATTCAATACATTTAAATCTTTACTTATATTTTTATAAATTATTAATTTTTAGTGATAAATTAAATAGTTCTTAAAATATATTTATAATAATATTTTGTTTTATTCTCCTCTATTTTTGTTAATAAATCTTAAAGCAATTCACTATGATAAAATTTATCCTTAATAATTAATTGATTATAAAAATAAAAAGTAAATAATAAAAAAATTTAAGATTACCTATATTCAACAAATAATACATTTTTCTAATTTTCTGTATTAAATATAGTATATCATGATTTTAAGATTTAAGAGCTCTAGACTCCGAAAAATCATGTCAACTTCCTACGATTTAATTATTTATTACTTGAGGATAAGTCAATATTTATTTCAGTTTTTAGAATCTACCTAAAAATCTTTAACCTTTAAAATTATTAATTTTAATTAAGACTTTTTGAAGCAAAAGTGTAATGAAATTTATTATTTTCTCTTATTGTTATAGTGCAACATTAATTTGAATCTAAATTATGATAAATATATATCTCATACATACTAATACATCTTTTTTTTGAGTATAATCTTCATAAAATGAATCCTTATTGATATTTTAATTAAATATATATATTAAACTAAATTTCATATTAATAACTTAGAACTTAAAATTTAAAAAATAGATAAACTTACTTTTATTAAAACTCATCATTATTTGAATTATGCAACTTAAATCAATGAAAATGTATACTTAACTATTTTAAAATTAACATCATCTAACTTAAAAAGTATAAATATCTTACAAATTTCTTAAATCAAATTAAGTTTCAATCAAGAAAGCCAGGATCTTAAAATCATGTAATCAATATAATTCAATTAATTTTACCTTAAAAAGAAGTTCCTATATTTTATTATGATATAAATTGCAATTACTAAGATTTAAAATAATAATTTTATTTAATCTTATATCATCCATCAAACTAGGAAATCAAAAAATAATGTAATTATATATAAAAAATAAATAAAAATTTAGATTAAATATTCAATATAAACTAAGATGATAATGTCAAATTTAATTAAGTATTGCATACTTGAATTATATTAAATGATCAATATAAATTATTTAATCATAATTATTGGCACTATTTTAATTCTACATTAATCATATTTTAAGTAATAATTAATTATGTTTATCCATAAGATTATAACATAATGCTATAAATAGAGCATATTCAAGATTCATACTGTTAAATATAAATAAATTAATATATGTATACTATTTGCCATCATTTAATCACTCAAGCTTATAATTCTTGGTTGATTCTTGCTTTTCCATCTTAGGTCAATTNCAACAAATAATACATTTTTCTAATTTTCTGTATTAAATATAGTATATCATGATTTTAAGATTTAAGAGCTCTAGACTCCGAAAAATCATGTCAACTTCCTACGATTTAATTATTTATTACTTGAGGATAAGTCAATATTTATTTCAGTTTTTAGAATCTACCTAAAAATCTTTAACCTTTAAAATTATTAATTTTAATTAAGACTTTTTGAAGCAAAAGTGTAATGAAATTTATTATTTTCTCTTATTGTTATAGTGCAACATTAATTTGAATCTAAATTATGATAAATATATATCTCATACATACTAATACATCTTTTTTTTGAGTATAATCTTCATAAAATGAATCCTTATTGATATTTTAATTAAATATATATATTAAACTAAATTTCATATTAATAACTTAGAACTTAAAATTTAAAAAATAGATAAACTTACTTTTATTAAAACTCATCATTATTTGAATTATGCAACTTAAATCAATGAAAATGTATACTTAACTATTTTAAAATTAACATCATCTAACTTAAAAAGTATAAATATCTTACAAATTTCTTAAATCAAATTAAGTTTCAATCAAGAAAGCCAGGATCTTAAAATCATGTAATCAATATAATTCAATTAATTTTACCTTAAAAAGAAGTTCCTATATTTTATTATGATATAAATTGCAATTACTAAGATTTAAAATAATAATTTTATTTAATCTTATATCATCCATCAAACTAGGAAATCAAAAAATAATGTAATTATATATAAAAAATAAATAAAAATTTAGATTAAATATTCAATATAAACTAAGATGATAATGTCAAATTTAATTAAGTATTGCATACTTGAATTATATTAAATGATCAATATAAATTATTTAATCATAATTATTGGCACTATTTTAATTCTACATTAATCATATTTTAAGTAATAATTAATTATGTTTATCCATAAGATTATAACATAATGCTATAAATAGAGCATATTCAAGATTCATACTGTTAAATATAAATAAATTAATATATGTATACTATTTGCCATCATTTAATCACTCAAGCTTATAATTCTTGGTTGATTCTTGCTTTTCCATCTTAGGTCAATTGTAAAATGATAACCAATTTCACTCTTTTTCTTCCTTCAATATCGGCTGTGAAAGAATTAATTTTAGATATTGTAATTAAACCTAGAGGATAAGATTTTTAATACCTTATCTCTACAAATTCTCAGCTACTCTAACACTGATCTTTGTGGCTTCACCTAATGCATGTAATTCAACATTATTGAATTTCTTCAAAAATATTTTAGCAATGAAAATGAATTCCTTTGCAGTCTTCTTTGATGAAACATGTAATTAGTTATCTGTTGGATCCAACTTTTATTTTTAAGGTCTTTAAGCTTATTAAGTGTTCATTATTTATTTAAAAAAATAAATATCTAATTTTAATATAATTGCAATATAATTGGAATATAAATTATTAAACCTTCTATATTTTATAAATTGGACATATTCTTTGCTTATAATCATCTTTGCAATCAATTTTACATTAATCATTATTTTTTCATCTATCTAATCATCTTGAAAGTCAAAAACTTAATTCATGTTCAATATTATTCACTTAAAGCATATATATAATACTATATTAATGATTTATGTATAAACTATTATATTCTAACATAGAATAATATGATAAATTATAAAATTATAATACGTGTAAGTTATTATGAAAAATAAAAAAATAAAAAAAAAATATGGAGCAACCGAGCTTCGATCTCAGCGCCTCATGCATGCTAAGCATACGCTCTACCAAATGAGCTATTACCCCACGTTCAAATATTCTATAATCATCATCTACATAAAAACCTGCATTTTTTTAAGTTAATGTGTTTTAACAAATTTTCTATATAATTTAATTAATAATGCTTTTCAATTAATTACATTTGATCATTAATCTTCATTTTAATTAATTTAATCTAAAAGAATATATCATTTCATGATTTAAACTATTTTTTTTATTGATTGGATATAAAATGTAATTCAAATTTAAATTTGACGGAAAAATGATTAATCAATAATAATTTTTGTTTTATTTTTTTTCCCTCATTTTAAAATAATGGCTCGTACCAAAGAAGGTAAAGAAATGTCAAAGAAAAGTATTGCTAAAACATCAGGAAAAAAAATGAAATCTAAAAGAAAGGAAAGAAAACCACATAGATTCAGACCAGGAACAGTTGCTTTAAAAGAAATCAGGAAATTTCAAGAAAGCTCTCGTTTATTAATAAGGAAGATTCCTTTTTAGAGATTAATAAGAGAGATAGCAGGAGTTAATGAAAAAGAAATGAGATTCTAAAGTAGCGCCATATTTGCCTTATAAGAGGCAACAGAAGCATTTATAGTTAATCTCTTAGAAGATAGTGTTCTTTGTGCACATCATGCCAAAAGAATGACTGTCATGCAAAGAGATATCAATTTAGCAAGAAGAATTAGAGGAGATGAATTTTGATTTTATTTCATAATATATATTATGATACCTTCAAACTCATGATTGTAATAAGATCAAAGATACAATTAAACTATATAATATATATCAAAAGCATCTGCAAAAATGAGTATCAAAATCAATCCAACAAATTATCTCTCTTATTATATATTTCCTTTTACACCAAGATCTCTTACTCTGGTATTAATGATTTCATAATGATATCAGATTTAAATATACTAATTGCATGAATTTCAACACTTACTATAAATGTTCCATAATCTACAATTAAATCTAAAAGATTAATTTAATTAATACTAGGCAAAACTACATCCATTGTCACTCCTATAAGCCTAAAAATAAAGAGATCTTTAGTTTATTTGTTTCTCCTGCATTAACTATATTATCAAGATCAAAATGCATTTTATTTTATTTATTAATCAAAATTACTTATAATGAATTAAAACTTATAAGTAATTATCATACTCATTGCAAATACTTCTTATTAACTTTTCATTATTAAAGTAATTTTGTTTTACTTTTATTAATTTAAATTAATTTTATCTTTAGTTAGAACAATAAAATTCAATTTATCCTTTAATTTAAAGATATTAACAACTTTATTCATAAGATATAAAAATAATTGCATTTACAATAATAATTATAATAAAATAAATCAATAAAAGATACCTTAAACAAAATATTGATATTTATCATACCATTTAGCTCTCCAATTATCTATAGATGAATTAATGATGCTAGAATATAATTTAAGAGATTCTACTTTTAACAGATTATATTTAGATTTGTATTATCTTCATATTAAAAAAATCTTTCTTCTAATTGAGTTATAGATTTATCTCCTCTTTTAAAACAAGGCATATAATTCTTTTGTCCAGAATACCTATAAAATTAATTTATAATTAATTACATCATTTTTACAAGTAATAATATTCTATCACTATGTTTTCTAAGAGCCATGAAACCTTTATAAAATAGTTCTCTGAATTTTTTAAATAAATCACTTTAAACTCCACCAAGTATTTCTATATATTCACTTAATAACTTAAATGGAACTTTATTTTCAATTTCGATTCCCTTTCCTGGTGCATTTCCCAAAAAAAATCCAAAATCTATATGAACTAAATGGCCATCTCTTTTTAATAATATATTCCCATTGTGTCTATCTTTAAGTTATAGAATATAGCAGGCAAGAGAATATCCAACTAAGCTATGCAGGAAATTGGTTCGATGACGATCACTAAAGTTATCACTAATAATCGAACAGATATACTGATTACTCGAAGAATTAGGCTAATGTTTATTATCTATTCCATAACTATCGTTTTAATGAATCAATTGTAATAGCATCTTTCACCATTTCAATTAATCCATAATTGGGTCCCAAGGATATTACTTCATAAATTGATAATCTCATAGGTAGATCTTCAATACTAAAGATTTAATCTATAGTTGATAAAAGTTGCATAGCAAACTACTCCTATTTTAAATTATCACCTGATTTCACAATAAGATGAACCAATCGCCAGGATTTAAGATTACCAAATAGAGATTATTCCTTAATTCTTTACTCCTAATCTTTTGCTGATTCCCCAAATAAATATTGTCCATCCTCTCCAAGTAGGATACTTTTTTATTTTATTTCATTTATAAATGAACTGGCAACACTTACAAAATCTTCATTATTTTCTTTTTAAAATGATTAATAAACACTCTTTTATACAACATCTTCATCATTATCAGGACAATAAAATTATACAGTTGGTGTTTCATCAATTATATCTTCATCAATAATTTATAGAGGTTATTATACTGAGATATTATGAACATTTGGATCTAATCATAAATTTATCAAATACATTTTGCTTAATCAACATGAATAGACCCATTTATTGACATTTTCTATTAGAGAAATGATTTATGTAGAGTAATTGCTTCTGATTATTTCAAATCATTCTGCTAATCCTTTTCAACATCAGGTCTGTATATTTCTAGACAAATATAGAAAGGTGATCTTTCTTTGGTAGAAAATACTTTGCTTTCTGATGCTACTATATTTAAGACTACATAATTTCTTATTTAATCTTTAACAAAAGGTATGTATACAGAAGATGGTAGATTCTGATTAATTCTTTGTAGATCTGCCTTTAAAGATATTATTTATGGATAAGCTAGATAAAGTCTAATTAAATATTTAATATACCTTTCAGATATACGTATTATATCATTCCAGAAATTGATAGTAGAAGAGAATCCTGAATTTAATTCATTAGTTTATTCATCTCCATTTATTGAAGTGTATTATTATATATTAATTTCAGAAGCATTAAGTTTAGGTGTTGATTAATCATATCCTGCAGTTCCATAAATTTAAATGACTTCTTTATAAGGATTATGAGAAACAAATTCTTATCCATTTATTAAATATTCATCTCCATATTGTTTTTTCATTAAATTAGTATATAGATCCAAAAATTTGATTACTTCTTTTAAATTTATGACCTTTTTATTAACAATTTATGATAAGGATTTTAATTAAAAGTATGTCAAATGAGCAAAAAAAAAGTTATTTTAACATACATTTATTAGGAAATTTATTAATTCTTTATGATTATCTCTAAATACCAAATAATTGATAAATTATGGTATATAATATTCCAAATCATCTCTTTTTTAACTCAACCAGTTTGGATTCAATCTCACCTTTTCTAAATTAGTTTTAATAACTTCAATATCCAAACCACCTTTATATAATTATAATAGCACTCCATTAGTATTTAATACATCACCCTAAATAAAATAATATATTACTTCATCATCTATAACATGATTTGCAAAAAAAGATTCTGAATTTCTTCTTCTATTCACTATACAACAATAATTAGTATCGTCATTTATATTAGAATAATTCATGTCAATTTCTTAATTTATTTATGATTATTTGTATAAAATACATTAGAAGTTCTATATTTATTCAACTATTAATAGATTTTATTTATATTAAAATAATCATATAATAAAAGTAATCATATTTGATTTGTTAATAATTATAGAATATTTCCAGTGTTACTTCTTTTATTTGTTTTTTATTGAGACTTTTATTTTCTGCAATTATAAGCTTTACCATCTAATTCAACAATTCTTCTTTACACTAATAAAATAAATCAATAAATTTTACAATTTATAGTTGCATAAACTTTTGAGGTGAATTTTTCAACTTCAAAGATTTGAGAACATACTATATCCATACCAAAAGATAGATAGATATGTAAATGTTCAACTTCTAGATTAGGTGTTACTTTCTTATTTTAATTTAAACCTCTCTCTGTTTTTAAATCTGAATTTTAATTATTTATTCTAGTTTTCATTTGATTTACTGGAGATGAATTTACATGTTAAGATTTCTTATTTGTATTTGCTATAGTTTATCTACATCTTGGTAATACTTCTTTAGAATCCTTAATGAATAATTAATAAATATTTTTCTATTTGTCAAACACATCAAAATTACTAATATGTATTCCATAATTTACAATAGTACCATTATTATATGGAACTATCTTTTGTTAGATATTACTTTTATTTTATTCATCTAAATCAACTAATTAAAGAGATAAATTCTTTGCACTTTTTGGTTTGACTACTAAAATATGGAATTAATTCATTAAACTAAAATAATCTGGAAACATTTCAATTAATAAACTTTAACCAATATTATTTGCAGATATATCAAATTATAAAGGCATTGTGAGAAAACCCTTTTTTGCTGCTTTAATTATAAAACTTCTCAATTCAAGATTCTAAATTACTATTGTACCATTTTTATTTGTTTATCCAACAATTTTACCATCTATACTAATATCAACATTATCAAGAATGGATGAATCTATTATATTTTTACTTGTAATTTTTAAAATAGTTTTCTATATTTTAATCATCTCTATCTCTTATTTATATTCTCCAAAACCTTTTGTTATTAAAATATGTTATTTAGGATAATAATCTAATTTCTCAATATTAACGATATATTCTGTTTATGGTTTAGTCCAAAACCTATATTCACCATTAAAAATTATAGGCATACCATTGACCATAAATTTATCAGCTTCTATCAATTTCCCTTAATGAATCAATTTATATTTGGCCTATATAATGTCATTTCTTTCCAATTCTATGATGTTTTCTTTGAAATTTACTTCTTAATGTACATATTTAAAATGTTTTCCTTATACATCAACTACATAATCATTATTTAAAGGTAAATCTTTGAAATTAATAAAATTTGATGTAAGTTTCTTATTTATAGTAATCAATTTAGCTGGAATATGAGATTTATCATTTATTTATAATTTATCTTTCTAAGAGATTGTGATAAAAGCATCTTCAAATAAATTATTTAATTAACCACCTAATGCAATTATATCTTAATTATGACATATAAATTTAATATTAATTGTTCCTCTCTCTATATAGAGTTTCAATAACTCTAAAATATGTTAAGTATTTGTAAATGGTTTATTGAATAATACAATCTTTTATTTCTAATTGTAAAGTTAAATTTAACACAATAATTCAGCAGATTGAGATATTCTTTTTTCTAATACTGTAATCCATGGATATTTTCTACGTACATTATAAATCAATTCTTAAACATAATGTTCCACTTTTATTTCTTATTATTAAAATGGATCATAAAATTGATCAACAGTGTATTTAATTGATATTATGGTTTCATTTTAATTTAATGTCTTAAATTCAGCAAAATCCTTTTTAATTCATAATTATCATTACTTCAAATTCTGTTTCATCATTAATTCTAATGATTTCTTCTTATAATTACTCTTTTCGTAATTTAACAAAGGTATATGTTTTATCTTATGAAAATGAGTTTAAAGTATAAAATTTAGTTAGGGAATTTTTCATTTTTTTTTTATTCCGTTAATCGAACAATTAAAATTTTATTAATTAATAAATACTCAATAACAAAATGATCTCATTAATCATAAGATAATAAATTTTTTTAATTCTCAATTATTTTTAAATAATCAATATCTTAATAACTATTGCATTACTTATTGTTAATAACAACAATATTTATTGAAATATTATGAGATTGAAATGAAAATAAATATTTAATTGATTTTATTAATTAATTAAAATACTTTTTTCATCACAAATTAAATATACAACTTAGCATACATTTTCAGGTGTTGCGTTTTGCACACTTGTTTAGACTTAATGTGAAGATTGTTAATACAATTTGTGATAAATACATTCTCTCCCAAAACCTTAAGGCTGTATTCACAAACTTTGATTAACTTCATTGTTGAGGGCGCTTCGTCACCTTAAATTGAATATATTTGAGTCTACGGGAGAGTATACACTCTAATATAACTATTATAAGCCCCATGTATCTCCACACTGTTTAATTTCAAAGAAATTATTATAAAAAGTGTCGGTTTGTCTATGGTGCAAAATTGATAGAAGATCATAACTGGGATTGTTAATATTACATATATTATCAATCAGTAAGATCTTCAACATAATTTTTATATAATAATATCAAACATCAATCCAAGGAATTCTTTTAAGATCTTTTGGTCCAAAAACTTTATTGCAAAATCTAAATTCTGTATCATCCATATATCCAGGACATTTAAAGATTTTTTAGATTGGATTAAATTTAGGTCTTCCTCCTGAAAAGTTTGGACATTTCTCTAAACATCCTTTAATCATACAATCAGCTATTCTTTCAATAAGTTCTCCTTTATTTCCAGTTTATTTTTGATCATTTGCTTTTAACATCTATTTCAATTAACCTGCTGATTTTTTCTCTAATTCTTTTTAGATCTTTCTGAACTCCTCTTTTTATGCTTTATCATAAAGAACAAAGACATCAGATTCTTCATCATCACTCTCATTTTGAGATGATTCCGATTTCTTCTTAATAGTTTCTAATTTTTTTTCTTTTTTCTCTACTTTTTTACTTTATTTTTTGGTATTTTTATAATCCTCATCACTATCACTATCATCTTCAACATTATTTTTTTTTGGTTTACTTTGTTTTAATTTTGGATTTATTTTTTTTATTAAGGTTTCTTTTTGAATTCACTTTTTTATAATTTTTCAAGAATTGCTTTTACCTTTTCTTGATCTGCCTTTGATAAATTTTCTACATGAAAGATATCTTTATAAGTTGCATTTTTAAAAGCAGGTTTTAATTAAAAACAATCTGCATGAAAATGATGTTCTTGATGATAATGATCTTCATCTACAATATTGCTTAATCTAAGTTCCTCTTTATTAATTTTTGCATAACAACCTTTACAAGTTGCTCTATTACTTGGTGCATATGCTGCTGTCATAAACATATCTCCTTCTAAAGATGGTAATTTCATTAACTGTTAGATAAAATAAAGATTTTTATTTAACAATCTATCTATATATGAGATCAATAATTTTATTTTTTAATTATCATAATAATGTTATAAGAATCATTTTTTATATATAGAAAAATGTGTATATAATGATAACAACATAAATATATAATAAAATTTAATATAATATATATTATTAACAAAAAAACTGCGATTGCCCAGTTTCGAACTGGGGACCTTCAGTGTGTGAGACTGACGTGATAACCACTACACCACAACCGCGTTCTAAAATTTAAATGAATATAAGAGTTTAATTCATCCAAACAATTCATAATTAATTTATGGAAATTGAAAATAATAGGTAAAAACCAAACATTTTAGTTACTGGTACACCAGGAGTTGGAAAAAGTACTTTAGGGAAATTGTTAAGTGAACATATTGATGGTCTTTAATATGTTGATGTTGGATAGTTAATAAATTAAAAGAAATTATATAAGCAATGGAATGAAGAATTTAATGTGCCTGAATTTGATTAGGATATGGTATGTGATGAATTAGAAGATGCTATGTAAGCTGGAGGAATGATTATAGATTTTCATACATCTTCATTCTTTCCTGAAAGAGTATTTCAGCTATATAAATTTAGTGGTTTGATTTGGTTGTGTTATTAAGGACAAACAATACTGTCTTATATGACAGACTCAAAGCTAGAGGATATGAAGATAAAAAGATAACAGAAAATATTGAGTGTGAAATTTTAGATGTTAGCAAAGATGAAGTAGAAAGGTTGTTTTATATTGTAATTATTATTAGTTCTTATAAATAAAATATTATTATGGAATTGAATAATGAAGAAGTACCTTAATTAGAACAAAACATTTTATAAATTATAGAGTATTTAAAATAATGGAAATAAATGTAATTGTAAAAGTAATAGTAATAATAAATCTAATGAAAATATGTATAATAATTATAAATATACCTTTAAGTTTATTTTTAAATCTTTAATAACTTTACAAGTTTTCCTCTATGTCTATCTAAAAATATATTATGAATTTTCATTTATAATATCTGTATATATATATATATTAATATATTTCAATAAAGCTATTATTACTACTATTATGAAGATTAAATATCTTTCAATTTTTAATCATAATGCCTTTAAGCATTATTATAAATTTATTGATATTATTATTTCTCTTCTTTTGATCTATCTTAATCATGTATAATAAGTTTAATAATTTCACTTGCTCCTTATGTATCTCCTGATTTTGCTTTCTCTTATCCCTGTTTCAGCAATGCAATAATTTGCTACATTTAAAAAGTATTTCGTACTTGTTATCCTGGAAATATATGTTCCATATTTGTTAAAATCATCACTAATATTTATTATGTTAATTCTGCCTACATTTATTATTAATTCATTTATTTCATCTGTTATTACATCAATCTAATCGAAAATAATCAAATAAAAGTATTACAAATATTAATTCTGTAAATGTGGCATTGTATTTAACTCATTTTCACCATGTGCAAATGTGCATGTAGGACCATTTTTACATTACCCAGTTTAAGGATTAAAATGCTTACATAATTATGCTATATTAATTAATCCTTAATATTATTACTTTTGTAATTTACTATCATAGGGTTGATTCCCTATACTTTATTATATGCATTTGTTTAGATTGTTTACTCTGGGAAACTTTGTGGTTGTTAAGCATTCTATCGAAGTTCTTATGGTCCATGTGCAAATTAACATCTTATTGCTAAAGCACAAACACCATTCTAGGCTATTTAGATTAATATTAAATCAATACTAAAATGTCTACAAAGTTAGGTTTTGAACTTAGAATTTGGATATTAAGGACCTTAAGAGTACATATTTTAAATAATATCTCAATTTAAAGAAATTAATTTGTTTATTCTCATAATAGGAATTTACGTGATAATATCAATTTCACATATAAATTGCTAATTTTTATATCAATAGAACATCATTTTTATAAAAATATAGAGTAATTTAGTCAAAATTTTAACTAATTCTTATATAACAACTGAAATCAAAAAATAACTATCAATAGTTTTATCAAACTAATTAACATGGACAAGAATCATCTTCTTTATCAACATGATCAAGATTGTATATTTTCCAATTCTCTACAATATGAATTGTTTTGATATGCTCTTTGAATGCAATTTTATGATTTTTTTATCCTTTCAATATTTGCTATCCATAAGTATCTATACGTATTTATCTTAAAGGATTCTTAGATTTAAGTTCTATTTGAGTATCTGCATGCACTTTTTTTGACTTTTGATTCATATATGTATAATATATTTTATTTTTTAATATCAGTCAAATTTTGGATTTTCATCTTCCCCCTTATTATAAATATATTCTTTATGAATATCTTAATCAAAATTAAAATGTTGATTATTTTTAATCATCATCAATCCAACTCAAAATTTTGATTTAATATATTAAGCAAAAATCTCTTTGAAATATGATATTTACTTTACAATATTTTATTAAAAAATTTCAATATTTTAAGGATCAATAATATTATTTCCTCTTCACTATTTAAATTAACTTAAATCTAAGTAAATATTAAAAAATGAATTGATAAATTTCATATATAATACTTATAAGATAAAGAATTACAATAATAAATATATTTTATATTATACTTTATTATATCAGAATCTCAATTTTGAGAATAGGAATCTTGATTAAGCTTTCTTATCAGCCAAACTACCTGCAGGTAATGTTCTGTATTTCTCAGCTAAATATTTTCTAAGATTCTTTCTCAATTCTTTTCTTTTTTCAACATTCTTTAATTCAGATTCCTTAACTCTTTCAATTCTATCTCTAACTTCCTTTAATGTTGATTCTTCTAATCTATATCTAAAATAAAATTGTATTAAATTATTACCTTGTTGGCATAATGTGATTAAGATTTAATTATTTAATGAACACTTTCAATGTAGTTCGCTTTCTGATTTACTTTTAACCCATTCTCTTGGTTACTTTTCTTGGATATCTTTAAATACCAACCACTAAACCATTAGGGAATTTTGCATCCTAAAATAAATCGAAATTTGATTTACTTTAGTTGATTCTTCATTTGCTTTAATCAAAATAGCCTTCTTTCCTGCATATCTACCAGCAAGCATAACTACTAAACGACCTGGTTTCAAGCTAACTATATTACAAATGCTTACAATTTTCCCATTTCAAAATACTAAATAAATCTTTTAATAATTTATTCCAAATTATTTGTCTCATATAATTAACTAATTCAATAATATATAAATTATAGAAATGAAGGAAATAATCATACTCAATTTAGGTTGGAATGGAAGCATAATTGGAGATCATTTGTAAGAATAATTAGCCACTGAAAATCAAATATAGGATTTGAATCTCTCAAATAAGGAATCAGATTTCTTAGTCAAATCATTTTATTATGAAACTTAAAATGGGCAATTTATTCCTAAAACTATATTCATTGATTCTGATACATAAATTTAAAAGAAGAAAATATATGCAAAATAGAATGTATATAAAATTATTTATCTTATAGTTTTCTTCATTTAGATAAATGGTTGAGAAATGTGAAAATTTATAAGGAGTACTTGTTATCAATACAACAAACTAAAATTATGACAATTACATCAAAGAATAATAATAATTAATACCTACTATTCCATTTTATTTTGTAAATTTGATTGAAGATTAAATATCATATTCTTAGTAAATAAGTTTGTTAAAATGTTATGAAATGCTTAAAGAATTTGCAGAAGTGTGCTTGTAGATCAATGGAAGTGTATTTTTAGAAAATAAATAATATACAACCTATCCTCCAAGAAATATTTCATAATTCTTAAGTTTTTGTTTGGCTTCAATAAATCAAGCTTATAAAAAACAATTAGACATCACAACATTCTCTTAACATTTATTTTTAGATTATGATTAAAAGTTTTTGTCTTGTGGTTTTGATAACACCTATGTAAATGCATATGCTAATAATTTTGGAGGTATTAATTATCAAGAAGGAAAATTCAATAAAACAGGATTAATAATTAGAGGAGAACCAAATTTAGAATAGGTTAAGTAGGTTTAAGATATCACTTAAATTCCTGCTAATATGGGTATTCTTGAGAAAAGTTATCCTGGAATTGCTTAGATAAGTAATCATAGTAGTAATGTAAATATATTGGCAAAAACTATCAATAAATTTTAGTAAATTCCAAAACAATTTTTTAATATTGATTATGAAATGAATGAAAGTCTCAATTAGATTGTAGCAGCATATCAATGATTTTATATAATTCATATTAAATTTTATATGACTATTTCTTGTAAAATTTAGATATAAATAATATTCGTTAAAATTATTATGCAACATTAACAATAAAAGTATATTTTGTGTGATAAAAGTAATCAATCATAATTATCACTCAATTTATCAAAGAGCTAATAAAAATTAGTTTGCAAATCAATTCATGATTAAATTAAGGAAAGAACACAATCAAAGGAAACTACTCATAGAAGTACTCAAAACAATTAATTATCTTAAAGAGTAAAATAATCAGGATCATTGAGTTCAGTTATAGCAAATTTCTTTGGACCTTCTGAACAGAAAAAGAAATCTAATGAAGGAGGTGAAAATATTGAAAAATCTAAAGTTATAGTTATTAAAGAACTCAAAAATTTATTAGAATAGAAAGAAGAATAAATAAAGATATTAAAATAAGAATTATAATCTAGTAAATAAGGATAATCTATTTGTGGAAAATGCAATAATTTAAAAGATAAACTATAGAAATTATAATCATCCATTAATTAACAATATGAAGTGTTTTTATAACAGTTTATAATGATAGTAGATGATGAAAATCATGAAGAAAATTTTGAAAATGAAGATCTAATAAAAAAGAAAAGCAATTAAAAATTTATAGAATCAAATACCTTTGAATAAAAGTAATCAATGATTATTTTGAAATCATTCATTGATAAATTAAACAATCAATATGATGAAGTTGATAATCGTACTATTTCTTTGTTTAATGCTATGAAAATAGAAAAACAGGAATTATAATTAAGAGTTGTGGAATTGGAAAAAAAGATTAAAGAATTATAAAATAATGAATAAATTATGTAAAAAAAATTAGAATAATTATAAAATCCATATTAAAAATATAAGAATTAGTTGTAATACAGTGCATCATTAACAAAAATTATGTATATATTTAAATTGATATAATAGTCCAGAAATTGAATGTTAAGTAAATGTTGAGAAGATCTTAAATATTGGATAACCATATTTAAGAACAAGGTATATTAGTTAAAAAGAGAATAAAAATAATTAGATGAATTTGTTTTGAAAACAAATGGAATTTAATATATTGATTTATAATATTTATTATTGTACGATAATATCTTGGTAATGATCAAAAGACTAACTCATGAGGTCTTGTGGTTTTTCCAATGGTGAAACGAGCACCAAGATATTATTTCAATAATTATGTTTTCTTAATTGCAGTGATCAATGCAGCATCAACTGATTTTTATGTATTTCTCTTTCCATCTAATCTTGTTTTTTCTGCTGTTTATTATTCAGCTGTTAACTAATTATATATATGGATATTTAATTACTTCTCCTCTCTTTGCCCAAAATCCTTATTCATTCTTACGTCTTTAAGCTTAAGTTCTCTTGAAATAATCATCATCAATTTAGTTGGCATTAACTCCAGTCACATCAACTTTAGTGGATGTTGGGATAACATAAGCAGAGTTGACTCTCTTAAGTGGGACACCATTAATTTTGAATGGACCTGTTACAAGCAACAATCCTGATTTGAGCTACTTTAAGAATACAACTCTCTTTCCTTAGAATCTTCCAGACAACAAGATTAAGACTTATCCAGGGACAATCTTTCTTAATTAAGCTGGTCTTGGAGCCTTTTTTGATTTTATTTCAAAATACTTTTCTCTTTCTAACGAAATGGACTTTTTCATCATCACTCTTGTACCAATTACCAATTCTCACAGTTCTCTTTTTGGCAGGCATTGATTGTATTTTAATTAATTTTAAATCTAATTTTAAATTTAATTATCCTAAATCACTCATCACTTGTTCTATATAATTTCCCATTTTCATCATATAATTCAGAGTTTACTCATCATTCAAAGAGTATAACACTTCAAAACTATATCAGATTATGGATCTTATAATAAGAATAAATATTTCTAATGATATTTATTCTTATATGCTTGAACACTTATTATGTGTTATAATAGTAGATAATTTTAAGACTTAGAGATATTAAATATACTATGTTCTTATTTGGATATGTTAAATAGGGTTTATTCAAATCACATAAATACTATTTCTTTTCTTATTTATATAACAAGAATAATTTATAGATTAAAACATCCATCTACCTTAATAAAAGTAGAACTATTCTATAAATTAAAATTAATATATAAAGAGTAATAGATTATTTTAGTAGAATTGAGAAATTTAATAATTTTACACTTACTTATCAATGAATTTCTCTGTAATCTTTTAAATACAACTAATTCATGATTTTAGCTGTTTTTCTAAATAATACACTTATTTAAAATTAACTAAATTTATTAATCTTTATTTCAGACTTAATTATAATATAAGTAAACAAAGTAACCAATTCATTTATCATCTATTTCTTAATTAATAATTAAAATTTATTTGTATTATATTATTATATTTTAGAAATAATCTTATTCTTACTAATCAACTTAATTTTATTTCAATTATTACAAAAAAATAAAAATAAAGTTATTTTCCTATGATAAGAATGGCAAATTCATCATGAGATAATTTATTATTAGAATTATCATAAAAATATAAGAAAATACATTGAAAAACATATTGTAATATGTACATTTTGATACTTAAAAATAAATTAATAATAATTTTGATGTTAAATTATCTTCATATTGGAGTTTGTAAAGCCTCTGTCTTAACTTAGAGTTTTAAATCACTTTTAACTTCTTACTAATTTCCTGATTCACCATTTGATCCTACATCTAATTCTTGATGTTCTATTTTTTCATGGTGTTTTTTTGCTCCATGATGATGTCCTTGATTAATTGAGTGTTTAATAATGATTAGATCAAGAATAAGGGTAACAGCAAATATAACTAAATTTGCTAGATTGTAAGACCAAGCAAATTTAGTTAAATCACTTTCCAAATTAGTAAAGAAATAGTCACTAACAGGATCTGATACACATCCATCATCATTAACTTATTTAATTATTTTTCTTTTTCCATCTATTAGAGCAAATGAAACTATTATTACAATAATTTCAGTAATTTATAAAAGTATTTTGAATCCAATTTCAATTAGGAAAATATAATTATATTATGATTCAGGTCTAGCTATAATAATAAAAAATAATATATTACTTGCCATACAAGACCAAGCAAAGTTACAAGCAGTCATTGTTCCAACAATATTAAAAATAAGACCAATAACAATAAAATAAGCAATTGTAACTCCTAGTTAGACTCTTAAAGATATGTAAACATAATGTAAGGTAGTTCCTTCTTGTAAAACTGAATCAAATAAATCACCTCTACATTGAGGTGCCCATGGAATAAATGTTTTAGCATGAATTGTCCAATTATATTTTGTATCAATATTAAAATATGGTAATTTATCAGACAAATAAATTACATTATTGGAAAGATAAAATTATTCTTCATCAATTGAATGTACTATTTAGAAGAGTTAATCAGTATTTTCACATTGCTTTCTTCTAGATAACATTAAAGGATAATCTATTCGATTAGGTGAAATATTTTGATCTAAATTCCTTCTACATACTTTGTCACCTTCAGTTACTCTAAATTCTACAATTGGTAAACTAGATGTATTTTTGATATAATAAAAATAGAATCCTGCTCCTAAATCAAAAATATCTCCTATATTTGTATTATTTTTAGATTTTATATTTTAATAATTTGAATTAGTAGTAAATCCTATTTCTGATATTGGACAACTCATATCTGTTGGAACACAAAAGACATTATCACCTGTACCACAAACTTTGTGATCAGATTAACAATTAGATGAGTTAGATTGTAAATCAATTCCAATTTTTCTTCTAGCACACAATACAAAAGCTAATTAAATTGATATATAACATTACGTCTTCCATATGATCCATCGTTCCATGAGTTGAAGATTTTAGGCTATTGTTCGTTCACTGTATTACAATTTTTGGAGAGCAATTCTTAACTGCAAATACGGCCAAGCATAAAAGATTCACTGAAAAACGCATCAATATTATAATCTGTTAATGTAGAGAAATTAAATCCTTTACTACAATCACATCCAATCCTTGTACCTGGCCATTCATATTCATAAAGGGATGAATACTATTAATTATGAATAATATCTTACTTCACTTCCAAACTAAGTCTTACAATTTTTATTTGTATAAGTGAATTGAATATCATCAATAACATAAGACTTAACATTGTCAATGAATTATTGATAATCTCCTTCATAAACTGTTTAATCTCTGTATGACAATATACTTAAAGTAAGTACTGTGATACTAACTATAAAAAAATAAGCTTAATAAACTAATCTAATCTTATCAACAGGTTTCTTTTTTAACAATCGTTTTAATCTTCTTGCAGATATCAATTTCTCTTTTTTTTCTCTCTTCTTTCTTTTCTTGATTATATCTCTCTTCATCATTCTTGATTCCTCTTCATTATTCATATCTTCCATTTTAAAGCCATTACCATCTTTCTGAATTTATTATTAGTTTTCAACATCAAAAACCTATCTATTATCTTGAGCTTGTTATAAGAGAAATTATTCTTAATCTGGTTAATCTTGAGGAGGTTCCAAGTTCTTTTCTTAATCTGCCATTTTTTTTAATAATAAATTCGAATTAAAATTCTTGAATAATTGAAAAAGGAAATCATATTACTTTATTTATTTATTTATTTATTTAAAATACTTGCTCATTTCAATCACTTTTTTAATAATATATATAATAGTGTGATTCTTTTAGACCAATAACTTCCAATAATTATTCTAATCGTTATCCTTTTGATCTATCTACAAGTATTCTTATTCCTTTCACTTCAGGATTAAGCTTTATTTTTTTATGCTTAATTTAATTCAACATATTGCTCATCATTATACTAATAATTCCATTATTATATGTAGAACTTACAAAATCATAAAACCATAGAATTATCTATATTTATTAATTAATTTATACTCCATTCCTCCAATCACTAAATTCTATGAAATATAATCCTATCAAATAATCAGTCTAACTCTCTGTTATTATAAATGCATTTTTGTTATTATTTAAACAATACTCAATTTGCAATTATTGTGTTAAATCATTACCTAATATACTTTTTCCTTTCTTTAATAAGTCTTCTAATTCCTTTTTGTTACTTGAAGTCCTTGTTACACAATCCTAACCAAGATTAATAATTCTAATTTAATAATTAATTTTCATTTACTTCACAGGATGAAATACGAAATCATCTTCAAATATAGTCTCCTCTGTTCTAATCATTCCTAATTTCTCATAAACTTTAATGGCATTCTTATTCTCAACTTCAACATATAATTTTGTCCCTGCTGCTTTTTCTTTTGCCGCATATTTCATAAATTCCTTATACATTTACTTAAATATTCCTCTCTATCTATGATCCTTCTTTACATAAACCTAATAATAATTGTATTATTCATATAATTACAGATTGAAACCAACAAGTTAATCCTGAATATATATTATATTCTTTTGTCATCAAGATCTAACCAAAGATGTGATGATTTTCTGTATAAATATAAAAAAATCCAAAATGAGGATTCTCTAGTAAGTATTCAATTGCCTTTGTCACTTGATTATTATCCAATTATTTGAATTCTGTTTCATATGCTTACTCATGTAATTGATGAACTAATTCATTTTTGTGTTATGCTTGAGCAATTAAAATCTCAGACCCTTGCATATAAAATAATAATTATTAACTTAATATATTCATTTTTAACCTAGATATTCATAAGCTTATGGATTATCAGTCTTAAATCTAAATGATTAGACCATATTCTTACTTGATAGTATGAATTATTGAAAATGGATCATCTTATCCATTTCTGCTAATCATATGTATCTCTTAACATTAAAATTGAACTTCATGAAATTATGGTTGGAATGCTTTCTTTCTTTATTCAATCTAATTTATTCCGAATTATCCAACAGTTATATGAGGTTGAAATCCATGCTCTGATTTTTTATTTAAATCATCCAATTAAGGATAGACTTTTAAAATTTCTTGATATAACTTTTAGATTCCATCATTTTCAGATTCAGGTTTTAACCACATTACACAATTTTTTCCATGTTGAAAATGGTTAAATTCTCTTAATCGAACTTAAAAAGATGGAAAATCCTCTAATTTACAAATATTATAATTTCTTACTCAAATGATTCTAAAGAACTTAAAATACTTATTCAAATTATGCAGGATCTACAAATGGAAAACATAAATTGACATGAGGCATCCATCTATCATATGCTTTATCATATTGTTTTCTTAAGAGTTATATTTAATCTATACAATGCTTTGGAGGAACTAACACCAAAGCTGTATGAAATACTTTTTTGATTTGTTGATCCATGAAAATTATAATTAATTCTTTAATAATAAGAAATTTTCAATTTAAATGAAAGAGATTTTTTTGCAGTATTAAAATTAATCATCTTCCACCTTTCCACCATGATGGCATCAAATGCTTTAATGGTTATTTTCCAAATATATTCTCCTCTTCAGGTGTGAATTACCAAAGTTTATTTGGAACTTCTTCATTTTTTAATTCTCTAAGATCATTAAAGAATGGATGCATCAATGCCATAAATGGTTTGATTCTCTACTAAGGTTAGTAACTATTATTAATAAAAATGATTACGTAACCATCTTTTTTATTAAATCAATGAATTAAGGATCAGGTTTATATTTTAAGAACACTTTAGACCATGGATGTCCTTTGACTTAAGGAAATTTAAAATCTGTATTAGATACATTGAATTCTGCAATATCAGTAGCAACAGGAGTTCCTAAGACTTTCATTATTTCAACTAATTGATCAACAGAACTTTCACCAGGAAATAATGGTTCTAATAAGATTAATTCAGCAAACACACATCCTAAAGACCAAATATCTATGCTAGTAGAATAATCAGTGGCTCCAAATATCAATTCAGGTGCTCTATAATGTCTGGAACATAAATATGAAGTGTTAATCTATCCTCCTGAAATTATTTTTGCAGATCCAAAATCACAATATTTAACAGTTGTTCCATCAATTAAAATATTTTGAGGCTTAATGTCTCTATGTGCCATACCTTTACCATGAATAAAGGCTAGTCCCCTTAATAGTTGATATGTTATAATTTATAACTGAATCTAAGTCAATTATTATTTCTGTTTCTTTAGATTTCTTAAATAGTCTGATAAATTTTCTGGTATATATTCCATCACATAATTAATATATACTTCTTCACTATTTTGAATAGAATGTAAATAATTTATACTTTTAACCAACAACATAGAATGCATCTTTTAAAGCAACAATATTTGGATGTTCTCCTAATAATTTTAAGTTTGCCAGTTCCCTATTTTTATATTTTTTATCTATGGGAGCTTTTTTTATTGCAACTTTCTCTCCATTCTCTTAGACTTATGCTAAATATCTTTTATAAGATATTAGATTTTACACTATAGCAAATGCACCTTCACCAATTCTTTTATCTACTGCATAACTCTATAGATTATCATTATTTTTCATAATATTTTAATTAATGGATTAAGAAAATAGAATAGAAATCAAATCTTGGTAAGCAGTTGGAGTTTGGAGATGGAATATAAAAGATGATAGATGTGCAATTGATAAATAGAGTCTATTTGGATAATGTTTGGAATGTGAAGCAAATCAAGTTTAAGAGGAAGTATCAAAATTTTGAATAAATACTTTAGTGTAAAATAGTATAAGGATTATGTAATCATGGATTCCATAAACATTGTATTGATAGATGGTTAAAATAGAGTAATACTTGTCCTCTTTGTAATAAAGAATGGAGTGATTCTAAAATTTTATGAATTTATTTCAGTTTTAATATAATATTTTTTAAAATACGTTTTTTTTTTATTTATGATCTCTTATTTCCTTTTCTTCCCTTTTCAAATTTTTGCCTTTACTTAACAATAATCATAATAACTCATTTCTGATGATGTAAATTTATATTTGGATTATAATTCTGGAAACATTTTTGATTATGCATTCACAAAAAAGATAGGAGAAGGTTCCTTTTCTGATGTTTATTTAGGATATAGAGTAGAAGATTAAGTACCTGTTGTTTTAAAACATATAAAAGACAGTTATGAAAATGTTGTTAATCGAGAAATATAAATTCTAAGAATTTTACAAGGATTACCCAATATTGTTTAAATTATAGATGCTATCAAAGTAAATTAAGATTAATCATAAAATGGTTATTATAATTAAGTTATTAATTAAATGATACCATAAATGGAAACTAAAAATTAATCTAATTAATAAAAGAATTATATAGCCACTATCATATTTTCTTATTAAAATACAACTCGTTGTTTAGATGATATCTTTAGAAAAGGGAAGTATTCTTTAAAATTAGTAAAAAATTATTTTAAATAAATATTCATTGCTCTTAGTAAGGCTCACGAATTACATATTATGCATAGGGATATAAAAAGTGAAAATATTCTTGTAGATAATAATGATAATATTATAGTAATTGATTGGGGTTTAGGTCAATTTTATAATTAAGTAAAATCTTAATCTACTAGAATGGGTACTTTATACTCTAAAGCACCAGAATTATTATTGAAATATAAAAAATATGATTATTCAATTGATATTTGGGCTGTTGGATGCATGTTAGCTGATTTTATATTTAAGACTGATCCTTTATTTTCTGGAAAAGATGATAAGGATTAATTAAGGAAAATAATATCTATGTTAGGAACAAATGATTTATTTGAATATCTGAAAAAATATCATATTAAATTTGTTTTGGATGATATCCCTTAAGTTTAAGATCGAATAAATTTCACTAAATTAGTGAATAAAAAAAACAAAAAATTTATTACCAATGAAGGTATTGATCTATTGGATAAAATCTTTGTTTATGATCATGTATTTAATTAATCTAATTTATATAGAAATTAAGAATAAATGCAAGTTAAGCCTTAGAACATGCATTCTTCTTATGATTTAATTTATTATATATTATTTTTAATGTATATATATATATTTTAATTAATAAAACGTGTTGAATAATTAAATTAATAGATGAGTTAAGTATCTCAAAGATAAAGAAGTCCATCTCCCTAATCTCCAGAGAAGATTGCCTAAAGAGAGAAAGCAGCTTAAGCTATGAAAAGACGTAATTAAACATAACCAAGCTTTTTCGAAAAATATGCTTATCAATTGGTTATAGGAGCATTTGGATTTGTTTGTGTCTATGCTTTATTCTCCATTTTGACACGTTCAAGCAAGAAATTAACAACTGCTCCTGTAATAGATGAAGAAGAAATAGCTGCTCACAATTCATTAGGATCTTATCTCTAAGGTCCAAATGATTTCTTTAAAGATTGGAAATTTAGTGATGCCAAATTCATTTTCAATAATCATTTGACATTTAAAGGAAAAATTTAATAATGCCCTGAAAGCGGTGTTATAATTCCAGAGAGCTATAATTTTAGAGATGCTTAACCAGAATGTGCATAACCAATATATTTTTAGGGTATTAATAATATTAATATTTAATAGGAAATTGTTCATCAAGTTATTCAATTGCTGCAGTATCAGCTACAAGTGATAGATTATGTAAATCTAAGAATGGAGAATTCTAAGATTAATTATCACCATAATCACCAATTTCATGTGATGATAAAAACTATAAATGTGGAGGAGGTAGTGTAACAAGAGTTTTGGAAGTTGGTAAGAAATAAGGATTTGTATCAACATCATGTTTACCATATAGTGGAACAGAAGATGCTAAAAATAATTGTGATGCTCTTTTCTCAAATTGTGAAAAATATAAAATTCATGATTATTGTGTTGTTTCAAGTGAAGAAAATATCAAAAGAGAAATATTGAATAATGGTCCAGTTGTAGCTGTAATTTAAGTATTTAAAGATTTTCTTGTTTACAAAGGAGGAATTTATGAAGTTGTAGAAGGAAGTTCAAAGTATACTATTTATTATATAATTTAGATTCTAATTTGGACATGCAGTTAAAGTTATTGGTTGGGGTAAATAAGATGGAGTTAATTATTGGATAATTGAAAATTCATGGGGAGATACTTGGGGATTGAAAGGATTAGCCTATATTGCAGTTGGTATTATAAATATTTAATATCCTTTTAGGTCAAAACTAATTATAATTAGAAGCATATTCTGTTGCTCCCATTATAGCAGTTCCTACCGAAAAAATTGGAGAATGAGTTTAACATATTGTTTACATTATTGTTAATTTTTTATATAATAAGTTTTGTTATATGATCTAAAATTTTTATTAAAAATGTCAATTTTATTATCATGATAATTCTTTTTTTAGAATTTCATATGCTAAATTACAAATTTATGTGAACATTAATGCCATGCTCTATAAGGTTTCACCTGGTTGTAATAATTTACGAACTTCTACTGATTTATCTAATTAGAATATTATAAATTTATTACTATTTTATTATAATTATGCACTTTAATTCAATACTATTTATAAAATACCAAAGGCTAAAGGCAATGTAAATATTGGTAATCCACTAGTCATATCTACTGATTAGTGAAAAGAATGATGTTGTTTAATATTGCCAATTAATAATGCTTCTTATGTTTTTGCTACATAACCAATAACTCCTATATCTGAACTATATTCAGTTGTATGCATATCATCTTTATATGTATAAATTATTCCTTAACTATAAAAAAAGAATCTACTGCTGGCTACACCAAATAGTGTTTCAGCATGACTTTCTATTGATTTTTACAATTTATATTTAGATTTCTATTTTGATAATTCTGTAAATGCTTCAAATAAAAGATTTTTATATCTCAATTAATAATTAATGAGTTTAAATTATAATACCTTATCTATTATAGCTAATAATAATTATGAAATCAATAATCCAAGATATTTAGCATCCTATTTTTTATTATTTAGATTTTCTAATGATATAATTCCTATCAATCTACTATCAGTTAATAATGGTATAAGATAACAATCCTTTGCAAATTTAGCAGTATTTATATTTCTATAAACAAATGCTTATTATTTATAAATTGGTTAAGATGATTTAACTACATTCAAAAATTCATCTGTATCAATATATGCATTAACTAATTCATTTTTTTAATTATAAGTATAGAATGTTGCTGTTTATTAATCTATTAACCACAATTAAATTAATTCACAATTAAATAATTATGAATCAGAACTCAATCTTTGCATTATTAATTCAATTTAATCAATTTTCAATAATTGTTTAATTAAATTAATTAAACTATTTACACTTTCTCCTAAATTCTTATACTAAACAAACAAATCCATAAATATACTAATTTAATCCACTTAATGTTATTAATCCATTTAAAATAATTAATCAATAGCTTGTTTAACACCACAATCTAATAAATCTTGTACTAAATTCTTTTGTCTTAATTTCAAATGATTTAATTTAAAATCTAATTTATTAGGCAAAGTTGCTTATTAAAAGATATCTTAGATCTCATCATCTAGATCATTAGATTCTACTATAGTCTTTTAACCAATAGTGTTTCCATTTAAATCATAAGCTGAATATCCTAATAATTTTAATTGTTTCTCTAATAACATATTTCTCTTTTATAATTTTTGATTTTTTTCTTTTAAATCTTAAACAGCTTATTCTAATTTTGAAACTTCTTAAGATTTTTAAAATGCCTTTCTCTTATTTGCTTCATTCTCTTTCAACATGTCTTCAATAATATTTCTTAATGAGTCTTTATCCTAAAATAATATTAAGAATACTTACCTTTTTATAATCACTGCCACTTAAAACTTCCAATCTTTATTCTAATGTAAAAACTCTTCTTTAATTTTATTGATTTTAACTAGCTTCTTTTCTTAATGTTTTCTTATAAATTTAAGTTTCCTCATTTGTATGTTATAGATGTTGTTTTATAGATTGCATATTTTTTTCAGTAAATTCATTCTACTTTTATACTATCTCAAATTAGTTTTGCAATTTTGCATACTTTAATTTCATGTTTTAAAGATCTCTATATAATTTATTTGAATCTAATTCTGTAACTTAAGCTTATTACAATGATTCTTATAAAGATTAAATTATTTTTTTGAGATTAAATAGATCTGCTTCTTTAAGTATTTTCAATTAATCAACTAATGCATCTGCTTATTACAATCGTTATTAACAAAGATGTAAATGTGTTTATTATATCCTCTAGATATCATTCATTGAATTTGAATAGTTTATAAACTCACTGATAATAATACTGTCAACCTTATCTTTAAATGAATTGATCAAATCATCTAAATAACCATGCATAAAATTTTATCCCTAAGGCTTTCTTGACTTTACTTATCTAATTTACAGGTATTTCCTCTATAATGAATCTAATTATGCCTCTTTCTATTGTAATAGACTATGCAAAGATTATGTGCTTGACCCTAATCATCATACTTACTTATCAATATTAGAATCTGATTCATAATACATTTTACTAGTATGAATTGGTCTTTAATCTACTCTTGCACTTTGTTTTCTCATTGAAGGTGGAACACTTATCAAATCATAATAATTGTTTGGCTATATTTCTGAATTTTGTGTTTACATGTAAATTTGGGTTATAAAAATTATTATTCTTTAAAAAAGTACAATTATACTAATAAAAATTAATCTTATCAATAGTTCTATTGTAAATCATTCTTTTTCTTATATTTTCAACTTCTAAATTGTCCAAATATTAAATTTTATATCTTTAACCAAAATATACTTGTATATCTATTTTATTTGCTTTTGTCTTTAAGATAATACTTTAAAATGTATTATTGACTAAAAATTAGAATTCATTATATATATACCTTTAAAAAAGATAAGAATTATAAATGATTATAAATATTTTTAATTGAAAAACGAAATACGAAAAATGTTAATCTGTGTTTAATTCTAGAAATTTAGATAGGTATTATAATAGTTAATAATTTACTTTATTTAGGTTTAATCTTAACTTATACTAAAAAGAATCTATATAGGCAATATTGCAATTTAGTGAATGCATTCATATTTCGTTTAGCCATAAATATTATATTAGAAGAATTTAGAATATTTAATTATAACAATTAAATGGTATTATGAACAAAATAAGACTCTTAAATATAAGGTATTTTAAATCAACATTTTCTTGATTTTTATTTTTAATGAATTATTGACATAATCATATTAATTTAATTTATAATGATTAGAATATAAAAATGTACAGGAGATGAAGAAATTGAATTAGAATAAGATATAAACATCTGGTTTGAAAGAATGTATACTGAACTAAGTGCTAAATAATAAGAAACTAAATCAAGAATTGACAAATATAATATAGAGATTAAACCTAAAACTAAAAATCATAAAATTTCTTTTAGAGATGAAATCAATCCATAAGCTGGTTTAGTGGATATATATGTTGTAGTAAATTGGAAAACATATAATATTAAAGAAAGAGATCCCATAGATGATTGCTTTTGCCAAATCTCATGAATCTTATATATATATATAACAATCATAGTGATAGCTTATTAAGTATATACTATTTATTTTTAATTATAAGGTTTTTCAACATTTTTAAGTTATTTCAGTTTTACTTAATTTATCAGTATTATATTAAAATATTAATTTATTTGAAAAAGATTCTGAAAAATATAGTAAATTTTCTCATCTAAACTAATGGAATTATAAATTACATTATTAAATTTGATTCTAATTAATATGTTATCTTGTAATTAATTCATCAATCTTTAATATTTTTATTTATTTTTTAAATAGTTGATTGAAAGTTTCTTCTTCATTATTACTATCTTTTTATTAATTTATTCTGGCTTTTCAATTATATACAATTATAATTCGAAGTTTTTACATAACACAACATAAATTTTACAAATAGTTAATTATTCTTTCTTTTATTTTTAATTAGCAATTATAAGGGTTTAAATTTGAGATAGCTGATCTCTTCATGGATTTATGATTAATTTATCAATTTTTACCTTTTCTTTTTGATCATCAATCAGAGATTTGATTTTCACATTAAACAGAATTCTTATCCTTTTTAAGTAGTATAATTTCATGATATCTATTCACAATAAATCAATTATAAACAACAAAAATATAATTCAATGAAACAATTTATTTTAATTTTTTAATTTCTACATTTCTTTAATTTCTTTATCTACAAAACTTTCTCTTCCATTTTTAATTTTTATTTATCCCTAATCTTATTGATTTTAAGATATCCAAGTTTTATTTACTCTATCATTTCTAGTTATCTATTTTTCAAGTTATTAAGATTATTATAATTTTTATTTTTACTCTTCAGCTTTTCTTATCTTTTCTAATTTAATGAGCTTTTCTTATTTATTTTTGTATAAACATCTTAATATTTTCATTATCTTTTCTCCAAACTTATCTGATTACTCTTATTAATTTTCACAATAAAATTCACAGCATTCCTTATAATTTTTATCAACTTTTGATAATTCTTCTTTTAATTTTATAAAATCTTATTCAATTTCTGTTAAAATAGGTTGAAATTATATTGCTACAAGATCATTTGGATTATCAGATGCAGACTCAATAGATTAGACAATTAAATTTTGACCTTTTTTAATTTCATTTAAACTTTATTGAAGTTATGATAAAGATATCTTTTCAATAATTTCAAATTAATTAATCACTATAATATAGAATATATAAATTACTTTATTAATTTATTACATCTTTTTTCAAAATCTATTCTGATTTTTCAATCACATAATATAAAAGATTTTATTAATTGTCAATGGTTTTCAAATCATTACACTTTTCAATAGCTTCTAGTTTAAATGCTGCGATGTTTCCTTTAGGTGTCTTTGCTAACTATTAAATTTTATATTACAATTAAGAAAGTTTCCCAATCTTAACACAATCAATATAATAATTTTTAATTCTTAAGAATTCTTCAAATTTGTAAAAGCTTCAGTAAGTTACACTGCTTATTTTAGAAATGTCGATTTATTTTCATGATAATTATACATAAAATGCAATGCTTTAATTCTAAATTGAAAACCATTGACTTTACGTAATGAATCTATAAATAATTCAGATTAACCTAATAATGATTTATCTCCTGTAAAATCATTTAATAAATCAATTTCCTCTTAGGAAGGACAAATTGCAATTAATGAGTTTATTAAATTCTCAGTTAATACTTCTAAATTTAATTAAAGTAAAGAATCAGAAAATGAATTAATATTTAAACGTAATTTACTTAAAATAATTTCTATATTTTGAGATCTTTCTGGTTATAATAACTTAACTTTTTATTTTTTAACATTAACATCAATTTAATTATCTATTTATTTCTACACTTCATTAGGTTTGCAAAAATTCATTTCTAAAAATTAAGTATCTAAAGTAATATCTTCATTTTAAATTTTTTCAAAAATTGTTTTGAAAGCTTTAGAATCTGGAATAATTGTCCAAAAAAGTGGTTTCATTGGTTTGGATGGAGTAGGTTATTATTTTCTAATTAATTGTTAAGGTTATTAATTATTAATTTTGAGAGGAGGTGGTGGTGGTGGTGGTGGTGAACCAGATGTTTAAATAAGTGGAGGAGGAGGAGGAAGATTTGTTCCAGTTGTTTAATTATGTGAAGGTGGTGGTGGTGGTGGTGGAGGTGGAGATTAAATTTTAGTAGTGATATTAGATGAAATCTAAGTTAATTATTATTATTAAGAATCTACATTATTTTTAGGAGGTGAATTTTATTATTGTTTAATTGGATTATTAGATTAATTTAATTAAACTTAAGGGGATTTTGAATCGTTTTATGCTTGAGTTTTATTATTCTGTATTTCTTTTTAGAGTTAATTTATTTAATTTTATAATTATTTAATTGTCTATATATTTTCTTCGTTTAATTTATAATTTGAAAGTTATAATTCTTATAATTTTAAGTTATGTTGTTTTGTTTATTAATCTAATTGATTTCTTAATTCATTGATTATTTCTTTTGCTTCTTTGTATTTACTTTTATAATTTTTTTATTCTAAATTTTAATCATCTTGTTCAGATTGACTATTCTTAGGTGTTTTAGAAAATATTTAATTAGAAAAGCTAATATCCTTTTCTCCAATAACTGCATAATGTTATGTATTCTCATTTTCTAAGAAAAACTAATCCACCTCATCTTCTTTTAAAGAGAGTAAACTTATATTTTAGATTGCATCAATCCATTCAATAACTGATTATTTAATAGCTTTAAATACATGTTCCTAACCCTCTTCATAATAATAATATTAATCTTATAAAAAATTTAGATCCTAAATATTTTGTGAAGAACAGTAATCACTTTCATAATTGATTTTATCATCAAAAGTTGAATCTATAAAAGAAGCAAATTGTTTTGTCAATCTTGGATCATCTTAATTAAAAGAAATTAATGGATGTTCAAATGTATTAAGTATATTTCTAACTGATTCATATGTACAATCTTCTTTTTTATATAGATTCAATTTAATTCTAAGTTTAATCTATTTAAAAACTTCCTCTAACTATTTATCATTTACTTTTGTAGTGTTAAGTTCTGTTGCAACTTATAATTAATTTTTATCATCTAATGAATATAAATATCGAAATAGAAACTTAATAATTTAATAAATCATTATTAAATTTTTAGTATAATACATTGTTCTAATAAATATTTAAAATCTAATTTTATAATTATTTTTGATTACTTATTTTAGAATGCATATAGATTCTATAAATTTTCAAAAGCATCTTAAATATTTTGATAATTATTATCTTTCCAACTTAATCCGTTTTATCCAGATATAATTTTAAAAACTAAACCAGTTACTTTAGGTTCAACTGGATGGAAATTTTGAATTATTGATTTAAAACATTTAGATTCATAAAATAAGGACTTATGATTAATATTTTGGGTATTTAATATAATTTAAAATAGTTCTAATATTCTAATCTGATCTCTAAAATTATTTGTAATTCTTGATGTTTCTTCTAAAAGTATCAATCTATCTGTTAAATAGGATATAAAATTCATATTTTTAAGTAATTCTACTTTTTGATCAATACAACTAGAATTTGAAAGACTTTTACTAATACCTATAATAAACATGATTAAATATTTTACTGCTTATATCTACATCATTATAATCTTCAAATAATCTATTTATACTTTTCTTTAATTAATCTATAAAGATTTGATTATTCTAGTATTCTAATCTTTTCTACACATTGATTTTTTCCATTATTTAATCATGAATATAGCATATACGAAATTTATACTTGGATTCAACTGTCTACAAGAGTTTAATATCTGAATCTTCCAAAATAACCTTATAAATATTATTGAGATAAACATCAGATATCCATTAATTATATTTTAACAAAATATCCTCTCTTTTAGGAGTCTTTGGAAATTTTTTGGCTCCTTAAAGATCATTGATTTGTATTTCAAAAAGTAGTCCACTTTTAGTTTTATAAGAAATAGTATCTCTTCCTTATAATTTATTACCCATAATTAGATATTAATATTAAACTTTATAAGAGAAATATATAATTATCAAGTATTTAGTTTAATCACATTCCTAATTTTCCTAAATAATTTTAAAAGTCAGTATCTAAATAAAATAATATGCAATTACATTATCCAGCACTTAAAACTAAACGATAGAGGGATCCATCAATTAATGTAATCAAAAAAATAATGCCTTCATTTTCAAATTCTAATTAAATTATATTTTTAATACAATATGAAAAATTGATTATTCCTATTTTTTATATATTTTGATATATGTGAAAAATAAGTGGATACTATTCTGTTAAACTAGATACATTTTGAATTAATAGAATTTCTCCTTTAAGAGTAGAAATAAGTAGATGAGATTCTTAATAGAAAATAAATTATGTTATTTAACCAATATTATTATTGACATATTTTCTAATAATGAAGCCATTTACTCTAATATTTAATATTTAAATTTAATTACCTAGTAACAATAATCTCACTATTAGTAGTTAATAATGCTATAAGTCCATTACCATTTGATATGACATTCCAAATCTTCTCTCCAAAATTTAAATTGAATTTTATTTCATTTAAAAATAAACCTGAAATAACTGAATGTATTTATAACTTTCCTGATTTATCAAGACTTATAACAAGTTCCATATCATCATCAATAGTCAAACATTTAATAGATTTATCATGTCCATAAAGAATGTATTTTGGAGATGTACCAAAAGAAATTGTCTTTTCATTTGATTATTAAACTTTCCAAACTGTTACTCTATTATCTTTAGCACCTAAACATAAAACTTTTAATTTTGATGAATAACTAAGACATGTAACTCTTCTTCTATGAAGTTTGATTTTATGACAAATATGAGAATTCTAAGTTTTATCTTAATGTAGATCATAGATGTATACAGCACCACTTAAATATCCAGCTACAAATAGAAAATGATCATCAAATTAAAATTATTGGCCAGTTATATGAATAGGTTTAATATTTTTGTAATTATCATGTGTTTATTGTTAATCTTTTAACATATCACATTTTTCTAAATGTAATTTTTCAACATCTTATATTGAAAACAATTATGATGACAATAACTTTTCCTCACTTTCCTTTTTTTCTAAACTAGCATTATATCTAAATTATAATATATTCTATTTTACTTTAATTTATAAACTGAACAATTGTTCATTAAAACATAAAAATTATCAATTTCTTTATAAGTTTTTAATATAAGTTTTTTATCAAATTTCATTATTCGTTTAGAATTAATAAGTTTCTTATCTGTTAATATTTTGACTAAATTTGAAGGAAAATATAAATTTTATTCCAATTTTTATTTTTATGGATGAGGTTTTATAAATAATTAAAAAGGAACTTAACCAAATGATTAAATTTAAGTTAAATATCCCATTTTATCTTAGTATGGTAATTTATCTAAGAATTACCAACAACTTTCATATGTCAACCAATGATATAAATTATCTTTCTTTTTTGCTTCTTCTCCTTAAGAATATGGTCCAAATATTAAATTAATCCAATTATGTAATTTCTCACTTACAAAATATGATTCAAGTGCTTTTCTATTAATTTCTATAAAATCTTCACAACTCTCTGCCCATGGTGGTAATACAACATCATCAACCACTTCCTAATTTTATCTTATACCAAATTATATTTTATTTATATTCTTCAAAAACTCAGGAAAATAAAAATATTCAGGTATTAATTCTCTAAAATCTTAATGATCATTTTAACAAGATTCCCATGTATTAGGTATTGAAAAAAATATACGATCTGCTTAATCTAATTTACCATCCTATAAATCACATTAAAGAGAAGTAAATGGTTCAATTCTTACTAAAGTATTTATTATTTAAGCTGCTACACTATAATGAGAACCAAATAAAAAATATTCCATTTAAGTCTATTTTAAAGATTCTGCTCTTATTTTACTATTTTCCAATCTTTCTTTATTTTGACTACTTATCATCTTGTCTAAATCTCTATATTATTCTCTATTATTCTAATTAATATCTAAATATAATATATACTAAATCTATTTTTTTACTAGTATAATCACTAATAACCCAAGGGAAAATAGGATATTAATTTAAATCATTGAATGATCTACCAGAATATTTATTAATTAACATCAGATATTCAAAATTTGTTATTTTACCTTTAAGCCATTTCTTTGTATAATTCTTAGCCTAAAATTCTAATATAAAATAAATTGCAAACTTTACCTGCTCTTCTATCTATTACTATACTAATATTATAATTTTATTTAAAACAATTTAAAAATTAATTTCTTTTTTCAGTATCATATAAAACAAAGAAATATGATTTTTTATTTTTACAAAATATTTCTATTGCTATTTCTTTATGAGAATAACGACGAGTTTAGATTTCAACAATTTAAGTTGTATTCAATGTTTTTGTTACTTTAACCTTTCTTAAATTGAATGACTAAATATGAATATTTATATACAATTGTTCCATATGTATAGAATTCTTATTCAGGCCTTTCTTTAGCATCACTCTAAAATTGTAACACCTTACCTTTTTCTAATATTTTTAATTCTCCAAAGACTTGCATCTTAACTCTTATCCATTCACACTGAAATATAGTCATATCATTTTATATTGATGATCTTTCCTCAAGAACAAACTCTATATTTTTGTCACTTTATATCTCTTATATATTTTGATTGAATTAATTTAATTGAATGTGTTTCTTAGGAGAAGTATTACAAGTATAATTTCTTGAAGTCCTTCTTCCTACAAATTATGATTTTACTCTAGTATCTTCAATGTATTTATTTGATGAAATCTTCTCAGTAGAAGATTTAAAAGTAGGTTTTTCTATTGATATCACATCCTAAAAAGCAGCATTCTTTATATCTGAATCATTCTATTTAATATAATTTATTTCATCAATTTGATTTATAGTCTATATTTAGGCTGATTAAATTTGATTTTATTAGTTTTAATCACTAAAATCCATATTGAATTATGAAACTATTGGATAATTCTAAGTACTTATTATTGAATTAACTATAGATCCACCCATTTCCAATAAAAAATTTTATTTTTTTTCAACAGGAGATTCTCCTTAAGATAACTAAGAACTATTTGATTTTAATAAATTCAGATGAAACTATTGACAATTTAAATAATCATCTCTACATTTTCTCATATCTTTTACCAAAAAATATTATCTAAACAAATTATCAAAATAATTAATCCTTCTAAATACTCCTTAATTTCTTCCTGTTCCATTTTATAAGGTAACCTATAATGTTTTTAATCTACTTGATCTCCTTTCAAAATTTTCCAAATTAAAATATGTTTGTGTGGATATTTAGATTATAAATAGTATTATTTCAATATTATCCAAACTTAAAAATACTTCAGCTAATCCTGCATCTTCTATTACATTAACTCCTTAATAAAACACCTTAACTATTTAATTGGATTCATGCACCATCTTATGAGAAACCTATTTCTTTATCATATTCATTAAAAAATTTTACTCTTATATTGTTTAGTACTTTGTTACTTTAATTGCATCATTAATCTCAACAAGAGAGAAACAAGTTTTGAATTTATCAATATCCAAATATTACATCTCCCTACCTAATAATAATATAATTTATGTATACTTTCAATTTCTTCATTTCCTACTTGTAATATCTCTTTTTCAATAATATCTATTAAATTATTTTAATTTCTTTGAAATATTGCATCAATCTATTTTAAATATAAAATCTTTTCTAAAATAATAAAATTATTGATGATTCCTTAGAATGTGTTTTAGAACTATTAGTTTATATAATAAGTTCCTATATTTAATGTAATATGATATTTATCAGAATATTTCTTAACATATTCTGTTATAAAAGATTTAATTTAAAAGTTCTTTTTGGGTTCATCTTAAATTTTAATTGAAAAAGTATGTTTAGGTTTATCTTCAAACATAATTGCCAATAATATCAATTCTTCTTTAGATTTTTAAGTGAAATTTAAATTAATATCAAATGGCTTTTATTCAAAATTTAATATAGTTATTTTGAGTTAATTCTCCAATGGATTAATCTTCTAATTTTCTTAATTGAAAGTTGGTCTTTATAGTGCAACTTTAATTAAATCAATTTATTAAAGATTTTGTTTTTGACCTGATTAATTATTACCACTTTAAGATTCCAACATACCACTCATATTAAATATCACTTATTCTTCTTTATATACTTCATCTTTGTGTTTTGCATTAGAATTAATAAAATAAAAACTTTCCTTCTTAAATTCAATTAAAATAGTAAAAGATTTCCATTTTTTAGTGCATAAATCTTAATAATTCTTTATAACAATCCCACTATCCTTTCCTAAAAATTAAAATTATTTTTTTCCTTTGATTTCCTTACTGATATTAGAAAAGGTTTCTAAGGTTGCACCAACATATTAAGAAAAATTAGATTGCCTAAAGACTTATTTTTTTTAATAATCTTTAGGAGCATTTTGAATCATTTTTTAAATTTGATCATTTTTAATAAAAGATAAAGATCTTTTTAAGATATCTTCCATAGACTATTATAATTTTTTATTTCTCTAATTTCTCATACATTATAAGAAGTTCTAATATATTAAAAATAAATTACAGATAAGCGAATACATTCTCTAAATACTAATTAATTATATTCATTGAATGATAAAAGTACACCAAGAAATTAAAGACACTTTTATTTTAGGAATTCTGATGGATGACTATTAAAAATAAATACTTCAACTAAAATCTATTATAATATAAAAATTAAAATACCTTTAAACAAAATTCATTTTATATTATAATTTCTCCATATTATTCTAGATTATCAGATGTATTTTTTAATTTGAGAAATCGACTAATCATAGATACTGAACAATCTTATAAGAGTTCTATTATTTCTTTCATTTAATCTTCTGAAAAAACATGTAATTTTTATTCTAGAAATTAAACAAATTCATCAGCAAATTCAACTTAAGTTAATTTTAATCCTTCTGTTAACAACCATTCTAATTTAATAAATTCTTTTAAAATGTATATAAAATTAGTTGTATTCTAAATTCCTGAAATTAATTTAACAATCATAGAATAATAATTATTTACTTAAAAGAATTCTTGAAAACTTTTTTTAATTTTATATTTTTTTAATTTCAAACAAGAATTATGATCTTATGATTATTAAAATATATCTTCCATATTTACAGGAGCATTTTCAAGACAAAGATATTAACAAATTTATAATAATGTATGAAATTTTTGTGGATGTACTATTTTCTTCTCACTTTCCATAGCCAAAATAGACAAAAAAAAATTATTTCTTGTTCCTAATTATTAATCTTCATTTTCCAAAAAAATAGATACAATTTATTATAAAATTCTTACATAAAATGGATTTTCAGGTGACCATCTTGACCAAATCATTTAAAATACTTTCTATTTCATTGAAGAATTTAATAATTAAACTTATGTTAATACTTTTTGTAAAGTCTTTATAACAACTTCATCATCCTTTAAAATTGGATCTACTAAGAATTCTACAGATGATTTAATTAGATTTTGCATTAGTTACATTTGTTTCACCTATTATTAATCAAGTGGATAAAGAACATCTATAAAAGGTATTAAAGTATCTGCAGATATTATGTATTTCTTTGTATTTTATTGATCATGTAAAATTAAATAAACACAAGCACAATCTTTAATTTTACAAGAGACTGATTTCTAAATAGAATTTATTGGATTTAATTATTTTTTCAATTTTTTTATATATTTTTACCAAAATTCAATTTTATCATCAAACATCCTTTCATTAGTTTCCTATTCAAGTTAATGCCAAAGAAAATGAAAGATTTATATTAATTCTTCAAAGACTGATTCACAAAAATTTGTGTCTTCAATAAAACCTAATTATTAAATTGAAGCTTAAATATACTATTAATATAATTACATAAAATTTGAAATAGCATAGGAATATAATCAGAATCATAATGAATTTAAGTAAAGGATAATTTTAAGTATTCTTCTAAGTATAAACGAATTTGCTGAATAACAACAGGATTTTTAGATTCTAACCATATTCTTATAGACTATAGAATTAAAGCAGTTGATTAAGATAATTACTTTAAATTGGAGAATACTTATTTAGATATTTAGTAATTTCTTTCTTCATTAAGAGTGAATATATATCTAACTATCTATTTTGTTATATGTAATTAATCATCCTTATTGTCAATAAATAATCTCATTAATTCAATTAAATATTCAGTATCACGTTATCTAATATTTTTTATTTTTTCTTGTGGCAATTTTGATTAAAGTTAATCAGTTAAGAGCATTTAATTTATACAAATTGCTATTAAAGATTAACCATCAATATGATTCTATAAAAAAGTGTCTTTTATGAGATCCATTAGAGTTATATAAGCCATCTTATAAAATAATTTAGAATTAGGCAAATTTTATATTTCATCTATATCATTATCTATTTAAAGTTATTCTGCTTGGTTTAGAAGGTATGTTGATTAATTTAGTAGCATGATAACACATTCAAAAAATATAGATTTACATATGGGATGGGAGGAAGTTGTTATTGAAAGTAATTAATCACAATTCTTATTACTTATCTTAATGATGATAAGTAAAAATTACTTATAGAGAGCATAAACGAAATATTATTTCTCCACATAAATAATGTGGTAACCAAAAAGAAAGTAAGTTAGTAAAATCACTTTTTGATTGATTGTATTTATTTAAGCTAGCTAATCTTAATTAAACTAAGCTTTTTCTTTGCTTAACATTCCAACTTAATTATTTACTTCTTTAAGACAATCTATAAATTAAATTTCTGTAAGGTAATTATTCATAAGCCATTAACTGCTTAAAAATGATTTGTAATCATTATATTAGATAATAGGCAGTCTTTATTAAATCAACATTTAATTAATTAACTACAATAATAAGTACTTAAAGCAAATACATCATCAAATTATAAAATCAAAAAAAAAATCGTCAGCTGCAGGATTCGAACCTGCGCGGGTAAACCCAGTGGATTTCAAGTCCACCGCCTTAACCACTCGGCCAAACTGACTTAATTAATACTTTATATTTCAATATCTATATATTCAATGCTCCTCTATCATTAATTCTAATTCAAGTTTATGATCCTTAAGAGACTCAATAACTTCTATTTTATATTGCTTATTCATATCATATTCAATCTATTCAATAAATCTATCTCCAAAGAATTATTTAATCAATTAATCAAAAATTAAATTTGGCAATACTATATCTTCTATATTTATTTATTTGTTATTTTTATATCCAATTATTTCAAATCCAATCTCTTCCTTTATTTTTAATTTTCCTTTTACTCTCAGATGAACCTATAAAAAATATTTATTTATATTACATTAGAGGGTTCTTAATAAAACTCTTCACAAAATAAAATATCAGAATCACAACTTCCTGTATAATTAAGAGATATAATTTCATAATTCCAATCATTTCTATTATCTCTATCAAATTTAGTCATCATTTTAATGTTGTTCAATTTAATATTGTCTTGAATGGAAAATAATTGAGGGAATACTTCAAAGGAATTTTACTGAATTTAATATTAGTTGAATATAGAGTAAAGGGATATCTAAAATAAATAATTATATATATACATCAATTTATAATTAACTTTTCTCTATACAAATTGATTTTTCAGAGAATGCAAACCATAATTCAGAATCCTCATCTATAAATTTTAAAGATTGAAATAAATCTAATATTTCTTGTTTGTATCCAAAATGAAGTCCAATAAGATGTATATTTTTAGTATTAATTAAGTATGCTTCATTACTTTTACAATATTTGCAAATTGAAACTTAATTGCAATCAATCTAATCTTATGGATAAGGTCCAATCTTCATCTTTTTATTTAATTTTTCATTTGGATGAAAATCATATAACTTATCATCTCTTTTTAAATCTTCAATCACTTTTCTCTAATGTTCATTTGGAATACCAAGTACAATAGTATTCATAAGGCAAATATAAATGATAATCAAAATGAATTGAAAATTATGGAACATCATTTTTTAAAGGACATCTCTCATAATAAAAATAAAAGTCTTAGTTGTATTTGAAAAAAGAAAATGAACTTGAATAATTTAATATTAAATTAATTTAATTTTTATAATTCAACTATTTTTAAATATCAATAAAGGTTTACAGATATTCAATAGTGATACACATTTTTAGATAATTATATGTATATAAATATACTAATAATTAATTATAAAATTATGATTTAATGAATTTCAAAACATTTTTATTTTTAAATATTATAATATAATTAAATAATTTTCTATGATAAAGATAGATGTAAAGGTCAAAGATGTCTATAATTTTAAGATTATGAATATTCGCATTATCGTTTATTAAAATTCCATTTGCATGTTTATTTGGTAATAGAAAGACAGGCTTTCATGTTTAAACCAGGAGTTGGTGGTAAACAAGAGATCTAATCACCTTCTTTGAGTGGTATGCATAATGCTTATAATGGACTATAATATACAGGTACAGAATTAATTAATGCACATGCATTTACATTAACTAATAAATGTGTAGTTGGTGTTACAATTTAATTGGTTTCAGATATCTGAACACATTAGCCATTAAACCATTTACAAAATTGTCGAAGTGTTGTGATTGATAAACAAGATAAATAACTTAATTTATCATTACAAATTTGGTTTTGATTTGGAATATATGGTTTACATGATCCAAATTCAACTTCAATAGGATCAGTGGATCTAATTATTTTAATTTGTTGCATATGAGTTTTCCATAAACATTTAGTTGTAGTTTGACTAATACATGCAATTTTATTTATATTATCTAAACACTCATCAGTAGTATGATTATATGATTAACATATTCCATCTTTAAATTGACACATTTAACCACTCCTTATTACATTAAGACATGCTCTTTAAGAACCATTAAGATTAGCAATATCACGACAAAGTTCATATGCATTTGATTAATGATATTTACAAGAATCATTTTGCCAAACACAAGGTAGAATTTAAACAGTTCTACATTAATATTCAGATTAAAGTTAATCACAAGAAGTTGGTTATAATATTTGAAGACAAGAGGATGTCTATAAATTAAAAACACAATTTGAATCAACAGATTGTAAACATGTTAATTTAGATGTATTATTTAAATTACAAGTAGTGATAGGAGTATCATATTTTATACATTGATTACCATTCCATTAACATTTTAATATATCCTATAATAAACAAGTATTTTTGTTTGGTGCTTTATTGCAACAATCAAAAATAGTTTAATCACAATCAAACATAGGTTAAGTAGGACCATAACAAAAATCAGCAAATCTACATCTTAGATCTTATTTAGTGTTATTTAAACAGGCATATTCATTAAGACCTCGAATACAATCAAAATTATCTGTAGATAGTGATTCAATGCATCTATTCTCAAATTAATTATATCTACAAGGAATATCAGTAGGTTATTCACAAAAATAAGGTGAATTAATATTTACTATAGTTTCACAATTTGATTATTTAAAATCATCTAAATTTTCAAGACTACACTATGAAGATGAGAAACGACAATACTATTCTGAAGTTGTAATAGAAATACATGCTAATTTGTTAGCAACTTATTAACATTAAAGAGTATCCAAATCGGTTGCCAATATACAATTATTATTGACTATTTTACATGGTTATACTTTCACATTTACACAATCAGAACCACCAGTACAACTAGCTGTAATTTCTAAACAAAATTAATCAAATTAACAAATAGGAACAGAATCACAAGCTATTTTATTGATGCCTCTAACACAAGCAGTTAATGGTTCAGCCACTATATCTATTTATTCACATTATTTAGTATAAGAATTAAATTTACAAGGAACATCATCTGCTTATTCACAAAATTCTTATCTATTTACATAACCAATACTTAAACAAGATTTCACAGTTATTTAAGAAGGTAATTTGTATTAGCATTTGTAATTTTAATAAATACAATATTAAGTAGGATTTGTAATCTAAGAACATGCAAATTGATTAACAGGTTAATCACAAGTTAAATCACTTAAAGATTGTGGATCAACAATGATACATCCATCTGTTGTATATATTACTTAAGTGTTTGCAGTTTGATATTTCATACAGGCAGCTTAATTAAAAGAAACTACATTTGACCATGGTTCATCAGTATTCATAGCATCTGGAACTGATACACAAGTTTATGTTGTTTTATCATATTTACATGCTACTGTTTCTGCAGCTGTACAAGTCATTGGATTTGTAGGAGTAAGATTATAACAATCAATGACTTATGTTGGTTCTAATGAGATACATCCATTATCAAATTTGCAGTATTATTTTGGAGTCTTTATGAATAAACATTTATTTTTATTGGTTAAGTGTTGACAATTCAAATTAGTTTCATATGTAACTATGCAAGTACTATTTAAATCATTAAATCTACAGAACTCTTATTAAGTATTCATTTAACAACCATATTAATTTAATCCATTCTAAGTACAGGAAAAGTTATTATCATTAGATGTAATACATGAATGAGTTTCATTATCATACAGACAAGCAATTGTATTTGAAGATCTACTAGAGCAAGTTAGAGGTGAGACAATTATTCCTGCTAATGAAATACAAGTTTCAGAATCTCTTACTGATTAACATTTATTTTAATAGAATTTACATTTCAATTTAATAGAAGCACATGCATTCCAATTAAATGTAGGATCACAAGTTTATGCTTTCTTTAAATCTGATGTTGATAAATCTAGACATTGATTCTATGAATATTAACAAAGACTTTTTGTTTATTTTAAACAAGTAATCTCATTCAAACCTTTAGTATTACAACTATAAATAAATGGTTTATCTTAGTTTGCATCCACACAATAACCATCTATTTCATCATAAAATAATTAAAGAGTTTATCCTTCTAATTCTTAATATGCTTTACAGACTGATGGTGAATAAGGATATGACATTTTGGTTGTTAATTCTGCAATAGTAGTAAATGAACTCACATCATAATCTGAACATTCATTATTCTCAAATTTACATGTCAAACTTAAACTAAAACATGCAACCTTATTAATAGGTGATGTGCATAAAACTTTTTGTAAATCTTTGATAGTTACACATTAACCATCAATAAATTAGCAATATCCTGTAGAATATATAATACATCCTAAATAATTCAATCCAGTAGCTTCACATATAGGTTTATCTTTAACTCCTATTGAATTACATCTTAAAGTTCTATCTCTAAAACATGGTAATCCAGTTATTTATTAACAAGATCTTGAATTGAATTTTACTAAATTCTTATTACTATTAAAAAATTCAGAACATTTGCTTATTGATGGTTTAGATTCAATTTCATAACATTTTTGTTCTTATTCAGACCAACCACATGAAACTTTATTCAAATTTAAACAACCAAATTTATTAGCTTTTGAACAATCCATACTATCTAATGGATAATCTTCACATTATTCATTTAACCATTAACAAGATTGTTAATTACTAATTATACATGCTTATTGATTTCCATTTTGTTTTCTAATTAAAGAACAATCTGAATATATATCTACTATTGAACATAATTTTGTTTATGGAGATACCCAACAAGCATTTTTTATTTTTGGACAGCCATAAGAATTTGTTAATGAACAATCAGTCAACAATTACACATCATCATTACTTTATTCTACACAATTCATTCCTGTCCAAGCACAATTCTTATCTGTTGTCATTGATAGACAACCATATTTATTAGTATTATCACATCCTTATTAAGCAACTAATAATGGATTACATTAATATGTTATTGAGTCATAAGTATATGCACCATTTAAGCAATAAATACAAGTCTACAAACTAACATATAATTAAGTTAATGAAGAACAATCTACTTGAGCTGCTGAAACACATAATTCATTTTGAAATGCACAAGGAAAGTTCATTTATGCACAAATTGATCTTTTTACAACAGCTTTGATAGTTAATTTATTAATATATTAGCATTAATAAAGAAAGAATGGACTATCTTAATTAAATTAAGGAAGAGCAAACTTTTATTAACAATATCCTAATGTAAAATCACATCCATTTGAAAGACAAGCATTATAACTAAATGTTTCATTGCATTTCTTCTTCTTTGTATCAGATGAACATTTTGTTCCATCATAATAACAATTATCACTAACTCTACTGCAAACAATAGGACTAACACTTCCTAAATCTTAAGCATCTTTACATTTGCTAGGAGCAGTCTATTTACAAATTTATTCTTCTTTATTTGGAAAACCACTACATGTGTTTATTTTAGGGAATTCTACACTTTTATCATTATCTATAATGCAAGGAGCATTAGGATTTCTAGATTTCAAACAATTAGTTCCAATAATATTTTCACATGATAATATTTATTATTCATTATTTTCAATGTTATAACATCCTCCCATAGTAAGATCAAATACACATTAAGATGATAATTGTAAACAAACACCTTTGCTAAATATATTACGGCAATCATCTGCTTTATAAACTATAGGTGTATCTTCACACCATTAAAATAATTATTCATATGTAAATCCATCTTTATTTGTAACCCATCTTAATTCTTATTTCCACTCTAAATCTTTTAATGCCATAATTTAGCAAGTATTGATATCTGAATCCCACTTGCAATATTTTTCGGCTCTACATTATTATATAAATTATTAATCTGGTTCTTTATCAGGATTACCTGATTTTTAGCATTATAATTCACCAATATATTCTTGAAAATCATAATTAATAGAAGCACAAGATATTATATTAAATAGATAATCTGCTTATTAATCTCTAAGCTAGCTACATTTCATAGAATCATCAATTCTTATATATTTACATTCATAAGTTGATTTAACAAAATAACATGATTATGGAACTTCAGTACACATTTATAAACTAATCAAATAAGGTGATTCACAAGAGGTTTAAACTCCTAAAAATGTTTGACATCTCTTCTCAGCTATTTATGTTTTATCAAAATAACATTTCTAATACAATGTACTAAATAAACAAGCGTCTACATTTAAAATCTATGTTCCATCACAAAATATATTAGGTTCTAATGGATCTGTTGGATTTGCTTTAGGTTTATATAAATCTGAGTCTGTAAGTTAGATGCATTTATTTAAATCCTTATCAAATCTAAAAGGAGCACCAAAAACTTATGCACATGCCTCAGCATTATAAAGATTATCAGGAGATATCATAGAAGCCATTGCACTTCTTACTTTTATGCATCTCATTTTAAGAAAATTCCATTCACAAGGTTCTGAAACAATTTTTAAACATAATTCTTTACTTACATTATCTTCACATCCTAATTTATCAATTGGTTAATCATTTTCATAACAATACATTTCTTAATCATTCCATCTACAATCACCTTTTGTTTTTGAATAACATGCAATTGAATTACCATCTGTCAAATCACAATTATCAGATTCTGTAAGTATATCTACACATACATGATTGATTTCATCATAACCACAGATTTATCCATCTAAATTAATATTCATACATGCTAATCTACTAACCTTACCTGTTAATGATCCAAAATATCCACATGATACTGATCTTGGTGCATCAATGCATTTATCAATTAAATAAGAAAAGAAACAACTTGCTTTTTAAATACGTACACATCCATATTCATTTAAATATTAATCACATTAATGTAAATTTGATGCATATTCAGCATCTACATTTTTACATTTTAATTCTTATTTATTCCATCTGCAATAGATATCTGTATATTTAACTTAACAAGCATTGCTATTTAATTCTGTAGATTCACAATTTAATAAATCTATAATTGTTGGATCTGATATACAATGTTTATCTTAGTATCCAAAATATTTTACTGTATTTTGAGTTGATATCATAGCTTCAATAGATAAACATGCATATTTATTTAATATTTGTGTTGGTTCAGTAAATATATTTAAATTAGGAAACAAATTAAAATTGATATTGACACATAAATTACCATTAAAATAACAATGCTATTAAGTAGACCATTCAATCATATGACATGAATTTTTATTCATAGAAGAACATTTAAGCTATTAGGAATTGTAAAAATCCTTAACTTATTTTTCAACTGTGATATCTACAACATCCATAGTTAATTCTGTACATTTTAATTCATTGCTGAAATAACAATATTTACCTGTAGAAAATCTTCCACAAACATGAGAATTGATACCAATAAATTCAGTACAACAAGGAGTAGCACAAATTGCTTTAAATACATTACAATTACCACCTTCATAAATACAATATCCTTTCATTTTATCAATCAAAGGGCCCCTAACAGCATCATATTCTGGTAATTCCATTTCTATTGAAGCACAAACATTAGGATTTATTAAAATACTCTTACCAGTATATGCTGAATTATAATCCAAACAACTTTCATTAAATGTAATAAATTAAGTTGAACATCTACTTTCCCTGAATAACCAAGTACACTTCTATCCAATTTTAGTTATTGATCTACATACATCAGGAGTAGGTGAACTATTTATACAATCAGAATTCAATAATAATTTTTCAGTCAACTTTCTAGTAAGATAATTTGCAGATATCACTTAGATTTATTTACATTACCACATAATTTTATCATAATAACAACTTTTTAATTAAATTTAAGCACAAGCATAAGCATTCAATCCTGGATAAGTACAAGTCATGGATTCAGTATCTAAACTATTTACACATCCCTTAGCTATTTGTTCATATCTACAAACCTCTTTGCCTGCATCAACTAAAGCACAAGCAGCAGGATTAACATATTACATTTATAAACAGAATACTTATGAAACATCTTATTTAGTTTTTATTTATTAACATTAGTTATTATACCATCTACATATTTGACCAGTAGTTATTACTTGAGCACATGCAATTCTACTTAATCCCATACCTGTACATTATATTTATTTAAGTAATTATTCATTAACTAATCTACACTATTAAGCATCAATATCAAAATAACATCCATCCTCATCTGATTTTAGTACTTAAGAACAAGCTACTTGATTAGCAAATCCTAAATCTAAACAACTTGTAATTTCTTAAGTTATTTATGCTACTACACATCCACTATCAGTCCATTTACAAGCCATTCCTTAAATAGCAGTGCATCCATTTAAATTTAAATATGAAGTTGTACAATCATCACTATCTATACTCTTTTCACATAAAGATTTTTTTTTGTTGTATTTACATCTAACTCCAGGCTTTGATATAGCTCTACACACATTTCCATTATATTTTATATTCTTATCTACATTTAATATTGGACAATCTAAATCTTAATTTATAAATATAGTAACACACTCTAATCCTGTCCATTTACAAAATTAAAATTATGTTGTTACATTAACACATGCATCCTCATTTAAATTATTACAAAGTATATGATTTAATTATTCATTTTCTAATCTCTTACATTAACCATCAATAAATTAACAATAATCATCTTTGACTTCTAAACAGCTTTCTTTACTCAATCCTAAATCTGAACAACTCTAATCCATCTTTTTTGGAATTATACATCTACCATCTTTATATTAACATAATCCTTTCTATTTAGCACAAACAGTAGGATTTACTTCAGTATAATCCTCACATTTCATAGTTTCCTTCAAAATTGCAACTTAGCATCTGTTATTATACCATCTACATGTCAAATTTGCATTCTCTACAGATAAACATAATTCTTTATTTACAGAATCATTACATTCTGTCATTTCATTAGATTCATAACACATCATGTTTTTAAATATGCCTATTTTACTCATATAAGTTACATTTTTATCCAGTAATCCTAACACAAGTGTCTTCATTCAAACCAGGAGTATTACATTTTAAATATTAAATCTATTCATCCTTTACATTAATACAACCATAGTCTCCTTCAAATTAGCTACTCATACAATTTATTCCCTTTATTTTTGAACATAAACTAGCTGTGACTGGAGCCTTATAAACTTCAGAACAATATGCAATTTCTATTGTCCTACTTTAAGCCTCTTTACATTCATTTCCATTCCAAAAACAATCTTTTCCAATCACATTTGTACAAGAATTTCTTGAAAGCTATTATGAACATCCTAAATTCATTAAATGAGTTAGTTAAGCATCCATACATCGTTATCCAAAGTAACCTATAAATAACTTTAAATATTATACATCTTGCTTCACTACCATCACTATTAGTCAGTTAATTTAAACATGCCATTTTATTCAATTAAGGAATGCATCCAAAATTTGTACTATGAATTGCTAAACAAGCATTGTCAAAAACACTAAATTAACCTAAGTGATTAAATGCGGAAATTACACATTATGCCTTCGGTTTTGCTTATACAAGCTATAGGATCCATAGGATAGTAATTGCAAACCATGCATAAAGAGTTAGAAACAACTATCAAGTATAATACTACTTTTAAAAGCATTTTTAATATTGAAATCACTGTATATAATCTAGAAGATTTAAACTTATATTTTACTTTAATTATCTCAAGATAAGAATATTAAAATTTGAAAAATTAAATTATATTACTATTTTCTCTTTGAAGATATAATAATAATTCATTTCAATCTTATTATTTATTACCATTCATTTTTATTTCTTAAATTAAGTAACACTTATCAATACTATTTTTAGCAAAAGAACTCAGTACAATTTAATGAACTATCATAATACTTTTATAATGATAAAAATTTCAATTTATTATTATTTGATACCTTATTATAAAAAGTGAACCAAGTGTAAAATAGGAACCTTTAATATTAATTTTCTTTTAAATTTTAAATAACATCTTTATATCTTAAACTCTTATATTACACTTCTTTTTACTTAATATTTTATTTATAAATCATATTTCTTCCTCTTATTATTTTTTATAAATAACTTAATTTTATCAATCTTATCTAATGATTATAATCATATATTGGAAGGATAATATTTATCAATATGATATTAAAATTAACTAAAGAATATTATCTATAAATTTATTTATTATTCATAATTTATGATAATTAATTAATATGAATACATAATATTTATGAAAGTTAGCTAAATTTTTTAATGTATTATTGAATTCTTAATATAATAAAAATCTATTCTTATTATCAGAAACAGTCTTCATAATTTTTTTAAACTGATTCTATTCATTTTACCTTTGCGGAGCTGTTTTATTTAACTTTTTTCTTATAATTTATCCTCCTCATTTAGAAATCTAACTAGTTCTACTATCCAAATTTTAGAGGTCAAGAAAATGAAGGAAAAGATCGCCGATTATATAAATAAACGATTTTTTTTTTGCATAATGATATTATTTTTATTATGCACAACGAGTTTTAATCTCATAGAGGCAAAAAATAGTTTAAAATTGAGTCATATTTATAAGGAAACATAATAAAAGCTAAAAAACTGAATAATAGTTTTCTATTTCACAATTCAAGAATGATTTCACTTTAAAATAATGGAATGTTTGTTTATTACAGTAAGTGTTTTAAATGGCCTACTAAATAATTTGATAAGCATAAGGAAAAACCAAAATATGGGATATATTTTAACAATGTTTATTATTCATGTGTTAAAAATTCAGAGCATGAGGTTGAACTGATCATAAAATTTAAGAAATCTCAGCTTTATCATTTTGAAAATATATATGAAAGTTATGTTGAGGAGCCAAAATGTTTAGATATAGTACTCTGGATTTTCATAATACCAATAAATAATATAGTAGGTAATCAAAAGTTTCAACCAGTTAGAGAGATTGACAATCTTCATTCATTATTTACAATAAAAGTAGTTAATTATGATGAGAAGACTTAGAAAAGTATTTCATAACAAGTAAGGACTGAAAAAACTACAATTGAGTAAAGAATCAATAAAAAAGATTTCTAAAATAAAAAATAAGTATAATGGTTGGATTTACAACCAGAGAAACGAATTCATTAATAAAATTAATTACCTAATTATGCAATAAAGTATGAGTAATTAAGTTATGATGATTCATGGATAATAAATGAAGAGAGTATCGATCTAAATATGAAAAGTATGTAAATTAAAAGATCATCCTTACCATGTTTCATCTCTTTCAGAAAATACAATTGATAAACTTTATTTTTGTGAGTATATCTAATTAATTACTAAAATTCATGATTATAATAATATTCATTATTTTTAAGTTATTTTTGTTTATCTGAAATTCAATTTATTAATATTTATTAAATAATTTTATAGGATTATCTAGAATATTACGAAATCAAATAAGTTTATAAAATATTAATTCAAACGACTACATAAATTATATGATTAACAGAATTAAATATATAATTATATGATAACAGAATTAAATATATAATGAATAAATTAATTCTAAAAAATTTTGTTGATCTAAATTAATACTTGGAGAAGTCGTATATCTCAAATTTCCTGATTATAAATTAAACTTTTATAATAATGTTATTAAACTAAAAAATACAATTATTGCCAGATGTTCTGTTTTCTCATTGCATCAATTTTATTCCAGTAGTTTCTAAATTTTTTTATGAATATTAAATGAATTGCTATCTAATTAGGATAGTAAATTGAATAAAAATTATATTTTTCTAATAAATTAGAAAGAGTTTAGCTGCTATTTTATGATTTTAAATATTCTGTTCAAAAAGAATTTAAGTTCATTGATAGAATTTATTATTAGGGGTCTTTTTATTTTGAAAATTGATAAGAAAGAATTAACAAATAGAGAATGAAGTGGATTTTACTGGGATCTCTTTAAAATTATTTAAGTTCTACATTTGAATTGAGATTGAATAATAATCTATAATTAAAATGGGATAATAGCAGTCACAATAAAACAATTTTTTTTGGCCAATTAAGGGAGAAGTATAATTATGGACTCATTCATAAATAAAAGTTAATTTGTTATTTAATATTAGATCATATCAGAAGGTGAATCGAAGTTTTCTGAACAAAATAATGAATCTGTAATTATAAGTCCAATAGAATACTCTTTAAGTTGGATAACTAAATAAAATCAAATTCATTTTACTTCAATGAAAGTATCTAATGGACTTAAAGTGAAATTTGTAGTTGATCAAACCAATGGTAAACTTATAAGTAATTTATTCCTTAAAATTTAGAAACGGAATATACATAACTTGAGAAGTTTGAAAAATAAATAGATGAGGAACTACAACCATAGATAATGTGGAAATGCTGGGTTGAAATTTGGCTTAACTAAACTAAAAAGAATGATATTGTGCTTAATAAATAAGAAAGTTTAGAAAATGTTTAATTGGAGAGTGGTTTTGGATCTATTAATAATCCAGTTGTCAAAGTCTATAGAGAGAGGAGAGGATAAATATAACTTCTAACAAGACATTTATGTTATACAAATTAGAATGATAATAAGAAATCAAACAAATACTAGATAAATATGTAATTTTGTAAGTCCTAATTTTGGATGTTCAATTGGGATCTTAAATAGAAAATAGTTCCTGATACTTATTTTTTGGAATTGTAAAATAAATTATCAACAGAAACTCTTTCTTTTAATCAATTAACACTAAATTGAAAATTTCTTAATATTTTATAAATAGAAATGATTATATATCAAATAATGTATGCTGTTTTAATTTAAATCCAACATTTATTACCTTGTTTAAATAATAATTCTATTATTTTATTCAGATAAATTTTAATTCTTAGAAATATATATAAATTCTTGAAAGAACATGAAATTTTAATTAAATATTTCTTAATATAGAAATTGAATAAATAAATGTAAAAAAAATATTGATTATTAAATTTTTTAGATTTTAGAAATTGAAATGTCTTTATTAAAATAATAGTTTTTGGAAATACTATAAATTAAATAGTTTACCAAAGAAATTATAAGATTGGTGTTATAAATACAAAGACTATTATAAATGAATCATTTTTTCACTTTTTTTCTATTTTTATTTTTATCTAATAATCTTTGTATTTACTTTTAATCAACTTCCAATATGCGCATCACAAGTTTATAATCATTATTATATGCTAATAATAAAGCCTCATATTAATAATCAGTAATTGTTGAAAAGTATTTTTATAATTCTAAAAATGTATTGTAATGTTGATTATTTTTAATTGGTGGAGTTTTAGATTCTAAACTACTTAAACTCCATTCATCAAAATTTCTTTGGAAATCATATTCATCATTCATGAATTTAAAAACTAAACTAGCTGATAATGGTTAACTAAGATTAATTGAAGAAGAACTAGATTTTTCAGGTTCATATTATAAATATTTAGGTATTTATGGAGGTTGTCTGGCTCTTTAATATATTTGTGGTTAAGCTTATGTTTTAGATTATTAATCATCATGACATGATAAATAATCATCTAAAAGTTGATCTTCAATATCATTTAAGCATATTACAGATTCATCAGAACTAATCACAATAACAGCATTGTTATTACTAACTTCTATAGCAATTGGCTCATTTATATTTGATATTTTCTCAATTTCTATTTATTGATTATTAATAGGTTCAATAATTTTTTTAGGTTCTTCTTTTGTTCTACAATCAATTAATGGAGCATTATTATTTCTTTTTTTAACACATCTGATTTTTTATGTTCTTTTTTAAATATTGATTAATTCATTCACAAATATTTGTTTATTTTGTGGATAATATTAATTCATGAGATTCAATCCTTCTAAAAAGTTAAGATCAAGTTTTTATGCTTTCCAAAAATTTTCAATTTATTCTTCTTACTTTTTAATGGAGTCTATTTATTTTTTTCCTTTTTTCATTAGAAAAAATGAAATATTTATATTAAAAGATCATATTTTATTTGATAAATTCTTTAATACTCATTATATAATATATCATTACTATTATGCTTATTTTTATTATTGGTATTATTGCAAATCATATCTAATCTTCTATCCTAATAAATCTAATTCTCTTAAAAATAATTATTTAGATTCTCTAGCTCTTCTTGCTTATAAGAAATTCACAATAACTCTCTTTTATTTTGGACCCAACATAAACCAATTTTTAACATGTGATCTCAAGATTTCATCTTAAGGTATAGGTTTAGCAGCTTAAATTTATTCTTAAACAGTAGACTTAAATTATCTAATAACTTAATCCTCATTATTATTAATAGAATGTTTACTTCTGTCTTTCCTTCTGGAAGACTATCTCCTAATCTAACAATTGGTTTATTTTTATAATCATATTTCTCTTTTAGATACTATTTATAATTTTCTTTCTTATGTTTAATATTTAATGCTTCTTCAATATATGAAACATCATCTTTTCCTAATTTAAGATCTCTAACTTTAGCTCTTAAAAGATTTGTAGTTATTTCTGGTACTTCAATTTCTTATTTAATTATTTCTTATTGCTTTCATATTATATTAATAATATACTTAAGCTAAATATTATTCTGTTTTTTATTTAACATACTCATCCTCTAATTATCTTCTATATTTTTATCTAATGATTTCTCTCTCTTTAACAACTGTTTTTAATCTAGCCATTGATTTTTTAAGTTGTACAAGTTTTCCCATTCTACCTTTGACACCTACTACTTTTTTGAAAAATATGCCATCTGATAATAATAAATTCTTTTCTTTCAACATTACATACCTTCAATCATTAATTTCAAAATGTACCATAATTTTGTTAAATCTTCTGTTGATTTTAATCTCAACTCTTCTACTTTCCAAGATCTTCCTTATGACACCTATTATTTAGTATCTCTCAATTATTATTTAGTCAATGCATCAGTAAATTATAACAATTTTTCACTTTAAGTTGCAGGAGCCTAAGCATTAAAATATCTAGTCTAAAATGCCAATTTGTTCCATGTTTATAATAATATACGATTTATCATATATTGAAAATAAATAAAAAATATTATTTCAATTATTAAAATATTTGTTTTTTTTGATATTTAATATATTCAAAAACATTTAGAATTACTTTAAAATTGATATTTTTAATTATAAATGCCCAAAAACTAAATCAAATTTTTATTTTCTTAAGGAAAGCTTATCCAAAATACTCTAGTAAAGGTAGATTAGTAGCATTAATAGAATCACAAATTTCAGGACAACTATTTACTTCAAGAACTTATAATCCAAATCTTTTAGAATCTAATATATCTACACCACCTATTGTTATATTATCATCTATTGCTAGACATGCTTTCTCTGCAAGATCAAAATAAATATCTTTCTTCTCTGAATTCATTAATGATTCCACTGAAGCCTCTTCACTTAAACCAACTGATCTAAAATTCTATTTTATACTCTTTATTATATATTTACTTTACTAAATTTAAATTCAGCTACAGATGCAGCTTTACCTCCTATTACAAGTACTCTTACTGATTTTCCAGGACAATCATCAACATAAACTTAAGAAATTTATTGTTCTTATTTCCATAAAGCACGTGAATACATTTCTACACTATTATTTCTACAATGAGTTAAATGTACTCCTATTCCTGAATATCCATGAACATCTTTCATTATTGCTTCTTCATCAAATTATTAAATAACTGATTTAAATGAGTTTATTGAAAATGCAGTTCCAATTTTTGGAAAAGGTATTTTGTATTTAGAAAAGTTAATATATTATAGCAATTTATTGTAAAGGATATGTTCTGTTTCAGGTTTATGCAATGTTATTCTTCCTGATGCATGAACTGCTTAATTAATATATAAATAGTCAAGAAAATGTTTAGGATTCATGTATCCATAAGCTAAGAATGCATCAAAATCTATTAGCTCGTTATTAATATAAAATTTAAATTCCTTTGAAAATAACATAATTTTACATTTCCAACTGTGAAACTTATGTCCTATAGATTTACTCTTTAAACTTAAGCATTTTGCTATGTTAATTAATTTATTATAAGATCATCCATTTCTGCATAAAATATTGGGTCAGGATTGATCATATATAAAACTTTGGGTTATCTTACTATTATTTAGCATTACCATAGTACTTTAAAAAATGCATTTTATTACACTCCTTATCATATTATTTAATAAATAATAATCTCAAATTTAGGAAATTGGAAGGTTTTCATTTCGTATTTACTTCAATAATTCAAATAGTGATATTTTAACTAAATACTGAAATTTTAAAGTTTTCCACTAAAATTGTAATTCATAAATCACACTAAATTTATTATAAAATGAAAATAATTGAACAATAAATAAAATAATTGTTAAACATTTCAATTTTAATAAATGATTGTCATTACCTAATAATAAATTAAGAAAATTTAATATTTTTGTTTATTTATAAATTATAAGTTTTTTCAATAATATCTAATTTAAAATAAAACTCTATTCTTGGGATTATCATGATAAAATCTTAATTAAAAATTGGATTTCAATATTTAAATTGAGGAAATATATAATCTAATTATTTATCATGATACTTTATTAGATACAAAAAAATAAACAATAATATTAATATTTTAATCAATCTTCATACACAATAAACTCTCTAGACTGTCTTAGTATCAAAATAATAAATGATTAGTAATAAGGAAATAAAATAGTTACTATAAATAATCATACATATTTAACAATTATTTCCATAAAATACTATAAATCAAATTATAAAAATAGACATAATTTGAATAAATTTATGATAAGATATAAATTAAACAGTATTTGATGTATTTTTTAATAGAAAATTAAGAGTTGCATTAAGAAATTATTGAATATTATATTAATAATTATAATAAAGTTGATAAACTCTATTGAAATATCTATTAATAGCATCGATTTTGTTATATTGAATGTTCAACCAAAAAAATTGTTGGAATTTAATTTAATATATGAATTATATTATGAATTTAGATTTTAAGCAAGATGATTTGAAAATATGGTTCTAATTTAGATTAAAATAAATTAAATGGCAAAGAGATTATTTTAAGTAATAAGATAATATGATTATGTATAATTATATTATGCAATGTTATCAAATTAAATGATAATAATCTTTATTTAATATAGTTTTTAGTAAATCTCAAGGTTATTGTTTTTATCTAATATCGTTCAGATGTCTTTAGTTAGATAAATTATGTTTCATTTATTAAATTAATGTCAAATATGGATTTGGATTTTGAGTAGTTCTAACGATATATGCAATCAGAGAATACTCAATAATAGAAGCATGATCAAAAAGGCAATGATAAAGATAAAGATCGTGGACATGAAAAAAATAAGGATAAACATTACAAAGATAACAATAGAGAAAGAGAGAGGGAAAGAGAAAGAGAAAGAGATAAGGATAAAGAAAGAGAGAGAGATAAAAGTGCTGAGAAGAAGAAGAAAAAGAAAGATGAAAAAAAAGATAAAAAAAAGTATATTGATTATTATTACATAATATTAGAAGATCAAGGTCTGCTTCAAGATCATCAAAGAAAAAAAAAAGCAAAAAAGAGAAGGAAAGAGAAAAAGATAAAGATAAGGATAACTAATAATAAGTTATTACAACACAAATACTTATGACAAGTGATATATAAAAAAAGAGGGAGATTGCAAAATAAAGAAAAATAGAAATTATGGAGGCAGAAATTAGAGAATTGGAAAGAAAAATTGTAGAAGTTGAAAGAGAATTAGAAGAAGCACATAGATAAGATTTAACAGTACTAATGTATTGTTTACCACTTAAAGCAAAAGAAAAACACATCTATTAGTTCTTTTAAACAGTAACATACTATTAAATTTGATTAGTTCAATTGTGGTAAAATAAGGGATATTAGAATTATTAGAGATTAGAAATCTGGAAGATCTAGAGGAGTAGCATATGTGGAATTTTATTAAGAAGAATCTATACCAATGGCATTAGCATTAAATGATCGTTTATTTATTATGGATGGATAATAAGTAGGAACTATTCCTGTTAAAATACAATTAAGTTAAGCAGAAAAAAATAGAGCTGCAAGAGATTAGAAAAATATGCAAATTAAATAAAATAAATTGCAAAACATTTAAGATTTATAAAATATGAATGGACCAGCTAGAGTATAAATTACAGGCATGGCAGAATAATTATAAAGAATTAATGAAGAAGATATTAGAGAAGCCTTTGCTCCATTTGGAACTATTGAAACAGTAGAAATTCCTAAAGATGAATCTGGTAGAATGACTGGAGTTTTATATGTTACATATGAAAAAGCAGAATCAGCGAGAAATATGATAGAAGTAATAAATAATTAACCATTTTTATTAAATGGAAAACCAATTAAAGTTTAATTAGTCTCTGGTGCCAATAATTATATGGATTTATAATTAGATGACGATCTTGTTTAAAATCCAGTGATGAGAATAACACTAATGAAAAAATTAATGGATGATAGTCTTATAGATAATGTATTAATAAAATAATCTTTAGATTAATTTACCTCCATTAATGACATAATTAGGACTTACTGTACAAAGAATTTTGAATATAATCTAATCTCCTAATCCTACATTAGGTTGTATTTCTGGATGGATGCCACTTAAACACAATCCTCCAGCCTGTCCTTGCACTACAAAGGTTATTGTATTAACAAATATGTGGACTGATCTTGAGATTTCAAATTAGGCTGCTATTGTTGAATTAAAAGAAGAAGTTGAAAGTAATTCAATTTATAATAATTATTTTAATAGATGAATGTAAAAAGTATGGAGAAGTAGAAATGGTATGGGTAGACAAAAAAAATGAAGGTAATGTAATCGTTGTTTTTAAATAATGGGAAGCGGCTAAATAAGTAAATGTTTTAATGAACAACAGAAGATTTGGAAATAAAGTGGTGTAGAGTTATTTCATAACAGAGAGTCAATTCATGAGCATCATTAAATGATTTAGTAATATAAAATATTAATAAATGAATAAATAGTAAACCATTCATTTCTTTAATTAACATATTTTAGAATTAAATATTATTAATTTCTTTTAGATTTTCCAAACACAACTATAATTTATATATAATTATGAAAAGGTTTCCTTGTCTAAATTAAAGAGTTGCAAAACTAGATTAATTTTGTTGTTAAATTTATTTTTATTATAATCTTAAAATAATTATTGCATATGATCATAAAAATAATTAAATTTTAGTTAATTAGTGTATAGCGATATGATATCAGTTTGCTAAATTTATAACCATTTAGTTTAATTTTTATATTAAATAATCAAATACAAAATCATTTTAATTATTTCTCTCTAATTTTTTTATTTGGAGACTTTTTATATTGAATTTTTTCATTTATATTCTCTAGTTTAATTAGGCTAACCTCTTCAAAATAATTTTAAATCATTCTACATTATAACTATATTAAATAAAAATTTCAAGATAAAAAAATTATTGAATTATCATACTTAACCATATTTTTAATTTATAATTGAATGAAATAAGAATAATATACTTCTTGGCATAATACAAGGATAAGATGGTTTTTGTTGGCATTGACATGTTTGTTTTAAATTGGTTGTTCAATATGCATTGATTTTCCTTTTGTTTTATCAACAGAAATCTAGAACAACTTCAATGTACATCAATAAGACATTAATTATCTTTATGCCATCTATTCTATGCCCAATATTCTATTGCCTTTTTTTGGAGGAATTATTATAGACAAAATTGGTATTAGAAGTGCATTACTTATTTTTTGTTCGTTTTTGATTATTGGTTAAAGTAAATTTTTATTTAATTTAGGTTTATGTGTATAAGGTGCTTAAACTAAAAATTTTAACTTGCTCAAATTTGGTATGTTCTTTTTAGGTGTTGGTGCTGAAGTTAGTTTGTTAGTCACTTAAAGTACTTTGCTAACTAAGTGGTTTTTAGGAAAAGAAATCTCTTTAGCTTTTGGGTAAATTAATTAATTTTCTTAGGGTTTAATTGACTTTCATTAGAGTAGGATCAATAATTGCTGTTAATTAACTTCCTCAAATATATGTAAGTTATGGAAATAGTTTTGGAGCTTGTATGATTTATTGTTTGGCTATTATTTTAATTACCACAGTATCTTGCATAATTTAAACAATAATTGATTTTATAAGTGACAAAAGGGATTCAAATCATTATTAATCTTAAACATAATTATTATTAGAGTAATAAAAACCAGTGAGTTGTAAGGATTTAAAAGAATTCAATTATGATTTCTATTTAATTTCTATTAGTTGTATGTGTGGATATTGCATCTTTTTAATATTATAATTAAATGCTCTTCGTATGTTTTAAATAAGGTTAATTTTTATAATAATTTTAGATATAATTTAACATTTTCTTATTAAACATTACTTTATAGTTTACCTTACATTATCTGTATTATTTTAACACCAATTGTGGGTCATTTAATAGATAAAGTAGGAAAGAGACCTTATTTTTTAATTGTTTCTGGGTGCTTGGCAACATCATCAATAATTGTTTATTCATTAAATGTTGATTGTTCAGTATAGAATTAATGTTTGAATTATGTACTAGCAGCATAATTAATAAATGGATTGTTTTTTGCTTTATTTGCTCCTTTGATTTGGCCTTGTATTCCAATTTGTGTCAGCTCTAATACACAAGGAACTGGATTTGGAGTAGTTTGTTCTATGTAAAATGCTGGTCTAACTGTATTTCCAATAATTGTAGGTAGAATTCTGCTTAATGAAAATCCAATAAATTATCAACATATGATATATTTTTTAGGATTTATTGCACTCTTAGCTAATATTAGCAATATTAATATATATTTTTATGACATATATCATGGTAATAAATTAATGTCACCAACAATTAAATTACCAGAATATGAGATTGTTCTTGAGTAAGAAGATGAATAAAAATGAAATAGAAATATTCATATACATATAAATTTTTTAATTATATTAAGGATTAGAATCAAAATAATCTTTAATTAATATTTGTCAATTCAATCTATAAAATTAAAATCCAATTAAATTGTCTTTAGCATATCAGGGTTGAATTCTCTATTTATTTAATCAATCATTATGTTTAAAGTAATATAAATTTAATTATCATATATTGAATCATATATATTATAAAGTATCAACATAGATTTATTATTTGATAATTTTATATTAAAAAGATGTGATAGCAATATAACTTCTTTTATAGATTATCATAAATATTTTTTGACCACTTAAAATATATCCTTTTATAATCTTCAATTTAATCGAGAAATTCTTAATCTACTGTCCACTTGAGTTTATAATCAAATAAAAATATAAGTATGCTATTCTATATAAACCAAAAAGATATAACTATTAATATCTATTAATTTACTTTTCATAGATGAAAATCCAATTATCATCTCTGATAAAACTAAAACTATATAATTAACAATTATTAATTTAAGTAATCATAATTTAATATAGTGTATATATAGATATAATAAAAGTGTAAAAAAAGAAAATAATTTATTTTTGATTATAAATATTTTCCCTCTACATCTATTCATTTTTAATTTTAATTTTATAAATTATATAACATATTAAATGAATTAGTCAAAATAACATTTAAAAAGAAAGAAAAATAATAAGAATATAAATTTTTTATATGAAATAACAGAAATAAATTTCATGGCATCGAACAAAGGTTAGATGGTTATTTCTAGCCTTGACATGCTTATTTTAAGTTGGATGTTGCATTTGCATAGATTTTCCTTCAGTATTAGCAAGTTAAATCTAATCTACATTTAATGTTGGTCAAAAAGATATCAATTACTTATTCTCTATATATTCTATGCCTAATATAGTTTTACCCTTTTTTGGTGGAATAATAATAGATAAAATAGGAGTTAGAAGTGCATTAATTATTTTTTGTTCGTTTTTAGTAATTGGATAAGGTTATAAATATATTTATTACAAGGATTGTGTGTTTAAGGTGCTTAAGTTTAAGATTTTGGGTTACTAAAACTAGGAATGTTATTCTTAGGGTTAGGAGGAGAAGTTTGCTTAACAGTAGCTTAAAGTGCTATGCTTACAAAATGGTTTTTAGGATAAGAGATGTCTTTAGCTTTTGGGTATAATAAATATATAATTAGTGTATAAATTACATTCATTCGTGTTGGATCAGTAATTGGTGCTAATTGGTTACCAAAGGTGTATATTTAGAATGGTAATAGTTTTACTGCATGTATGATGTTTTGTTTTGTTTTCATTTTGATAACAATGCTAACTAGTTTTATTCAATGTATGTTAGATAAAAGAAGTGATAAAAGAGATAGAGACTAGATGAGTTAACAAGAATTATCTGAATTAGAATAACAACCACCTGTAAATTGTAGTGATGTAAAAGAATTTAAATTTGATTACTATTTATTGTCTATTAGTTGTGTATGTAGTTATAGTGCCTTTCTTATCTTATAATCTAATGGAATACGAATGTTTCAAATTAGGTGAAAATTATTTCTAATTTATAGATATAATTTAAATTTAACTTAATAAACTTTTCTTTATAGCTTACCTTACTTTATTAGTGCATCAGTGACACCAATAATTGGTTATTTTATAGATAAAATTGGGAAAAGACCAATATTTTTAATAGTATCTGGTAATTTATTATTATTGTCTACAATAATATATTCTAAAAATGTAGATTGTGCAATTGAGGATCAATGTTTTAGCTTAGTACTTTTGGCTTAATTAATTAATGGAATCTTTTTTGCTTTATATGCACCTGTAATTTGGCCATGTGTACCATTATGTGTCAATGCTAATTCATAAGGAACTGGATTTGGTATTATTGGTTCTATTTAAAATGCTGGTCTAACTGTATTTCCTATAGTTGTAGGTAGAATTCTACTAATAGAAAATGCTGTAAACTATTAACATATGATTTAATTTCTTGGATTTATCACAATTATAGCTAATATTAGCAATATTAATATATATTTTTATGATATATATCATGGTAATAAATTAATGTCACCAACAATTAAATTACCAGAATATGAAGTAGTTGTGGAATAAGAAGAATAAAGCGATAATAATACTAGAATTGAATGATTAATAATGTTTATTCAGATGTTTATTATTTAAAAAAATATATAATCTATAATCTTATCAATCAACTTTACAAAATGATAATATATCAAGAATATATTAATAATCATCAAAATTAAAAATAAAAATAATCATATACTAATCATTTTTCATTTCAATCTTAAACAATCTGAAAATACAATTCTATAAGAATTCCTAAATCAAATTTATTAAATTAAATTGACTCTAAAATTATACAAAATTATTATAGATATTTATTACCTTTTTAGGTTTTATTTTTAAAGAAAAAATGATAATAAATGATATCTTCTTACATATCCAAATTATAAAATTTTAACTTAATATAGTAATCAATTTTTATAATTACTTTATAAATATATTGGTTTATTTCAAAAGTAATTAAGTTAGTTTTCAAATTATGAATTTTTACTCTTAATTAAACATTCTGGTTCTTTGATAAATTAACTTGCATCTTTAAAGTTAAATTATAATTTATATATTATTTCATATTGATAATAAATTTATAATAATAAATAGTATCACGTATTCTAGTTATGACCTATTATTAATTGTTTTATATCGTTTTGAGAAACTCAATGAAAGCATAGTTTCAAATAATATATGACTGAATAGTTGGAGAACCTTAGAAATTTCAATCATTACGAACTTAATTCAAATGTCAAGGTTACTTTAGCTGAGTACATTTGGATTGATGGAACTGGATTAAGCTTAAGATCAAAAACCAAGGTATCCATAAAAGATTAATGAGTAGGTCTTTCACCATGAGATCAAATAACTTTCTGACCTTGAATGGTGGACTTATGATGGCTCTTCAACAGAATAAGCCAATACAAAATGGTCAGAAATCTATCTGAAGCCAGTTGTCTATGTTCGAGATCCTTTTCGAGGTGCTCCACATTTATTAGTATTATGTGAAACTTATCTTCCTGATAAAAAAACGCCAGCTAGATATAATTTTAGGTAAGAAATAGTTAAATCATTATAGATGGTTGGCATAGGAAATAATGGAAAAAGCAAAAGAATTTAATCCTTGGTTTGGAATTGAATAAGAATATTATCTTCTAAAGAGAACAGGTACAACCCATACCTGGCCTCTTGGTTGGCCTAATGGCGGATTTCCATATCCTTAAGGTAGATACTATTGCTCAATTGGCGAAAGAAATAACTTTGGTCGTGCTTTAGCCGAAGCACATCAAAGGGCTTGTTTGAATGCTGGTTTGAAGTTAGCTGGAATTAATGCTGAAGCTGCACCTTCTTAATATGAATTTTAGATAGGTATAGCATAAGGCATTGAAGCAGGAGATCATTTATGGCTAGCAAGATATATTCTAGAGAGAATAGGTGAAGAATTTGGTATTGATATAAATTATGATCCAAAACCAATTAAAGGAAATTGGAGTGGATCTGGTGCTCACTTTAATTATTCTGATTCTAAAACTAGAGGTGAAGGAGGATATCAATATATACTGAAAACATTAATTCCAGAACTAGAAAAATATCATGAATAATCGTTATTTCTTTATGGTTCAAATAACATAGATAGATTAACAGGTGCTCATGAAACAAGTGAATATGGAAAATTTACTTGGGGAGATGGTTCCAGAGGTGGTTCAGTTAGAATTCCAATCATCACCAAAGAATTGGGCTAAGGGTAAACTTGAAATTTAATTATTTTAGATATTTTGAAGATCGAAGACCTGCAGCTAATATTGATCCATACTTAGTAGGATCAGTGCTTGTTGATATAACTTTGCTTGGAGGAACTTATTTAGAAAAGTTGAAATAAGAGTTATTCAAATCAAGTCAACCATTATCATGATCAAATATAAAAATATTAACAACAAAATATTAATATATATTTTTTGAATATTGCAAACTAATATTAAATTATGCAACCAAATATTTAGGAAGTTCAATTATGATATTAAATAAGTAAGGTATAATTTGAATAAGAATGACAATGAGAATTCAATTTAATAATGGAAAGATAACATAAATAATAAGAAAAAAACATTTAGCATTTTTATATTTATAGAGTATATAAGTGGAATCTTAATATAAGTTAATAAAATTATATTCGAAAATTTTCTATTATATTAATTAAGTAAGCAAATTTAAAGGATTAAGTAATTAAGGATGATTAATCTTAAGATGTTTTATAGTTTAAGTGAAGATCAAAATTTTAATAATAATTAGAAGTTAATTATAAGTAACTTATTTTCTAAAGGATACGATGAAACAAATAAATTAAACTACGAAAATGAAATTATTAAGAATATATTATTTTAATGCTTTAATTTTTATTTGATAAATAGCTAGATTAAATTATATTCAAATAATTTTATTTATTCTTTTTTTAGAATTAAATCTTCTATCCTTTAGAATAATAAATATATTTTAACTAGATTAGTTAATTTTGAGAGAAAATGTATATATATTTAATTTTTTTCCATAAATTAATTATTAAATGCTATAAGAATATTATAATAGAAAAGTGCTTTTTATAACAGGATGTACAGGTAAACATTATAATGATATATATAAAGGATTTGTGGGCAAAGTATTGTTAGAAAAGACTTTGCGTTGTTTACCAAATGTTAGATATATTTATGTTCTGATCAGACAAAAGAAGGGTAGTAGTTTAATGGAAAGGTTTAAACGAGAGATTTTGGATTCATAAGTAAGTGTTTATTAATAAGTTAGTGTTTTGATCGATTGAAATAGATATATGGGGGAGGTTTTGAAAAATTCATAAATGAGAAGATTATTCCTATTGAAGGTGATATGTTAAAGGAGGGTTTGGGAATGACTGAGAATGATAAAAATATTATAATTGATAATGTGAATGTAAGCAAAAAATAATCATTAGATAATAATTAACTGTGCTGCAAGTGTGGATTTTAATGCAAGATTGGATGATGCAATTTAAATTAATGTTAGAGGTCCTCAAAGATTTATAGCTTTAGCATAGCAAATTAAAAATCTAGAAAACTTCATTCATATTTCAACAGCTTATGTAAATTCAGATAAGGCTGGTTATATAGAAGAGAAAATATATGATGTAAATTAAGAGAACTTAGAACAATTAGTGTCTTAATTATTGAAGACTCCTGTTAGTATATTGGAGAAAAATGTAAAAGATATTATTGGAGATTTTCCAAACACATATACATTTACAAAGTGCATTGCTGAAAAACTATTAGTTTAAAATAGAGCTCCAAATTTTCCACTAACTTTTGTAAGACCATCAATAGTAGGAGCATCATGGAAAGATCCAACACCTGGTTGGATTGATAGTTTAGTGGCAAGCAGTGCCATTTTCTTTTTTGTTGGTTTAGGATTAATAAAAACTTTGAATGGTGATGAATGTTTGATTGGAGATTAAGTACCTGTAGATTATGTAGCTGATTTTATTTTGGCTGCTGGTGCATATTAAAATGGAAGAAAAGAAGTAAGTGTTTATCATTGTTGTTCTTCTGCTAAAAATCCAATGACATGGTAATTAGCTAAAGAAGTAAATGCATTATTTTGGACAAGATCTCCAAGTTCTCAATAATTTTCAAAACCTAATTTAACATTTTATAAAAATGAAAAAATATATAAGGTTATGTCTAAAGTTAAAAATGCTCCTGCTTTATTTTATTATTAGATAGCAAATAAGATTGGAAATAAAGAAATGAAGATTTAAGCTAAAAGATTAAAAAAGATAATTGATAGAGCTGAATCTATTAATGATACTTTTAAACCTTTTGTTATAAATGAATGGATTTTTGATAGTTCCAATAGTAATGTACTTATCAAATTTTTAAATGAATCTGATAAATAAAACTTTAATATAGATATTGAACAATTAAATTGGAGATAATATTTAGAAAGATTTAATTGGGGAATTTAAAAATATATTTTAAAAGATTAAACAAGAGAATTAAGTGAATAGAGCACTGATGTTCTCAGTTAAAGAAATAAATAGTCTTATTTTAGTGATATTGAATGGTGTCTTAGTCACGGATAAGATTTCAAAACAAAAACCACAAAAGAACAAATAAGTTTGGTGATGAATTCACAAAGAGTATAATCAGTTATCAAATAATTAGTTGAAGAAAAATCTAAAAAATATCAACAAACTACACTTAATCTTGAGAAGTTGCATTAGAATATAGAAAAATAAGGTATTGATATTTGTGAAGTAATGTTTGCCAATTACAATATGGGAGTAATTAGGATGTTTGCATGGTTTATAACTAAAGTTTTTAGATAAATATATGAGAAAGTTTAAATTAATGAACCTGCATTATTAGAACTCTAAAATTATGATTAAAAAACAAGAGGTCCTTTGATTTTCATGCCAACTCATAGATCTTATATAGATTTCATTATGGTATTTATCTTTGTAATTTTTAGTGTTCTTATGTTTTTTTCTCATATAAAATCAAATGTCCACATATTGCAGCTGCAGAAGATTTCTTGTCTATGGCTTTGATTCCAACAATATTAAGAGCTTCTGGAGCTTTCTTTTTGAAAAGAAAACAATTAGAAGATAATATTCTATATAAAACCATATTTTATGAATATGTTTAAAGAATCTTGATTGAAGAGTGTTATTTAGAATTCTTTATTGAAGGTACTAGATCTAGAACAGGTAAGACTTTAAATCCAAAATTTGGATTATTAAGTATTGTATGCGATGCTGTTTTTGATAAAAAGATAATAGATGCTACAATATTGCCAATTACAATAAATTATGAGAAGGTTTTAGAGGCTGACACTTATCCTTATGAATTATTAGGAGAAGAGAAGGTTAAAGAATCTTTACTTAGAGTTATTAAGGCTATTAAAATATTATCATCAAATTTTGGTAGAATACATGTTGGATTTGGAAAAATGATATCAGTAAAAGAATGGTCAAAATAATAAGGTTTAGATTCCTTTGAGAATATTAGAGATCGTAAAAAGGGAGTTGAAACTTTGGGTTATGAGGTTGCTTACTAATTAATTGAAGAAATGGTTGTAATGCCTACAGGAATAGTTTCAACTTTATTATTAATGAATAGAAGAGGAATTACAGAGGATTAATTAATAAAGAGATTTGAATGGGTATTAAGATAAATTACAAAAAGAGGAGCAAAGACTTCAATTACTAATAATGGTTAAAGTGATGTAGCTGTTAGAAATTCAATTGGATTTTTATAGGATTTGGTTGATAAAAAGAAGAAAAATGTATTTGAATTGACATTAATACCAAAATAAGAATATAAGAGCATTCTATTATTAAGTTATTATAGAAATCAATTAGCTCATATATTTTTTAGTGAAGGAATAGTTTGTTGTGCTTTAAATGGATTTGGACATTTGTTATCTCATAAGGAAGGAGTAAGTATAGAAAGATTATGGGAAGAGAGTGATTTCTTATTGAAATTATTAAAAAGAGAATATGTTATAAGAAATAGAATTACATCTAAAGAATAGATGATAAATTTCATTTAATAAATGATAGACAAAAATGTATTAGAAAAGGTTCAAGAAAAGATTAGAGTTAATTAACAATTTGGTGAATAAGCATCTTAATTTACATGTTCACTTATATGGCCTTTAGTAGAATGTTATTGGTCAACAATTGTTTATTTATATTAATTAAAAAGAGTAAGTGATACAAACACTACATTTGAATTATCTGAATTGATTACTTAAATTTAAGGATTCGCTGAATAAATGTATGGAGAACATATAATGGAACATTATGAAAGTTGTTCCATAGAAACTATTAAGAATGCTATAAACACTTATTAAACTATGAGATGTATTAATATTAGTAAAAAGGATGATTCTGATTAAGTAAGTATAGTATTTACTGATCAAGAGGTAATTTTATTACTATAAATTAGTTATTGGAAGTTGAAGCTTAAGTTAAAAAATATTTAAAGAATAATTATTCTAAATCAATATCAAACCCTATAGATATTGCTAGATCTTTATTAGATTATACCATTATACCCAAATTATGAGTATTGTAATTTAGACTCATATATTAATTATTATAATATTTATGATTGATGCTCAATGATGATGTGATCCATGTCCCTTTTTGACATATTATAAACCACAGTATTTGCATGTTTATGGTGTACCTTCTGTTCTTGTATCTAATTTAATATAGACTTAAGGATGTCCTGCATTAATATGTGTTCCTCCCTTATTTATTAATCAATTCTTTTTATTACCAAACATCTAACAACATCAGAATCTACTTCTATTACAGGTATTTTATGAATAAATTCTTCAGCTCTACTTTTATGAGTTTAAAGTGATCTCTAATAATTTAATTTTATAAATACTTTATGAGTTTCATCATAGTCTAACCACTTATGTTAAGCTAAACTTGTATAAGATTTCACCATTTATGAAAATTAAGCTGATTTAGCTAATTGAATGCATTTTTACAACATTGTTGTATATTTTTTATGATAATTAAATTATTAATAATAATAATCCTTAACTTATATCTTTCGAGTCATTTTTATTATTTATAATCACTCGATTTACCTATTATTATTTGAGCATTCTTAAGATTATCCAACTCAGCTTATAAAATCATCAACTCTTCTTATTTCTAATGAAATTCTCTATAATTAAAATCAATAAATACTTATTTTACTCTATAAACTTCTTTTTCCATGTATTTACTTCATCAAACAAGTATTTATGTTTTTCTTCAACATTAGTAGTTTACTCTTCTAGTTACCCATGTAATTCTTAAATATATTGATTTGCTTCTTCAATTTCTTTATCCTTATCCTATATCTATCTATCATAACTATCTATAACATTTTATTTCTGTTCAAGTTTCTCTTATATTTATTAAATTTCATCTTATAATATTTTGATTGTGTTAACTAATTATTAAATTTAACTATATGCTTAAGATAATTCACTTTCCTCATCCTCATTATCTTATTTGTTTTATTGTTAGGCTTCTAATTCTTATATTCTGTTCTGTAATTCTTGAACCTTTATCTTCCAAGGTTCTTCCACTTACTACAAATCAACTACTTACAATTGACTTTGCACAGAACCATTTCCTTGACTTGTTTAAAATCTTTTTACTGCTCCTTATTATTCCCAAGTTCCTCTATTCATATTTGTATTCCCATTTATCGGATACATTTATCTATTGAATTACTATGGGTAACTTTATTATTGTTATTGATATTGCTATTAAGCTAAAGGTTAAACTTAATTTTAAAATGAGGGTTGAGAGACAAGCTTTACAGCTCCTTATTAACTTAGAGAGAATGGAGTCTTATATCCTACTCCATATGTAGGTGTAGAAATTTGTTATCTCATTATTATTACTTATAATAACTATTCAATTAAAATTAATTTAAACGATAATCATAAAATTAACATTATTCTTCATCCTAATATAAAAACAGATGATATTTTATTCTCTAAAACTAAAAAATTAAGAAAATAATTAAAAAAACACAAAAAGTAATTTGCAATAGAGTGTCAAGCGTTGGTAATTATGAAGAAATACCTCTAATGTCAAGAAATAGCCCTTTAGTTTGTCTGCTTATCTATTAAATTACATACAAATTTAAATAGTGTATCGAATTAATACAAAAGGATTATTGGTTTATTTGAGATGATGGTGTATATCAAATAAAGTGTATATATTAATATATAAATATTTCATAAAATAGTATTATAAAATATTACAAAAAATATTAATTTTTTTTGTATAAAAATTAAACCCTTTCAATTGAAATCAACAAATAAAGTAGCATTAATAGTGTTTTTTAAATATTTTAATTACACCTCTTATTAAAATTATTTTTCAACATTTTATATATTTACTGTTTATTATAATACATTCTACTATCCTATCTTTCCTTATTATTATTGAACAATAATTATATATAAATTTTAATCATCAGTTATATCAAATTTCACCTAGCAATCCCATTAAATTTTTTTATTATTATCCATTGATTTTTATTCAAGTTAATTACTAGCATCTAAATATTTTATGATTGCATAATATTCTGCGTTGCTATCCTGTTTGAATTATAACATAATTTTATTTATTTATTTTAGAGGTTTCTTCCATATAGATGAATCACTTGGCTATTTTGAAAGCCTCTGTTTAACCAATATTTTCCTTCTTGTTGACTATGAAGAATGTTAAATTTATGATTATTCATTCTTTGAAGTTTCAATAAATGATATTGCATTAGTTGTATCTACTAATTACTATTAATCTTATTACTATTCTAATTATTATTATTATTATTATTATTATTATTATTATTATTATTATTATTATTATTATTATTATTATTATTATTATTGACTTTATAAATATGACATAGTATCCTTAATAGTTGGTTACCAAAATTAAGTTTATCTAAACTTAAATTCTAATTTATGTTATTTTGCATATTCTTTTGGATTTTCTCTGGCACTCAGTAAATCTTTTACTACATATATTGGTGATGGTTAAAGATTCATTTATTTTAACTAATCTAATTTTTTGTATGATTGTGTGTCATATAGTTAATTATATATGTCTTTATTAACTAACACAATCTCATTTTATAATTGATCCATTTATTATAAATATTATTTAAAACATAATAATGAAATTCCTAATAATAGTTTTTAAGGTCTTCTTTCATAGAATTTTATAAAAATGAGTACTATATAATAAAACTCACTTCTATTAATTGAGACCCATGACTTTAATAGTTATTATTAATCAAATGAATAATAATTAATAATATTAAAACTTATGAGTTTTTAAGTATAATGTTATTTGCTATACAATAGACTACAGATTCAAAAAAAGAAGAATTTAGAAAATATTTGGAGAAAGCAGGAGTGATTGATCAACTTACAAGAGTATTGGTTGGGTTATACGAAGAACCAGAGAAGCCTAACAATGCAATTGAGTAAATTAAGTTTTTTACTTAGTTACGTGAAAAAATATTTGGGATCTCCAGTGGATATTGATGTAGATAAACTTAAATTAGAATATGAAAAACTTAAGGATGAAAACATCAAATTAAAGAGAGAAGTTGCAGAATTAAAAAAAGAAGTTAATAATTTATTTTATAGTTCTTTAGTTATAAGCTGCTTAATAGGAACAAAATTGAGATATGTAAATTTATATTTGCAATAATAATAAATTCTACTTATATATTTTACATCATATCAATTAAATAAATAAAAATGTTTTCATCATTCAAAAACAACATCTTCCATTTCAATTTCATCTGATTTAGATTACAAGTAATTTGGACCTGATGTTGTCTTTGCTAAATTATGTTAAGAAACATTCATTGTATTTAAAGGAGGTCTTTTACTTGTTTTGATATGATTATCTTCTTCTTATTTCATCTTGTTATAGTCTTCTGCTATTTAATGAGATTATTGAAACACTTTTTAAACAACTGGTCCCAATTATTAAATAAGCCGAGAATTTATTTCTTTTTCATTTTCTTCTACCTTTACTTCTTAGTAGGCTCTAAATAATTTTAACATTTTATTTCGAGTATCATATCTAGACACTTTGCCAATTACATTTACTTTGTCTATTGAATCCTTTGATAATTATGGGTCTTTTACTTAAAGTCCATGCCATGTAATTACTGGTTATGGGATATAATTAAAAATTTGCAACTGATGTTAATCTAGCAATAAACCTTTTAGTTTATTGATTTCTTAAAGTTTCTACAAAATAAGAACAATATCTAGATCATTGTTTATATTGATTGTTGACTTTTGAAGGACTATATATATTCTTTTATATCTTTCGAAATGCCTGAAACAAGAAAGATAATAAATTACAAAATTCAACCCTAATTTAATTTTCTAATTAGCCATAAGTAAATGTTCAACCATATTTTATATAAAAGCCTCTTTAAGATGGTCAATAGATCCATGTTCATGACTAGTTGGTTCTAATTTTACTGAATCTATTTCTTTAACATTAGATGACTATTGAACATCTTTTAGCAAATCTGTATCTGATTTATATATTTAAGTAAATCTTTAAGATTTGAAAATTCCTGTAACTTTATTAAATTATAATAATTTCTTTGTAGACCCTCTAAATCTTTGTAACATAGCTTCTGCTTTTTCTTTTTCTTTTTATATAAATTTAAATATATCATTTTATTCTGCTCTTTTTTAAGATCTAGAATGATCATCTATTTAACATGAATAAAGAGAATTAGCAAGCATTAATTTAAATCCAATTGTATTATACTTAATTACAATAATACCAATTAAACTAGTGATCACTTTCAATGTTCCTCCAATAAATGAAATAAAATCACCAAATTTGTTATAAGATATAAAAGAAGAATAATATTCAGAAGAAATTCTAAGATTAATTGTAAAATAACTAGTTGGTTCAACATAATCATTCTAATTTATTATTAGATATTAATTACAACAAAATTTCTTATATTTCCTAAACGAAATGACCAGAATTCTCCAAAAAAAGTATCATCTTCAAAAGGAAAAATTGAATTATCTATCATTAGAGTATTAGGTTCTAAAAATATATCAGATACTTATTCTTAGAGTTTTTTTGTTTATTGATAAAAGTCTTAAAAAAGTTGTTGAGATATAATTTCATCATTAGAAAATGGATTTATTATGGTTGTAAACATTAAAGTAGATAATTTAAATGATTATCTTTCTGATAATAAATTCAATTATTCAGTTGTAAAGCATTATGAAGAATCTTTACAAGGAGCAACTTTAATTTAAGTGTATTAAAAACTTTAAGAATTATATGTACCTTCCAAAACAAAAGAATAATTTAAAGGTAAACAAAAATAAGATGTAAAAGTCTCTAATTCATCAGTATCAGATATCAAATTTAAGGATGAAAAATGTTCACTTGTGCATTATTCAAGAGTTAGACTTCCATTAACAGTTTTAATTCTTGTTTTATTTGGAAATGTAGTGTAATGATTCTAATATATAGTAATGTTAAACATTGTCTAATTTGTTGTATTCAATAAAGTTTATAAAGGATCATCTAACTTAATACCTATCATAAAATTAGAGATATTGAGAACTCTAGCATTTGGACTGATATCATTTATTGTTCTAGTGATAGCCTTATTCTTAAACACAGTCTTACTTATTGATCTACTCTATTGATTAAATCTACTCCTTATGAAATAAAAACATAAAGCATGGCAATCCATACAACCAAACTCATGAAACCTCCAAAAAATGAAGTATACTTTCCTTTATTTTAAATATTCAATGTTATATCAGCTCCAAACATGTCAGCAACTTGTATGAATCCTACAATTTTTTAATACATTATTATTAAAATATTGTTTATTAGAATGATTGATAAAATAATAATTCAGAATATTGATATAAATGATTTTTATGTATATAATTAATTATTATTTCAAATTTATATCATGTTAAAAGTGAGAACTCAAATATATCTGATAGATATAATGCACTGTTTCATTTAATTTTTATTTTATAAAATTTAATTAAAAAAATGGGCAATTATTTTAGAACTGTACCCAAAGGACCATTAGAGGAGACTTTAATCCATTTCCTTAAAACTAGAAAACTATAACATATAAATGATGTAAAAAAAATACATTGAAATATATAGTGTATAGAAATGATTAATGATTCTTATCCAACAAAAAGTACTTTAATATTGGATGAATATTTGGATGTATTTGGTGGAATATTAGAAGAATGGACTGAATAAGTATTTCTATTATTGGAAAATAATAATTCAGCTGCTGGATAAGTTGATATTTATGAAAGTTTAGCTGTTATTGTATGAATATGCAATATCTAATAGATTGTCTTTTGTGGAGAAGAATTCAATATTAAATTGGAGTTCATTTATAAAATGTTTGACTTTGATTAATCTGGTGAAATTGAAAAAAAAGAACTCATTATGACATTATAAACAAGTATTAGAGCATTGTGCAAAATTGCAAAACTGTAACCTCCAGAACTTAAAGATCTAGAATATTTTGCAGAAAAAATGTTTATTTAATTAGATTCAGATAGAAGTGCATCAATATCATTTCATGAATTTAGTATATGGCTTTTAAATTCATGGGAATTATAAGATTTTATGTTATAATATGCATTAATACAAACCTTTGAAAATGCTGATAGAAGAGCAAAGGAAAGAAGAATCTTCTTTCAAAAACTTTATGAAACTGCAGCAGGTGGAGCAGACTAATAATATTGTGATGATGATTCCATAAAAACATTGCTCTTATCAGAACTTAAAGAATAAAAGAAAGAAACTATAGAATTGCTTATTCATATTTTAATTTAATCTACAAAAATACATTAAAAGCATGATGAATAAAATCAATAATATCCAAATGGAATTTTAAAAGAAGCTTATGAAGATATTATGGCTGCATGGAGTGCTTTTGATGCTTCTGATATAAATTCTGACAATTAAACATCAATTTAAGAATTGAAGTTTTTATTGTATGCTTATGAAGGAGATAAGCCAGATTTATTTAGAATTAAAGAAGAAATGAAAATCTTAGATAAAGACAATTCAGGATATGTTTCAAGGGAAGAATGGATATAATACTTATGTGTTGAAGATAAGGGTAAATTCTAATTTAGAGGAAATCTCAAATAACTTTTCAATAAATATGACAAAGATAATAGTGGAGCACTTAGTATTCAAGAAATAAAATAATTATTAACAGATAACATGAAAGATATGCAAATTAAATTTAAGGTATTAATGATTTAATTATTTTTTTTTATAGTTAAAAGGATAAAATGAAAACTTTGAAGAAATGGTTAATTAACTTGCTCAAGAAGTTGTTGATGACTTAAATTCAGAAAATGATAAGTAATCTAATGATAGAACTGTATAAATTTATATTATTTAAAATAGTTAACATGGATAGAATTTAAAAATTATATGGATCAAGCTGTTCTTAAATTAGACAAATTAAAAGATTTTTTAAAATCAATTTGATAAATTAGAACATAATATATAAAATATTATTAATATAAAATAAACTAAATCGAAATGGTCTTTTATTTATTTCATTCTCCTTCAAATTCTATATTCCCATCATCATTTATATCCTTTTGTTATATTTTGAAATTCATTTTTGTATCTAATTTTTAATCATAAGTATTTAATATTCCATGTCTAACAGATTATGCTTAAATAGTAGGAAGAGTTTAACTCAAATCTTCTTTTTATTTCGCTATCTCTTAGAGTTCATGATATTTTTAAAATATCATTTCCATAGTTGGACCTAATAATAAAATTAATCGATTATTAACATCGCTTTATGATTCCTTCAATTTTAAATAGGCATTGTAAACCTTTGCAATTTTTTTTTAAGAATTATATTTTATTCTCTTTTTGATAATTCTTGCTCTTTTTTATTGATTTATTTTTTAAATTAGTTAATTTTATTATAATTATTCATCTGTTGATATTTTATAATGTCGATCAACAAATATTACAGGTTTTGGAATATAATTAAATACAGAAATTTAATCTTAATCCAAAATCGTTGCCTTTAATTTTTCTATCTATTAGATCTTACTCAATATTGTTACGATATCTAAATCTCTTCTAATCATTAAATCACATTGTCTAATTAATTTTCGTGTTACCCAAACTTTTTGAAAACATTAACAACAATAAAAAGCAAGAGTGAAAAAATTAACTCCTAACTTTAATTGTTTTTTAGAATCTAAAATCTTTTTAATTAAACTATATAGAAAATTTTCCTTCATATCTTTCAATTTTTCTGTAAAATCATTAATTTCCTATTTTGAATATTAATGCTCACCTACTTCATGTTATTCTTATTTTTATAATCGTGTATTTGAAGAAAATGATGTCCATGCTCTTGTTATATTGCTGAGTTTAACTACTTAATGAGCATAATTTTTAAGTTTTCCTATCAAATCATCAACTCGATTGATTTTCAGTTATATATAGTTTAATAATTTATCATATGAGAATATCACTCTCCCTTGTTCTTTTAAGGGAAGATTAAATTCATACAAAACATTAGCCAAAGAGATTCTCATAGCTAAGAAATTGTATTAAATGGCTACAAAACCAAATAAGGCTGAAAAGAACTTTAACATACCTCCTAAATATGACAAAAATTAATCAAAGCTCTAAGCCATTTTTGTTGTTACCTATGATTCAGCATCTAATCTAAGATTTATTTCAAATATCACATTAATATCTGTTACTTCTTTCTATCACTTAATTTTTATATATACTTAAAATTATCGATAATTAGGTAAGGAAAATGACCAATAATCTAATTCCGTATTAGAGGTTGTCATCAAGCTTAATAGATTATCATCTATCTTTATTTTATTGAATTAAAAAAAAAGGTCTGCTGTACAATAATGTGAAAAATCTGATTGTAGATAAAAGTCAGAACCAATATAATGTTATAATGAATTTTTTGTCTCATTAAATAAAAATAAACTTGATTTAATTAAAGTCGAAAGTGTAATTGTGGAAGATTTATTTTTGTTAAATTCAAATATCTCTTCTTTAGAGTAACAGAATTCCTATTCATTCTGACATGTTTGAATAATTAACTTAGGGTAAAAGAATTTCTCAGAATTATAACTACCTTAAAGATAAAGTTCATAATCTAATGGTAAACATAGGTATGAACCTAATTATTTAACAATATATAAATAATCAACCAAATTTACTGCTTCAAAATGCTCAATAGTACATTTTTCTAATTTGTAGATTTTTAATAGTTATTTTGTTTTTGTTCCATTTTAATTGCTATTTTAGATAAATTGTTAAATTGTAATATTATATGATGTTTTAGATGTATTTTAATAGTAATCTTATAAAGGATCATTCACTTTTATTGCTAACATAAAATTTTGACTGTTCATAATATTATAAGTTGGGTTTGCACTTTTTAAGTTTTAAACTTTTATCTAAGTATAAAACAAATCAATTACTGTATAATCTTCCTTATTGATAATGTTAATGAATCGATTTGTAAAAATATAGCCTAATAAGAAAATCATAATTAATGAAGCTATTCCACCACAAGCACTTCGATATTTCTCCTATTGATTAACATTCAAGTTTAATTCAACCCCAAAGAGATCAAATTACTTTATGGTTTTCTTAATTTTGGAAAGAGTGAGAGACTTCATTTATTTGTTTAATAATTATATACATTGCTAGTTAGAGGGGTTTTTATTTATTAACTTGATCTAACTAAATATAAACAAATTTGTAATGATTTAGAATCATTTAAAAGGTTAATTTAGTGAAAATAACTTTTGATATGCAAGTATAAATAGGTATTTATTCTTAAAATTGGAATGCTATAATTTTTATATGAGTTTGACTTAAACTTTATAAAAATATATAGGAGGATAAGAATTAGAATATTTTGAAAATGTAGTTAGAGAGTCAACAAAAGGAAGAAATGATATCACAAAAGTGATTGATTCATTGTAAAATCGTGTAAATGCTGAATATGAGTATTCTAAGAATTTGGAGGATGGAATATCTGAATTATCTGTCAATAAGAATTCAGCAGATTGTGCAGTCAATTTAGAAAAAATAATAAGTTTGTATTGTAATGAAATAAGACAAAAGATTAAAGAGTCAAGAGCTTATGCATAATTTATCAAAGATTATATCATCAATTAATTGAATTTATTAGTAAAAGATTAAAACATTAAGGTTAAAGGTTTGATCTCTGATGGTCGAAAGTTATCTGCATAATTAAAACAAGAGAAAACAGAAGTTGAAAAGGTATAAAAATTATATAGAATAATTAGCTTATGAGCTAATTAAACTAAAAAAATAACGATTATTTTCAGCATTAAATATAGAAGTTTTCTTAAGAGAATCTAAGCCAATTGCAGCCATAAAAGAAAAATGAAAATACATTAAAATCAGATAAACTGTTTAGAAATCTTAAAGAACTCAGAGAAAAATTAAATAGTTAATAATCTTCATATGAATAATTCTTATAGGGATATGAATTGAGAGTTTCAAAGATAATAGAAGAGTTTTAATTATAAGATTAAAATAGAGTAGATCAATTAAAGACAGTTATGAATTAATTGTTTTAGAATGATAGAATTTTTGAAGTAAAAAATTCTAAATTATATATAGAACTTGAATTAAATTTAAGGTGAATATAGTCTATATCGATACAAGGAGTAGTATTTTAAATCCTTAGAAATTAAATTCAAAGAATAGAAAAGTTTTGTTTAATGTTCAGTTTTAAAGATAGAAGATAATTGGGTAGATCGTATTACTCATTTTATTAATACAAAATGTTAAAATATTTAGTATAATCGAGAATTAATAACACTTAATATGGAAATTTTGAAAAATGACTATGAGAAAATTAATTTCTTGGTTTAATAATAGAACTAAGATTTTATTACAAATATTTCATTATGTCAAGAGAGAATTCATAATTAGATGTAAGAATTATGGACATCTTAATAAGTAAATTTAAAATCATTAATAAATTTATTAAATCATAATTTAATTGGGAGATAGATATGGGTCTTTGAGTTTTAGTAATTCAGATTAGATAAAAGATTTGAAATATGTTAAATATCATATTAGAATATAGTAGATTTATTGAATTAATTATTGGATTTGGTATTATATAAATTTAATTAGATAGTGTATGGATGAATTAGATGCATTTACAGTGAGGAAATTAATATTGATGACTTTCACATTTTATAGAATTGAAAAGACAGAGAAGATATTTTTGTATGATGGAATTTAACATCACTCTATCTTTGATAAAATTGATTTATGGGATGCCATATTTTTTGAATGTTTATATGAAGAGATGAAAAAATAATAAGATATGAGAATAAATGAGAATATAAATGATTCTATAGATAGGTTTTTATTTAGTATTTATTTTAGGGAGAAAAATACTGTTTTTGGATTCTTAGGTTCATTAATAGAAAATATGTTAAGTTTTAGTCCATCAAAATAAAATGTAAGAATTTTAACATCAAAATATTGTAAATTGTATATGCTCAATGATGTTTAAATCAAATAGCTGTTCTAAATCATTGATAATTCTAAGTAATAATAAAATTTGAGTTGATTCTTTAATTATACATCTAATGAGAAAATTAAATAAAATATAAATTCAAATAATTAAATTATATGATAAGTTCATAAGAAAAATAAAGATTATTACAAGAAAAAAGACAAAAGATAGAAGCGTAATAATTATTAAAATTATTTAAGTATTAAATAACAGCAACTTTAATAATCCACATCGATTGCTCCTGTTACTTAACCTTAATAGTAAGTCATTTAACCTTAAGCAAATATTGAAAACAATTAATCTTTTCAATAAGACCAATCTACTTAAGGTTAAGCTGTCATTGCACCTCCATAATAGTCTGATTTAATAAGTTTATATTTACAGACAAAGCGAAAAAAATTAGGGTTTTAGACAATAGAAATGTATTCTAACAACCCTGCTCCTCCTTAGGCAGAAGTTATTACAATAGAATTTGGTGTACAATGTGAATTTGAAATACCTTAAAAAAAGCAGGAAAACGAAGATTAAGTAATTCCATTGATGGAGAATGTCAGAAGAGATTCCAGAAAGAAAAGAGAAGTATTATAAAGTGCTGAAAAACCAGTAGAAAAAGTAGAAAAGAATATATCAATGGAAGAAATAAATTCCATCATTCAATCACAAACATTCTAGAGATTTTTTTCAAGAAGTTCAAAAACTATAGAAAAAGCTATTCATGGAGCAGGAGTAGATGTTTTAGAGGATTTAATGAACACATAATCTGTAACTTAAGAAATAGGCAAGGATAATTTAACAAAATTGCTTTCATTTAGTGACAAATTATATACAGATAATAGAGTTGTAACATCAATATAATGGTCACCTAATTTACCAAATACATTTTTAGCTGCTTATTCCTAAAATGAAGAAGGATCAATAACTGATTAAGTAGGAGTAGCACTTTTATGGTCATTACAATTAAAATCCAGACCTGAATTTTATTGTTTTGCAAGTAGTCCTATAACATCAGCCTGTTTTCATCCTTTTAGTCCTAATATAGTTTTAGGAGGATTATATAATGGTTAAGTAGTTGTGTGGGATTTAAGAGCAAAACATACACCTGAGAAGAGATCAACCTTGAATAGTGGTGGACATAGTTATCCTATTTATGGATTAAGTATTGTTGGATCATAAAATGCAAACAATATAATATCTGCATCAAATGATGGAAGAATTTGTATATGGAATTTAGCTTAATTTAATTAACCATAAAAAATAATTGATTTGAAAACCAAAAACAAATAATAAACAAGCAACCCTTAAGTAGAAGTTAATACAACATGTATGGTATTCCCTTAAGGAGATGCCAATAATTTCTATGTTGGTGCTGAAGATGGATGTGTTTACAAATCAAAATTACATCAAAATACAAATGAAAATATTGTCATTCCATTTGAAGAACACTTGGCTCCAGTTAGTGGAATTTCATTAAATTCATCACCATAAGCCACACCAATAATTTCTAATTTGCTTTTAAGTAGTTCTTTTGATTGGACTTGCAAATTATGGAATACAAGAACTTAATAAGAATCCAAATGTTTAGCAACTTTTGAATCTTCAGAAGATTATGTATATGATGTTTAATGGAATGGATAACATCCTACATTATTTTCAACTGTTGATGGTGAAGGTTATGTTGATTTATGGGATTTGTCATATGACTTAGAAGCACCTATTACAAGATATAAATCTGGAAATAATTCTATCAATAAATCTTAATGGTCTAAAGATGGGACTAAAATAGCTATTGGAGATTCTTTTGGAGAAATATAAATTTTGTAATTATCTTAAAAAGTTTTATTATTGTTTTTTATATATTTTAGGCCCAAAAAGTTGACCATGAGAGATTAGCGAAATTAGAGTAATGGATTAAAAGTGATAAATGAAATATTAGTAATTATATAATTATAATAAGTAATTATTATATATTATATAAAATGAAGAAAAGAAATTAGAAACTATGTATGTAAATCAAATAATAAATTAAGCTGATTTATGTGTCACATCAAAAATGTTATGTGCAAAATTTGGAACCTACACTAAGAAATTTATAGCAGCTGGAGATGAAAAGAATTGTGTTCAAATCTGGTAAATAGGAAATCAAAAACCAATTGCTGTATTTCAATAATTCATAACTAGACTTTAAGTTCTTTAATTACTTCTAATGCTTAAGTTGAAGTTGCAAGTGTGAGTTTTAGTTTTTGTGAAACTGAACTATTTTCAGGATCCAATAGAGGAATCATCAATATTTGGGATGTTGAAAGTCAAAAATGTAAATTATATTCGATGTATCTCTCATAGAAATTTAAACACTCAAAGGTCATACTACTTGTGTAAATTCTCTTTGTATATATCCAACTGAAGATAATAAGAATCTTCTTTTAAGTGGAGCTTATGACACTTCAATTAAATTGTGGGATTTAAGATCAAAAACTGTAGTCAATCAATTCAAAGGTCATTGCATGTAAATCAATGCTTTGTCAGTCTCTCCAAATAGTAAGTTATTGGCCTCAGGTTCAAATGATGGATAAGTTAAACTTTGGGATATTAATTAAGCTAAATTAATAGCATCTTTTACTTAACATGATAATTAAATTACATGTCTGAGTTTTAATCCAATTGAGAAAGCATTAGCTTCAGGAGGAGGTGATCGATGCGTCAGGTATTGGGACTTAGATAGATTAACTTAAGTACCATAATCTTTTTGTAAATTAGATTTCATCTACAAGAACAGATACAACTCCTATTTAATGCATATTATTTGAATAAAATGGAAAAGTATTATATTCTGCAGCAAACGATTCTCTTAAAGTTTGGGATGTTGAACGTGATTGTTAACTTTTGGATAATGTAGAAAGTAGTTGGAGAGGAGTCTTAGATTTGATTGTGGTTTAAGAAAGAGATCAATTATTGGGATTATCATCAAATGTACAAACTGGATTTAGTCTTCATGGAGTCAATCTTAAAACTATTGGCTAAGAAGCCAAAAATTATGATGTTAGATCATGTGGAGGTGCTCCTATTAAAAGAGGAAGAACCCCAGATAAAAGATCAGATATCTAAACAGCAAATTAAAAGGCATCAGACTCAGAAATTAAAGTTAAAAGCAAGCCATCATTACAAATGTAAGCTTAAAACATATTGAATCAGGATTATCAATATGATCTTTAAAAATCTAATGAATAGTTGAAAGAGACTTAGCTATAACAATAATAGCCCTTTTATTAATAATAATAAATAATGGGGTCACCATATCTTAATAATAATGGATATCAATAGTAATAGTAATATCCTTTATAACAAATGCTATATTAATATTAAAATTAATAATCATAGTAATTTTAGCAATAAAATCCTTTGCTATATTAATAATAACCAAATCAGCTTTATTAACTATAATAATAATAAAATCAGTTATATCTACAATATAACCGATTGTCATAATAACCATAACAATTATTCTAAAATCATGATGCTAATCAATATTTTTCAAATCAAATACACACACCCTAACACAATCCATAAAAGCCAATTTAACTGACTCAAATTGCTAAAGCCATACTTTAAAACATGAATGAGGAGGATTATCCTACAGATGAATCAGAAATTTTGAGTTAAAGTGATTTAACTCTCTCTTAATTTATGATGGGGGATTAAAATAAAGAAAAGTTTAAATAAGTTGATCTTATCCATGAGATTGTTAAAGATCATAATAAAGTTTAATCAGTCTTGACTTAAAGGATGAATTATATGAAACCTATTCTTCATTGGTGGATTAACAATAATCTTAAATCTGCTTTGAATGCTATCAATCAGTATATCTTTTATTTTATATTAGAGTAGTAGAACCATCCATATTGCATGATGCTTTATCTCTTTATTCCAAATCTTCTAAATTTGGATAAGTCCCTATTGATTCTCTTCCTATGTTATTGGGGAAAGCAAGAATTCTAATTGAATCAAAGTACAATTCTCATGTAAAGAGTGGACTTGATTTTACTTGGACTACTCTAAATTAATTTAGAGATGTAATTATTATATTTTATAAAAGGAAATCCTTAATATTAAACTGTTTAATTAATTATCAAAGGCAGATTTAACAAGAGAAGAAAGAATTTAAAATTATGATAGAGTAATTGAACAATTTAAAATTATTGCTTAAACACCAAAATTACAAAAATTAATTGATAGAAACTAAGAAGATCTCTCAGATTTAGCTAAGTAATTTTAAATTGATGTTATTGGATTTCTCAAAAAGGTGAATTAGAATTAAATGCAAAATTGAATAATAAATTATTGTTAATATATAATATTTTAGTCGTTAATGAATATCTCAAAATCAAAAAATTCTGTTCCATTGGACAAACCTATAAAAAGTCCTTAGCCAGACATATTATCCATGCCTATGTAAGCCTTAAGAATTGACATGCTTCTGAACTCCAAAAATAAATTAGAAACTCAATAATCAACCAAAGCATTAGATATAATAAAATAAATTCAGCAAAGTAGCTCCGGAAATTTAAGACTTGATACATCAATAAACAAATCCAAAGAACATCTCTTAAAAAAAACTCCAACCAAAACTACCGCTAGTTTTCATTATGATAAAACTCCTGATCATTCCTAAAACAATTAATCGTGTAGTCCCCATACTCATGCTTGTTTAAAACCTCAGCTTAAATAATCAGAAGATTAATTAAATTTCAAAAATGTACCTTCATAGCAACCCAATATTTTAAAAGAACAATACGAAAAAATTGATTAGCTAAACACATTATTGAAAGAGTTAAAATAATAATTAACACAATAAGAACAAGAAAATCAAAAATTATAAGAAGTTAACATTCGCTTAAATTAAGATAACCAAAAATTATATTCTTAAACTGAAGAAATGTTAAAGGATCTTGAATTTATGAGAACTAATATTGAATAGTAAAATAAAGAATTTAATAATCTAAAATAGTAAAATCATTAATTGTTAGATGATATGAAACTCTTAAGAAGTGAAAGAAATAAAGTTATTAATAATAATAATAATGAATAAGTTATAAATTAAAAAAATAAAGAAATTTCTTAACTATAAAATGAATTAAATGAGTATAAATAACTTTTATAAGCTAAAGACTCATCTATTCAACATTTAAAATAATAATTTGAAAATTTAGAATAATAATAATATGATATTATGAATAAGTTGGAATAAAAATAGGATGAATTGTCAACTTTAAAGTAATAATAATAATTAAATGTCCTAAATTAAAAAAAGAGTAATTAATTTGAGTCATTATCAAGAAGATCTTCTGTACCAAATGAAGTATTATTTTATCAAGCACAATAAGATTAACTTCAAAAAGAGAAAGACATATGTGAATAAAAATTAGTTGAAATGTAAACAATTATAAATTAGTTTTTATTAAAAGAAAAGAAAGTAAATCAACCATCTAATAATTCATTTGTTTAATAAAAAGAATTTAATAAAATGAAATAAATAATTTAAATCTAAAAAAGATAAATCGAATCATAATAGAAAACTATCATGAATTAACATTATGAAATCTAAAATTTATAAACTTTATTGTATTGTTCTACTGAGTAAGACAGTTAATTTAATAAAAAAACATTTGATTCAGGTGACGCAGAAAAATTTTCACTTTAATCTGCTGACATGTAAACAGAATTATAATATATAGATATCATATCTAAGATAAAGAGAATGACAGAAAGGGTTTTGGCGAATATTAAGGAGCTCATCACATTACTTTTTAATAATAACAAGGATCTAAATTTATTATGGAAGATACTTTTAGAAATTTAGATAATGAATTAAACTCACACAATACTCTAACAGATTGATTATTATTTTCTAAATTTTTCGATAACTTTAACATTACTTTTTATATTTAATAAAATTAAAAAAATAAAAGACAAAAGTAGTTGTATCAAAGCATTTTCCAACTATTTTTTCCTTGTAAAGTTGATTATAAGTTTTAAAATGAATTTGATTAATCCTATTCCTTTGTTATTCCTAAAGATATATTAAAATTATTATACCTGGAGAAGAATTTCTAATTTTGTGTCTTACACTAGTAACATTAATTGCTTTGCTTTTCGTCTCATCTTAAATTAAAAATATTCAATACTTTTAATAGCGGGTGAAAAAGTTCTTATATTTACTGTTGAAGGTTTTTGGACTAATGTAAAGCTTGTTGAAGATACATTATCTTTGGTTTTCCTTTAAAATATTAAAAAATATCTTACACATATTTTTATGAATGAGTCTTATCTGTCAATTCTTATAAAACTCTGATTGGTTAATTCTTAACAAATTATGCCTAACTTTTTGTTAAATTTTATGGTGATATTAATTTCTTAAATTAATTGAGATCTGTAACTATGCCTTTTGCTTATTACTTTTAATCAGTTTCAATAGCAGAATTACTATTATTATTAAAGCTGTTATTTTAAGCTTAATTAGCACTTTAATTTAAGTATTTATCTTAATATGAATTATTAGGTTTTTATTAGTTCCTCAATGTAGATGCTGCTTATCTTCTACATTAAACATTTCTTAGGTATATTTGAGAACTAGATTATGGCAAAGGGGGTCCTTATTAAGATTATTTTTTATTAGGATCTTTTGAAAAGGGTGACAAACTCTCTTTTTTTTAAATGTAATTAGATTGTTATGAATCCTTTATTTCAGTACTATTAGGCCTGAGTTTAGATTCGATTGTTTCTTAATTTCTTTTTAAAGATTAACTTCTATCTTATAAACTTGTTTAATTTATCATAGCAGGTTAATTAATCAAACATAATTCAGTTTTTTAAATATTTTATTTTTAAATGCAAGATTAAGATTAGGATTGGTTTATTTAGGATTTTTGCTAAAGTTGCTAAAATTTTTAATAACTAGACTATAATTAGGAAATGGATTAAGTGAGTGTTTTTTGAATTTCTGAATGCTTAGTGGAATTCATTGTTTACATTTATGTTGGACTAATTAATTAATCTAATTTACTTTTTTATTAGATTGTATTATTTGTTTAATTTGTTAATTATGTTGCTTGTGATAATTATGATTATTTGTCAAAATTTAAAAGTGTTTCAGTTTATTTATTAAAATAATTTAAAGATTATTACACTTAGTTTTTAAACTCCTAGAAATTAGTTAAGATTGAATTTTAATTATCTTTTTATTTTAAAGAGCTTGGCCTATTTTAATTTTAAGCTTCTACAGGTAGTTTTTTTTCTTCATTTTATTACAAAGAATTGCTTCTAATTGCAGTAGAATTGTTTTATAAGACTTAATTATTATTATTTAAAATATTTCCAAATGAAGGTTATTATTCTTATATTTGATTATCGGAAATCTTAACAAAATTATTAATCAATTAATTTTTTTTATTATTCTACTCAATCCTTATTTATTATTATTATTGTTATTATTATTATTATTATTATTATTATTATTATTATTATTATTATTATTATTATTATTATTATTGTTATGGTGTTCTACTTTTTACTGCACAATGCATTAATAAGTTTTAAAATGAAGGGTTGCTCGTTAAATTAGCAGAAGTTATATTAGACTTATTTGTAATTTCAGTTTAATCTTGCTATTACGATTTACTACTCACTTGAGTTACATTTTAATTACTTTTTGGGAAACTAGTTTAGATTTAGGGTTATTTAGGTAATTAGATTTAGGATTGGTTTTTTTATGCTCCCTAATTAAATTCTAATTTTACTTTTAAAATAGAAGTTTCAGAATCACGTTTTAAATTAATTTCAGAAGCAGGCACAAAATCAGGAGAACCTGAATAAACAAGAGTTGCTAATTAAATATTTTCTTTATTCAGTTGATCTTTCCATTTTAACTTTTAATTAGTAAGTTTTCCCAAGACTCCCTTTTATGTATTTATTAAACTTAATACCTATTTAGCTTATAAATTAGTATATATTTCATCAACAGGACCATTGTGAGAATTCAAAAAAGTATTTCTAATAATCAATTCTTCTTAAACATGCTAAGGATTTTATTCATCTGATGTTAGTTCATTCCATGAAGCAGTTCTTTTAGTTCCTAATTTATTCATTTTATTTTCCAATGCGTTTAGTTAATAAAAAAATGATGCTCGAATTTCAAGATCTGGACGTCTTGAATTCAAAAATTCTAATGTTTTATATAATGTCCAAGAATATCTAAAAAATTTAAATAATTTAACGAACTTTTTCATAAAATAAGCAGCAAGCACACAACATGCTCTACTCTATCCTCTAACTGAATGTACCAAGCAACTCTCCCCTTATTGAAAACATTCTTCAATGAATGTAAATATTTTATTAACATTTTCACCTCGTTCATCAAATAATACCTAAAAATCAAAATTTTAATTGATACTTCATTATCTTATTCCAACCAATTAAAATTTAAATACTTTGCACCCATCTAAGTCCATTTATTTTGTACTTCTGTGCCAGCACAATTAATTATATGAGTTACTTTATTTGTTATTATAAATTCTCGATCCTTTTTTAAATTCTATACTAAACCTATGATGCAAATTCATCTCCTATAAATAATCCATCTTTAATTTTAATTGCTCCTACTATTTGGTTCTAAGCCATAATAAAAAATTTAAATTATTATTATTTATGTTAACTCTTCTTAAGCGATCGATATAATTTATTCCTCGCTTCTCGTATCATCCCAATGTTATAGATCATTATGAGAACCCAAGAAATGTAGGATCACTTGACAAAAGCAATCCAAAAGTTGGAACAGGATTAGTTGGTGCACCAGCATGTGGAGATGTCATGAAACTACAAATCTAAGTTGGAGAAGATGGTAAAACCATTGAATAAGCTGTCTTTAAAGTAATTTATAAAACTATATTAATTATTAGACATTTGGTTGTGGTTCAGCAATAGCTTCTAGTTCTTATGCTACAGAAATTCTTAAAGGAATGACATTGGAAGATGCTTACAATATCAAGAATTCAGATATTGCAAGTTATTTAAAGTTACCTCCTGTCAAATTACATTGTAGTATGCTTGCAGAAGATGCAATCAAGAAAGCAATAGAAGATCTTTAATCCAAGAATAATTAAGCAACAGAAAAATAAGAAAAATGATACATTAAGTGATAAGATTTTAATAAAGTGATTCATTAATCGCTATTCCTATAAAATTTAAATTATTATTGTTCTATTGTTCTTTTTCCTAAAATAAAATAAGAAGATGATTCTTCTTAATTTCCTTTGCTTTGTAATTAAAAATATACAGTGATCATTTTTATTAAATTACATATTAACATTTTGTATTCTCTGGATTGTTCAATTTTAGATGATTTCTAATTTCTTAAAAAATAAGAGAGATTTATTTTAAAAAATTATCATTCATGGTATTAAACCTTTCCCATTTCTTTAAATAGTATTACTTTTTTTAATATTCAACTATATACTAAGCTTCATAATTGGCTTTATTTAAGAATTAATATGATTAATTAAATAAATGATCTTTATATTATATTTTTCAAATTTATTAAATAAATGAATTTTTTTAGTATTTTGCAAGCAAAGTATAAGAATACTAAATTTATATTAATATTTTTAATACTATATGGTCCAATAACTTTATGAGATGATAGAAAATTGAATTAAAAAATTTAAGTGCATTACACTCTTTAAAATAAATTAGAATTTCTCAAAAAATTAACGAATAAAAGGATTATATTCATATAAGTATGAAGGTGTATGTTATTTTGTTGAATTAAATAAGAAGTAATATATATAGTTTGTTAATATTAAAATTTTAAAGTATATTGGTAAATAATTAAAAATAAATGATTGTAAAATTTCACAAGAAAACAGAGAGAATAAAAGGATTGTCTTTTCACCCAAAGTAACCTTGGCTACTTATTGGATTGCATTCTGGAACAATTCAAATGATAGACTATAGATTGGGAAGAGTAAAAATATGCTTAATATTTACAAACAGACAATAGAAGAATTTGTCGAGCATGAAGGTCCTGTGAGATCAGTTTAGTTTCATCAATCTTTGTGTTTGTTTGTATCAGGCTCAGATGATTTTACTGTAAGAGTTTGGAATTACAAAACTAAAAAATGTTAATTTGTATTGCGTGGCCATTTAGATTTTGTAAGATGTGTACATTTCCATCCAGAATTACCTTGGTGTGTATCAGCTTCAGATGATTAAACATCTAGAATTTGGAATTATTAATCAAGACAAATGATAGCCATAGTAACAGGGCATAGTCATTATGTAATGCATTGTGAATTTCATCCAACAAAAGACTTTTTAATTACATGTTCTTTAGATTAGACTATTAGATTATGGTCTATTTCATAATTAAAGAAAAGATTTACATAAAAGAATGTAAAATAATCAAATTAAATCTTAAGGTTTAGAATGAATAACAAAATGAATTAGAATTAATATAAATTTTAGAAGGACATAATCAAGGTGTGAATTGGTGTACATTCAGTTCAACTGAAAATTTAATATTGTCAGCATCAGATGATAAAAAAGTAAAAGTTTGGAAATTTTATGAATCAAGAGGCTTTGAAATAGATTCATATACAGGTCATAATGTAATTTCTAAATTATTATAATTATAGAATAATGTGAGTAGTGCTATGTTTCATCCATATGGAGATTACTGTATATCTAATTCAGAAGATAACACAATAAGACTTTGGGATATGAAAAAGAAAATAGAGATTGACTGTTTTACAAATTATGAATTAGATAGATTTTGGGTAAGTGCTGTTCATTAGAATAATAATTATTTTGCAGGAGGAAGTGATTCTGCTTTATATATATTTACATTATTTAAAAATAGACCAGCAATAGATTTGGTGGATAATAAGAATTTATTTGTTGGGAGCAAGAAATAAATTAAATTAATAGATTTATAAACTAATTAAGAGAAAGATATAAAGAATTTTTAAGAAATTTCAAATTCAATATCAGATAATCTATTATAAGATAATATTGAGTTTATCTAACAAAATATATATGAAACTAGTAAAAACTAACTTTTAGTAAGGTTGAAACAAAACTCTCATAATAAATAAAGAGGGATTTGTAAATATGTGATCTATGAATGTTAAACAAATATTAGTCAAATCTTTTTGGGTAAGACTGCAATTTTTATTGGAAAATCTAAGATCTTAAAATCTAAAGAAAGTTCTGAATTAGAAATCTATAATTTTGAAGTAGATTCACATACAGCTCTAGGCTATAAAGCAGATAAACTTTTTTCTTATTAAGGAGGCAAAGCCATATTTTATACTGATTAAATGATTAATGTATTAGATCCAGTGGCTAATTAATTAATACATTAAATTCCTTGTTCAATAGAATTTAATAATATGAAAAGAGTGTTAACTAATGATACATATGTTATGATTCAAACTAAAAAAGCTATTTATCTATTTACAAAATCATTTTAAAGGGTAACTTAGATTTCAGAATCAATAAATATTAAATCAGTATTATTTTTAAGTCGAACATAAAATATCATCATATATTCAACCAAAGTTCATATAAAATATTTATTAATCAATGGAGATTCTGGTATATTTGGAACTATGGAAACTGTACCATATCTTATATAGTTACAATAACCAATAGATAAATAGAGTGAAAAATATAAATTATATTACATGAATAATGTTGGTAAATTATTAAACATGAGTCTTGATTGCTCTGAAATGTTATTTAAATAAGCTTTAATTGATAAAAACATTAAATATATATAGAACTTCTTAAAAACACGTAAGATATTGGGTGATTTGATTACATCATATTTATATTAAAAAGGATTTTCAATGCTTGCTTATTAATTAGTTGATGACAAAAGAGCTAAATTTTAATTAGCATTGTCTTCAAATAATTTAGAACTATCTTATAGAACTTGTGATGACTTAAAGAATCCTATATGTTATCAATAACTTTCTGAAGAAGCCATGAGATAAGGCAATCATAATATAGTAGAAGTTTGTTAATAGAAATTGAGATCCTCTGATTAATTGTCTTTTCTATATACAATCACAGGTTAAAATGAAAAGTTGAATGTTTTAAGTACAATAGCTAAAGAATAAAATGAATATAACACTCGATTCTAAACATTATTACATCTTGGTAATATTAATCAAAGAATTTAATTTTTATAAGATTGCAAATTAAATCATATTGCCAATCTAAGTAAATTAGTCCATGGATTAGATTATGATAAAAAATTTATTATCTCTGAAGATTTAGCATGGTTATAATCTTTGTAACCAGAAACTTTATAACCTCCTATTTCAATCATAAGATCTAAATAACATCCTCTATTTTCTATGAATTGGCCTCATAATTTTATTGATTAAGATTAATAATATAATTAATTAATAGTAGAAGATCAAGATAACAAAGAAAAAACATAAAAATAATAACATGAAAAATCATCAAAAAATCAAGAAAAGTAGAATGTTAATAATTATAAAATTTAAGATGAAAAATAAGAAACAGAAATCTTATAATAATAAGAGAAGGAAGAAATATTTGAAGATTGTTAATGGGAAATAAATGAATAAGAACTTTTAGAAATGCAATTAACTTAAACCACTTTAGATTTTAAGAGCTTGCAATATGGATATCCTGATTATAAAAAAGGTAATATCTACAAATAACAAAATAGTTTTATCACCTGTTGAATAAGTAATTACAGAATAATTTTAATAATGTTAATAAACATTAAAATCAACTAAAAATGTGACCAATCTTCATCTTTGTAAAGACTATATGAAATAATTGTGTTTGAGTTCAATTATGGAAATAACTCAAATACCTTTCTTATAAAGTGCCCCATATATGTTAACATCTTTATAAGATAAATAACAATTCAATAGAAATTCTTAAAGCCTACTTAAATAAGGTTATAAATAAACTACTGATGGAAAATTTCAAGATGCCTTGAATACTTTTAAAAACTTATTAAGACAAGCCTTATTTTATGATAAAAATACAGAAATTGTTCCAATCTGCTTTAATTACATAATGGCTATGAATTGTGAATTAAATAAAAAAGATTAAAGTGTTTCTCGACAAATTGAATTAGCTTGCTATATGGCTATGTGTGATTTATAACCAATACATCGTTCTTTAACTTTAAGGGCAGCCATGAGTTTAGCTTACAAACATAAAAACTATTTGACTGGAGCTTAAGTAGCTAAATATTTGTTAAAACTATTAGAAAAGGCTCCATAAGGATCAGCTTATGCAAAGATTGAAGTTATCGAAAACGTAAAGAAGGTAATAAAAATTTTAATAATTTTTAGATTTAAAAAAACTGTGAGCAATATTCAAGAAATGAGCATCAAATAGATTTCGAAGAAGAATATTTAATTTAAGGTTGTAAATTACTATTTGCAGATACTTTGACAATCAATAAGGAATAAAGCAATCATTAATGTTAGTTTGATAAAGCAATACATACTTAAAATAGAAAAATTTGTAAAATTTGTGATTTGTGTTATATTAATTGAATATTATCATTTGAGTTTAGACTTTAAATTTCTTTTCGTAATTTATTAATTTTTAATAATTATTAACTTACTTATAACAAAATCAAAAACATTTAAATTTTAATATTAGGATTTAATAAAGGGGGTTATGCACCTAAAGAAGAATCTAAATGTTAGCAAATCCATTTTTAAATATTTTTATGTAAAGATATCCTAATCTTAGACACAAATTAACTGCTACCAAACTAAAAAATTGATAAATTACAATTGAATATTTCATAAAAATTAAATTATTAATAATGATATCTTTTAATAATATAAATTATTAACATTATTTTTATATTAATTAATTCAATCAGAAAAGGAACTGCTACTATCAGAATGTTCAAGCTTTGCCATTTTCTTTCTAAAATCAGAATCTTATATTCTAACTTTAGTGGTTTTTTATTGTTTCATTTAAGCTAATTAATTAATTCTTGCATCTAAATCATCATGTTGTTAAACTAATATTTTATTTTTAGCTTTTAAATCTCTAATTTATTTTTATAATTGATCAATAGTATCAATATATTAAGAATGTTCTTTTTTTTGATTTGATAATTGTGATTTTAAAATACTATTTTCTTCTCTTAATTTGATCATTTCTTTACTAATTTTTTCAATTTTAGCTTCTAAGATATCCATATCTTTATGTTATGCATCAGTTAATTATTATGATTATTTTTGTAATCTTTCTAATTATTCTTTATATTTTTCCATTTCTTCTTTTAAAAATGTATTTTATCTTTATTCAGCATGTAATAATCTAATTTATTCATTAAATTGTTATTCTAAATTATCAATTTAAGCATTCTTTTTTTTAAGTTCTTCATTATGAGATTGACCATATTATTTTTCATTTGCATATTAATTATTAAGATCTCGTATCTATTTACTCATTTTTTCAAATTATTATTCATAATCATTTATTTCTATTTCTAATCTTTTGCTAAAAAAAGATTAAATTAATAAAATTACTTTTATTCTTCTAATTATGGAATTAATCTACTCGATTTTTCATATTAAATTCTTAATTAATCATTTTCTTATTAAAGAAACTTATTATCTTTTTTAATTCTTTCACTTTCTAAACTTAAATTCTTTAGTTTTAATTCTAATTCTGAAACTCTTTCTTTAATTTCTCCACTTCTTTTTTTTTATTTATCAACATCAATCATTTTTTCTTCTAACTGAACTTATAATTATTAATCCATTTTCTTTTTTAATTTTTAGATTCTAATTTATTATTCTGAAATAGTTTCTTCTTTAGTTAATAATTTATTTTCTAATAATGTTATTTATGTTCTAAGTGTTCCTATTTCTTTTTATAATATATCAATTTCTTAATTTAATTATCCACTTACTTTTTCTAAAGTAGTGTTTGTATCAAAATGTTATTTTATTTTAGATTAATCAGTTAACATTTATGTTAATTTATCAATTTAAATCTATAATTTTTGATTATTAAGTCTTTCTGCATGTCTAATGATTATAATAAATTCATACACATTCTCTTTATAAAAGTCTGATTGTCTTTCAAGTGCACATTTTTCATTTTACCAATTTCTTTTATCTTCTTGCCATTGTACTTATAATTCAATGATTTCTTCTTTCATTTTAGTTAAATGATCATTTTTTTTCAAAATTTTGAATTATAATTTATTGACTACATCACGTAATTCTTCATCACCCTTATGATTAAAAGATGAGTCATTATGAACACTCCTTTTTCTTTCATTTCCAGAATCACTACGTTTATTAGATGAAAAACTCTTTTTTGTTGGCTATCGTTACATATTAAATTTAATGTCTAAATAAATTGTACACCATTAGTCATAAAGTCTTTGGAATTATACATTATCACCAGGTACTTTTATATTTTTAATATTCAAGGATGGACAATGAAAGAAGTGGAGATTCTGAACTTGGCGCTAATGAAGTTCGGCATAGGAAAATGGCGCAAAATTATAAACTCTGAATGTTTACCTGGTAAGAGTATAGGATAGATATATATGCAAACATAAAGATTATTAGGGTAATAGAGTTTAGGTGAATTTATGGGATTGTCTGTAGATCTAAAGAAAGTGTATTTACATAATATGCAAAAAAAGAATGTATTTAGAAAAAACAATTCAATTATTAATACAGGAGATAATTTAACATAAGAAGAAAGGAAGAAAAGAATAGCTGAAAACAAAAAGAATGTATTTTTTTGATTATTTTCTAGTTTGGTATAAGTCCTGCTGATATTGCTTTAATTAAATTACCTAGATATCATGTTAATTCATAGACTTCCTTTCTTTCTCATGATGAAATTATGGAAGGCAATTTTACAACAGTGGAAAAGATAAACAATCTTTGTGCTTTGAAAAAAGATATCTTAAGAAAATTGAAAAAAATTGAGAATGGAGAATTAGAAGAAGCATTTGATGATGAAGTAGAATAAAAAAGAAGATATAAAAAAGTTATGACAGATTCAGATTCTTCATCAGCATGAATTATATCATCTAAATATATTTTAATTTATTTACNCTGATTGTCTTTCAAGTGCACATTTTTCATTTTACCAATTTCTTTTATCTTCTTGCCATTGTACTTATAATTCAATGATTTCTTCTTTCATTTTAGTTAAATGATCATTTTTTTTCAAAATTTTGAATTATAATTTATTGACTACATCACGTAATTCTTCATCACCCTTATGATTAAAAGATGAGTCATTATGAACACTCCTTTTTCTTTCATTTCCAGAATCACTACGTTTATTAGATGAAAAACTCTTTTTTGTTGGCTATCGTTACATATTAAATTTAATGTCTAAATAAATTGTACATCATTAGTCATAAAGTCTTTGGAATTATACATTATCACCAGGTACTTTTATATTTTTAATATTCAAGGATGGACAATGAAAGAAGTGGAGATTCTGAACTTGGCGCTAATGAAGTTCGGCATAGGAAAATGGCGCAAAATTATAAACTCTGAATGTTTACCTGGTAAGAGTATAGGATAGATATATATGCAAACATAAAGATTATTAGGGTAATAGAGTTTAGGTGAATTTATGGGATTGTCTGTAGATCTAAAGAAAGTGTATTTACATAATATGCAAAAAAAGAATGTATTTAGAAAAAACAATTCAATTATTAATACAGGAGATAATTTAACATAAGAAGAAAGGAAGAAAAGAATAGCTGAAAACAAAAAGAATGTATTTTTTTGATTATTTTCTAGTTTGGTATAAGTCCTGCTGATATTGCTTTAATTAAATTACCTAGATATCATGTTAATTCATAGACTTCCTTTCTTTCTCATGATGAAATTATGGAAGGCAATTTTACAACAGTGGAAAAGATAAACAATCTTTGTGCTTTGAAAAAAGATATCTTAAGAAAATTGAAAAAAATTGAGAATGGAGAATTAGAAGAAGCATTTGATGATGAAGTAGAATAAAAAAGAAGATATAAAAAAGTTATGACAGATTCAGATTCTTCATCAGCATGAATTATATCATCTAAATATATTTTAATTTATTTACATTTTGTATTCTCTTTTAGGATATTTATTTATCCTTGTAATATTTATCATGAATAACTAATTAACTAACTCAATAACTTAAGTTTATTAGAAATGAGATTATATAAGGGATTATAAAGAATAAACAACAATTCTCTTATTTTATATTATATTTTGATATGTTTGATCATTAACTTGTCTTCTTAAGTTCTTCTAATTCCAATGCTTTCTTTAAAGCTTCTTATTGATGTCTAGATTTAATTCCTACTTAACCACCTCCAATAGTTCTTAATAATTCATGATTTTCATTATAGTGTTATCTTAAATCACGAGCCTAAAATATAATTAATTAATTACTAAGTTATCGAATTCTGCTTAGTCTTCTTTTCTTACTTCAGTCAAAGCTACACAAGTTGCAGTCTTTTAGTGAACCAATGCTCCCAATCTAGCCTTATCTTTTATAATTGTATATTTTATGTACTTTTAACAAAGGCAAATGGGACTTCTTAACGTCTACATAATTATGGAAGCCAAACAACTAATTCAATTGGATCAACATCATAAGCAATCAAAACTAATTTGGCTTTCTTTGTTTCAACCAAAGTAGTAACATGATTTAAACCAAATTTAAGGACAGTCACTTTCTTGCTATCTGTCTTCTAATTTTATGCCTTAGATTCAGCAGCTTTGACTAATCTTTATTTCTTTTCAGTTTTGGTTTCTGGAGCATATTTCTTTAAAAGAGCATAGACCTTTGAACCTTATATTAAAATAGACACATTACTTTGATTTTTGTCGAGTGTTTTGCTGAATTAATGAATGGCTGCTGGTACTTTGATTCTTTGCAATAAAATCTTTTTTTATCTATGTAAAAGAATATAACGAGGCCATCTGACATATCTTGATAAATCTCTCTTTGGTTGAACATCATTTCCAATTCTGAAGTTTTTGGCTTCTTTAACAAAGAGTGGATTCTTCTTTCTATCTGCTACTTTCTTTTAAATCTTCTTTGCCTTGGATGTCTTTGGAGCTTTTGGCTAAAAGAATTATCACAATCAAATTTACCATTGTTAATGAAAATCTTTTAATATATTTTTTGAAAATAAAAGAAAAAACAAGCCTTAATATTTAATAAATTTATATACTTTACATACCCAAATATATTAACATTATTATTATCATAAAATAAATATAAGGATCTTAATGCATTAATAAATGAATAGATTTAATAAAGAAAGACTTATTCTATATTAACTAATATTACAAATAATTTTAAGTAATGATTATACAATAAATAAATAATTAATGAATACTAATAATCATAAATATATATAAATGATTTATAATTTAATCATCATCCATCTAAATCAATTCCTTATGCTTAAAGTGCTTTTAATATTAAGACTTCAAATTCATGTATACTAACTTTTTTATCTTTATTTAAATCTGTCATATGAATCCAAGAATCTATTTCCTCTTTTGTTGGTACATATTTCTCATCTGAAATCAATTTATTTGTTTCAATTAACAATTTTGGTACTTTTATAATACATTAGAAATAATACTTCATCAAAAGTAATATAACCATCTTTATTAGTATCAGCTAATTCAAAAATAGATCTAGCAGCTTTTAATCTTGCTTTGGCTTAATGAGTTTATGTCTTTGGTTCATTACTATTCATTCTTAATATATAACTTTATATAAATTATAAAAACAGATTCTTAAAACTTCATTTTTTCTTTATTTAATTATATTTCGTTTTTATTAATTTTTCTTCAATCTTTACTTTCTAAAATTAAACTTATGCCTATTTCAATTATAATTCCAATGTATTAAATCTTTCTTATAATTTTATTCTTTAATTAAATACTTTATTTAAGTTAGCATTTTCAACTATCAAAATATGAACTCTTTCTTCCAGATCAAGAATCAATTGAGTTATGTAATCAGTTGTAGAGTTCTTAGCTAGATCAAGTTTAGAAATTTCATATTTTTGTTATTTTTCTTTAATTTCATTCAATTTTTTCTCATTTTCTTTTATTAATTATAATTATGATTCTATATTTTTTTTAAGATGACTTTTATCTCCTATTTATTGCAATTCTTAATTCTCTTAAGTTAACTTCTCATTCATCTTAGTTAATAATTATATTTTTTATTGTAATTCTTTAATTAGAGTATTAGATTAACCACGTTAAATTTCAGAAGTCAAATTAAGGATTTATTTCTGAAGATTATTATTTTTTTATTTAAAATAGTCAAGTTCTTATTTTATATTATGAGCAGTACTATTTCCTATTTTAATAGGTGATTAAGCTGAATGAATAGATAAATTATAAGGAGATTAAATTGGTTTTATTTCTTTTCTTGATGTTAAAGGTGATCTACAATTAGGTGATAGAATAGTTTAAGTTTTTAGTTTTGTATTTCTAGGACTCATATAAACAGCATTATTATCTTAGCGAGAATCTGGTACAGTCGAAAGTTTCTATTTAGATATTTAGAATTGAATCTAATAATTTATATCTTAAGTCTTTGATGCTTAGGATCTATAAGTATTTTGATTAGAGTCAATAGGTGACAAAGGTGATCGAGTTTGTTGCATAGTTAATAAAAATATTTTAAAATATTAACGATAAATTTAATAACAAATAATAATACAGAGTATCACTTATCCATACAAATCAAAACATAATATAAATTTATATTATTTATTATTAATGACTGAAAAACCTTAATTTTGAATATCCTATGTAATATATAAATTAATTTATTAATACATTAATGAAAGTTTTTTACAGATATCTAACTCTATTTTTAATTAATAATTTTAGTTTTATTAAAGAATCTATGTATAATATTTACTATTCTTATGAATTTGATTTTATATTAAAAAAACAAAAAGAATATTATTAGATGAATAATCTATAATTATAAATTTCATTAATCAAAAAATTAATTATCTTTATCATTTAATGTTTTAGGTTTGAGTTGAAGATGTATTTTTCCTTTTGAAAAATTATTCTTTTTCTCATTATCCTCAGTTTAAGGTAAGGGAGATGCATTATCACTTATTAATTTTTCTGTCATTTAAGGATATTATTCATTTTAATTTTATGGTTCTTAATGAATTTTATGATGATCATAATATGTTTACACTTCATAATACTTATTAAATATTTATTCCATAGCTGGACCCATTAAATATATAATTCTTTAATTTACTACATCTGAATTGTCTTTCAATTTTGAATAGGAATGATATATTTTAACCATTTTTCTTGGATTATGATAATTTTTGCTTCTAATCAATCTATTATATTTTTATTTATTAGCTTATTAAAATAGAAAATTTGGATCTCCTTCTTAATTATGATTGAATTTGTAATTTGGTTCTACATTTACAATTGGTTTAGGAGTATAATTAAAAACTTTGATTTAATCCTTTTCTAAAAGTGCTTATTTCAATTTTTCAATTTATTACAATTTCTAAAGAATATTTACAATATCTAAATCTTAGAGTATAACATTTTCACATTATTAAAGCATTTTACGTGTCACTCTTATTTTTTCTACACAAGTACAACAAAGAAGTTAATAAAAGAAAAAGTTGATTCCTAACTTTAATTTATGTCTTTATTCAAAAATTTCATTAAACAAATCCTTTAAAAAAGATTCTTTAACTTCTAATAGACTACTAGCTTATCTTTGAATATCATCTTAATGAAGTGGTTAATCAATTAAAATAGAATTCTTCTTATCACTTTATTATGTAGGATTAGATTAATGTCTTATAGTTATAGCTCTTGTTATCTTATTCATTTTTACAAGATTTAAAGTATGATTTTTAAGTTTATTTATTGTTTCATCAACTTTATTAAGTTATTTTTAAATATAACTTAACAATTTGTCATATGTAAACTCTATCTTACCATTTTTCTTTTATGGTATATTAAATTAATAAAGAGAATTAGCTAAAGATAATCTTAAACCCATTTAATTATATTATAAAGCTACAATGCCAAAAATAGATGAAATTATTTTAAGCATACCTCCAAAGTATGATAAGAATTAATCAATTGTATTAACTTTCTTTGTTGTCTATTGAAATTCTTAACTTAATCTAAAATTAACTGAAAATAATGAACTGGGAATATTATTAAATGTCTTTTATATGATAAATAATTACTTTAATTTCCCTATAACTGTAAATTGGAAAAACCCAATAATCAATTATCTCATCATCTTAATAAAAACTAAAAATGCTATTCTAATTCACTATTCTATTTGATTCAAAGAAAATGTCAGCAGTTGATTCTGCATCGAAATTTGTAGCCAAAAAGAAATCAGAATTCAAATATTAATATAACGGATAATCTGTTTAATTAGCCAAGAAAATTGCAGATTAAATTATGGTTGAAAGAGAGACCATAACTGATGCATTTTTAGATAACTCCAGTATTTCTGAATCTGAATAACAATTCTCTGATTTGCATAAGGAAACTGATAATTTAGGATACTACATAATATATGAACTGTAAGTTCCTTATAACCATAATTAATAATCTTTTGGTAAGCATAAATAGTGGTTTAACTGATTCTCTACCTAATGAAATTCTTCAAAATTTATTGAAGGAAAATGATCAGTTGTACAACTTTCTAACATATAAGACTTTGTTATTCTTTTGGTTCTTTTTCCAGATGGAGTTGTCTCTATATAAACTTGATTCATTGAGATGTTAAAGGCTGTCTTATTCAAATTTGGAAAATAATCTGCAAACGGATTATCTAGTTTTATTGCAAACATAAAGTTATTGCTATTCATCTCCTTTAAATCTGGATCCATATCCTAAAGTTATTAGACTTCAATCTATTATAGTTTTTATTATTTTTACGGTATAGGTATCTCTATTAAATACACCAATCAAGCCAGAAACAAGAATGTAGATCAGTACAACTGTCATCATAACTGACAATACTCCTCCACAAACACTCTTATACTCCTATTATTTATTGATATTAAGGCTTAAAGGCACACCAAAGTTATCATATCCTCTTAAGGCTTAGTTAATTGATTTCAACATACAATTTAAAAATAACTTAAAAATTAAATTTGATTTATGTTATGATATACATTTTATATGAAAATTAAATAACTTTTGTCAATGAATAAAGAATCTGTTTAGTTGTGTATCCAAAAACAAGATATATATTTCAACTTTTTAAAAATTCTAAAAAATCAATATTATATATTTTCAATATTCTATATTTAAATCATTTCCTTTTTAATTTCAAAATTAAGAATATTTGATGTTATAAACAGAGAATAATAAACGAGTAAATAATAAACATTCTATTTATTTATTTTAATGTAAATCAAATCAAAATCAAAGAAGTAACCTAAACAAAGATCCTTTATATAAAATATAATTGAAAAATTCTCTAATATCAATTTTTCAGAAGAATATTAATTCAAAAAATATGTTAATTTATTAAAAATCAAAATTATTAATTCTATATAAAATACTAAAGGTTAAAAAGATCAAATTTTAGTAAATCATATTAAAGATATTAATTTTAATACTATTTCTATTTAGGATTATTTTCATATCTAACTATTTTAGTTTCTCAAATTCTATTTTGAGAGATTAGAATTAGCATAATTAGATAAAAATAATGAAAAATTAATACTTTAATTTTCATAAATGAAAGAGAATGCCCATTATAATTTGCAAAGTCTAATATATTTTAATGTACTATTGTAAATTTATCTCAATCAAACAAACCTCCCATATCAACATCTTCTTCAGGTTCTGGGTCCTTTGGTTTTTCAGCTGCTTTTGGTGCTTCTGTTGGTTTTGCAGCAGCTTAGGCTGGTTAAGCAGCTGGGGCTGAGCCTGAACCTCCTCCGACTGAAAGAAGGCTTATGATGTCTTTTCCTTCAAAAGCTCTGACGAATTAGGTTGCCAATTATGATGGAACATTCACACCAGCCTGTAAATATATTTCAATTAATGAATACTTTCTTGGTGAGTTTTTCAACATTTTCAACTGTTAATGGAGTTTTTGATCCAGCTAATAAAAGAGCTGCATATGCTACTGCTGTTGCCTAATTTGCCATAATAATAATTATATTTTTAAATAAAAAGATTTCCTTAATTAATTAAATGTGAATAGTTGTGAAGCAAATAATATAAATTCTTTGAGTATTTCCTATTAATATTGGATTGAATTATGTATATAAGAAAAGATCTAAACCATACTTAATTCTAAAATTATGTATTGATATTAAAACTTTTAATACAAAATATAGATTATAAAGAAATCAAATAATGGTCTAAAAGAATTTAGACATATTAATTAATAAGAGTTAGATTAATATAAATTTTAGATTATAAATTATTTATGTTAAAAAAGTTATCACAATAATATTAGAAGATTTCAATGAAATCATTTTATTTAGGAATATCATTAAGATATTCAACAAATAAAATCAGATATAGTTTTAGATCAACTAGATTTATTGTAAAAAATTAAGAATAAAATGAATCATCTAAAATAATGATGATTACTAAAGAAGAAATTATATCATTTCTTAAAAACAATAAAATTGCTTATCGAATATAGAGATCTTATGCTTAATTATAGTTTTGTCCATTCTGCATTAAAAGAAATTTTGATGAACTTTCTAATTAATATACAATGGGTATAAATTTAAAAAAGTAAATACTTTGATGAATTGTATTAGTGGAATGTATAATTGTTTTAGATCGAGTTGTTAATCTAAAGGATAATGGAAAGACTTTTTATAATAAATGACTCATAATGATCCTAAATTGATTGTTGATGGACCTATACATTCAATACCTAAGTAGAATAATTAAGAAGAAGTTGGAATCTATGATTAAAAATATGAGCTATTTCAATTTCATTTGCATTATTAAAGAATGAAATTGCAATAACCAAAATTTATCTATGAGTATTTAATTGGAAATAATTGGGATAAGGTTAATGATGTATATTTATTTCTAGAATCAAAGAGGTATCAAAGAAGAAGTCTTAAATAAATATTTAGTAGGTATTGGTTAAGATGAAGTATTTGATCCTCAATTAAAATAAATGGTTATGGCTCCTCTTATTTATTTTCCTATGTTTAGATTGCTTTCTTAACAATAACAAAATGATAACGATATATAAAATGAATATATTCAATCTAAATATAATTCTTAACTTTATGAACTAGTGAGTTGTAAATTAAGAGGAATGGGAAAAGAAAATAAATATATTTAAAAAATAGAACCTAAAAATGCTATGAAAGGAATTTTTGGACTTAATTTATTAACAAAAAATGTCAAATAAATTATTTTAACAGAAGGAGAATTTGATGCTATGGCTGCTTATCAAATGACAGAAATACCATCTATTTCTTTACCTTATGGAATAGCTCATTTTCCTAACTTTTTATTAGAATGGTATTATAATATATTGTTATATTATAGGATTAATGAATATAAAGAATTAAATAATATTTATATATGGGTTGATGATGATGAATTTGGAAGAGTTAATTCTAATAAAATAGCAAGTAAAATTGGAAATTGGAGAACTCGAATAATATAACCATCATTAATCAATAATAATTAATATCCTAAAGATGCTAATGATTGTTTAAGATATTATCCAGATAAAATTCAAGAATATATCAGTAAATCAATTACTGTAAAATGAGAAAATCAATTATATTTAACATATTACTAAATAAATTAAAATTATGTAAAATACAACAATAATTAAAGTATCATTTTATTTTTAAAGATACCTTTGAAAATCCATAAAGATTCTCTGATTTTTTCTTAATTATAGATTTTCTCTCTTCATTTTTGAAATAATTTAGAGCAATCGAGAATGCTCTTTTTTAATTAGCTTTAATATTACTCATGCTGGACTAAAAAAAATCAAAAGCTGATTATCTTCTATTGTTGTTACGACAACTTATAATATTTTTATTATTGATAGCTGGTTTCTCATAAGCATATAAAAATTCTAGATTCAATATAAACTTAATCTTAAATACTTAAATTATTATAATTTTCATCTTCTTTACCTTATTTATCCTAAATAATATTCTCAAGATAATCTTCTTGATTAGTTTTAATTTATATAGATAACTTTGAAATTTGCAGATTTTTACTCATATTTATAAAATCACTATTAATAAATTAAAAATTTGTTCTATCTCTAATAAATTATAGTCTTTAAATCTCTTCATTAGAATCTTATTTAGAGATATTTGAATCAATAATAATTATTATATATTATACATGTATAAATATTCAATTACTTTTTTGAATTAAATTACTCTACTTATAAACCATTTATGTAAATAACTATCTAATATATTTATAAATAGTTTAAAATGGATTGACAGACAATAATCTATTTTCATATTTTGTTCTGCTAAATAGATCACTAAAAATTATCTACTTATTTGATATTTCAAAATAACTTAAAGAGGTTACTAAAATAGTCAAAAATATGTCAATTCATTTAATTATTTATTCCATCTACAATGCTAAAATGATAATAAAACATCAATCAAACTAAGTCTTTATCAACTATTTATTTGTATGAAACTATAGAATTGTCTCTCTTGATATTAATATTACTTAAGTTTCAGATCATATTCAATATACTTTATTATAATTTTAAAATACTAGCATGAGGTATAAATTATAAACTATTTTTGGATTTTCAGAGACCTTTATTATAATTTATATTAGTCTAATGAAATAAATATGTATAATACATTAGAAAGTCATACTTTATTTAAACTCAGATAGAATTAAATTTTTTTTAACTATTTAAATTGCACTATTTTCGATTAATTATATCACTCAACTGATATTAAGCAGAATTATCAAATTTTTGTTTTTAAAAATACTTTAATCTATTTGATGATTTGTACAGAGACATGCCAGTATACATGGTAGTGCATGATATGCGACTTTGTTAGTGATTATTTTATTAAAAAATGCCCAGAATGTTAAACACCTAAAGAATAGTTCTGTAGATTAATGAATATCAATTGTAGTATTTCATATATAAATTAGATGAATTAAACTATTAAGAACAATTTTAGATAATAGGTATCATAGAAATGGAATGTAATTAGTCTAAAGATAAACAAGAAATTGTCAAACTTAAAATTACTAAATTTTCTACAACAGAGATTGAAGAAAATAATTACTTTAAGAAAGAATTTATAATCAAACCTCTAACTATTCCTTAATTATAAAGTCCTTAATTTCAATCTATAACATAAGAATAAGTTAATGATGGAGTTCCATTTGAAGCTACTTTTCAGTTATTAAATGAGATGGATCTTATAATTTTTGAAAATAGAGCCAAAGCTTAAATGTATTTGAATTCTTGTATTTAACACAATTTGTAATGTCCAATTAAAAAATATATTGAATTAAAAAATGTTTTCCCATTTCAAAAACCATAATTGTCAATGAATGATATGCTAAGATGGCTTAAAATACCTAATTAATGTATATATAATATTTAATTAATAGCCCAACAATTTGCATTGACATTAGTAGTTATAGAACTGTTGAAAAGATCATATACATTTTAAACATAGATGTTATAATAATTATAATTTCCAATTCCTGAAGAAGAATCTAGACTATAAGGATTTTAAAATTTAATTATATTAGATCTTCAATATACATGTGTTGAGAATTATAGATAAAATTTCCATTAAGAAATTATTGAAATCTCAGCATAAGTATATGATATTCGTTAAAGAAAAATCATTCAAAGTTTTTAAAAATATATAAAACCAATTGAAAATCCAATATTAAGTGAATATTGTACTAAATAAACAGGTATTTAATAGTTTTAAATTAACAATGGCATATCACTTTAGTAAGCTATTAATTAATTGTCTTAAATTTTTAAAGAATTAGGAAGATTTTGTATAATCACATTAAGTGACTTTGATTTAATTATTTTAAAGAAGGAAGCAGAAAGAAAATAAATCAAACTTGTCAAAAATTTTACTTACTATATAAATCTTAAAAAAAGTATAAAATTATTTTTTAATATTAGTATTTCCTAAATCCTTAAGAATTAGGGATTCTTTAAAAGATCCTAGTATGACAGAAATGTTAGAATGTTGTGGACTATTATAATATTAAAATAATCTAAGTGATAATACTAAAGTAATAAACCTTGTTAGTTTGGTTGATTATTTGATAACTAATGAAAAATTAAGATTTGATGAAAAAATGATATAATATACATATAAAATTTGATAATTTCTTATATGATTAAATCTTTTTTTATAAAAAATTAAGGCGGGATAATTTAGTATAAAAAATCAGAAATTAAACTAATATTAGTTATACGAAATATGGCGGAAAAAATAACACATTTAACTTTTGATGCATTAAAAAGCATTGTTGAAAACAAAGATGGTACAACACAATATTATGTTTAAATTTTAAATGTAGAAGCTAAAAGTGATATAATTTTAAAATCTGGGAGTATGTCATAATGTACTTGTAGTGATGGATTTGCAAAAATGAAAATGCAAATACTTAATCTAAGTCCATCAACTTTAGCTAGTATCTCAAAATATAAACCCATTATTAAAATACAAGGATTAATGATGAAATCATCATTTTATATAATTACAAAACATGAAGTCATTTATTTAGATAAGGGTCCTGTTGGATAACCTTACGAATATGATGAATATAAGTAAATGGTATTAATTTAATTTTTATTCATAGAATTACACTAATCCTAATGGAAATACAGAAATTTAATTTGCCAAAGCTCCTCATACTTTGAGTTTAAATTCTAATAAAAAATAATCAATTTTACTATAATAATCAAAATAAACTAATGAAAATATTAATTCTGATTAATAATAAGGTAAATCAGCAATTAAACTATCAATTTAATAAAAGTAACAATAATCTAAACCAGCTATCTAAAAAATTGAGCATCAAAATTAATATCCAACTTCTGATTAAAATTTATTAAAAATATCAGAACTTTATCCTGGAATGAGAGGATTCAAAATTAAAGGAAGAATTACAACAAAAACTGATATTACATAATTTAAAAGTGGTAAAGGAAATTTATTTTCAATTGAAATTATAGATTCAGAAAAATCAACAATTTAAGGAGTATTCTTTAATGCTTAATGTGATAGGTTTTATAAAGAAATAGAAATAGGAAAAGTTTATTATTTTGAAAATGGTTAAGTAAAAACAAATAGATATTCAAGTAAAAATCAAAATTAGAGTGAATATTAGATACATTTTGAAGAAGCTTCCAAAATATCTTAGGCTTTAGAAGATTAATAAATAGATGCTTTTCCATTTAATATTACAACAATTGGAGATATTGATAATTTATAATTAGATGATAAATGTGATGTACTTGGTGTTATTACAGAAGTTAAACCACTAACATAAATTACAACTAAATCAGGTGAAAATAAGGCTAAAAAAAATATTACCATATTTGATCAAACTTAAAGAGGAATTGATATAGTACTTTGGGGAACATAGGCTGAGAAATGGTAATTTTAAAAAGATGAAATTGTAGCATTTAGAGGATTAAAGGTGACTGATTATTAAGCGATTAGAAGTTTAACAGTCACAAATTCAACTACTTATGAAAAAGATATATCTAAATTATAGAAAATTAATAAATTCTTAGAATTTTCTCAATTTTATAACGAAAATAAAGATTTTATAGAATCAAAACCAAAAGAATCAAAAAAGAAATTTGCCTTATCATATATAGAATAAATTAAAAAGGATTTTGAAGGATAAAGAAATAATAAACTTACTAAATTTTATGAAATAAAAGCCTATATAACAACAATATTTTCTAAATCTATGTTTTATACAGCATGTGAAAATTGTAAAAGAAAAGTTACTGAAGTACCTTAAACTAAGTTATATCATTGCTAAAATTGCAATCAAAATTATCCTATACCTAGTTACAAATACTTTTTTAGTGCTAAAATAGCTGATACAACTGGAAATCTAACTGTTAATGTGTCTAATGATTAAGGATAATCTATTTTAAGTATTTAATTGATATATTTTAGAGCTTGCTTGTGAGGATTTTGTAAAATAAAACTAAAGAGAAGATATAATTAAAAGAGCTACTTTTTAATAATTTAGATTCTTAATTATTGCCAAGATGGAAACATACAATGATGAAATTAAACCTAGATTCTAGGTTTAATCTATTATATAGGATGATGTAGTTAGTGATAACGAAGAACTTTATAATTAGATATAATAAATGTTAAACATAAAAACTGAATGATTTAAAATTTGTTTACAATTTATCCATTCATCAATTATTAATATTTCTAATTATTTATTTTTATGGATTAAGACTTATACATATATCCAGGTATTACTAAAAACCTAACCAAAACTATGTGTGGAAAACTAAAGAGATTTATAAGTATGTAATATAATTATTATAGAAAAACAATTTAAAGATCAATCCTTTTTATAAGATGATCCAAAAGTTAAGGAATTTCTAGATACTTCTTAATATGATTATAAAGTACTCAATTTAACTTAGTTGAAATAAAGTAATATTGGAAAAGAAATTGTTAACTTTTTTTTTGGCAATCTTATATGGTGCTAAGATATTAATGAACTAAATAAATTAGACATCAATTATTATTTTTAATTTAATCATGTTTGGTATGATTAAACAGAAGAAGATTAAAAAGAAAAGAAAGATAAATAAGACTTTTTAGAAAAATAAGAGAAAATAGAAAAATTAGAAAAATTAGAAAAACTAGAAAATCCTTCTGATCATGATATCAAAGTAAAAAAAGTTAAAATTGATTGAAGCTATATGACTTTTTTATTTTTTTGGTATATTCAAAATATTTAATATATATTTATTACTTTATTTTACATATTTCAATATTAAAAATGCACTAGGATCCTCAAAACAATGAAGAGATTATATAACTTTAGATTATTGAAAAGGAATTATCTACTGATTAATAATTATAATAACTCTGTAAACAAATAGGATAATAGAATCAAAGTAAAGTTTAATTAATATAAGATCCGAGATTATTGCTTTTTTTATAAGAGTTATTTAAAGCGCTCATTAATTCCTATATTCATAAAGATTTACTCTAAAAGACCATTAAAATATTAAACAATATTTTGAATAAATCAAAATTTAAGAATAGACCTATATAAAATTCAGATTTAAGCCATTATATCAACCAGAAATATAATGAAGTTTTAAGTACTCACTTTATAAATTCATAGCTCATTTTTATGAAAAAGCCTTTTTAAAAGGTCCTGATGATGCATTCAAACATATGAATTTTGTTTATTACAAAAAGATAGCAAGGGATTACTTATAGTCTTCTAATTGTTTAAATCCAGCAATGTCAAAAAATATCTTGACAAAAATTGATTAATCCTATTAAAGTTTTACAGGTAATACTCCTTAAGAATTTGAAATGGTTGTCTTTGACAGTTTAAATTAGCAGGAATAAGAATTATTTACATAAATTGTTTCTGAAGATTAAAGTAAAGCTCCTAAATAGACAAATAGCTTATAAGAAAAATTCTTGTCAAATCTTCCCCCAGATTTATAAGATAAATTTAAAAGCTCAAATTTTACTGATATTTAAGCTTTTAAAGATCATCTAATTTAAGAAAAATAGTATAAAGGTATAGAAAAAATATTAGGATATATATTTGTAGATAAATTAAATTTTTATTTAAATTCTTATTATTTTGTGAATTCAGCAAAAAAGATCTAAGAAAATAAACCAGATTTATAAAAATTATTACAAGAATTAGAGAAGGATATCATAGATTCTTAAAAAGATTATTTCTCTTTTATTGATATTCCATCTGTCAAATACTTTTATAAAAGTCTAAAGTCAAAACGTGTTAGAAGTTTGAAAGGATAATTTTTTTCATTTAAAAAAAAATTGATAGAATTTATAAAATCAGAAATCAATTCTTTTGAAGTTCCAAAGAAATTTAATATAACATAATTTGAAAAATGGAATGAAATTTATTTTAGTTTGTATTCAGAATTGTAAAGAGCTACAACAATAGAAGAATCTAATCTTGCTTTTAAAATAATTTAAAATGTTTAACAATTAATATTATCATTCCTTAAATTTAGATGGAATTATCTATATTTATTTTGTGCATTAATTGTAGAAGCAAGATTATAATAAGAAGAATTAGATTAGATTTTAGATATAGCTTATGATATGATGCAAAATACAAATAAAGCCAATTTAAATAAACCATTTGATTAAATTTTAGCTTAATTAAATGAAAAAGCAAATACTTAAATAGTATCAGATTATTTTGATAGAAATGGACATATTTCTGGTTATACGTCTTTATAAATGATAGAATCTCTCCTTCCTTATATTAATAATAAATTGATTAAAGTTATGCTTCAAATCAATTTATAACATACATAAAAAATTAGATTGATAAATGAATTAAAAACTTATGAGTTCTAATTAATACATGATTGCAGTCAAAATTTAAGAAATTATTCAAAAATATTTGAGAAATTATATGATTCTATTTTGGAGGGGGAAAAGGAAGAAAAGGATTAAAAAGCATCATTTTTAAAAGCATATCCAATATCATATTAATAAAAATTAAAATTGATAGTTTTTGAAAGATAAAATAAATAAATCCATTAATAATTTTATAAATAATATTAATTGAATATTTCAAAATTGAAATCAGATTATTAGAAAAGGAATTTGGGACCATATTAAGAAATATTTTCAAGAGAAGAAAAAATTAGTTAAATTTGTGAATAATTTATTTTAAAAGAGGCAGAAAAGTTAAATTAGTAATACTAAAATGATGTTTATAAAGATCTGTATCTAATATTTATAGAGACATTTGTTAAGGATAATCCATTTATTTTTTTCTTACCAGCCTTATTAAAAGGATTGGGTTTCTTCAAATTGTAAAAATAATTTTTTTTTGAAAAAATTGAAAGAGTTAGATTTGCTGCTGTTGCATTCAAAGATAAAGATTAAAATGAGATAAATAAATTTATAGAATATATGACTTATTAAAAGGATTTATTTACTTTTGAATAATAATTTGAAATCGCAAAGAACATTTATAACTTTTATATAGCATTGCCATAATATGGTACAGATTGTAAACCAATAACAGACCCTTTTCCTGTTTTTAGTTAAATGAAAAGCATCACTGATTATAATTCTACAACTTATAATGCTATTTGTTTTTTTACAACTAAATTTTTTAATTAAGACTAAAAAGCTTTAATTAAAGGTGAAGACCAATTAAAAAATAGTGATTTAATGAAGAAAATTTCAAATTTAATGAGTGATAAAATTTAATTTGAAAATACTTAATAAGATAATTTTACAGCTTAATATTAAGAATTAAAAAACTATAAAACTCTTTTAATAAAAGAAGTACAATAAATTAATGATTAAAATTTTTAAAATAAATGTATTGAAGTATTTCAAAAATAAGCTAGTAGATAATTTATTATGAATGAGATTATTGAATTTAAAAAATAATATAAAATACCTTAGAATGAAATAGAATTGTATTTCACAGCAAAATCTTATTGGATACAAGTTGTAAACATGGATTTAAGACAAACAAATGACATCGCAATAAAAAAAAGACTAGAAGAATATTTCAAACAAGTACTTTCTCCTCAACCATTTTAATAAATTAATGATAAATTATAAAAGGATATGAATACATTTCAAGACCCTTATATAAAAGACTTGTTAAAGAAACATTATCCCAAGTTTAAAGAAGATTTTGATAAAAATCCAAATAAATCAGTTCTATAAACTACATAAATTAAATAGTCTATATTATAAATGTAAGTGATATAGAAGAAATTATCTTTAATAAGATCGGATTCAAAATATAGAGATTTTATAATTGAAGATTAATAAGTTTTGACTTTTATTAATGAATAATTTAGTCTTTATATGAAGTAACTTTTAGGAAAAGTATTTTAAGTTGCTTTAGCCTAAAAACCAGGATATGAATTAAAGGTTTTTTAAAATAAAGTTATATCATAAAATGATACCTAAATGATAAAATATAGACAAAATTTAGAATTATAAGGAAGATTTGGACCCCAAAAAAATTCTTATCTTGATATATCATTATTAACAAGTAATGAAAACAAGAATTAATTATATTATGAATTATGTGATTATACACCAACTTAAAGGTAAATAGAATTTAGGAATTTCTTAATAGAAATAGAACCACTTTAAGAAGATAAGTTAAAGAACAAAATAAGAAAAAATAAATGGAAAGAAGAACATCCTGAATTAGAGGAGATTCTAAAAAAAAGAATCAAAAGAGGAGCAGAATTATGGAATTAAGTTTAAGACTTCCTTTGTAAAAGAGAGAGTAATGAAAATATGATGGATTCAGATGAAGAATCAGATAAATATAAGGGTTAATAATAATAAATTGTTGATTTTGTTGAAGATGATCAATTAGACTAAAAAATTCAAGAAGTTCAAAGAAGTTTTGAAAGGCAATTGTTGACAGGAAAAAATTATATAAAAACAAGGTAATTTATTAGTTTAATAATTAGATTAAATAACATGGATAATGATAATCCATTATTGACTTTAAAAGAAATAACTGTAAAGACAGTTTAGTTTGTGTTGGAGTAGCATCCCTATTTCAAAAAGAGTAAGATTTTATATAAATCTTATATTTTGTGAGAGTATGAATTTTAACATTATAATATATAATTAAGTAGAAACTAACTTATAAATAAACATTTATTCATAAATAAACAACTATTCCTAAGCTTAATTATAAATTTAATAAATAATCAAAATTAGAATTCATAATGTTTTCAGCATTTATTTTTGTATAACAAGTAATGATAAATGATTTGTTTAGTACATTATTAATTGAAATATTTAAATATGATTCAGATTTTTATGAATATATTTGATAGTTTAGCTAAAGCTATAAATAAATTATTTGAATTTTAATTTATTTAGCTTAGTATATTCAAATTATGAAAGGATAATTACTAGTATTTGAAATTGAAGAATATATTCATTTTTTATTAAATATTATTTATAAAATAAAATGCAATAGTATAATAATGAAGAAGTAATAGAGAAATTCTTATGTAGTAATTTAATAAAATAATGGATAGTGAATTTTACATTGAGGAGGTCTGTGTTGAAACATAAAATGAAAAACTGGACATTCCAAATGCAGATAAAAATAAAATTATGCATACACTTGTAATTGTATTTTCTATATATAAAAAGGAAGAAAATTTAAAATAGAAGAATGATTTTTTAAATTCAGAAGAATATTATAATTTCTAACAACTACTTGTTATTTCATTAATTACAATAAACTTTTCTAATGATGATCCCTTTTTTAGACATATAACAATGGTTGTCAAAGCCATTAAGAAGGCAATCAAAAAAAGACTCATTCAAGAGACTAATTAATTTTCATCTAAATAGGAATATAAAGTATAATAATATTTGTAAGAGTAGATTTAATAATCTTCTCTCTTCAGAATCTATTATTAAGATATTAATATAGGATTTATAACGTCTACACAATAAATTAAATCAACAGCTTTCATTTTTGTCAATAAAAACATATTTAATGAATTCATGAATAAGAAAATATCAATTGAATAAAAAGACTAATAAGTGAGGTTAACGCTATATTTTTTTGATATCAATATTTAGAAAGAAAAACAAATTTAGTAAGAGTTTAAAAATTAATTTTTACGAATTAATAAATTCAAAAATGAGTTCATCGTATTGAATGAAGAAATAGATCAATAGAAATAAACCTCAACATATCATGTCTATAAGCCTATGGATGATTAAATTTATTTTGTTAAAAGAGTAAAAAACAACCTAATTATAGATTTAATTGTTAAATATTCCTTTAGATATTACATTTCAAGATATATTTAACACAAAAAGTTCAACTTAAGATTTCTTCAAAATTTAAGAAGCGCGTACTCTTTAACACGTTTCACATCCAAACATAATCAGACTTTATGAATGGTGGTTAGAAATAAGAAATTACTAATTATTTCTATATACTTAGACAGAATATTGTATATATCCTGGATATATTTCATAATCTAAAAATCTATTGAGTTATTCATATTTTTATATGAATCCAATGGCTTAAGAATAGAAAAGCAAACTTATAAATGAAATTCTATGTTAAATTATAAGTGGTCTAGAGTATTTATAAAAAAAGTAAATAGTTCATGGAGATTTGAAACCTGAAAGTATTATGGTTACAAAAAGTATTACTGGAGATATATAGGTAATCAATTTATTTAACAAAGGTTATGTTAGCAGATTTGAATCATTAATATTCATGTTATCAAGATTTGTATAAAAACTAAACAAAAGATTAAATTGATTACAAATAATAATCTTTATATGCTTTAGGTGTATTATTGATGCATTTGATCCTTACATTCCCTGGAGAACCAACACTAAGAAATAATTATGTTACAAAATTTTAGAATTATGATATTGATGATTCATTAAGTGAATTTGATAAATGGGCATAAAAATCTGTTAAGAATAAACATAAGGAATTTTCATTTTTCTTATATAAAAATTAAATGGAATTAGCAAAATCATTATTAAAGAAATAACAATTTCATGAATTACATGAAGTAAGAACTTTTATTTAAAATAATAAATAATTTGATCATCTATTAGTTTGATTTATTTTATAGTTTTTTTTATAAAAATCAATCAATTATCATGTAAAAGAGAAAGTCTCATAATAAACTTCCATCTGAGATCATCCAATCTAATAACTGCTTTATTATGCCTAAGTCAATTAGGTATTTACCTATTTTCTTCATATTTTAGAACTACTTAGACTTCATCAAAAAATATTTAAATTTAAAAGTTTGCTTCTTCTAATAATATTGATGATTCTGATTAAATATATCATTCAGAAATCATAATGAATCATCGTTAATCACTCAATTTATATAAATCTAATTTGGATTTGTAATCAACACTTCACTATTCTGATGTAAATTAAGCACAACTTTAAAGAATTAACTAATAAATATTATAAAATAACATTGATCTTTAATCTATGTATAATAAATCAGAATAAGAAAATAAATAATTATAAAATGAGCTAATAAATTTAAAAAATAGAATATCATTAAAAGAAACTGAATTTAAGAAAACTGTTGAAAATAATGCATAATATATGAAAGAAATAGCTTAATTGAAAATTTAAATGTAAAAGGTATGACCAATTTTGATTTTAGATAAATTAAACTATAAATAAGTTATCTGAGGAGAATACATAATTAAAAGAGAAATTAGAAATAAGTTAAAACTTTAGTAATTCTATATCTTAGATATAAGGCCTATCAAGTAGAAGAGAATTCAATTAATAAAATGATTGTAATTTAAGTGGATCAATTATATCTCAAAATTCAAAAATTAAAAATAATAGTTTTTCAATTACAAAGAATAATATCTCTGATTATTAAACTTAAATAATCTCATATTAAAATTAAGTAACTGAAAAGAACTAATTAATACTTGGTTTATAATCATAAGTCAGAAATTTAACAGAAGTTTAAAGACAATTAATGTCTCCAAAAAAGAAATATGTTAAGGATTCATAAAATTTTCATTTAAATAGTCCTCCACAAACACCAATTGAAAACTTTAATATATAAAATGATAGTAATATTGTAAGTAATATAAAACTAATAAATTTGATTAATGATTAAAAAAATTAAGATTCAACAATTCATAAAACAAGATAATCAGATGAAATTGATGTAAAATTTTTTAATGAAATTAGGTTGGACCAAGTATAAAGTCATAAATAACTAATTAAAAATCTAAATAAGAGTTATCTTAAATTTATTAAAAAATTAATTAATCAACTATTTATACAGCAGGTCTGTATTCTAGTTTATTAGATTATCAATATTTATCAAATGTATAAAAAATAATTATAAATTTTAGAATAAATTATTTAGTGGATTAAGTTCAAAGGATTTTATTTAACATTGAAGAAAAAACTATTGATTATAAATTAGGTAGATAAATAAAATAAAGTTTAGAACAAACTTTAGATAAATAAAAATTATCATCTTTTTTTTGATTTTCCTTTTTTCTTTGTTTATTTTTTCTTTTTAGGGTGATTTTTTGTTTAATGTAATTTTTTATCTCCTGAAGAATCATGTTCTTAATCTGATTCATTAATAACTTTTAGATCACTCTTGTGATTACTTGATATCAATTTTTCAAGATTTCTCTATTATTATTTTTTTGCAGAATCTTCTAAATTAATTAATTCTTCTTGATTTTCTTTTTCAATTAAATTTTATAAATCATCATCATTAAATAACTTTTTCATGACTTCTTATTTAAATTTATCCTTTTCCTCTTAACTATATAAATATAATATATTAATACTGTTTTTATAATTCTTATTCAAAAAGTTAACCAAAAAGTTTCTTTTTCAATTCATCATATGGAGTTGTATTGGTTGCTTAATCAAAATGATTTTTATCCAATTTTTAATTAGAATACTTAAGTAAATCTTCTTATTTTATTTAATTAGAACATTGATTAGAATTATTAATGTCATTTTCTTGATTATTATTCTATTTGATCATATGACATTTAGATTATTATTTACTATCATCAGTTTATTCATCAATTTATTCAAGATCTAATTGTCTAAATCCAGCCATTAAGTCATCTTATTCATCATAACAATTGAAATGTTATTCTATAATAGATTGGATGTTTTATTTTTCTTCTAATATTCCTGATTGTCTCTATTAATCTATTTAAGGTCTTTCATCAATAATTGCATCTTCATTTTAGACAAATGGTTCTTCAAATATATATGATTTTCTAATTGGAATTTCTTCAGAGAAATTACTTACTGCTGGTGGTACAATTAAACCTTTATTTTCTAGAATATCTAAAGATGCTTAGCGAGATTTATCAGATTATATTTTATCTAAAGATTTTTATAATCTTTAGTCACTCTCCAAAATTGGAGGATAAAATAATTCATCATCTAATCCACTAAATTATTTTAATCTAGCTTGCTATTATTTAACAGTTGATATTAAATCTTTAACAAATGAATCTTGAATAGTTTATTAAAAAAGCATATGTTAAGTTGTATTTTGAACTAACATTTTTGCTCTTCTAATTATTTCTTTAGCATTTCTCTTGGGTATCTTTTTTTATTTTGAATCATTTGTAACTTATTATTATTAATTAATTTAAAGTCTTTAATTATAAGAGATGGTAGAATCATAGATTTTAGATTTAAGTAGATTTACATTAACACTTAAAGCTCCATAATGTAATACTTTAAGTGTTTCTTCAATATCATCACCTGTTAATCGTACATTAACAATCATTAAGATTTTATTTTCTTCTGTAAAATACTCACATAATAATCTTGTTAGTTTACATTCTCTAAATGGTATACGACTATTTTAATCAGATTCATTTTGACATCTCATTTATTTTAGACATTTTCCAAGAACTAATAAAGATTTATTTATATTGCATGCTTCTGTAAGTTATGATCCTTATGTTTCAGCCTTTTTTGCTCTTTCTGATCCAGCCAGATCAACAATACATATTGTTTATTTCCTTTAAATTGTAAATTATTCTTATTAATATAGAAATGAGATTTATAT